AACCCGCAAGAAACGAAACACTGGTTCGCCTTTGGACGTCGTAATTTTGTTCAAGGTAGTGTGACCACCATGAGAAAGTGGAGAAAGCTCCAACTTTCCCCAGTTTTGCCTTGAGCCATGTAATATATAACGTTGCGTTACGTGAGTGAATACATCGTTATGCGTCGTTCCTTTGCAAATTCTTCGTCAAAAGAAGAAGCCCCTGAAATGAATTAGATTCCGATGAATTAAAACATAATATTGGCTGCCCGACACAAGTTAATCCTATTTTGAAGACGGGGATATAATCTCGACGTGAAATATCACGCTTCAATTGAGCCACTGTGTTAATCACTGGGTGGAATGAGAGGTGGTGGTGGTACATAACTTGTCGCTTTTAAGTATAGGAAAAGTTTGGCTATTATATTACATAGTTTTGCCACGTACCCCTCAGCTAATCTGGACACGAGAGAAGAAGGCGAAGTAAAGTAAAGCTACTTGAATTTCAGTTAGTACTAAAATCTAACTTTGATAATTTCATAAAGATAAGAAACAAGAAAATGAAGTGGGGACGTGTACTTGGAAATTTCTAGGAAGGATTCGCTGGAAAATTCGATGGAAAACTGAGATGAGATGCACGTGGGTGAAGCGTGTGCCGTTAATTACTTGTTTTTGAGTGTGGGTTTACGTACGTAAATGAAATATCTTTACTGTATTGTATGGGATTCACTCTTATCTATTTATGGATAATAAGAGATCGTTGTGTATCTATTTACTCCTAACAATACGCATTGTTAGTGGACAAGCTGGCAGCAATTGGGACGATGATGATGATGACGCCGAGTATGTATAATAAACCAAGATAAAACGGATGAAAATGGGCCCATGGAATATTAATAAGGTGGCTTTACCAACTCGTCGGGTGCAGCAGGTTTATGAATGGAGAAAGTATAGCCCATCCATCTCCACAAAGGAGAGATGTAGATTACGGGAGAAAGATGATGGCGGATAAACGAGTCGTAAACTCCCTGTGACAGCATAGACTCGAAACAGACCAGAATATGTACTTGTCATAAAAAATCACAATTTGTATCCATAAATTGTGATGAATTTGCATTAATTTAACTAACGGAAGTCATACGTTTACAGCACAATTTGCAATTTGCGGTGATTCATTGCATTCTATTATGCTCAATTTTGCTTGATTTATGTATATACATAGATTGAGCGTGGGGTGTATATTATTACGTGGAATATGGGTGTATTATTATCATTGGATGTCCGGGTTGAATTGCATTGAAAACACCAGTGACCGCGGAACAGAGGGACAATGTCCCCACGGTTGTTCGATATTCGCATCATCTCCCCATGTTATATAAGCCCCTCCCTCCCCTATCCTACAATGTTAAAGTCCCCAGATGTCCCCACGGCTTCTGCGGCCACTGTTTAACACAGCACAACAGCAAAACGCGGCACTCTTCTCATCCAATTTCCTGTCTTCATTACAGATTATTATTTATTACGCGCCCACGCAATTTATCATCGGCACGGCAAGAATGGAAATGGAGAAAGAAGGAAAAGTGTGATTATTCAGGTATAATTATTACAAATGAGCAGGCCAGGCATCAATTATTATCATGACGTTGCATGGACTAGAATTTTGCATATAAAGATTTTTTGGTTACAAACTTTATCTTCACTTTATTGCCTTAAAATTATGTAAATTTAATTTTATAACAATTTTATTTTTAGACAAAATCTTATTAGAAATTTGCAGGCGTCAATTATTATTATGACGTATAGAGGTTACATGGGCTAGAATTTTCCATGTAAAAATTATTTTTACTTTCTCTTTACTTTATAAATATTGCCTTTGAAATTCTGTAAATTTCGTAACAATTTTGCTCATTTATATGCAAAATCAGTTACAGATTCTTACATAAACCGTTCCCAATTTGTAACTTGTTCTGGTTTAGGAAAGTCTCAAATTCTCCAATTTCTTTCTTTCCCTTTTTCTTAGTGAGGCAAATACCTAACAACGAAAAAAATTACTAAGTATGCATTTGACCCACCCCAAAAAAGTGACCATCTGCGATATCTCAGTCATTTCTCAACCGATTTTGATGAAATTTTGCACCGATTATTGTTGCATAATATAGAAATGGGATCTGATCCGACTAAGCGATTACGTGATCTTGACCGGAATTATGGGCAAAAATGTAGCCTTAGAAACACATTTGTAATTATTGCTGGTTACTAGCAAACGTTATCAACAGTTTGATACCCACGAATTGTAGGGCAGTTTATCCCGAAAATTTAAAGCATAAATATATCAAAATCTGTTAAGAATTGGCTTAGTTATTCCAATTTGAAGTTCAGAAATTCCTGCTCGTGCTACGAATCATTGCCATTGACAACGACGCAAGACTAATAAATTGAAAACAAATTACATTCAAAACTGTAAACAGCACAACTAGTCGTTTCTGTAACATGCTTGGTAAACTGCGTGAAATTGTTGTTGTTGGGTTTGCACCTCCAGATCAGGTGTTTAGTAATCTAGGCCGGACATTTTGACCAAAATGATATAAATCGGTTAAGAAATAACGGATTTATTCAATTTTAAACACCCAGCATTTAATAAAATTATTCCGCATCAAACTACTGAAAAGGGGTAGTGCAATGCAGTTATCCAATGGGCAATCTAATTACCCAATTAAAAGTTATAAATAAACAAGGTCCCTAAAAAGGGGAAATCTTAGTGAGGGAGTGCAATCACAACTAATAAATAAAATTAGATTGGAGAATTTTTGCATCACCGCTCTCGGTACCATTTTTACTGGAAGAATTAATCGTTTAAATAGAACACTTGCTCCCTCAAAAGGTTCGATGATTTTGCATAGAGTAGCCAAATTAATATATGAAATTGAAATTTGTATATTTTTTTAAAGAAATACGTAGCTCATAATTATTTAGTCATTATATCTTACATATCTACCTCAGTTAATTTAACCCACTTCTCGTTCACTACACAGTAAAAATGTATTTCTTCCTCAATTTATTCAATAAAACTAACAATTCATGCATATGCAAAAAAAAATTTATACTGCATCCAGTAAAAATAGTACCGAGAGCGGTGATGCAAAAATTCTCCAATCTAATTTTATTTATTAGTTGTGATTGCACTCCCTCACTAAGATTTCCCCTTTTTAGGGACCTTGTTTATCACTCACTGGAAGTGCACGTCTTTATATTTGTCATGTCTTGCAAGATGAAGAAACGTTCCCCCTCTGTGAAAGCAGTGGCGGCGGAAGCTGTGGGGACATCTGGGGACGTTAACATTGTAGGATGGAGAGGGCCGGGTTTATATAACATGGGGAGATGATGCGGACACTGAACAACCTTGGGGACATTTTCCCTGTCCCCTGTCCTCACCCTTCCGCGGGCACTGCCTGCGAGGGAAGCATTTCTGTTGAATTGGGAGAGAAAGAGAGAGACATTAATCCAATCTCGTTCTTCTGGAGAAAGCGATGCAGATTTTAAGCCGATCTTCTCTCCCACTTCACTGATCACTATTTACCAAGCCTCGGTTTTATGGGGAGAGAAGCAGGGCATCATCTCATCTCCTTTGTGATGATCCAAATGAGACAAAGTAGACAAAATGCGGGGGAAAGTGTCGATCTACAAAGCTAACAAGACGCATTCTTCCCTTTTCGGCAAATTAGATCAAAGTTATTTCATTTTATTATGAGATGAATCATTAATCATGGAGTGAAATTTTGAATCGGAGAGGTTGTTGCTCTTACTCCTTTTTGGCACGGAGTTTCTGAATTATGTAAAACTTTTAAGGCGTGAAATATGGATATGAATGAAGGTATGTATCGAATGGGATGATTGCTTTGCAGAGTATTTTGGCTGGCTGGATGGTGGCTGACTTTCTTCAGATATGATAAAATCTTTTGGTTTGAAACTACATAAATATCGATTTCTTCCCGTGATCGTGGAGCTACGGGGAAGGAGTAGTTTGTGATAATGTGCAATATGTAAGTGCAGGGTTATAAAGGGCAAAAGTGTGTTTTTGGTGGGATTACTGTATTCGATTATGATTATGTAATGTAAGTGACAATGATATTTTGGAAGGATTTTTGTACTTATGTGTGTAGCTGTTTGGTTATGTATGGGGGATATAATTTTACGCTAGATTAATGTCCTGACGAGGTCAGTTAATTGCCCTGAAATATTTATGATGATCCGATAAATGTACTAATTCCGCTCCAATTGGCGTGTCCCCGTAATAAGCTTATGTACTTGCGAATTTTGTGCGGAATTTGTCCATGAAGTGGATAATCTTTATTGGCAGAGGTTGACGCTGCCGGTCATACGCTGACGCGTCGCGGGTCGCATTTTACCCGAACCTAAATTTAAATTTGATTTCCTATTCCTTCAACGTTTGGACGCCGCGCTGCGCCGCCAAAAAATCGTCAAAAGAGGTCAGCGTGACCTCTGATTGGAGGTTCATGTTTCTGTGGGTGCCTAAATAAGTAGATATGGACCTGAACTGAACAATTCTACCCAGTCCAAACCAAATGGTGCACTGCGGAAGCAAATTTCACCGAGAACCGTGGTTTAAGGAAATGTTCTTTTGTGCACGAATGACTCCAACAAGGAAATGGACTCCTGCTTCATAACGCAGCTTAAACTTGCATTTGTTCCCCCATTCATTTAATCCATCCAAATTAGCGGCACGGTGGGGCATGAAATGCAAACTTGGCTGGTACACCTACTTATATAGAATTTACACGGAAATTGAAATACATAGAACCGTGTAAATCTACACAAAAATCGTGTCTGTCTCACCGCCCAGCGAATAGTAAATCGTCGTCATTACGAATGTCAGTCAGTGAGTCAATTAGAGAAAATGCTTTCTTCCCTATTCTGTGAAGAATCCAGTATGAAAATGTTTCACAAAACTTTTAATCATTACTCATACTAATGCAAGTGTCCAATTTTTATGTAACTTTCAGACTTCCAGACTGATTCCGATGGGATAAGGAACAAAACTCCACTTTATGCGTCTAATCTCACCAAAAACGAGTCTTAAATTCTTCCCGTTAAAATAATCCTTTTCTCCCAAGTTCGGCTTGACCTTTCGAATTTTAATCGCGCTATTGACCACACCACGAAATCGTTTTTCTTCAATAATTACTTCCCACTCAAATTTTCAACTGAAGAGGAGCGTGGGTTTTGAATGAAGTGGTTTATGAATGAAGAATGCGGATTGAAGAAAATGGACTATTTTCAGTTTTCCTCGGCGTGCTTTCTCCTCTGCGTTTTCCTCCCGTTGCCCGCAGTCCATGGGAGTAAGTGCATTTCGCTAATGTCGTTACTTTTCCATTACATATTCGAATAAGAGACAAAACGTGGTTGGTCCTCCTCTTTTGTAGAATGTCCACAATTCATCGCTCTGTCTGGAGTATCGCAAAGTGGGAATATTACGTCACCCGGGTGGCCAAGCCCGTACCCTCCGGATGCAATTTGCGCTTATAAATTGCAGGTTTGACGGGAAATCGTAAAATTATGATGGCATGATTTGTCGGATTTCTGATTTGGTTTGGTTTTTTTTGCAGGGCGAGGCTTGGCAAGGGGTGAAAATTACGTTCTATTATTTTGATTTGGAGCCTCCCTATTCGGCGGGGTAAGTTATTTAGCAGGGGCCGCGGAAGCTGTGGGGACGTCTGGGGACATTAGGGGTTTATATGGACAGATGATGGGAACATTGTCGTCCCTTTGTCCCCATGCTTCCGCGGACACTGCATGATGTTCATGCATTTGAGTAGCCTGAATTCTCCCAGTGGCCGCGGAAGCCGTGGGGACATTAACATCTAAGGAAGGGGGACAGGGGTTTGTATAACATGGGAAGATGATGCAGACATCGAATAACGGTGGGGACATTTTTCCTTTGTCCTCACCCTTCCGCGGCCACTGCTTATTTGTGATTTATTTAAGACATAATGTATGCAAATGTGTTGTTATGTTATGGGATCAGGTGCTTAAATGACTATTTGGAGCTGAACACGGTGGATACCAAAGGACAAAGAACGTTCCGAGGGCGATATTGTGGAAAACATGCTCCCGCCCCGATTTTGGTTTTACATCCCGTCGTAGAACTAGTTTTTCGGTCAAATCACGCCGCCCATCATAATGGATTTGCTGCATCGTACGAATTTGTGGATGAATGTGAGTTGTACTGCAAAAATCCATTTTTTTCTGCATATTAAAATTGCAAATTATTTGCAATTTTGATATGGAAATGCATACCATGTAAAATTTACTCAATTACGTAACTTTCACATTATGTAAGTACATACATAATGTATGACGCAAGAAAAACCATACGAGTGATTGACGGACAATCAAAAGTATATTTACTGTCCGCCTTTCTTCTTCACCTCTTTTTAAAAATTCACACATTTGTAGCCCGAGTCAGGACTTATGGAACCGGTATGTCCGTCTGTCTTTCTGATTTCCATAACTCTCTTTAGACTTATCCTATCGACTTGAAATATGTGCAGTATAGGTCAAATTAGGAGTCGAAGCGGACTCCTTTCTGTTCTTGACTCGGGCTAAGCGAAGTTATATCCGTCTGTCTAACTCTCTTTAAACTTATCCGACCTACTTGAAATTTTGTACATATACAACGTGTCAAATTAAGAGTCAAGTTCAAAGCGACTCCTGACTCGGGCTACACGAAGGCTCTGCACCTTAAATATTTTGTATGATAAAAGCAACCCCGACTGACTTTCCCTTTTAAAGTTATCCATCGTCTTCGGATGCTTTTAAGTCGCGACTTTGAATTCGATTTCTTTGATATTTTTATTGATTTCAACAAAGGACTTTCTCTCTCCACTTCCTGTCGAGCATTTCATAACTCCACTCACAAACACGCTTTGACTGACGAACGAATGTCTGTTTATGTACATGTAGCGAACGTGCAAGCTCCCGGATTGAATGGGACTTCGCCCTGTGGAAATGTTATCCAAGGAATCGGCGGTCTCATCATTTCTCCCGGTGCGTCCAACCAACTTTACTTTTTTCTGACTTTATTTCTTTAAAACTTGCTTGGCATTTCCTTCCGCTTTTCCCTTTGTGGAGCCATCCACACCGGTGACAGAGGGAAAATGGTATCAAAGGAGAATGGCTCATCACATCTATTCACGCACACCATTTGTAGCACTTCCTCCTCCTCCCACGAAAAGATTTGGTGGTGGTTTGGACACTAAATAAATATTGAGGAGGGTGACAATATGTCAGAAAAAGAGCTACTTTTGTGCGCCAAGTTCCTGCTATTTGTTGGGTTAAAATGTAAAATATGTATATTTTTTGTTGGTAAATATTCAGTATGGTCTAAAAAATCCGGTGACAAATGTTACTGCATGGTGATCACAGTTGTTACCATTTAGATGGTAGTATATGCTTCCGCTTGGTGATAAATTGTGGTGATTCGGCTGTAATTGGTGATCGGAGTTGTTACCGTTTCGGTGGTGCTTCCGCCTTGAGGTAGACTTTCACCCATCTAGTGGTGCGTGTTCTCACGTGGTGATTCCTCTGTAACCGAGCGGTGGCATATTATCACCATCCGGTAATGGATTATAACCGGTCGCTGATAATCTGGTGTAAAATTTGCTAGAGTGTAATTAATAGAATTATTGAATTTTTTTAGGATACCCGCGCGGCTATGCGGCCGGATTAGATTGTCTCTGGCTGATTCGTGCCCAGTACAATCACGTCGTTTATTTACGAATTCAACGCCTCGAATTTCAAGGCAGTACTGGTAAGTTTGAGCAAATTTGTGAATGTCCACTACTCGTAGAATCAAAGCGGCAAGATGACTTTCTCCGTTATGTCAGCCTTCTCATTTACATACATGTGTACGTACATACATACACGATTACCATTGTTTCGCTTCTTGCGAGTTTGCCACATTTCTTGCAGAGGAAGGCCAGAAATGCGAGGTGCAAGAAACTGGGAGAAAGTGCAAGAAATATTCGCCATCCAGCCACGCGCCGTATGGAGTATTTACAGCGGTGGGGCGTAGTTTCTCCCACCTTGCATTTCTTGCAGGTAAAAATATCTACCTGCAAGAAACCTCTTTCTCCCCATTATTTCTTGCAAGTGGTTAATTTCACCAGAAACACTGCCGATTATTTACATGCACGTACCAAGTAGCCCATTCCACAGTAAAAGCGGGGACATATCTACGTACGATATCATCCTCATCCCATTCACATCAAGAAGTTCATCAACTTTCACTTTCTACTACTGCCTTCATAAGCAAAGCATAATGATCCTTCAGATTTCAGAAGAAACAGTAGAAAGCCGACATAACGTTGGTAATAAAACGCCTCTTACTCACCTCCTCCTCTACCCGGCATTTTCCCTCTCATTGTTCCCATCCAGGCAGCCAGCCAGTTCATATTTCATCCGAGAACAGGAAGGAATTTGGTATTCAGGAGAGGCAAACAAAATAAGGAAGAGAGCTCATCATCAGAAATCCACGGATTCATTCAAGCACTCACTCCCACCACGCGGCCACAAACCAACAAAGCACAATACTATTTTGCATGCATGATGATGATCCATCCACAAGAAAACAATGATATGATGGCTGCATACTAAGCGCAAAATGCATAAGTTGCCCATTTGCGGGAGAATGAACGGTTATTGAGGAGGATATTATGTAAGAACGAGGAGTGGCCGCGGAAGCGTGGGGACAGAGGGGTAATGTCCCCACGGTTATTCGATGTCCCAATCATCTGCCCATGTGATATAAACCCTGCCCTCCCCTATCCTACAATGTTAATGTCCCCAGATGTCCCCAGAGCTTCTGCGGCCACTGGGAGAATTTAAGCTACTCAAACGTACGAACATGATGCAGTGGCCGCGGAAGGATGAGGACAGAGGGGCATTGTCCCCACGGTTATTCAATGTCCCAATAATATCATCTGTCCATCTCAAATATATTAATCCCTCCCTCCCCTATTCTGCAATGTTAATGTCCCCGGATGTCCCCACGCTTTCGCGTCCACTGAAAATAGGGACAGCATAATGCTGCTGCATTTCCTTCTAAATTAGGAATGAGTAAGGTTCCTCTTCGATTGCAGAGGAGCTATATGACAAATATTGAGCCCGAGCTACTGGTGGGTTGGGTATCATTACATATTTCTCTGATATCGCGTATGTATGTACGAAACAGAGAGCGACGAGAACTATGTAGGTTGACATTTATGAGAGATGACAATGAGTTTAAGTGGCTGACAGTCCGGCCAACACAAGTTGACACCAACACTACGACATTCTACACAATAAGCCACGCCACGCCGCTGTTATGAAAGAGAGAGTGAGAGAAAGAGGAGCTAGTAGAATTGAAGTGCTTTCACCACCACCGCTGACTGATCTTTCTCTTTGACTTGACTTTCACGCTGGAAACGCTACTTTCACCACCAGCTAATTGCGCCAAGGCTCAATTAAGGATATATGTAAGTAATTATTATAGATATGTTCGGCATTGTGGGTATATGAAACTATGTTATGTTGTGCACGTGGATGGACTGGGGGGATGTATTTTCTGATTTTTCTTTTTTTTCAAATTTGCAACCAGGATGGGTACGAGCATTCGTTGGGTAAGTTTTTTCGAAAGTTATATATTTACTCTTTAGATGGGTATTTCGGGTATTGGGACTAATTCATAATTTTGATGGGTGCATGGATTTAATGGAGAATATTGCGTATGCTTTCACTTTCACTGTTTGTAGAGAATCAGGTTTTTATATGACAAGAAGATGATTATGTACATAGATTTGTATCCAGTCGTAAAAATTTGAGTTAATTGTGATAATAAGTAACTTGCAGTATCCAACAATTTATCCAACATAGAAAATGGTTGATTTGGAATGTCGAAACGAATTTATTGACTATTAGGCTTATGAAATCGTCATGTCTGTCAATCTCTCTGAGATACGAACCAAAACGGCTTAACCGACTACGGTAAGATTCTTACCATGGGGGGGAAAAATGGGGTTTAAATACAAGTTAAATTCGAACCAAACCATTCGAAATTCGACTTATGTACACATATTTTATTAATGATTTCACCCATGTATCAGACCAATGCATAGAATTTATAAAATTGATTTCTGACGATGCGATCCGCCATGATGCGCTATGCTGTGATGTGATGCGCCATGGTGGGACGCGCCATGCAGCAGAGTTCTCCTCCTGTGGACAGAACCACGCTTCGAATGATCTGCCACACCCTCTTCTTCGTCACCATGATTTCTCTTTCCGAGGTGCTGCTGCTCAATCTTTCTCTGCAATTCTTCCACCCTAGCACGAAGGAGTTCTTCTTCAAGACGACGCCCGTTATCGTCCAAGTCGTCCTCACCGGCCAGCTCTAGTTCTAAGAGGTCAAAATCTGGGGGCAATGTCAGTCCGGCTTGCTCCTCTGCCTTCAATCGAGAGTAGAAATACCTGCGGCAAAATATGTAAATTTCAGCTGAACGTGTTTCGTTTTTTGGGATTTGCCACATTTCTTGGAGTGCAATGCGAGAAATGCGAGATATTCGAGGTGCTAGAAAGTGTGAGAAATGCGAGGTGCTAGAAAGTGCGAGAAATGCGAGGTGCTAGAAACTGCGAGAAATGCGAGGTGCTAGAAACTGCAAGGTGCTAAAAACTGCGAGAAATTCGAGGTGCTAGAAACTGCGAGAAATATGAACTAGAGTTTCTTGCTCATTGCATTTCTCCCAGGTCAAAATATTCCCCTGCCAGAAACCACTTTCTCCCCCTTATTTCTTGCAGTGGTTACTTTTGCACCTCAAACATTAACCCTTGTATAAAATATTAATTACCAAAAAATGATTGCTAGGACCAACTGTATGACGATGACAGCGACCCCGATAACAATGTTGGTTTTCATAACGTGTTGCAAACCCCTCTCGAAAAAGTATATCTGCTTCCCAGCGGTACCGGTGTCATCCTTCGAATCCTCGTGAGTAATGTTTCCCTGCGCTTCGAGCCATACCAGGTATTCGTCCCACTTCTTCAATTCCAGTGAATTCGCCTGGACCAAATTTCTACATTTCAGCCCGATCCCGATGTTTTTATCGTTTTGCACGTGCCTCTCGCACCGCTATAATTGGGTCAAATTTCAAGATTACATTTGTAAAATTTTGAAATTATGTACATACATTTTTCCAAAATATCTTGTCCAATATGATATTTTCTGGGACGCCCCTCGTGACATAGTAGAGATTCAGCGTGTCATTTTTACCAGGTGGGAGCGGAGTAGTCGAAGAAGCTAGTTGGCGCATTTGCCGAAATGGCAAATGTCGCAAATTTCGCATGGCGCCGCCGGGGACAGTGGTCACATTTCGACAAACTTTGGTACGACCTCTATTGTCGGATTTGGGGTCTTTATATCTTGTTTCGCACAGTGGGGTCAGGATCAGCATACATTCGAGCTGAAGATGGAAGCACAACTATTTAAATTAGTGGAACAGTTAAGTACTTATCTATTGGACGTTACCTTGATTCCGACGGAATCACTAAAAAATTCACCTTTCGGACAAACACACATTTGCAGGAGGTACAACTTTGGGTCTAATTTAATGCAATTATAATAAAAAGCGCAATCGTCCTCGACTGAGAATTGTAAGTCCTTAGAACATGCATTCAAGGGGAAATTGGTCGCGGGAAAGGGATCAGTTGTTGTGCTAGACGCCGACATTGTTGTTTTTGTTGGCTTTGTCGACGTCGTATTTATTGGGGTCGGCTTTGTCGACGTCGTATTTATTGTCGTCGGCTTCGGCGTCGTTGTTGTTGTCGTTGTCGTTGTCGTCGTCGTTGTTGGAGGATCTGTGCATAAATCATTTCATGAAATTTTCATAAAACTAATAAAATTTCGCGTATTCGTAAAAAGCACGCCTTACAAGTTGCCGTGCATGGAGCCCAAACCGTTTTAACGCAAGTCTGAAACAAATTGGAGGAATTTTCATTTGAAATGTATAAAATCTCGTGTTTTTCTGAATATACCTGATTCTTTTCCATGAAATGATGTCCAAACGGACAAAACTTGTGCGTTAACCTGCCCTCCACGCAGGCATAGTATCCTTCGCAGTCCTTTGGATCCGCAACTAACTTGGTCTGATTGACTGCGCAGTTTAACGTGACCGGAGGGGTCGTGGTCGTTTTCCGTGTAGGTTTGCTCGTGGTGGGGGTACTCGTGGTGGGTTTCGATGTAGTCCTAGTAGTTGAAGGCCTAGAAGTGGTATTGGGGGTGGTAACTGTGGTGGTAGGTAAGGTGGTAGTCCCGGTAAATGGGCGAGGGACTCGTTTCGGAGGTTCCGCGTATTTAAAGATGGCTGGGAAATTCATCAATTAACGTAGGACTCGATGACTCATCGTAAAAATCAGCACATTTTTTAGCCATTTATCGGCTCCGGGAATTTATTTTAAAATTCTGAACGACGAATTCGTAGAATGGGGAGTTTCCAATTTTTTTAAATATGCACTCCAGATTTTGACAGTTTTTGAGAAGGAGGAGGATGCCTTCAAAAAATTGAAACTCTTCATTCAAATAACTGACTACAAATTTGTCGTCCAGAATTTTTAAATAAATTCCCAGAGCCGAGAAATGACTAAAAATGTGTTGATTTTGAAGATTTTCGTGGTGAGATATACATAATTCTTTTCTTACAATTATTTCTGTCCACGGGTATTTTGAAATAAAACCATTCGTCCCTGTTCAGAACGGGTGGGGCTCCCTCCTTGTTCTCCAAGTAGAACATTTCCTCCACGAAGAGGTCAAACTTAATCTGTAGCTCGGTAAAGACTTGGGGCTGTCTCAGCTCCATGGCCGTATTGTTGTAAAATCCGTCGGAAGTGACGCCAGGTGTATTGACTCGAAGCTCGGCAATTATGTTCTTGACGAAAACTTGGACTAAACTTTTGATGAAAGTGTCGTTAAATCGGGAACTGTAGCTGTTTAATTTGTAATCCTTCCGGGTCTGCCATTTCTTGGTCATGTTGGCTTTCTCCATTTTCCAGAAATCCATTTGACTATCCCACTGGAGCAGTTGAAATCCACCCGGTGTTCTGAAATTCATTTACTTATTAGTGAAATTGCGAATTATTGCGAATTAAATGCGAATTACTTGCATGACATGACCAACCTGCGCTTATTGTGCATCCATCCCAAACCACGCCCACAGGTTTGTGAGGAATTGAGAACATTGTACTTTCTATGATTGATGCAGCATCCACCTGGAAAATCTGAAGTTTGGGTTATCACTGGCCAATCCTTGATGCGATCGATGTTCTGTAATCCGCAGCATTCCTGTACATAAAATTCACGTAATTTATTTCGAAAATCTGTAAAAATTGGTAGCCCTACGTGTTTTCAACATTTGTGGCATGTGTGTCAAATTTAACATTTGGTGACCTTTCTGTGACTTTGTGGGTCAAGATGGAGGCCATCACTGAGTTCGGGGTTAAATTTCGGTTTAAATTGATATACATATGCAGTTTAACTATTTTTGACCTTTTTGACCTTGACGGGTGTGACATACAGTGTTCATCTTTAAACTTGCGACTTAAGGTTATGGGTTTACGTTGAAAATGTTACGTCTTTTAATGTCTTTTCGTTGATACACGATGTTATAAAGCAGTTTCATGCAAAATCAATTTTTTCGTAATTTTGAATTTTAAAATTAAAAACCTACACAAGTTGTTTGCAGAAGATTGTAGAAATGGTGAATCTGCTTCCTAACATTGATATGTTGCTTCATTTCGTACCGCATATTTTCAAAGAGTTTATCTTCTTTGATGCTGTACATCGAGCGAGCCACCCCTTTAACGCCAAACGATATCACGACGATGGTAAAGAACATGAACTAAAAACGTAGGCAAATCAAAGCAGTGCAAAAAATCTTAAAAACTGCAATTTTAATATTTATCTCTCACAATAATGCCGCCCAACATGTGACTGATTCGAAACGACAGGATGACAAATCCCACCGGTGCGACGGACACGAGGATAACGCAGCAGATTACGGTCGAGTAGGTGGAGTCCTTACCGTGGGGGGTGGGGGGCTCGTTGAAATTTTTGAACTGGATGAACCAGTAGCCAATCAAGAGGTAGCCGAGGAGCTGGATTGGAAATCAGTTAAATTGGATAAAATTTTACAAAATATTTTCAAAATTTACCATTCCTGCGATGAAACAGGAGAGCAACATGCACTTTTTCTGCTGCCAACGATGCCGACGTTTCAGCATGGCGAAGCGTTTTTGCGCCTGGCGAATGCAAAAAAAATATATTAAATGGATCGCTTATCTATCATAAAAGTGTGATACCTTTCTCTCTGCCTCGATTTCTGGGTCGATTTCATCTTCAGATCCTGTTTCACTGGGGGGTCGAGCCCCTTTGGTTCTTGGAGTTGGTGGGGCTGACTGGCTTTTGATGTCATCCTTACTTGATCTGGGTTTAGGGATGAGTGTGTCTTTGGAATTCGCTTTAAGAGGAGAGTGACCTGCACCGTTCGGGTCGGGTTTTGAAGGGTGACCTGATTTACTGTGGTCGTGTTTTGGATGATGACCTACTTTACTGGGGTCATGTGTTGGATGGTGACCTTTATGGTGGTGGGGAGGCAGATGTCCTGGGTCTGGATCAACCTTGACCATTTTCCTCCCCAATCCGTCCGAAGTATTTATTTATGAATTGGAGGCGTGCCTTATGAGTCTAGACAGATTTCAATTGTGAGACGACGAGTTTCCAGACTTGTCGAGTAAATGGGAAATTAAGCAGAGAAAATTGATTCATTAGATTTTGTAACTTCTGGAAATTTAATTTTGGAGATTTCCATACAAAGCGTTGCTATTTGATACAGTGGAAAATCTTGATAAATGTATGAAATCACGATTACACAGAATGCTCAAGTTAGAAATGAATGTACATATTTTAAGAAGTAAAGTGTTCTTCTATGAAAAGTTTTTGTTCCTACTAAAAGTTTGCTCGCTGCGAGTGATACTCCTATTTTTATAGCATGCACAATATTATTTATGTATAAAGGTCGGATGTTAGGAAATCAAATTGAAGGTGAAAGTGCATCCCAGACTTACGAATATGAATAGCATGAAGTTCTAGAAATGTTTTACGTCATCAGAGTGACCCATATTTACTCAAAACTGGTCGGAAAAATTTGGTTTTCGTAGATATATTAAAGAATCTATGTCGCAACAATAAATCCCATTTTTGTCAGAGGTTCTGCAACCCCACTGACTTTAAAAATACAAAAAAAACAACTGAGCAAATCGCCTCTCGGTCTTTTGACTAAGGAGGAGAGTACGCCAACCTGATAATGACAGATCTTGATGTCCTTTGGATATATGGTAGTACCCCTTCTGAAAGTAAAAAGTGTGAAGCGGTTTGATGCCATGGCCCAATTTACGCCCGTCACACCCCTTTGAAGGCGTGCCCGATGCCAAACTAGCTGCACTAAAAAATTTGCCAAATATCCAATTTTGTTCGGATTTTCATAATAGTTACATATTTATGATCCCAAATAGTTGCTTTATCATATCTGATATCAATCTGAACTTTTTTGGAATTTTGAATTTTTTCAAGCCATGCCCTTTTCAGGAAATATTCGAAAATATTGAAAATTTCTGAAAAGTTAATTTTGCAACTGAATATGATAAAGGGACTATCTGGGATCACAAATATATAATTATTATGAAAATCCGAACAAAATTGGATTTTTGGCGAATTTTTTAGTGCAGCTAGTTTGGCATCGGGCGCGCCTTCAAAGGGGTGTGACGGGCGTAAATTGGGCCATGGCATCAAACCGCTTCACACTTTTTGCTTTCAGAGGGGGTACTACCATATATCCAAAGGACATCAAGATCTGTCATTATCAGGTTGGCGTACTCTCCTCCTAAGATGAAAGTAGACCAGCAGTAGGGATGCAGACATTTTTTGAATAGTTGTACTATAAAATGTGGTCCTAGGATAAAAAGCCATGAATGCATAATATTTGATCTACTTACTGCGGGGAATTTGAGACTGTACGGATATGGGATAGAAAGAAGAATCATGTTTTATTCCTCTCATCCAAATAATTTCATAGATGTATTAATTAATTAATAAGTATTTAATTCGTCTAATTTTAAATTATCTACTTACCATTTTTCCACAGAGGACCATGCCGTACTGAAAAAATTTTGTGGGGACACGCGATTCTATAAGGTACTGAATTCCGTTCCGACATGTTATTAAATGTACATCCGACTCAATTAAAAATTCTTTTTATTAAAGGCAGAAGATGATAAATTCGTATTATCCGAGAGGAATAGACTCCTTGTTCGGTAAGTCGCAGGAGTTCGAATATTTTGAAATTCACATTTTTTTGAAATTTTTGTCCGGACAAAATTATCTCCTTTTTTTGAAACCCCATTTTCTTTTTTGAAAACTAATGTCCTTTATATTTTTTCCTTAATTTTTTAAAACCTATATCCTATTTTGAAATATTATCTTTAAAAAAATAGGTTTACGACGACGGAGCCGTCCAAACCGGTGAATGATACAATGACACGCGTTGGTTTTAAATTGGTCTGGTCCGACGTGGAATATCTAACTCCAGGTGAATTGAAATGCAATTTCTTTACAATTTCCCTACTAAAAATATTGAAAAACTAACGATAAGCCCTTATCTTTAGATAACTGCACAAAAAGCTCAAGGTTTGCATGCCAAGAGACGCAAGTGTGTTTAACGCCACATCACAAAGGAGCATCGAGCTGCCCGGACCTGAAACATTACTGCATTTCATCCTCCCTCGTGTGCGACGGGCTTGCAAATTGTGGCGAATTTGACTCTTCGGATGAACGACATTGTACGAAATTTAGCCATTTCTCGGTTATCTTTTCATAAAAATGACTTATCTTATTAGGCTCCAAGACACCCCTCGTCCTCACCGTGGTGGCAATCCCGTTAGGAATTTTGACCACGTGTCTATTTTTCTGCTTCCTCTGTTACAAGAGAAGGTCTCGAAAGAGGGAACGACGACCCTCCAACTTGAACGGGAATATCAGAAAAAATAATAAAAATGTGACGATAAGCAGTGCCACGAATGGAGGCGGTGGTGGAGGTGGCGGAGGATGTTGTTGCTGTTCGAGGCTATGTTTTTGCTGTTGTCTTAAACCAAAGCGACCCAAAACGCAAGAGTCTGAACGAGATCAGGACAAGAAATGCCGTCCGGGGGGATTTGGAATGGGAGAAGAAGCTCCAATCACACGGGGTCCCATTTACTTTAAGAATGATTTGGAGTAAGAAAGGGGAATCTTTATTTGTTATGATGTAGCTTGGGAAATAGTGTTTCGGGTGGAAATAGCTAGTTGCAAGAAATAGCTGGGAGAAAGAGGTTTCTTGCAGGAAAATATTTTGACCTGGGAGAAATTCAAGGCGCAAGAAACTACGCCCCGCCGCTATAAATAGTAAATACGGCGCGTGGATGGATGGCTCATATTTCTTGCACTTTCTCCCAGTTTCTTGCAATTTCTCCCAATTGCCTGCACTTTCTCCCAATTGCTTGCAATTTCTCCCAGTTTGCAGATCTTTTTCCCAGTTTCTTGCACCTCGCATTTCTTCCTTTCCCGTGCAAGAAATGTAGCAAACCCGCAAGGACACTGTTTCTAAATAAATATTTTTATCTCCCCAGATCCCCCAACGCTTCCGACATAGTCTCCCCCGCGTCCGGATTTTCCGACTCCGAATCCGACATTGGTAATCAAGCCCCCATCTTCTGTCCTGCCCACGGTCCCGTCCACTTCGTCCCTCTGCGCTACCTTTCTCGGCACTTTCCCCTGCTCCCAGTAGTCCAAGAGGTTACGACGGCTGGTGGCAGTGGCGGTGGTGGTCAAGGCAGCTACCCAAACGACATTTACGACGAAGGCGGCTCACTCTACTCCACCAGCCAAAATTCCGACATGATCATTTACGAGGACAACAAAGCCGGAATGAACCACTTGGGCCTGCCGCAACAACAACCCGGCGACAATCATCAAGGGAGCAGCAGCTTTGGTATGAATCATATCATGATGAATAAACAAGCACAACAATCCAACCCCAATTCCGGCATGAGCCTGGGTTTCGTGCAAGAATGGAGGATGAAACAGTTGCGGAGGGTCCAGCGAAGTGACGCCGTTTACATGAGTGATGATAATAAAAGCTCGATTGCTTCCAGTCCCGGTGCGACGGGACGGATTTGTCCCAGGTGTCTGGAAAAAGAGAGAAGTTCTGCGTCCGAACCGCCCTCGTCACACAATCAGAAAACGGGTAGCAGCACGTTGACTTCGTGTCTGTTGGAGAAACAGTCCTCGCTCGGACCTCAGTTTGACTCTGGGATCGATGTCGTAGACTCGATTATGACTGAACCCGTGAAAAATGTGAGTTTTGAGACGTGCACGTCCTCCGACTCGGCGATAAGTCAGGGTTTTCATCATCATCATTATAGACCGAGGCTTTTTGGGGGGTGGATGAAGGATAAGAGTGTGTGCTGTCCTCCCCCGATGGTGGAAGAGGTCACGCAAACTGACCTTCCGCCCCACGGGATGATGAGGAACAATGGTGATGAGATGAGAGAGAGGTGTGGACAAGGTGGGGTGTTTTGTGAAACTGTGACCACTTTTGGGGTGCATACGCCGGAATTGAGTGGGGGTAGTGGAGGTGGGGGTGGTGGACATGTTCAATCGAAAGCGACGGATGTTTGACGATGCTTGCCGATGATTGAAGAAATACTTGAATGAGAGATATAAAAGGTGAAAGTATGGAATGATATTAGTGCCCGCGGAAGTAGTGGGGACATTAACATTGTGGGATGGGGGAGGGAGGGTTTACACATGGGGAGATGATGGGGACATTGTCCACGTTTTCGTGGCCACTGAATGTTACACGATCACCAATCCACCACTCACTGCCAACTTTTTGGAGAAAGTGGTTTTATGCCAAAGTTTTATAGGTGAATTTTTCACATTTCTCAAAAACTCGGGTATTTCGAAACAGTCAAAAACTTAGGTGAAATTATTTGTACATATATTTAGAGATTTTGTTAGAAAAGAAGGTGTTAAATTTTGTAATGTTAATTAACTAAAGATAAGCTGCGACATATCTCGTGTGCAGATTTTATGTCATTGTGAAAAGAGTTTAATAAATAAATGAGATCCTCATTAGTGCATTTGAAACTTGACTTTTCAATTTATTTTGTATTTATTTATTTAACAATTTTCATAAAAATTCAACAAGTTATATATAAAATCTTATAAAGTTGTAAATGTCATAAAAAAATTAGTGCTATGTATTTAGAGAGATATTGACTACAGAGATATATATTTCACCGGATAGAGATTCACCATTTTTGTGTAAAGTGTCATAAATACTTGAGTACAAGGACGGATTTGCTGTCTTATTATTACCATCCCAAAAATTGTCGTAAAACAATCAAGTCATAAAATCAAATACATCGCAATTAATCCAAGTACACACTCATAAATACTGGAGAAAGTTGGGCTGGTTTATGACACTGCGAAGCCAACAATAAAAAGATTATGGGCAAAATTACAAGCATCGATGGAACAGAAAATACCACAAATTCCATTCCACGTGCATTCAACACAATAAAAAGAGGACCAAAAGTTTATGATGGTTAATAGTAATCAACGCGATCATGGAAAGGAAAAGTTGAACACAAGGACACACAATATTTGTACACTATAAATATGACCAATGCCAACGGTACCAGTGGCCGCGGAAGCCGTGGGGACATGTGGGTTCATTAACATTAAAGGATAGGGGAGGGACGGGTTTATATAACATGGACAGATGATGAGGACATCGAACAACCGTGGGGACATTGTCCCTCTGTCCCCACCCTTCCGCGGCCACTGATCATTACAAATGCTTAATCTGACAAATGGCAACTCGAAAGAAACAGAGAGTACAAATCCGTCTCTAGAAATAAAGATAAGAAGGTCGATCGATACTCTTAATTAATTGCCGGAAATAAATAGAGAGCTCCAGAAAAGTATGATGGACGTGGCCAAAATCAGGACCGAACTGGCTGCGGCACTCGATGCTCCGGCCAGTCTGCATTTCAACATGTCAAACCGAGTCTTATTGTTCTGGACCATTGATAAGAATTCGGCTTCCACTAATTGTCCGTCATAGTAAGTGATAGGATCATCGAAGGGATATTCTAGAGGGGAGGAAAGAATATAATAATTAATTCATGACAAATACCAGGACTTATCATCAGTGGCCGCGGAAGAGTGACAATGTCCCCACGGTTGTTCGATGTCCCCATCATCTCCCCATCTTATACAAACCCCTCCCTCCTCTATCCTACAATGTTAATGTCCCCCCAGCTTCCGCGGCCACTGCTTATCAAAATTACTTACCATATGATTGGTGACACTCGCATTTGTAGCCTCCCGTGTCGAAACCTCTTCCTTGAATGGGAACGCACTAAAGAGAAAGTAATAAGAAACAAAAACGTTGTAAAAATAGGAATTCAGACGGAATTTATTTCACTCTTTTCACTTACATATGAAGATTGCCGATCGCACTTGTGTGACCCTTTGAACGCGTTGGGAACCCAGTATTCGTCATCGCCTAATTTATTGGATAAATTGAATCAGAAACATAAAATTCATATAATAAACTATCTAAATTGGTAATTTTAAACAGTTTTATGAACTCACATTGGTTGATGTCAAGTTGAAGTAAATCCATTGAGACTGCAACTACTCCTCTGAAGTAATGAAAATGAAACATTGAATTAATTATTTATTGTTCTTTGCACTACTTTCACATTCGGTGAAAGTTGAATATTGTTATTACTTAAACTCCAAGTTGACTCGAAGACTGTCCCAGCCAAAGAATGGTGCTGCATAAGTAATCAACCATTTCGGAACGAGACCGTTACAATCGAAATATGGGGCTGTCCAATATCCCTGAGAAAGAAATTTTTATTTAGATTTTCATTTTTCTAAAATTTTCTATATGGCGTATGAGTTCGCTTACTTGGTGTATGCTTGCAGCTCTAAATGAATAAACATAAATCTCATTATTAACTCTGATTTAATTTTTGATAATTTTTGAGACAAACCTATAAAAAGTTGGATATTGTTCGAATTTCCTCTGAAAGTTTCCAGTCTCATTGTTTCTCAAATGAATTTTCAAGTAATGTTTCTCCAACTCGTCGAAATTAGTAGCCCATCGATTTTTAAGGAACTTGAAAAACGGTCTGTTCAAGTACACCTCGTCTAGATAATTATATAACAATGGAAGATTATGCGCATTATAAATGTGTAAATAATTGAAAATTTTGTCTAAAAAACTTACTCGTCTTATTTAATCGTGCTAAATCTTCCAATTTGAACTTTCTCGTGTTTAAGTCACGTTTATATCTGCAAAATATTTAGGATATCATAAATTAAATACCTAATTTGTATGTATTTTGCAAAAATTGACTAACGTACCCAAATGGAGCAAATAATGTCCGATTAGTAAATTTATTCCGGTCCTACCATTACAAATTGTTCATTTAAATCTTAAGCCTTGACATCGATTAAAAGTTCCAAACTAACCCAATAAGTACCAGCCGACCAAATTCTAGTGTCCCCTAAAACCAAGGCAAGCGTCTCTCCAATAACTTGATCTTCTGACAAAGGTTTGTCCGGCAATCTTTTCCCCGGAAATACTTCATCCGGGTCTACAATTTGCATAAATCCACTCAAAAAGTTCGCCAATCGAATAGCCATTAGTGCCTCGTTTTCAAATTGTTCCTGAGCTCCGAAACTGACATCTCCATTCAAAACGAGATCGGTTGGGTTGAAACTGAAAATACGCAAATTAGTCATTGTCACCCCCACGTTTTTCTTGTTAAACTAATGTTTTCGTACTTTCCACAATTCTTGGCCGTAATAGAATTAACAAATCTCAACATTGTGACGACATTCAAATTCTTCTGTGCTACTAAGAGTGGGTCATCCGGAGCAAAATAGGTCGTGCCGGAGGATAAGCTCATGTTTCGGTAAGTATGGTAAATATCGAGATATTTTTCACGCGTGTAATTCGGAGCAGGAAACCACTCCACGGGACGAGTTTGAATCCCTGTACAGCAAAAAAATGCAATATTTTAATCATTCTCATTTAAAATATGTATTTAATTAAATGTTAATTACATCCTATCGGATCGCAATTAAAGAAACTGCGATACTGTTCGGTAGAACTTCGTTCCATAATTTCGCCCAGGAATGGCCTCCGATCTACAAACGGCAAACGGAAGCCCGGTCTACACCGACACTGATAGCCCCCTCTTCTCATGCCGTAGCCGTGTATAGGTTCACACTACAATTAAGATAATGGTAATTAAGTTCAACGCTCAATTATTTGCACAACTTTAAAAAATTACTTCGGTAGTTTCTTCTCGACATCGTGCCGTCCCTGCGTACTTATTCGGACCAGGATTCCCCTCTCCGAGGGGACATTGATTTATATCTATCCGTTCTAAATCCATTTCAATTACGGATACGGCAGTGTACCTGAAATTTATCAATTTATCATTTTGCATGAGGTACACAATTAATTGACTGTATTTTTTTAATTAAAAAACTTACGTGGGGTATTCAATATGTCGAAATTGGGTACTGAAAATTGTTTTAAAAAATATATAAAATAATTAATTTTGCACCAAACTACATATTTTGTGATGCACGTTTTTTAATTGTTACCTTCGAGGATAAATATCTGCGATGGGAACAATAGCTCCAATGACCCATTTGTTACTTCTTCCACAATCAAAATAGGGTCGCGTCCATTTTACCGGACCAGGCGTTTCATCGGCACCTTTAATGTAAAATTACAGGAAATTTTTAGAGGAATTTTCGAAATACGACTTTCTACTATTTATGCAGCATATGAATTACCTGGTGGTCCATGAAAGGTGTACGTTTCATTCGTATTATTCGCATATCTAATCTCCACTTGGTACGTGGTTTTTGTGTCGTGTCTTTCTCCAACGATATCAGGGAGCCTGTGTGAATGCATAGATAATTTTTATAATATTCGTAGTAAAAAAAAATTGTGTCATAATTTCATTTAACCCAGTCGTGTTACAGGTTTTACTTACCATGCTTTATACCAATCATTGATCTTGTAGTAATCCGTGGTATAATTGTAACTTTGACTGTTGGATGGAATCGCTCCCAAATCTCGTACCTTTAATATTTCATTTAATCTTCATTATATTAATTTGTGACAAATATTGCAAATAAAAATCTCGAACCATAAAAGTATTCAAAGTAGAAATCCTTTCCAAATGGATGGGATCATTGAAATCGTCCATTCTACAAAAAATAACAATGGAATTTATGATTACATTTTCGCATTAACTTTTTGAAAATTACTGCTGGAAAACATTCCTGCATTAACTTTTTGAAAATTACTGCCGGAAAACACACATTTACCTGAAAGTTCTTGGCGCAAACAAGGGGAAAGTCTTGTTGAAAAATCCTCTATAGCTCGGAGAGAAGGACGTGTTTGGTGAAAAGTAAATGGCACTCGAATTTATCCTCAGATTTGCTGAGACGTCAGCAACAGTTGAGAGAAAGTAGTACCTGCAAAAGATTCATGCTTTATTAATATGCAAAGTTCATGATAAAAATATTTAGATAGTTGACTTGACATACATCATTCCTGGGTCGTACGTGTCGTTTATTGCTGGTCGGATGAATCGAGACTGTAAATAAATAAAAGTATGGACATCAATAATCAAGTTTTTGCACACTTGTACGCCGAAATAAAATAAAATATATTTTTCATATATTAATTTGACGTTCAGATAGATTCACAGTTCATAAATTACGATAAATGACTGACAAATTGTGCGTTGCAAAATTGCAAAAAAAATATTTCAAAAATTATTACTACTAAAAGTAAGCATGAGATGGGTCGGCATTTACGATTTATGTACGTACCTGGAGAATGTATGACCAAAAGAAAGCTCTGTAACAAGTAAAAAAAAGTTACAATTTTTCATACGAGTTACAATAATTGTTCAGAATGTTCAGTTCTAGTATTTATGCAAATTTTTGCCACTTACCTGCTCATGGCGACATTGTGCAAATGAAGTAACGCCGTCCTGTAAGAGATTACGAGTGCTTAAAAATTTGACATTTTTCAATAAATAAAAATTCACGTATGTTTTACCTGTTGGGTAAAATGGGATTAATATTGATTTCCTTAATGTCAGGTTTATGCGTGACGACGTCATCATTATCCTGGTCTTTGCTTAAATACAGCAATTCTCTCGGTTTCAAGGGGCAGTTCTTCTCCGTGACCATGTCATACTTGTACTTGATCTCGTCAAACTCATCCCTCAGCTGCCAGCCGAACTGGGCTGCGCCAAAGGAGATAAACACGACTAGGAGACAGGCACTTATCTTGAGTAACTTTATGTTACAGTCGTCCTCCCTTTGCGGCACTACGGCAGCAGCATCAGATTTTGTGCGTCGTTTCATTTTAAATTGGGTTTTTTGTTGGAACAGTACAAAACTAAGTTTTATGAAAAACTGTTCAAGTTCGACGTCATTTAGGGTGTCAAAATTTTTAGATTTGGGTACAATACAACACTTGTCAAGTCTCAAGCCCTAAGCACTTGTCTCACCTCAAATCACGAAATGTTGTACGAAATCAGAACAAAATTGATGTTTTTTGTTGTTACAAAGCTATTTATTGCATGAAAAACTGTACAAGTTCAACGTCATTTAGGATTTCTGAAACAATATTAGATTTTGAATCAATTTTAGATTTTAGATTTCTCCAGGTAAGTATAACACTTGTCAAGTCTCTTTCAAGCACTTGTCTCACCTCACGAAAATCACGAAATGTTGTTCGAAATCAACGCAGGATTGATGTTTTTCTTAGTGAGGCAAATACCTAGCAACAAAAAAATTACTAAGTATGCATTTGACCCTCCCCAAAAAAGTGACCACCGACGATATCTCCGTCATTTCTCAACCGATTTGGATGAAATTTTGCACCGATCATTGTTAGATAATTTCAAAACGATGTGCGAGTCGCCTTTTGGAATTTTTGTTTTTTGAGAGAGTTATTGGCAAAAATACGCGAAAATTTGCCCCATACTGAACATTTCTTTTCATAGTTCATTAATGGGCCATCCAAACATGTTCTCTTATTGAAAACATTGTAGACAAAGTCATTCCGGTTATTTTAAGTCCATTATTATCCAAATCCGTTAGGAACTCAGAAAGTTATTCAAATTTGAAATCTAAAAAATTGCAATTTTTTAGTGACTTTATACCTGGCAACAAAAATTACATATTGTGTGCATTGACCCCACCCCAAAAACTGACAGAAATAATTCAATATCTCAGTCATTTCTCAACCGATTTTGATGACATTTTGCACCGATTATTCTTATGAAATTTAGAAATGACATTCAAACTGATTTGGTGAATTTACCGGATGATCAAAATCGGTTAAGAACTCGAGAGATTATTAAATTTAGAAAACCTTCAAATTTTTGCAGCGACGCATTAATGTTGTTGACAATAAATCTTCTAATCAACTCTAGCTTTAAGGAATGTGTGGTGCTTATTATTAAATATATAAAGAACTCAATTACAAGTATTAAATAAACAAGGCCCCAAAAAAGGGAAATCTTAGTGAGGCTTGGTGCGACTACAACTAATAAATAAAATTAGATTGCAGAATTTTTGCATCACCGCTCTCTGTACCGTTCTTACTGGATCCAATATAAATTTTGTTTTGCATGCACATGCATTGTTACATTTATTGAATTAATTGGGCTTTTAAGAAGACGTTTTTACTATTGCGGCGCATCGAAGTAAACGGGACAGAATTTCAACGCGCCAAAATCACGTGCCAATTTGATTAACATTGGAGGCGGGTGGAAATTCAAATCAAATCCGTCCCGTTGACTTCGATGCACCGCAATAGTGAACGAGAAGTTTGGTAAATTAACTGGGAACAAATATAATGGGTTAATAATTGTGAACTACGAATCTTTAAGTTTAAGATGCAAACACTTGCAAATATGCTACAAAAGTTGCAAATATTTAATTTAAATATTTTCTGGATAATCCTATAATCTGGATATCCTTTTAATTCTTATTCTCATGAAATTACAAGAATGTTTGAGGGGAACCATTTATTCCTAATGATTACTTAATACTTCCAGTAAAGAATGGTACAGAGAGCGGTGATGCAAAAATTCTGCAATCTAATTTTATTTATTAGTTGTAGTCGCACCAAGCCTCACTAAGATTTCCCTTTTTTGGGGCCTTGTTTATTGGTTATTTATTTCATGAAAAACTGTTCAAATTCAGCGTCATTTAGGATTTTGAAAAAATTTTAGATTGTGCTTTCTCCAGGTAAATACAACACTTATGAAGACTCAACCACTTATCTCACCTCAATTTCGAAAACGCGAAATGTTGTCCAAAATCAAGACAGGATTATGGCAGAGAAAGCATTTTATTTATGTTTATAGTTACGAATTGAATAAAATTTAATTCTATACATACAACTAGCACACCACACCCGCTAATAATGCATTGTTAGAAAAAGCACTATGTATGTACAACGGGTTACTGGACTCATCTAATGCATACATAGCTCGGCTTAATCGTGTTGATGAAATAGGAGTTTTGTACCGCCATGGGATGGATATAACGTAACGCAATGCATAGATTGTACCTGTCCATGAAAAGTCTACCACTTTTTACACAACACAACAATAAGAGTGTAGTGGCATGCATGGTGGTGAGAAAGGGTTGAATATTTAGTTGTTGTATGCTGTGCACCTGTGTCCTCTCCCCGTTAAAAAAGTCCACCCTCGTAAAATAAAAATGCTACGGCCAAGTTATGTCATGCCATCGCAATCATAGATGCGCGTTTGAGCGAGACACTGACACTTTGTCCACTGACACTCGGCCACAGTGAGTGACACTGACACTTTGTCCACCGACACTCGGACAAAGTCGGTGGCACTGACACTTTGTCCACCGACACCCGACCACAGTGAGCGACACTGACACTGTGTCCACCGACACTCAGTGTCAGTGGCTGACACTGACACTGTGGACGACACCCAGTGTCGGACACCCATATATATGGGCACTGTGTCCTGTGACACTCGGACACAATCGGTGGCACTGACACTTTGTCCACCGACACCCGACCACAGTGAGCGACACTGACACTGTGTCCACCGACACTCAGTGTCAGTGGCTGACACTGACACTGTGGACGACACCCAGTGTCGGACACCCATATATATGGGCACTGTGTCCTGTGACACTCGGACACAATCAGTGGCACTGACACTTTGTCCACTGACACCGACACTGTGTCCACAGACACTCGGCCACAGTGGCTGACACTGACACTGTGTCCACCGACACTCGACCACAATAAGTGACACTGACACTGTGTCCACTGACACTCAAAAAAATTCTTGACACTGACACTGTGGACGACACCCAGTGTCCGACACTGAGTGTCCGCGCATCTATGATCGCAATGCATTCGGCATCATCGTCTTATTCCAAAGGAGAATTGGAGTGAGACAAAATACATATGCAAAATTATGAGTCATCTCATGAACTCCTGACTAGTTAAATATTTATGATTCATACAAAACAACAGTTAACCAACAGTTAACTGCAAGACGAATTAATTTTTATGAATCAAAAATAAATTTATTTATGTAACTTATAATTATAATTAAATCACTATTTCAATACATACAATGAGGACATATTTCTTCAACCATGCCTACATATCTGCGAAACTCATATGTACAGAAATCATGCCATTCTTATGTATTTTCATGTAGGATTAATCTAAATACATTCTATTCATTTAGATTTTTTTCATGGGATTAGTTTCATTTCATCTTTTATCATACACTATGCAGCTTTGTGTAAGTTTGGAAAATTTTATTAAAGCTATCTCCGTTGTAATAAAATATTCATACATTTAAGTAATTAAATGAGTAAATACAACATCTTAAAAACATTACGTTACTGTACGAGTTATAAATATCTCAAGTTGAGAATACCGTCGGAGTGGTTATTAGATAAGACAAGATTGGATGAACGTATCGTTTTTTAACCAACTACCTACTTACTAATTAATCATAATAATAAACTCGTTATAATATACCGACTACATACACAAAGGTTTACAGAAACGTAATGTACTCCAAGATGCACCCCAAAACCAAAAAAAGAACACGGATAAAATCAAACTCATACTGCTAGTTCTAATTCATAACTTCTGAACAATTAAAAATATGGTTCCATATTGTTTGCAAAATAATAGTTTAAAATAATAAGCTGATATTTTTTTTTATCTAAATGAACAATTTCATTTTTAACGACCTTATATTTTTCCAAGCTTTGTAAACCCTTCAACAAGTTGTGTATCTCGTATTGAAATGACCTAGAGGAATCACTTAAATCATGATATGACACAATTACTCTCCTTCCCACTACTTTGCCCATTACTTCCTCCCGAATCTGCTTTTTCAATGTGGCCTAAAATAGTGTTAAAGATGTCTGTAACTGAGTCGTTATTTTTGGCAGATGCTTCAAGGAAAATGGCTTTCCACGAGTCGGCCAACTTTTTCCCTTGTTCTTGGCTTATCTTTCGCTCGGTTTGAAGGTCTTTTTTATTTCCTACTAGGACGATGGGCACATTCACTTTTCCCGTCATGTCCAACAGTTTGTCGTAAATTATCTGGACAACCTCGAGCGATCTTGGATCCGTGATGGAGTAGACGAGGACATAACCGTGAATATCCATGGAGTACTGGGTCGGAAAGATGGAATACCTAAAGGACATAGGTAAAAGTTAATTACAGAACATTAATTAATTCAAATAAAGTGATGTGAACGTACTCATCCTGTCCTGCTGTATCAACCAATGTCAATTGGTACTCTTGTCCCCTCAACTTCAGATTCTTGTTGAACGTATTTTCTATCGTTGGCTCGTACGAGTCGACAAATTGTCCGTCAACGAATTGAATAGTTAACGAACTCTTGCCCACGCTCCGGAACCCCAAAACTGCTATTCGACGCTGTTTCATCGGCATTTTCTCAAATTCTTCTCAGGCACACCAAATTAATCTAGTTTTATCGATGTTAAAGTTCACCACGAACAATCTGAAAGGTAAACAAATAAATAATTATTAATTCATTTCTTCCATCAAATTAGTTAACTAATAACCTACAATTAACTGAACAAAAAACCCAACCTAATCATAATCTTAATTTCCCTTACTTAATTATTCCAAACAAAGAGAGAAATAAATTCCAAACTTGATTACCTAATGCGCATTAGCTTCGATTGGGTAGCAAGCAAGCAAGGTCCTCCAAACGAACTCAATCCCCGACCAACCAACAACTATTGAGAAGCCACGCGGAGAGAATTGAAGGCAAAATCATTAACTATATAGTTAAAACTAACTGCTCTTCTGTTAAATAAAATGCTTCTCCACACACTATCAATCACCAATTTGGAATTGATTAGAAGCCAGGCCAGGAATCAGCGTCAGCCCATTTAGATTTGCAAAGTCGTACAAAGAGCAATGGGGACTTTCAAGCTTCCTTTCTCTCACAATTGCGTAATTTACTTGCTGGACAAGGGGAGTCTTGAGAGAAGAACGTGATTATCTGCTTGTGGGAAAGATTATCGGGTCGGGTTATCGAAAAATTATTAATGATATGTGTTATCATGGTTGTCAAACATAATTAATTGGTTGACACACAGTACAGAATTATTTTTTCGTCGAGTTTATTTTATTATTACACTTTACTAATAATTAATTAATAATGTGTTTGGTTTTTTTCATTCAAATCAAACAACATTTACATCATATTTATAATAATATCAGTGCATGAATGATAATATAACGCTATTTTGTTGTTGGGATCACTATATTGCTCAAGTGTGTGATGAAATATAGAGGATTTTTGGTCCATATTTTGATTCATTTTTTACGGTAGGGGGAATATTACTATAGGTTAATTATACTGGTTTTCTGGACAAAGGAAAAAATGCGTTTCTTTGCATAATCATTTTTCTATCATAATATAGAAAAGTCACAGTTTGCTGTTTAGGCAATACAAATTTCTGTGTAATATCAGTTACTCTTTGGATATTAGATATTTTCCTTTCTTAATTACATAATACGCGAGTACATTCATATTTGGCTGAAGAAATGGAAATGTAAATTACATACATAATTTTTGGCCGGATAAATACCAAATGATCAACAATCCTTGTCAGTTCTGGTTATAAATGACTTATAATTATTATTATTACTACATTCTTTGTCCATTAATCCACACACCTACAAATTATTACCAGTTATTTCGAGTTTCGTCCAATCAGATCTTAATTTTACGGTTTTCTCGAGTAGAGTACGTTCATAATACATATTAAACTAAATATTTCTTACTTATTTTAGTTCGGAATTTAACAACAATACAGATTAGAATATTCATCATAATAAATGTGTTTACAACCGGAAGTTACTTCATATGTAAATGAAGTGATCACAGCAGAAAATATTTCCGTACATTCCTCAATAACCTTGCTCACTTGAGCTACACAAAACTTGAAAACTAAGCTCATCCCCTGAGATAAAAATAAAGATTTGAAACTGTATACTCACAATAAAGTTAATAGATAACTAGCTTGAGGTGATGTGAATCGAGTGGAATTGACAATTATTAATTAATTAAACGTATTTACGAATAAGGGTGATAAATCTTGATTCTTATTAGGTTCGCTATGCCATATAAATAAAACTATTAATGTCTGCTTCGTCCCTCCGCATGTACTTATTTTCGATAAGCCACTCGATTTGCTCTTTAATCATTTTTTTCGATGGAAGGAACATGTTTTTGAGAATGTCGACAAGTTCAACCTGTAGTTGAGCGTTGGAAATCTTTTTCCTCTGCAAAAAAGAGAGAATGATTGCTTAGTTTTATTAATTATTTATAGCTACGAATAAAATGTAAATTCATCTTAGGCTGCGTTTGGTCGACTTTAATGGGAAAAAATTAATATACGTGTAGCCAACTTAATATATCCCTTACCATTTTGAGAATTTTGATAATTGCCTCTTGTACTCTAAGTATTCGGAGTTGAACTATGCCTTCGTTGTCTGTAAAGTAAAAAATTTATTACATAGCATCAATTTTATGTATGTAAATGATTGACAAATGGCATATGTACATACCTTCTTCTCGAGATCTTTCTGTGGACAGCTGGAGCCTTCCTATTAACGAAATTTTTCCACGTTTTTGGATACGACCATTTTTCCTAAAGACAAACAAGTAATAACTATGCCATGAATCTTTGTAAGTTAATCTTTGTAACTGTAAATGCAAAATGAGAACTACTTACACAACGGAAAACTCTTGATTAATCCAGAATAATGAATTTTCAGTAAAATCTTTGGGGCTTTGAACTTCTGGAGAGTATAAAAGTAATTGTCGCTTGACTTTGGGAAACGCCACGAGAGACTAGTCAATAAATAAATTAGTTAGGTAAGGGCGCACACAAATTGTATAAATATTCAGAATTTTCAAGTACCCATAATGTTTTTCTAAGCTCTGGATCAGGTAATTCCGTAGCTGGTGAAAATAAACAAAGGATTATGAAAAACCATTTCGGTTGAAAATCATTTGCACAATTACACTCACCCAGTCTTAAATTCTCATACGAGATTTTCTCTTTGGGTCTTTGGTTCCAAGCGAATACCACGGCGGTTTGAAAAGTTGTAACGTCAAGGTCAAACTTTCCGACTGAATTGGAAAATGTTATCTACAGAACGGAAAAAATACCATTTAATCATGAATTTCAGACAAACTCAAGTAATAATAGTAGGTCCTCACCGTCCCGTTTGCCATGTGATGATACCATTGTAATTTACGTCCATTATGCTTTTTCCGATAAAATTCTGCAAAATAAAAACATTAGTTAAATTATTCAACGGCAGAGTGCAAGAAACAAGAACTGGGAAATTAAACTTGTCTTACTGCATACCTTCAACTTCCGGAATATAATCTTCCAGTTCGATCGGAAGAGAAACTGAAATCCTTTCACTCCCACTAAACAATTAATAAATCGATTAATTAATAATTAACACGAATAAGTTATTAAGTTATTGAAATAGCATACCGTGCCCATGCCCCGGCATTAAGGATTTTGATGTTAATTGAGTCTGCAAATAAGTGGTTGGTTTTATGAATTATGTAAACAGCGTCGTGTAACTACTGATTTTACCTGCAATCGGACCACGATAAATTCTGTATTGCTCTTTAAACTGGTTGTTAAGATCTTCAGACACTTTGACATCTTGGAACATTCTCGCAAGCTTATTGACATAATCTGCAGGCATTCCCACTCTAAATAAAATAAACGAGTGTTATTAGTTATTGTGAAGTCATACATAGGACCCATTAGTAAATAATAACATATTTCTGACTCTTACTCTCTGAGCCACTCGACCATGTTCTCTTCTTTTTCTGAGTCCGCCGAAGCTGAATTAAATAAGAAACATTTAGACATGTCGCAAGCATACATATATATCATATTAATTATCAAGAAAATTGCTTGACTCACCATCCAAGATCAAACGACGAGTAAGATGTGCTTTGTGATATCTCATAAACACATCTTTGTTTTGCACGTATTTGAGGACCAATAAAACATCTCTTAGTCTTGCTTCGATTTCGTCCGTCGTGAGGTCTACATGATAAAGGGAATAATGTAGTTACGAAATATACATAATTTGAGACGGCTGTACTATAACTTACGTTTACTCAATGGAGTTTTCCTTAACAGGAGGTCACAATAATTTGCTAAAAGTTCTGGACAACGGGATTCTGGGAGTGTTTTAACTGATGGTCCCTGAAATTGGTAATGCAAAAATTGATTAATTTCCAATTTCAGATCAGCATTGGGATATTAGTTCAGCTTACCTGTCTACTAGTTGGGAGCTCAAGACGGAAAACGCTAGTGTCGTTAACCACCATTTTATATGCTTTATCGCGAGCTGTGAGGAATCTGGGATCATCTAAAAACGCTTGGTTCACCAACTTACTAAACCGCCTGAATAGTTCTAACAGTCTTTCAACGTATTTTTCAGAGTCCTATTAAGAAATACTACATTAAAAATACGCTTATTGACGCGTTGTATATTAAAAACGTTAACCTGTGTTATAACTTCTGCCCATTGCTTCATATCATCCAACCCAGCACAAATAATATGATCCTCTAGATCCTTGAGCATTGAACTGATCCCATCAGGTACGCGATCCATCAACTTGTACATCAACTGTAACTCTGTTGGATAAAATTGCATACAAATTAATAAAAATATACAACTTATACGAATAAACAAACTCTAATAAATAACACATTTAAGATCTTCTTACTATCTGTTTCATTTGCTTTGATCATCCCAGGACATTCTGCCAAAATGGAATCCTTAAACGTCGTCACTAATACGCCAACGCAGCAATCCATTAACTATATAATCGATAAACATGAAATCAGTTGTAAAAGTAATTATTTATAAAGACTTGTGAGTATAATTCTCTTACAGCTAGTATCGAGTTACTCGAAGGTTCTAAATACTTTTTCGCTCTCGCATCTTCTTCTCGCAACTTTGCAAATGCATACTTCATATAATTTTGGACACCATTTTCCTGCAGATATTGAGTTGCTTTCACTTGATAAAAACTTTCGGTGGCTTCTATATAAGCCTTCTCGAAGTTTTCTCTGTATATTTTTAACTTGTCCTCTGCAATGCAAAATACAAATGCTCATAGAATTTGATATAGTAATAAATTTGGGTGTGGAACAGCATGACACCACCCAGATTCACAAAAAAACTACGGGGTTCCTTGACTTACCTTCGGAAGAACACAGATTTACTGTTGGAACAAAAATACAATTAATTAGTTAATTAAGCCAATGATATGAATGTATGTATGATTTAAATAACTGATTTCTTACCATACGACTCTCTAACACCAATGACTAGACCTGTCGAGCAAAATTTCACAATTATTCACATGAACTTATAACCTAAACTAAATCAATTCATCAATTTTTAAATTAACCGGAATCAAAGGCCTCTCCATTCCTCTCCGCACGGACCAATTTCCTAATAAAAATTTATAAATACAGATTAATACGCGATTTTAATACAAATTCTTGCATTTAAAAACTACACTGATAAACTTACATCGCTGAAGATTGCAGTCGTTGTTTGATATTCATAAAAATCTGATTGTTCCAACTATCCAGCATGAGCTGTAATTGCCAAATCAAAGTCATGCCAACAAAATCTTTTCTCGTTCAATCATTACAAAATTAGCTTGACCCTTCACACACCTTTCGAACATCATTATCATCACTTTTATGCTTCTTTGTCACCGCCGAATTGTTCGGAAGAGCATTTAATGAATCTTCTACCTGTAATAAAAAAAGTAAAGCATGGGTTACGTGTCACAAAGGAGAAAAAACCAGCAACATCAACACTATTAAGATTAAACTATTCTGAATACGACAGTTTAGATGACGACGACACCAATGATGATTAAGAGGACTATTTCACAATAAATATATGGATTTTATATAACCTACCTTGTTGAATGGTTTCGGAAGGTAGCTGCATTGATCGAAAAACTTTCGCCATTCAGAAATGTACGCTTTTAGCAGGGCTTGGTCTTCCGAATGCGTTAACACTCTCTGGAAGTAATACCAATTAACCGATATTTAAAATCAATACATCTATAAATAATTAGTTTAGTACTGAATCAATAAAATTTCCCACATACCTGCTGTGCCTGTCTAATAAAATCAGCAATGTTGTCCTGTAAAGCTGAAAAACGCAAAATAATCACATTTACTTTTACTTTGTTCAACTAATCATTCCCTTGTTCACAAATTTTAAACCGCAATTACCTTTAAAGATCTTTTGAGCAGCCTTTTCGTCCCACATACAGACGGTGTGGACGGTGTAGAAAAGGTCATGCCATTCCGACTTGTTGACAGGTTCTTGGCGAAGCAATTTCACAATCGAGGGCTGCATTTTTGGCCATTGTTCTTCAAATATGATTTGTGGCTTATCCATTGCTGCTTGCTACAAAATAATGACAAATATATCAAACTCTTCATAAAACCAATCAATAAAATCTTACAAAACACATCTAAAAATTACCATCAATTAGCCCTAATTTGTTTACGTTTTTAGAAAGTTTTTTTTCTATTTACCTTTGCCGAGTAAGAAGTTGAAGCAGTGGTTGTGGCCATTTTAATTTGGTTCATGCTACGCCCCCTTCCACACACACCCCTTGAAGAAGATACTTATCGAGAAATACTTAACTAATGTGCTTATCTTTGCCTCTCATACAGAAAAATAATTGAAATCACAGCTAAAAATCCGTGTTGTTTTTGCCCAACAACTTTCCTCTTTAGCAGAGATCTGTTTCTTTGTGCCTCTTCTGGTGGTGGCTTGGTTTGGGGGGAAAGTGCTACAGACAGTCTCACTCTGAAAATGCATTTGGGCTTACCGTTCAGACGTGTGGATAATAACGGAATGCGAAAAATGATGATAAGTCGTTATCGGTCAGAGTGCAAAAAACTAGATGCACTTGCAAACAGGCTGAATGCACACATTGCAAGTAAATAATAAAAAGTAATAAAATTAATCATGAGAATGATAGTTTAAGGGCCTGGGGGAAGTTGCTTAGAAATCACGTCAACTTTGACGATAAAATTCAGCAATGCACAAGAGGGCAGATTTTTTAAATTATGTTTAATGCGTTAATCATATCTTTAGATTTTACTTGAGTTTTTTTTGACGATCTGCCCTCTTATGCAGTGGAGATATTTGGTCGTAAAGTGAGGACAAATTGGCTTAGAATTGCCAAATTAATGGCAGGAATTGCATTTTGAGTATCCATGGAACAAAAGAAACAACTTTTTTCAAAAACTTGAGGGACTTGAGGGAAACTTTTTCAAAAGCAGTGACAAAACCAAAGCTTTTGAACGTGAGTGTCCCATAGAAACAGTGTCAATTAATTGTGGTCGTAACCTAACAGAGCGATAATAATCTTGGGGCCCTGGCAATTATTGTTGCTAACATAAAATCAAGTAAATCTTCCCCCGGGCCCTTAACGTATTTTTGCAAAAACGGCAGCAAAGTCTTACAATTTTTTGGAAAAAGTGAAAGTTGACTTTCCCTTGGAAAAATTGCATGGAAAAATCTTGTTCCTGAGAAAAATGGGATTAATATGATATGAAATATGAAACATTTGGCATTTGTCAGTTAATTAGTTATGAAGAGAACGATATTCATATGCAGATAAGCACAAATCAATTTATTCTTCTTATCACAACGTTTCATATTGATTTGCGATATGCTGTGTGTTTAGTTTCATCATTCCCATTACTCATTACCAATAAGGTTATCATTTTTGGATAAAAAAGTGTCAAATTTGCTACGTGTTAAGAAGAATCCTATTCCCCACTGCGTAAAACACGTTGGGCATATACCGCTTAGTAAAAAAAATCCACTTTTTCCAGCAGTATACACTGTTCAGCTGGGTTATAAATACCTACGATATTTGCATAAGCCATAGGTAATACAATACACAAATTTACATAGGTACAACTATGCTTTGTAGCAATCCATTAAGGTTAAAAATTGAGCTTTGTCATGCATTCGGCGTACTAAATCACAAATATTGCAAGTCATACATATTCAATACCTGTTCGTTCCTGATTGCATTTTGTTACACGAATACGACGCAGCCCATTTCTATTATCCGCTTGAGAACAGTTGGTCTTTCGTTCTCTGGAGTTTGGATTATCCTTTTAAAACAGATTTATAATAAAATCCTTTAAAATAGGTTCATCGTGGTCGCTAAATCCAAGTCCGGCAGACTTGGAAGCAGAACCGTACAGACAAACGGTGCACATTTTAACGATGGGGAAGAATAAAGTGAAAGTCCACGTTATTTACTGGTACGTGAAAGTTAAGTATTCAATATTGTGCAAAAATTATATGAAAATTATAAATCATGACGCTTATGTAAAATAATTAATTTAGCGGAGGATGAGGGTACCGACCCAAGTTCGAGAGCCTGAAAAAGGAGCTCGAACGAATCTTCCCTGAGCAGTTGAATATTGTAAGTTGGAAGAAAAATTGAAATGAAATTGATAGTTTTTCTAAATTTTTAGGAGTACATATTTTCATAATTTTTCCTTTTTTACGTCTTTTAGACTGGTGAACCGACGCCAAATACATCGGGGTACTTCGAAGTCCAGATCGTAGGAGGACCCCTACTTCATTCCAAGAAGGTAAAAATGAAAAATATATGAGAATCAAATTTTTCATGTTTTTTTCATATTCAAAAGTCTAATTTATTATAAAATTGAAGGATGGAATGGGTCACGTCGACAGTTCGGCCAAGCTGCAAAAAATCGTGGCTGGGGTCCGGAAGGCCTTGGAGGATGCGGAAGTGGGTTAAGCACTCGGCCTAACTATGACGGGATTCGAAGAAATACCCGAAAATAATTTTACAAACTTTCCCCTTAATAATTATCTCACATTTTACAACTTTCGCTTATGACGCGATCTGCTTAAACCGTTAAATGGGGGGCACTTTGCTGATTTGTATTTTACTTGCGAAAAGTTGTGAGATTAGGAATGATTATTAATGTAAAAGTTTCTTCTATCCATCTAATCTTCAACATTTTCTTAATTAGAATTATATTTCTTTTCTGAAAACGACTTTGTGATCATACAAATTTCATGTTATTAAATATGATATTATTTCCGAATTGTTAATTAGAATTTATTTCAAAAGACTTTAATAAAATTTAATTCCTACTCAATATCGTTCAGTGGAAAGTTTCTAAGTATTCTGCTAAGGTCGGCAAAATTTTACACTTTCCAAATTTACTGCGCTCTTTTTATGCAAATATCTCCGCCAAACTTGCACATTGGCAGATAGTGCTATTTGCAAATTTTATACTAATTAAATCTGTGATCGATTGACACCAGTTTGGTCAAAATCTGTGAGCATACATTGGGAGACCTCCATTGTTATTTAGTTGGATTGGGGAGTAGAGGAAAAACCCGATGTTGGTGGGTTGGGAAAACCTTTATAGGCGTCCGAGATCACCATTCGGTCCCTTTCAAGATTTTTGTAAATAAAATGAGTTATCATTTAAAATATATATCAAATAATTCCTCCCAGTCCTCGTTGACTGGGAACAGCTCTCATTATTGATGCCGCATGATCGAGTTTTTTCTTCAAATAAATTTTAAAAATCTCTCCGTCGTTCCCACACCAACGGAACTTGCCACTAAATACTAAAAAATGCAACATCATTTCCAGACAAAAAAATTTCAAGTTCTCATTCGCCCTGCAATCTCCAACAACTCAACAACTCGCTCTCCAAAAATAATCCTCAAGACTTTTCATATCTTTCGTGCTCAAGAAGTATTTCCTTCAGAACAAGTGCCAAACCTGATTCGACTCTACATTTCTTAAGACATCTCAAAATTATGCCTCGAGCTCGTCGCAATCTTCGAAAACGCCCTCGTGGAAACGCCGCCGGAATCCGACGAACCCTTCCCAAACGACCTCCACGACCTACTTCTGGCTTCAACCTCTTCGTTCGAGAACAGCGAAGAGTAACTGGTCAAACCGGACCAAACGGATTCCGTGCCGCTGCTCAGGCTTGGAACCACCTGACGGCAAATGAAAAAAACAATTGGGCCAGGAGGAATGCACCCGAGCGGCTGAATCGTAAACGTGCCGTCCAGCGGTGGGTGGACCACGAGAAGGCCACCCGACGACCTCCCACGGCCTACTCGCTGTTCCTGAAGGACCTCTGGAAACAGGAGGAACGGACCTTGGCTGCGATGGATTTTCAAGCTGCAGCAAGATACGCATCGAATCGCTGGGTCGCACTGGATGCGGCGACACGAGCGATTTATACCAATCGGTATGCAGATCTGATGACGCGTTACAGGGCTGAAGCTAGGAAGGTGAGATTAAAAAATATATATTTTGAAGGAGGAAAGTTAGCAAGGGTGGGGAAATAGTTTGCATTACGTTGAGCTCCGTTCTTATCAGGGGCTCGAATTTCCAGGGTCGCTGACCCCATAAAAAGACGAGAATCTGCATGGAGAAGGCAAAAGTATTGCGAAAATGCAAGTTTGTGAAGAAATTAACTGCTTATCGCTGTCAAAGTTGTTCTTAATTTTTTTTTAAATTGTGAAAACAATGTATTTTGACAGCTATAAACAGTTAATTTCTTCACAAAACATGATTTTCGTAGGATTTGCCGTCTCGATGTAGGTTCTCCTCTTTTTCATGGGTGCAATGACCCTGAAAATCCTAGCCCTTGGAAGAACGGAGGTCAAAGTACTGCATATTTTGAAAAAATGTTTTATGCCAGAATTGAAAGTTAACCTTATAAAAACTAATTAATTTTGACCTGGATACCATTTAAAAACGGAATTAAAAATGGTTTCTATTGCATTTGGGGGCGGATTTACTGGGGGCAGAATACCATTGAGACCGACTTGTGGGGCGGTGATAAAATCAGTTGGGGACTGAATTAATGCAAACCGATTTTGAATATTCTACTGATGCAGTTATGATTTATTAGAGACCTGGAACTGATTCGACAACAAAAATTAGAACATAATACATTTTTAACATGAAATTGCAACTGAACCAAATGAACACACGATATTAATTTTGATAAAAAGATCGGATTTGATTTTGATAGTACTACAAAAATAAACTAAACGAATAAATCGTCATCATTCATGTCATCAATTTGATGACACTGATTTTGGGATGCATTTTATATTTTAAACAAGTTATTAGCTATAATTTTGTCCTTCAGTGTTCTGTGACTTGTTCCGATCGGTGGTGACACTATTGCGAATATATTAGCTAAAGAGAACGTTGTGATAATTTTAAAAAAATATGAACTGTATCATATTTACATGATACAGGTCAGAGGTCAACGCCGACCAATTTATTAGCGGCGCCAATGTTGGATAATTTTTCGGGGGCGCGGCGTGACCTCTGATGCACTTCCTCCGAGTTCCTCCCCCCACTACAACTACAACTCTAAACTCTAAAAAAATTAGTTCAGGCTTGAAGAAAAACCAACGACAAATAAGGAGGAAAGAATGGAACTGAGAAAATTTTCTCGGTCATTTTATTTTTATTTTTTCCTACACCTTATTGATGTAGCCCGGTCTCAACGGAATTCTGTAACCATACACCTTATTGGTGGAATCCGTCGCCAACGAGAAAAATTTGGCCTACACCTTATTGGTGTAGTCCGTCGCCAAGAGATCGAAATCGCCCTCCACCTTATTGGTGGAATCCGTTTTTAAAAGGTTAATTAATTAATTGAATCCATTTTAGGTTGCTAGAGGAGGACTTTTCAACCGCAATTGGAGACGACTCCCTGCAGGGCCAGCCCCGCAGATCGCTGCCATCGTGCCGGTCGTCAACCCTCCTGCCGCCGTGATGGACATGATTAACGACGCCGCTGGGGTCCCTGGAGGACAGAACTTGCAAGTGGGGGAGGAAGTCGAGATGAATGTGGCTGATCTTGCTGGAATTGTTGCTGCTGCTGGAATCGGCGCTGATCCGCTCGGAGGTGGAGGGAACGACGATGGCGACGACGACGAAGAAGGTGAAAATTGGGAAGATGCCGCGTAAAAGTTCTACACTTTGCAACAATATGTATCAAGATATTTTCCAAATTTTTGCTGTATGTACCAATGAATATGTAATATGAATGTACGCGATTTTAACACACATTGTTGATGAACTTGCTTTCAAAACTACACTGATATAATAATAATAATAGTATTTATTAAACTGATCTTATCATAATATGTGATACGAATAAAACATCTCATGTTATAAATTAGAGAAGGAGACTCTACCAACATTAGTTAATTTAAGTAAGCATCATACATGGTTCTACAGTTTACAAATTCTCTTATAAATACTTATAAATACACACTTACAACATGTTCTGTTCTCTCAGCGTTAAAATAGTTTCATATTTGCAACTAAATATGGTGTTTTTCTCATAAACAAGATAAACAAGATTCTCAAGATAAACTTACATCGCCGAGGATTGCAGTCGTTGTTTGATATTCATAAAAATCTGATTGTTCCAACTATCCAGCATGAGCTGTAATTGTCAAATCAAAGTTAAGCCAAAATCTTTTCTCGTTCAATCATTACAAAACTAGCGTATAGCCCGGCCAAGGCCGGATTCTAGAGTTCCAGTGGGGGGTGTGCCCAAAGCGAAAAATCCGTCATACTATATTTTAAATAATTCCCAGTGGAGACTTTGTCATACTACATACATACATCAGACTGAGGGTTTGCCCAAGTCATACTGCATTTTAATTAACCTGGTCACAGTAAAATTTGATTCCCCCCTGTGGGAGTAGTTGAATAGCTAATTACTTAAATTCCCGTCGCGTGGGAGTAACTGCATAGCTAACTATTTAAATTCCCACGCTTCACGCTCCCGTTAAGTTCCATAAACCCCGTTAACTTCTACAATTAACGCCAAGTTATTGACGGATTCGGATTCAGCGTCAAAAATACATTCGAATTGATATGCGACATCACGAATAAGCCAGATTTGGACACCACGGTCACGGCGAGGTCACGGGGGCCTCGCAGGTCAAAACCATTGACGGCGTTGGATTCAGCGTCAAAAATACATTCGAATTGACATGCCACTCGCTGTGGGTAGAGTTTCTCAAACTAAAATAATTAATTAACAGTGTTTATCACGATCACTTATCATGATAACCACTATTGATGAGTGATGTATGTATGTGGGGTGTACATGTTCATGTATTCATTTATTCATGCAGTGCAGTGCATGCATGCAGTGGTTGCTCCGCTTCCTTCTTTGTCTACTGTATGGGGCAATTTGCATTGCGAAGACGGACCCAGGGACCCAGGGATCATACTAACACTTTATTAGAGTAGATTAACAGCAACAAGCTTGACCCATCACACACCTTGCGAACATAATTATCATCACTATCATTCTGGTCGGGAACACCAACAGCATTTCGCCACGTAGGAAAGGTGGCCAGTGATGACGGATAAATCACGGAGAAAATTAGTCTCCCAAAGTCCAAGAGTCCCACACCCCTCGTTAATCCCCAATTTCCCCCATGTAATCCTTAATGGTGAAAGGTTTGGATGCATATTTATGAGAGAAAGCAGTAAGTGAAAGTAAGAAATATATAGATTTTATTTTTTGCCTATCAAGTTGATCAACCCAGTCGAAGCGATGTTTTACAGTGACCACTCGGACGGAGGCAGCTTCCATGTATGTGATGACAATTGATGTTGGGGTGTCGTCACTGTTAAAATTAGAATTGATTAGTAATAAATATAATTAATCATTGACATTATATGTATATAATGTGAGTACAAGGTGTAAGCATACCGTCTCAATAGGGATGGCATTAAAGCTGCATGCATTACCAGATTCCGTGTAGATATCTTGAAATATTTCGGAACAATCCACTGATGCAGTCAATGAGGTAAGATGAGACTATGATCTGATGCAGTCTATGAGGCAAGATGAGACTAGGGTCTGATGCAGTCTATGAGGCAAGATGAGACTAGGGTCTGATGCAGTCTATGAGGCAAGATGAGACTAGGGTCTGATCCAGTCTATGAGGCAAGATGAGACTAGGATCTGATGCAGTCTATGAGGCAAGATGAGACTAGGGTCTGATGCAGTCAGTGTACATTAAGGTGTACATTAAGGTGCTACTTAATTCTCCTGATTCTTTCTATTAAAATTTAAGATAAAATATGCATTAAATTTTAAGATTTTGCTTACCAGTTGCCCAGAGAAAGGTGAGATGATGAGATATCGGTAGGTTATTGGCTCTTGACATGGACGGAAGTGCATGGGAGATGAATATTTGAGGAATGAGTAGCCAAAATGTGATTAATTTAGTTTTATTGCATATGTGACTAAGATAATGTAAGTCTACATATTCGACTATATTTTAGGTAATTCATAACCATTCGTCAAATGTGTGAAGGCGTTCAAAACTTCGACATGGATAAGAAGTTGCACTACATTTCTGAAGGTGAGGGAGGGATTATGATTGCTTAATAAGTGCAAAAATTAAGATTCGCACATTTTACGGAAGTGTCTTTCGCGTATTAGCATCAAGTGTACACCTTTGTAAAAGTGCAATAGGTGAAAGTTAAAAGCTAATAATAACGTCAATAACGTCACGTTAAAAATAATAAGATTTGGCCACAAATTGTATGAATATCTTAATAGTTTACGAAATCATACTCCTACATAGAACAAATTGATTCACCAGTAGAAATAATTACTTAAGAACAAGAAGTTTGCTTGCAGAAAAGATTTATTTTTGGTCAAAATCAGGTAAAAAATTGTTATGATACAAGAAATGTACAGCTTGAATATACAGTCATGAAAACGATATCAGTTATTTGGAGGCATCAATTAGTCGTCGAAGTGACTTGAAGGCGTTGATCCTGCCTTCACCGTGATGATGGTTGGGAAATTGGTTGTCGGGAACTCCGCTACAGACCTTTCCCATGTCGACGAGGTCTTGGTCAACCCCACCGCGCATGTGGGCCGTGACATTGCCAAAGCTGATGTTCGGGTTGTAGGCGAGGAGCAGAGAGGTCAATCCTGCTGCGTGGGGGCAGGCCATACTCGTTCCGGAGAGGGCTCGATAAGCATCATCCGCCGTATTGTAGGCGGAAAGGACGTTGGATCCTGGTGCAGAAATGTCGGGCTTCATTCTTCCATCGGTTGTAGGGCCGACCGAGGAGAAGGAGGACAATTCGTCGTCAACCGTGGTGGAACCCACGCCAATCACGTTTCTATCTCCGGGTGAGTTGGCCGTGTTGCAGGATGGGCCTGAATTTCCGATGGAGAACAGAGGGATGATATTGGCAGTGTGGAAAGCAGCAATTGCACCATCAAACCTGCAAAGTTGAAAAATTCAAAATAGTCATAAAGAACTGGGCATTAGTAAAGTAAATTTAATTGAATTTAGACTCACCAAGTAGCTCCGCGACCACCTCCCCAACTATTAGAAACGAGATGTGGGGCCTTGCTGCAGTCTGGGGCACTTCCGTCTGGACGCGTTGGGCACGTAATGAACTGGGCGCATGCCAAAAGAGCGTTCTGGGCGCAAGACGATGTCGCACATCCACGACAAGAAGTCCATTTAGCGTCCGGGTAGACTCCGATGCCTCCAGCGCCACAGATCGTCCCAGTCGTGTGTGTCCCGTGACCATTGATGTCCATGGGCAATGCGTTGGCATCGTAGGGGTCGAACCATCCGTATTCTCCGGCCCAATTTCCTCTCAAGGCTTCGTGGGTGTGACGAGCTCCAGTGTCAATTGTGGACACCACGATTTGCGACGCTTTGGTCGTGGACCCCAAAAGTTCACGAGCCTCGGCCGCCTGAATTATCTTGACGCCCCATTCACCCGATGGATCTTGTCTTCCACGCAAAATTGGCCCCTCCACGATCGTGTCAAGCTCAATGATTTCCTCCAACTCCAAACTCTTGACTTCGTTGAAGGACGCGAGGACCATGATCAAGTCCAACGTTGCTCCCTTGACGTAAACCTGGTTCGTGATCCACAGTGATTTGAACTCGAATCGACCCTGGAGGTAGGACAGGACGTTGGACTGGACACGGCCGGCGAGCCGGACGAGGGCAGAGTTCAAGGCGTCAAGTCGATCTTCTCGAGTGTCGAAACGGGTGTCCTCAATCGCTTGTAACGTTTTGGCCGTGCTTTCTTGAAAGGTGACGAAAATGTCGGCAGTTTCGGCTTGTTTGGCTGCTCGGAGGAGACGATAGTCGATTTTGTCGCCATTTTCAGGTCGGCCTTGCGCCAATGCGACAAGTGCGAGTACTAGAAGTATCTTCATTTTCGAGTGAAAATGTTTAATAGGTTTTGTTATTTGGTTGAAGTTGTAGTTATTATTTCTTTGAAGTTAATGATACTCTTCTGCAAAGTTTGGGTGCTTTTTATACCAAAAAATGTCATTGTCTTGCTCTCATTGCGCATCAAAGTTTTTGAACTTTACATTACTTTTGCTGGGATTTCGCTGTGTTCTTCAACACTGCGGAATTGATTTTTAACCGATAATAGGATTAACATTGTCGTGATATGTGCTTATACCTGAATTTTGCATTACTTCATGTGATTTATTTGCATATACGAGTTTATGTTAATTATGTTGTTATTTATTTAATCTTCACATTTCCGATGAAGGTTACTGGCCGTAAAAAGATCAATAATCCATGTTGATTGTCTCCGTTCATTCATAATAACACCCAAAACAGTTGACAGATAACTTCTCTAAATGCACACGGCAAAACTGAATAAAAATTGACGATGGTCGATAAGCTTGGCTATATCCTGCAAAGTCAACTGCATTTTTGAACCTCTCAAGAGTCAAGTGGGTGTTGTTGTTTTTGATGACTCATACGTCCGTTTTATAAATGCATTTTGCGATCATAAAAATTCTGGAAAATGTCTCAAATTGAATTTTATGAGATTTTGTGAAATTAGAAACTATAATAAGCAATCATAAATTACAATGATTGATAAAATCAGCATTTCATGGATGTGTACTAGTACTGCTGTAGCTAATACTGTACATGTTAAGATCACCGTTGATCAATTCGATTGGCAAAATCTTTGACATTGAAATAAAAATAAATCATCTTCATAACTTAACAGTATGTAAAATAGATTTTTTGTTGTAATTTATGCAGAATATGAAAGTCCATGCATGCTTCTCAATTAAGTCCCATCCACTCTACTAAAAGAACTTGTAAACTATTAAATAAAGTATTTTTTTCAACTTGATTACAAATAAACCTTTTCATACACTGTTCTTTTTTAGAACATTTCTTATCTGTGCAGCATATCAAAAAATGTGGTTTTCATTTCATGTCTCCAAAGTTGTTTGCATAAAAACTGAGTCATCAATGCATACACACACACACAACGAATATGACTCAAGGTGATCCAGCAGCTCTAACCACAGCTGACTAAAATTGAGAATCGGGAACCGAAATATATTTCTTGAAATATTTATTTACTGTAGAAAAATTTTGGTAATAAATCCTCCAGCTTGAAAATGACATCCTTTTCATCTGGTGGTACGTCTTCATCTTCTGACCGAGTTCCTCCTGCCCTCAAAAAGGTATTAAACTTGGACATAAGTCTGACAAAAAAGTTTGTTAGTGGGGTTGAACGTGCGTTTCCCGTCGTTGCATCTCCTGCTGGACGAACTTACATGAAAGCATTAGAGGTAAGATAAGATCAATATGATAATCTGGGGACAGTATTTTGATAACTGCTAAAAACATTAATTATCCTGAATTAATAGATCTCATGCCACGGACTCCCTTGGTTTGCTTTGACCCTTATATCGATTTATCTTCTGCGAAGTATAGACTCTCGTGAAGTCGAGATTAATCTTCTATTTGGTAAAAGTCTAAACTTTGCAGTCTAAAGTTTTTAAGGTCATGATAAGTATTTTACCAATTAATAAATGTCCAATTCGATTTTTAAAGGTCTAATTTATGACGTTATGCTGGTCGGCTTTGTGAAAGCGCTTACTCGTCGAAATCGTCCATCGAGCAACGTAAACGACGACATGTTCATGACCCGTGGCGTGGATAAGTTCAGCTTCCCATCTGGTCATGCTTCTCGAGCAGTTTGGGTCGCCTTGTTCTTTACGCAGTGGGCAATTCCGGAAATGTCGATCATTTTCAGAGTCCTCCTCCTCGGTTGGGCGGGGGCAGTTACGGTATCAAGAGTTCTTTTGAGGCGACATCACCTTCTAGACGTGGCGGCAGGTGTAGGACTCGGTTTTGCCGAATTTCTTCTATCAGGAATCTTGTGGGTTGGCCCTGAGGCGTGTAAATGGCTGGTAAGGAGGATAAGATTTGTGCAATTTTTCGATGAGGTGCTGTAGGTCTGATTGATAACAAGCTTCAAATAATTTTCAGGGCGATTGGATTGCTTCTTCGGAGGATGAGTATAATGGATAATTATAAGGACAAAAAAATCATCATATCTTAAGCTTAAAATGACAATGCATATGGTACATATTTCAATGACAAGAATATAATTGACAATTAGGAAATTTCGAAATTTTATTTTGACTGTGATTGAAGTCTACTAATAGTAGTTATGCAATAATGAATGACTCAGAAACGTATACGATATTTTGTGCAACTAATAATCCTACCCCCTGAAGCTTGCATAAGTCAATAAACTTGTTCATTTAAATAGGTTCTTATCAATGTTTTGCAATTTCTTGCAGTTTCAATTTTGACCCCGTGTTAGGTCGGGAAATGAGTAATAGAGTCATGAAAAGGCATAATAGTTTGTGGTGCGACTATGATTTCAACAATTTAGTTTCTACATGTAAGTTTACAGAATTTATTATTATTCTTTATCGTCATCGCTAACAAAATATAAGTTACACCACATTTAACACACTAACATAAATGTACAAAATAAGAGATCAGCTCAGTCTCTATTCTTAACCCATTGCATTCGTAACATTATTATTATAAAAATTATTTGTAAATATAGTGCACATCCAAAACGGCATGCTAATAATATAATCCCATTCAGAAATCCCACTATATATAAAATGTAAAGGCATTGTACTGCGTAATATTACCTCACCGAGAATAGTTTCAAATTATTATTTGACATTAACCGTCGAATTTAAGTACATTTACGTGATTTATACGATTACTAGGAATTGTAAAATATTGAAAGACTCAATTACTCATGGATTTTGAAACGACATTGTAGCAATGGTTGGATAATTGATGACAAATGCGGAGGAAGTTTGAGGACAAAGTGTGGACGACGACGACGAGGGTCCCATTTGACCATGAGAATTTATAAGTTGTAGGGAAGCCAATTGTTGATGTTGCAGGTGATGACCACTCACAACGACAGAATCCAAAGGCAAATTACAAGGATTTTGTAATTGTTGTGCAGCTCCGAGCATGCTTAAAGCAAGGTGGTGAGAGTAAGCATTTAATTGAGATTGGGATTGTTGGAAGGTTGGCGTCGTGTTAAATCCCAAATCTTGTGCTAGACTAGCGCACGATGGAAGTGTCATTGTTTGGTGGTTACTGGTGGGTGGTCCTCCCATCAATGGGGGCGAAGGCCCTGAAGAAAATTGGGACTTGGAAGTTGGCGTCTTTTTCTTTACACCACTCTTTTTATTCGTTGACAAGTTTCCAGGTTTATTCCTCGCCTTTTCCGGTTTATTGGATTTATTGCTTGGAATAAATGTAGGCTTTGTAATTGTATCTGCTTGCCGAGTTTTTCCTGATTTATCCTTTACCATTATCTTTCCTGATTTTTCTCCATTTGTTGTTACACCCGCTCTACTTGATGGAGTGCTATTATGACTGTGACCTTGCTCTGAATGTTGACGAAGTTCATGACTTCTCAATGTTTGATTTCGAGAAAATTTCTTTGAACATTGCCCACAAGCATAGGATTTCATCTCTGGAGTAGAAGTAGTAGTTGTAGTAGGAGTGCTTTTACTTGGAGCGGATTTGCTGCTGCTTATCTTTACCTTGGATTTAGCAGACGTCATTACATTTTCGAGAACTTGACAAACAGGAGTGGTGGATTTTTCGGGTATGTTCAATGGTAGCACTGACATTGGTGGCGACTTGGGGTCCATTGAAGAAGAATTGGAATTCGACCCCGATGGGGACTCGGTGTTTCTATTATTGTCAGGATTGTTTTGTGCGAATTCCTTTTCGTCACAGCCAAAATGAAGTTGGTGTAGGTTCAGTTGGCTCAACGCATCCCGATGGAATTTTCGAATGTGTGCCTTCAAACTTTGCGTTTGAATAAAGTATTTCGTGCATAGTGGGCAAAGTAAAGTTTGTCCGAGAGCCTTCGCTTCTTCGTGACGTTTCATATGCTGGTCTAGCCTTTCTTTTCCTGTGACGAAACGCAGACATTCGGTGCATTGATGTTTGTCCTCCATTTGATGCATTTTGACGTGTTGTTTCAAAATATCAGGGCGCAGAAATTGTCTGCAGCACTGATCGCAGTTGTAAATTTCATCGGTTTGATGGGACTTGAGATGATCGCTTAGCTTATCTCGTCGGCTAAATTTCTTGTCACAAATTTCACACGGAAACATTTTCTCTTCGCTGTGAACATACATGTGTCGCATGAGTTTGTCTCGTCGTTGGAATGATTTTCCACATTTTTCGCACTGTGAGCGCTTTTCGATTTTGTGACAGGCACCGTGATTTATAAGACTTCGGGATTGGGAGAAACATTTTCCGCAAACTTTACAGCTGAATTCTTTTGACTTGAGTGATTTGCGTTCCTTATTGTTGGAGGATGACTGTTGTTGGCTAAGATTCTGATCTTGGTTAATTTTAATTGGAGGAGTGGAATTTAATTTACTAGAAGAAGATTTATTATTCGGCCGAGATCCGCGATCCTCATTGCTGCTGTTACTGTTGCTGCTGCTGGCGTCATTTTCTTCATCCTCGCATCCCACTAATAAGTCTGGAGGTTTATCTGTCTTTGTCAGATCTTCACAAGTATTTGCCTTTGTTGTGATACTGTGCACCGCAACGAATGGAGGTGACTTATTCGTTTTCAGACTGGCCTTTTCTGAAAATTTCCTAATTTTGGAAGATTTCGAGGTCATCACAAGCTCTAGTATTTCCGAATCCCCGTCAATTGATGACATTTCCACACTACCCATGTTTGAATCTGTCGTCGTGTTTGTTGCAGTGGAAGAATTGGTTCCTCCATGATTGAATAATGAATCTGAAGACTTATCTTCGCTCTTTTCCAGTTTAATTTCTTTGATTTTTAGGCGATGTTTAACTGATTCCACACTTAACGTGCATGAATGTCTTTGAAGACGCTTTGTATCCGCATATTGCATTTTGCACAATTGACACTGAAACGGATTTCCGTCGTGATGAGTTTCTTCTAAATGATCTTTCAAGAGGCGTTTCAAATTGAAATATGTATTGCAACAAGGACAAGAATACTTGTTTGAACTATGCGAATGTTTTTTCTTTGTGACTGGTTTCTTGAGCCGTGATTTCGTCATTTTTTGCTCATAATTTGAAGCATCATCTTCACGATTAAGATCATCAGCGAGGGATGAAGGTGGCATTTCCGTGTCACGACAATTTGCTTCTCCTCCACCATCCATATCACCAACACTTTCCGGGGATATGGGAACATCGTCAACCGAAGTTAAATCATTGGAAGGTAGCATACCGTCGCCAGAATTAGAATTGCACTGATGGTGTGCATTGTTATTACTATTGGACATTGTTGTCGGTAATTGTTGGGTTTCGCTCGTATTTGCGTTTGCATAATATTGCGGTGGTGGTACAGAATCATCATGATACTTGGATTCTTCATAATTTTGAAAATCCTTATCTTGATCATTTTCATTGTTAAGGTCGGAATCGTTATCGTCTTGTTGCTGAATCTCTATTTGTACTACGTCGTCCATTTCCGTGTCGTCGCGTTCCGTTGCAGCAACTTGTGCATCGTGAAATTGTTGAGCCGAGATTTTGAGGTTAATCGTACAAGCTTCTGAAGATGAGACGACATGATGTGCAATGTTATCGTGCCTGTCCACGACGTCTCTCTCCGTTTCGTAGTCCCACCATCCTTGATCAGCATTGTGGTCATGAACAATAGCTGAAGGCTTCCCCAAAGAGTGAGGTTCATGTTCAGGCAGCACAATATTTGTAATAGACGAGGAAGACGGATTAAAGTAGGACAGGGGAACAGATTCCTCGTCAGCTTTTGTACCTTCCATGTGAATTATTTGCTTAGGATCTGTAATAATGGCGTACATTACATTAAATATGTACGTGCATAAGTGACAATTAAAAATATGACTTACCCATTGACATTGGATGATCGGAGCGAGGTTCCTGCTGCCCATCAGTGTAATCTTCCGGGTAGAGTTCTAAAATTATGCAATCTTCAAAACTAAATAAAATTCCTCGAACTAAATGTCGATGAGTGTCCTTTTGAGGGATGTTGTTGTCTGTAATTAATTATCATTGAAAGTTGTACGGAAACTCAGAACAATTAACTGATTATATATTTAATATTCTGCAATTGATTTCAACTCACGTGGAGATCTTATATGGCAGACGGAACAACGATACTGGTTTTTATGCTGCTCTTGTTCTCTACACGAATTAAAGTGACCAAACCCAGAATCTGTCCACTGTTTCAAATGGAAGACGACTCGCTCCTCGACGTACATTTTCCCGTGCACCGATTGCCCGTTACTACTACAGCTGGATGGATCTCCATTCATGCCCATATTCATGGATAGGGAGGGATCATTATTTGCTTGTGCGGTGGAATTTCCACCAACAATGACTTCCTGCTCATCTGACATCATCATTGAACTACAGTTTCCAGTAATCATAGGGATGGCAGAGATTGGATTGGAATTTAGCGGATGTCCTTGATTGATGGGAGGTATGTCTTCCTCTATCTCGTGGACGTGAGACATCATCCCATTCTTTTGATGTTCATCCATATTGCTTCCCATCATGTTGAGATCTCCGTTCGAATTAATAACTCTCAACTGTTGACGAACATGCTGTTGCTGTTGGCATGATGGGAGTGGATTTTCTTGGTCTACATTTAGCGACATGGATTGATTATGGTGGACATATCCCTGCAATTATTTACGCAAAGTTATGCATCGGTCTTCTAAATCGCAAAAAAATGTGCAGTTTTTTATACCGATCCTTCAATATGCATTCCGTCGTCGTCAGACTCTTCATCTTCGTCATCTTCATCATCATCGGAACAATCTTCACTGTCTAAACCTATAAAATTAGATAATTGAACTTTTAAATATCATCCAACTGCTGTCACATTGCACATTTGGCAACCAAAGTTTTATTCTGCTCTATAATTGTTTACCGTGATGACCACTCTCCATTTCAAGTCCCAAAGAGTTCCCATCCTGAATCTGAACCGAATTTCCTTCCCCTTCTGAAACTTCTCCCAACGGATGAGAAGGCAAATTTAGTGAGGACAAGTTATCATGATGAGAATGATGATCAATTCCTCCCACGACGGATGGAGACGATGCAAAATGCATGGAAGGCGGAAATCGATGTCTAAAGTCGGCCAAGCGATGCTGTGCCACATCTGACGATAATATTAACGGATATCCACCAAACATGGAAACATCACTCCCGGTCGTTGTATTCAGCAGGCATTCCGTTGATTGCATTGGTGGCCATACGACGTCAGACTGTTGTTGTTGTGGACCTTGTTGTGGGACAGAAACCGAAGAAACAGGACCAATTCCAGGATTCCAGTGGGTGTGCCCTCCTTCTAAAACTCTTTCCCCCATTTCCATCTCGTAGTTGCCGTGGATTAAAAGTGATTTTGGTATTTTGTCACTTGTCGGTGCTTTCCAAGCGGAGGTAGAAGGGCCCCGTTACAGCGTAGATCAGGATTAAAATTTGCCCCTATTTAGTAATTGACCAGAATTAGTTTCTAAACGCACACAGCCATATAATGCAAATAATACATAATTACATAACTAAAACTTACCTTTTTGTATCGTCTTTACCAGTACTCGTACAATGATTAGATCCGGCAGAAATATTTCCTATCTTTGGGACGTTTCATCCTTTTACGATTTTAAAACGCTACAATATTTGAACTATTTTTTCCAATTTTCATGCTGTATGGAAATATTGAATTTTTAATTTATTTGTTTAGGTTTTTTATGGTTGGCTTTGCCATTCGAGTTGTACTTCCTTCCATCACTCGGGGTCAGATGAGATTTCACTCCATACAAGAGTTGAGGCAAAGCTGAGACAAAGTTGAGGCAAAATTGAGACAAAATTGAGACAACTTGTCTCAATACGTGCCCAGTGTCCTTGTTGGTCTATATATGGCTTCGACGGTATCGAAATAAACACTGCGAAATCACACAAACATTGGTGAAATGTGTAATTTCAACCAGAAGTCCTCGGTAAAGTCAAGTTGTCACAGTTGGTGAGTATTATTTACTTACTTAACATAGAAAATACTATTTTCTACGTTAGTACGAGTTATCTTTTCCCCAAGCGACACGGTCCCGTCCTGTACGCAGTACCTTACCATTTAATGGAGTTGTTGTTCCATCAAGCCAAATATTTCAAGCAGATTTGTGCACATAATATGATGCAGTGCAAATTACACCTCCGCTTTCTATTTAGTTTAGTAGATGAATTGCATTATAGATATGTACGAATATTGAAGATGTATGTAGGATTCATAAAATATAAACATAAAATATAAACATAAATAGCAGTCAAAGATTTAGCTATAAAATCTACAATAAGTCCATAAATACTTTATTGATTTTCACTCCTTCTTATAGTTCTTAACACTTCATTATAAGGTTTAACTAGAAAGCCTCAAACAAACCGAAATACTGGCGACAACTAAAACAACCCAATTCGTAATTTGCATCCCGTTTCCTAAACTCGTTTTCCAATCATCATACGGGAGGTCGACGAACACTCGGTGTCTGCCGACAACCTTGAACATATCAGCAATCAGGGCCAAGTCAACCTTAGGGTCGCTCGCTCCCGTCCACAACGTGAGCGATGACCGTTGCGACGTGGCGTTAAGAAGATAGAGCAAATTCGACAAGGAATTCTGCGCCAAAACCGCCCTCACTGCAAATGTCACTGGAAGGTTCTCTGTTCTTATCGGGTTTGACGAAAAGTTGCGAAAAACTTGGATCATTTCATCCATATCTTCCCGAGAGTAGCCTTTGCCTGCATAAAAAAATCTAAAATTTCACTTCTTCATATTTTCAAAATTTGCAATTTTTTTTTCTAACCAATATCCCCCTCATCCCACTTCGTCGTCCATCCGAGCGACAAAACTGAGCTTGGCAAATTAATATTGTGCAACTTTAGCAAATCAACACCCCCAACTTTTGGCAAACTTTGCGAATTTCCTTGCACCACGTCGGCATTTATCCAGACCGGAAATTTCAATGGTTCTGATTCGTTTCGTCCTCGAAGTCGTAAGATTGAAAATGCTGCAGAATAATAGTCTTTCGAGTCCAACTTGACACCTTTCATGTCTTCGAGAGATTTTCCCTTGTTGAATTCAATCACTTGGTCGAGGAAGGAGTTGAACGAGAGGTCCGAAGTGGTTGCGGGAGGGTGCGCCATGATCACCATTTCCCATCCAGAAATTACTCCTGAGATATTCAACCAGCCACGAGAAAGGTCGCATTCGATCATTCGGATCGAAGGGTCGGCCAGAGTTTGGGTTAAGGCTTCTTGAGAATTGACCCCATGCGCCCAGGTCACATTGCTCACGTCGACAGGGAAAAATTGTTGGGGCGGATATTCCACGTCTCGAGCACCGTATGAGAAGTAAATTAGTGATGAGAAAATGTTGAGAAAAATTGAGTAATTCATTTTGAAGATTATTTCTAAAGTAGAAAATAAGTATGTACACACAGGTGACGGAGTGAATTAGTTAATACAATTATTACAAAGTGTCACAAATGAATAAATTTAATGGTTTATAGCCAATCAATAGTGCATCCATACATAAGCAATCCTTGATACTTATCTTGACCAACAGGTGCATATTCGATATTAATTCCTATTGTAATTTCAATCTTATCAATTAAAGGATAATCAGCATCATGCACAGTGGCCGCGGAAGCTGTGGGGACATCTGGGGACATTACCATTGTAGTATAGGTGAGGGATGTGTTTATATAACATGGGCAGATGACAGGGACATCGAATAACCGTGGGGACATTGTCCCTCTGTCCCCATGCTTCCGCGGCCACTGATCATGCACATCTGCGTGAGTGATGTACATAGTTGCAACAATAATAGTCTAAACAGGTGCGACTCATTTTTGTCATTCTTCACTGAGGTGACACTTGATGACACTGATGATAAAGCTCCTAAGCACGTGAAAATGGATTTTATTCGCCTCGTCGAAATTGCACCAAAGCCACTAAAAACCCAGCCATTCCTTGCAGAACCTTATGAAATTCAGCAAATTATTAGAAATGCAGTACTAAATATGCGAACTGATGGTTCATACCGTTGTTACGGACCCACGACTAATTGTAAAGAATTGTTTGGCAGAAACGGTAGGAGGACTGGACTCCAGCTGAATTTGTATGAGACGAATCTGCACAAAAATAGGGAAGAATTTGTAAAAAATTAAGATGAATTAAATAATTTGTACCTTGCGACACATTTTCAAACTCAGCTTATCCAAAGGCACATTATTGATTAACGTCTTCATCGCGACCTGCGCCTCATTCGAAATACTTCCACAAGAGTACCCCAACTCGATGAGTTTCTTCCCGTTGACATAAAGAGGCGTGATAACCTCCCCGATAACCCTGATATTTCCCCGATTTAGCCAAAAACAACCAAAAAATGCGTACAAGACGATAAATGTGATACAAGTGATCATTTCTAGCATGAGACGCTCTCCAAAAACCTTGTTGAATTTTTCAATCATTTTTCCCAAGTTTAGTATAAGTTCTAAATAATCTTCCACCTTTGATTCCAATGCAGCGTCGTGCGTAATTTTCCCCAAATTTTTATTACCGTAAATATTTTCAAAAATTTTTTGTCGTTGGTTTACATCACCATTTTTGGATTGAGGTTTCCAAATCTCGGATAAAAAGTAGTTTGATTTTATTGGTTGGTGAATCCCGTTTTGAAATTTCATACTAATATTTTTCGAAATTTCTTTGTAACATGCCGAGTAAAGGCGAGGGAAAAGGATAATCCATAAATTGGATATCAAAAGATAACTCCAAAATACCCAAAAACCCGATCCGATCGTGTAAACTATGTCAGGATGCCATTTTCCAAACTTGTAATACGCCATCATGGGATGAACGCCGTGTACCAAAATGCAATGGATAACCAATGGGATGAAATACGCAGAAAATGAAATGTTTATGTATCTTGGAATTTTGGAAATTTCCCTCATTTCGGAAACTTTAAGGTCTCGATCTTCAAAATTTTGAAGTAAGTTGCAATTGTCCTGAAAAAAATTGACCTCTCCTTTACGAAAGGCTCCCAACCGGAGAATAATCCCCGCAGTGGAACCCATTATGACGATCATGGTGTACGCGAATGATTCCGTGGGGCCAAAAATTCGGACAAATTGAATCTTTGGTTTGAAAATAGAGTAATAAAGTGTGGTCCAACCAATTATGACGAATAAACCGAGAAAAGATGACATGGTTGGAATGCTGGTTAAAGAATGTGTTAGTAAATTTTTATGTCGAGACTTTTTGAGGGGAGAATTTTGATGGTCCTCGTGATTAACTGAGAGCGGAAGGTATCCTGCAATCTGGGAACTGAGCATTGCAATTTTGCTTATTTTTAAAAGGATTTCAGAAACGGTCAAGTTTTTTAGTTGTTCCATAATGAATGATGCGACGATGAGTTTGTGGAAAACGAACTCGGGTGAACTTATACAATTTAGTTGCAAGTAGTATATAACGTGCATGTTGCATAATATGAGTTAACAATTTTATCTTACAATTGGTAGTGTTAGTGTTACGTAACTCTAATGGAAAAATAATGAACCAATAATACAGAAATTTCTGGATCACAACAATTGTAGCTTATATATTTCAATCTTTTGCAATTTGTAAATCAATATCACCTGTATTAACCATATTATCAATAAATAACAACGACGCAATGCATGGTTCATCAAACATTTAGTGTTGATGTCTATTGTTAACACACTTCTGCCGGTGACAAAACTGAGAAGACGATGTTTTGACAAAAGCACAAGAAACAATTTTATTGAATGAACATTGTAGGTCAGCTCCAAATAATACAAATTGGTTTTCCATCGATTCGACGGCTAACTAATTAATCTTATTGTTTAATCTGGCTAAAATTATGTAAAAAAAAATCTAAATACATATTTAAAACAATACAGAAAATCGCCTCTCGGCATTTTGGCTAAGATCAAAGTGATAGACCCTTAGAGTATTTAATAATCTTATTATTAAATATTCTAAGGATAGGCCAGGTTTTCACACATTTTTAGGTTATTTTAACAAAAAAATACTTAAAACTTCCTTAGACAAATATAAGCTGAATATCTAATAATAATTATTTCTTCACTTCAGCTATGAACAGTTGAACCAGAATCGCCCCGTGTTCTTTGGAATATCTTCTTCAGTATGGACATCAGCGTCTGAAAATCTCCAAAACTCTTGTCCTTTAAAGAAATAAGTTTTTCCTATATGTAGGAAAAAATGTAATGTGAACATTTGCAAGCAATACTTAAAATGTGAAAAATTTGAGGGACCAACCATCCTTGTATGTTATCACAGAAGTGATGCGCGAAGGGATACCACGCCATCGGTCCGAAATACTGGCTGGGTAGTTGGAATCGCCCTTTACGGACCCCAGAGTTTCATTAAATTTCCAGTATCTATCGCCCCTGAGCAAATGATGACATGAAATTTAATCGAAGCTCGTAAAAAATTCAGATAAGTACTTATTTTACTTGAAAAAGTAAGTTTTGTGATTTTTGCCCCACACAAAGGCCGCATCCACGCCGTCGTGTGGTAGTCCAAAATCTGAAAGTGGTCGAGGTCCGTCGCTACTTATCCTTTGGTTGGAACTGTCAAACACCCAGTAGTTTCCTCCTGGTAAAAAAACAATTAAATACGACATTTACAATTTTGCATGTTTTCCAAAAATTGCATAATTAGATAACTTTAACCAGAAATGAAAATGATAGCCCCATCAGATTCCCGTTCGAATGCGGCATCCACCTTTTTGACACCGTCAAGACTGGGGAATAGTCGAGCTGTATGGGCCGGATATGCACCTCCTGCCAATTGTCCCTTGTCCGTCCATCTCCACATGTACTGGAGAAGGTCAACAAGACAAAAATATTTACATATATCAGTTATGTTAAGGACTTTTTGACATTTATACACACCTCTCCTCTAAAGACGAATAGTTCATTCCTGATAAATGCGATCGAGTCATAATCCCCCTGGCAAAGGTCTTGATTAGAGTCTCCACGTTTTGTTGTATAAGTATTGGTTGGCTTGGGCGACGTAGTGGTACTTGTTGAAGGTTCATTTGTGGTTGTTGTAGTTGTCCACGTCCTTTTTGTTGTAATTGGCGATCGTGGCGTTGAAACATCCTCGTCGTCTCCATCCGGAATACTCCTCGTTACTAAATATCATGGAGTTTACTCAATTTAAATCAGGGGTCGATGCAGCCGAAAACCCACCACAATTGACGCCACCCCCGCCGAAAATTGACCTGCGACCTCTGATTGGAAGTAATTAGCTAATTTTTAACGGGCTTACCATAAAGATGATAAAGTGCCAAGATATCGTCCTGCCCCAAAACGGGGTCACCATCACTGGGTGCCTGATAGTAGGGAAACATGACCGAGTCCTGTGCCGCCGAGTGAGCGAGACCAAGGCTGTGGCCGAGCTCGTGTAGGGCGACATCTCTAAATGAGACCACGCCCCGTTTATTTTTCGGCACTTTCCCCACTCGTTCATGGTGATACCAGTTCTCGTCCAGGTCAAAGTGGATGTCCCCACTCAATCCGGGTGAATTTTGGGGGAAGAAGGCATGAGCCAGGGTGCCACCTTCGCCATCAAATGGAAATCTGAACACAACCATCACAATAAAAATGATAAGTTCATCATCGTTAACTGGACTTATCACCCATCACCAACCTATCACCGTGATATCCGCTTCCAAAAGAAATGACAATATCGACCTGGTCATGGATGGGGTCGGTCTTATTGATAAATGTGAGACGAGCATAGTCACCCCAAATTCGCATGACTTTCTCCAAGTCAGCATACACATCTTCCTGACGAAGCTGTGGGGCCCAGTTTTCAAGTCTGTAACTCAATTTTCGCTTGTTCCACCCATTGGAACCTAGAACAAAGCGTTTCCTTCGTCGTAACTCTGAGCTTTCGGGAGAAATTATGTCAGGCACTCCGCATCTCTTCTTCGTCAACAACTAAAAATGGAAATAAGTTCAGAGTGAAAGTAATTGATTTACTTTTTTTCTGATTGACCAACATGATTTATGATTTAAATATTGCTTCCTCACCTTAATTGTTTCTGGATCTAACTTTCCTGTAATTGGGACGGCCCCAAACCGTTGCATATTACGGATCGCGTCTGTCACACGGTCTTCGGAGTAGAGCGTTTCGGACTCATTAGTACCCAAAGGTTCCAAGTAGCCAAACTTTCGGAGGAAAACGAGCTATAAAAAAGAATCTGGTCAGATATTCCGAGATTCTGTAAAACCGTAACTTTATTGACCTACCGCTGCTCCTGGACCTAAATTTACACCACCATTTCCTCCATCGACTTGTTCTGAATCACTGTCAGCGCTGACAGGAGCTCCATGAACCACACCCAACACAGCCCACAAAAACTGCCACCCCATACACCACTTGACTACGAGATGCATCCTTTATTCAGTCATTGACATGAAAAGTCTCACATTTTCCTCTTTTATAGATGACCCAAAAAACGAAGGATTTTACAGTAGAAAAGCTTCTTCAATCAACTACCCACTCAAACCTGAACCCTTACGTTAAAAATCTACCCTTGATCAATGCCTTCTAATTTCAACAGGTTTTTCACTACGGAAAGAAAGGTGAGCGGAGATGATTCACAGTTTATACATCGTGCATTGTGCAACCTCATGGCAGAACTGAGGTAGTTTTGGTTTTAATCTTTCCTGAGAAACGGTACCCGTCGTGTCGTCGTCGCACTTTGTGGAACTCGACACAATTTACACAATACGTGATGATGACCAATCTCAGAACTATTCTCAAATACACAAAGCCATATGTAACACATAATTAGGCTTATTTATTATGGGACGTTGACATGCAATTTCATTCATCATCATTGTAACATCGTGAGGGAATCGTTAGTTTCGTCTTCTTCGCACCATTGACCATTGACCATGTTAAAAACCAACTCAATATTACCAGTCAGTTACTACATATATATTATATAGCGAACTGTAGAGAAATGAGCAGCAAATACAGTTAACATAAATTAGCACAATTTTCTGACAGTTATGAAATAATCATAAATAAGTGTCAAGAATAGTCAAGTTCAAGATCAATTATTGACCTCCCCGTCCAACCGTGTGTTCTGATTAAGCACATCCTTTACGAAATTATGTATTACGATTCTGCAGACCAAATCAGTTCACATTTCTTGCTCTCATCGAGATGTCGATCCTCTTTGCTTTCGACTGCGATCACACGCTCATCAATGAAGATTCGGATGTGGCCGTGGCTAAATTAGGGGCACAACCCCTTCCCCCGGAAATAGTGGCCCTTTGCGACGGCCATTACTGGACGGACTACATGAACGCCGTATTTCGTCACCTGCACGCACAAAAAGTGGATCTGGATGCCATAGCTGACCGAATTAGTGAAATCCAACTTGTTAATGGTGAAAATCAAAAATAATAACATCAAACCTCTTATAATTTGTTTTTACATAATTCCAAACATTAAATTATTTGCAGGAATGGCAGAACTTATTTCATCCCTTACTCGCCAACAAAAAGCCCACACAATCGTCATTTCCGACGCTAATGATTTCGGAATTTCACGAATTCTCACGCAACTTATTGGCGATGAAGAAGCCTCAACAATTCCACTTTTGACGAATGGGTCCTACATTACGGAAAGCGGATGTCTTCAAATTGCTCCATATCATTGGCAGAAGGAGTGCGTTTTCTGTCCGCCAAACCTCTGCAAAGGGAACGCTCTCTCACTCTACGTACAGGAACACGGTCCTTTCGACAGCATCGTGTACATAGGCGACGGAAAGAACGACATTTGTCCAGCGACCAGGTTCTACAATTTCTGCTTTGATGATTTGAGCTTAAAAGGAACTAAAACTAATCTGCATTTTATTAATTCTGTAGATTGTCCAAGACTGACATTGTTTTTGCCCGGACGGGATTCGACCTGGAAAGAATTATTTTGGCCGGTGAAAGGAATGGGATTAAAGTGAAAGTGGAGGCTAATGTAAAATTTTGGAGTGATGGATTTGACATTTTACAACGTAATGATTTATTTAATAAAACTGAATGAAATCTGAATAAAATTATGTATCTGAAACTGTCAATTGTGTACAAATTTGGAAATTTTGTCAGAATTACAGAGTAACAAAGTTAAGGAATTCTTTACCACGTAACTGGCTGATTGCATATATTAATATTGAATTTGTGCAGCAGTGTAGTGAACTTTTGGTATTATAAATACATAGGAATGAGACTTGTTATTTGCATTATTAATAACAATAGTTTTAATTACATTTAGGTTAGTATAGCTGCATAAATTAGCAATTGTGTCATGTATTGGAAACCAGTTTATCATATTAACTGATAATTGGCATGTTAATAAAAGCTTACTTCACTTGTTGACCTTCCACGCTCCAGTCCAACCATGAATTCTGCAGACCGATTTAGTTCACATTTCTCAGTCTCATCATTTGGTCAAGATATGTCGATCCTCTTTGCTTTCGACTGTGATCACACCCTCACCAATGAGGATTTAGATGTAGCTGTGTCTAAATTAGGGGTGCAACCTCTCCCCCCGGAAATTTGGGCCCTTTGCGACGGTCACTACTGGACGGAAGGCACGAACGCCTTATTTCGTCACCTGCACTCGCAAAAATTGGGTCTAGATGCTATTGCTGACCGAATCAAGGAAATCCAACTTGTCAATGGTGACAATCAAAAATAAATAAAATAGACATCAAACCTTGAAACCTCTTATAAATTCTGTGCATAATTGCAATTACAGGAATGTCACAACTGATTTCATCCCTTATTCGCAAAGGAAAAGCTCACACAACCGTCATTTCCGACGCTAACGATTTTGGAATTTCACGAATTCTTACCCAACTTATTGGAGATGAAGAAGCCTCAAAAATTCCGATTCTGACGAATAAATCCTACATTACGGAAAGTGGGTGTCTTCAAATTGCTCCATTTCATTGGCAGAAGGACTGCATTTTCTGTCCCCCAAACCTCTGCAAATGGAAAGCTCTCTCACTCTACGTACAGGAACACGGTCCTTTTGACAGAATTGTGTACGTAGGTGACGGAAAGAACGACATTTGTCCCGTAACCAGGTTGGTTATACAACTTGTGCATTTAGAAGGGCACTAAAACTAATCTATATTTTATTAATTATGTAGATTGTCCAAGACTGATATTGTTTTTGCCCGGAAGGGGTTCGATCTCCAAAGAATTATTTTGGCCGGTGAAAAGAACGGGGTGAAAGTGAAAGTGGAGGCGAATGTAAAATTTTGGAGCGATGGATTTGATATTTTAAAACAAAATGATTTATTTAATAAAACTGAATGAAATTTACAGAATAATAATGAAATTATATGCAACTGTGTATGTACAAATATTTTAATAATTAGCCCGCACTGGTCGCTGTACTATCGGCATCTCTGAATTGGACAAGGACCACTAGATCATAAAACAAAATTATAAAATAGTTATGCATATCCTCATTCTTATCAGTAAGCGACAAGCGTATATTTTTACCTAGAAAAGTAGCCAAGCCACTTAGTACCTACATCATAGCAAAAACATGTTGAAAAATTATGCAAATTAATTAAGCAATACCACTATTTATTACTTACTGCAGTCACTAGCCCTCTATTAATGACGAAAAATTGCTTCGCCGATATCGCCGGTGGATTCGTTAGTATTTGAGTGGACAACATTTGTAGCTGAATGAAACATCGTAAATATATACAAAAATGAAACCCAGTGACATTGGTCATAAAATCATACCTTTAAATGCATATGAGGACTTAGGGTATCCAGAGGTAAGTTCTGCCCCAAAGATTTCACCACACTCTCCGCAGCCGAGGTCAACTCTTCCGAAAATGACCCCACGTCGTACAACTCCTTCCCATAGATGTAAATCGGCACCACGGTTTCCATCAGGAGTCCAATCTCCCCACGACCCAACCACACCAGCGCAAAGAACAAGTAAACCAACAAATTGAGGACGCAAGCGCTTATCTCAAAGATAAGAATGACACCAAAGAACGAATTGAAGTTAGAAATTCCTCCAAGAATGGATTGAAACAAGGAAAGACAAGTTTCCAGTGTGGTCTCGATGTCAACTTTCGCCACCCTTTTCTCCCCTTGGTTATTCGACTTCGGTACTGGGTGCCGTTGTTGAAGAATCATTCTCGTAAATAACTCATCTTCCCCTGAAAAATTACTACTTTTCCTCGACAAAGCCTCCCCCGGGGTAGAAAAACGATCCACAGAAATCTCCCTCAAAGAATTTCCAACCGTGTAAAGACACGCTGTATAAAACTGGATGAAGAACGTCATCCAGACCGATATCCCGGATCCCGAGAGAGAAAAAAATGTCCACACGCCAAGACCAATGGCAAGCTGGGTGTCCTCGTTTGTCCCATCTTCGTGCAGGATTGAGTCCGTAATTCGATAACCGTAGTCAATCAAGACATGAATCAGGATTGGAATTATCAAGGCTGCAAACGAATTTCGAATAGAATTTTCAATGCTATTAAATCTTTCCAAAGTTCCCAGATTTAGACCAAGTTTAGTTTGCAGTTGGTCGAAAATGGTGCAAGTGTCCTCCCAGTACTTGAGAAACTTTGAGGCCTTTCGTAACCCGAAAATCTGAACGTACACGCCCAACATGGATGACGTAGCGAGCATGAGAGTGTACGCGTAGATTTCCGTGGGGCCACGTGCCTTGAGATATTTGTGGAAGGAGGACTGCCTCGCAAAAAATATGAGGTCCCAACAAGACAACAAGGTGGATAAGATGATGACGTAAAGTGCGGCTCCACTGCAGTATGAGAAAGAAAGGTACTGACGCTTCTCTAGTTTCGAGTACGTCAAAATTTTCATGGACGAGGTGGACACGGAGATTGGAAAGTATCCGGGAATCTTGACCGTGAGCAGGCCCCATTTTGCGATGGAAATCAGAGTTGATTCAGAATTTGTGATATCATTTGACGACATTTTTTGGATGGTGTGTCAACTATCGTTCAACTGGTCAGATTATTTATTAGTCTCATTTTTTTGTAGAAACTTTCTGTCATCAATAAATAATTTTCCATCAAAATTACGATAATTTTATTTCCAAGATTAATACATATTTCAAAAGTACAATAATATTATAGTGCTCAAATGCCTATCAATTCAATCAGTCAAACTGATCAGCACAAAAAAAACCGGGTTGTTTGTCATTACTAAACCTCGTCAAAAATAAAATGCTCAATCCAATCAACTAAAATGAAATGAATTTTTGCCAATCTTGACCAAAATTACACGGCATTATCAACCACTCCAAAATTGTTTGCTGAGGGGGAGGAGGACCCATCAAATGTCAGGGACGCTGATACCGGCAGAGCGAGTGGAGGATCGACTGGTGTCACAATTCCGAGAAAAAAGATGCAAGCGTTCTTCACCACTCTGAAAAATAGACTAAACCAATTTAGCACAAATTGGACACATTAATTTGATTTGCTCAGTAATAATACGGTTGGAAAACTCACTCGAAAAGCAAATCAAGAAAATAGAATCCAGTATATTTCGGAATGTTTTCCTTGAATTCTTCAATTGCTCGTTTGATGTATTCAAATTCATCCTGAGAAAATTGTTAAAAGTAATTTTTCAAATTTTGCAAACATATGCGGAACACTTTCGCTTACAGTTTCGTCAAATCGTCCACTTTTTTTGACCTCTTGAACATCTTGGCCACGATTATGAGTAAAAATCTGTAAAATAAAATTTCAACAAAAACGTCTCAACTTGCCTCTTATTCTTGCTTTTACCTTTTCCAAGACCGTGGCTGAAACTGATGATAATGTGGACAGAGCCACGAGAAGTATGAAAACGCAGGGTCTCATTATGATGATTTTATTATGCAAGCAAAATGCAAAATCCAGTGAAATTCGAGGTTAGTAAGTTAATAAGATCAAGTCGTCTGCTGCCCTTAACCTTGCCTTGAACTGGATTGAGGCTACACTGGAATAATCGTCTTCTTAGCAAAGCAATATGTAACGGGAAAAAGTAACAGAAATCGGAGGGGGATGGAATGTTTTTGTATTTATTTCATCATAAAGTTGGAAAGTTGTCTTATACATAATTCAAGGTCGAATTGTCCTTCTAACAGTTAAAGGGTTCCTCGTCCCTTCATATTCAGTACTGTGTAACTGGTAATGATGTTATAGGAATTTATTGAGGAAGGAGTAAGCATGAAGGTGTATAAGGGGCTAAAGAAATGGTGTTAAGGGCTGAAATAAACCTTTACTAACGGGTAAAGGGATAATAATAAAGGGTTTTCTAAGGAATGAGGTGAGGTGAGGCAAGTAGAGTACAATGAACTTTCGTCATCCAACAGGAATTCTGGGGAGATGAGATGAGATTCCACCCTTTAAGAAAGGAGTAGAATCGTGTATTTTAAGGATCAGAAACCAAGTACCTTTGTTGGACTTGGGATTTCCATGTGTTGTTTTTTAGGTAAAACCTAACCAACACAAAATAACAAAGGGATCTATTCTAGGTATACAGAAATAAGTGCCATGATTCATTTTTAAGTTATCCATGTCCTGAAGAATTCCTTGTTGGAGAGAACACTCTTGTGCTATCCGATTCCCTGAATTGCACAAGTACCACGAGCAGCGTCGCAATGGCGCTGACGACCTAGATGAAATGTATCCATATATTAGTTTATCTTATCATTACTTTAAATAAGATGAATGCCATACCGAAGTAACCAAGTGGCGATTCACCACAAAAAAGTCATTCCCACTGATGACCGGAGGGGACACGATAATCTTGGAAGATAAGGTGCACACCTTGAATCGCAAATCGGTCGACAGTTGACCCATCGGAATGCTGTCAAAGAGGGCGCGTGCCACCTCCCCCGCCGCCAAAGTCAGGTCTCCACCCACCGAACTGAATCTGTACAGATGCGCAGCAAATACCAGAAATGGCACGGTTATCATTGCAACCTGTTTAAATACAAATTTAATTCCTGACAATATTATGAAAACATTAGAAAATTGTGTAGCTCACCTGACGCCAAATATTTCTACCAATCCACAACAACAAGAAAAACGAGTGTGCCACAATGTTGCTGATGCAAACGTGCATTTCTGCTATTAATTGCGACCCAAAAAATGTGTTGAATCGATTCACCAATTTCTCCAACATGACAAATGCCGATATGCAATTTCCGACGTGAAGTTCTAAAAGATTGTGGCGATTTCTTGCTTCTTTTTCATTTTCTCCTGTCGCAGATGACTTGTTAACTTTGCTGGGATGCAAAATCTGAAATATTTCCGAGCCATAAATTATCCCTGCTGGTCGTTGCTCCATATAGTCGATTCCTTTCCCGGAATCATTGTCGTCCCCGTTATTGTTCAAGGTTCGAATTTTTCTCGCAATCGAGCGGAACGTTGCGGTATAAATTTTTATGAAGAATGATAACCAAATCGAGTTAAGAACGTGAAAAAGGACCATCGTGAACCAGAAGGCGGACCCCAAATGAAAGTCAGAGTCTGACGACCACCATTGGGTATCATCCGTCAGGGATCGATGAAGTCGGTAGCCGTGAACGATCAAAATGTGAAGCGCTATGAAAACCACGTTCATGAGGATGGACAATTTCAGAGATTTTTTAATCTTTCCAAAATCTGGGGAACTTTCAAAAATTGATTCTTTAAAGAAACCGAGAGCAGTCTGTATTTTGTCTAATGTGAGACAATTGTCCTTCCAAAATTGGATGGTCCGAGGTCCCATGAACAGACCGGAAATGCGAAAACAGAGTCCCATGAATGAAGCTGTAAGGACGAAGAAGAAATGGACCGTTTTCTCGGTGGCTCCAAAGAGTGCGATGAATTTTTGGTAGGTTGTGAAATTGAGGAAAAAGTTTACTTCCCAAGCAAAAATGAGACTGAGGAGGAGGACCGTGTAGATGATGCTGAGGGAGTAAAAGGGTCCAAATTCGAGAAACTTGGTCCGATTTAAGGACCGAAGTGAGAGGGGGAAATAGCCGATGAATTGGGTACTACGAATTGCCCAATTTGCTAAGTCCAAGAGTTTATTTTCAACTTCACAAGACGACATTTTTTAACCAGTGATGTATCATAACACGGGAGAAAGTAAGACTGAATACTTGAAAGCAATTGCCATTGCTCAAGAAATAGTGATTGACACGTATAATTGTTTTGTTGATTTAGAAGTCTGTTAGATTTATTACTCTATATTTACTCTAAAACTCTAGTCATTTCATTACGCTGTGCACATATAGTCGAAGACAATTATATATACGTAAGATATAAGACAACTTTGGAAATGCATGATCAAAAATAAGTAATAAAGTCAATTCAGACAAGAAAAATTAGAGTGCCTGTCACGATTATACATAAAGTAATAAACAAAAACAAACTGTATAAAAATTAAGATTTGTTAGATGATGAGCTTGCTCTAAATATTCTCAAACTATTGTCTGTTCCACCTCCCATTATAAACTCGGGATTTGCCCAAGATGAGCACAAAACTTTGTCAGTGTGACCTGTCATGTTGTACAAGGGGGCTCGTGGACTGCGACGGTCCCACAACTTTAAGAGGTTATCGTGTGCACCAGAGATAAACAAGTTTTCATTTGTAGTTGACCAATTCACGGTAGAAATCCAGCCAGAATGCGAAGTAAACATTGATTTGACAAGAGATCCCTCTGTAAAGACGTGAAAAGATGGAAGCTTTATAAATTTAATTCAAATATGTTACAAGTATGCAAATAAAAAAAATTACCTGTTGATCTTGGATCGTACAGTCGAATATGTCGATCAGCCGCACAAGTAATGACCATATTGTTAAGAGGAGACCACGACATTCCTATTAAATTAAAGAGATTAATTTCGTTTATACAACAAATAGAAAAAGAATACTGGTTCAAGTTCAAAGAAACTTACCAAAGAATGCTTTGTTTCCAACCAATTCGGATTTCATTCCGCCAGTCTCTATGTCCCAAATTTTAATTGTGTGATCCCAAGATGCCGTCATTAGTTCTTCGGAGTCACTCCAGCAAACTGCAGATATAGACTCCTTATGTCCTCCCAACGTCATCAGTGGAGTCTATACATTTCATTTTAAAGATAGAGACGTTCACTCACGAATTGGTATTAAAACTATATTTATAATATATTAGTTTAGCTACCCTGCTGTTCGAAATCTCTTCGTCATCTTCTTCGTCTTTCTTGGATTGCGTAGCTGCCTTATTATTTTCTGGTAAACCTTCAAGAGAAGAAGACCAGATTTTTAGTTCTCCGTCCCATGATCCACTTGCCAATCGGGTTCCGCTGGGATCCGAACTTAATGAATCCACGCTGCGTTTATGTCCTTTGCAAATCCATTTACAGCTCACGGTGTTGTCTTCAGTGTTCCACTCCCAAATTTTTATTGTCTGATCATGTGAGCCGCTGAGGATAAAAATTATCACATTTTTACAGCAAATGTCGAAACATACAATCAATTTAACTTCAATTGACGCTAGTATACCTCGCAAAAATGGACGTAGATGAATCACCTGCGCCACTTTCAGATTTTGACACCCAGCAAACTGCTTTTACAGGAGCGCAATGCGCAGGAATGGCAAGTCTGTGTTTTCCTTTCATTGACCACAAATGAAGCGTCCCATCATATGCACCAGTCAGAATCCTGTAAGTACAATTTAGGTCATTTAGAGACAAATGTGGAAATAATAATAAAATGTAGGCAATTGTACCATTTTTCAGTAACATCCACAGCAGAGACCCAGTCATCGTGCATGAGTACATTTTCAGGTTCTGGTGCACCAGTTCGTTCCAAATATTCGACATCTATAACCTCTTCAACTCCAATTTTTGGCTTCTTGAGTTCATCTGTGACACCCTCGACATCTTTCCCAATAAATTGCTCATGTCTCATAACTAATTCCTCCAGTGACTCTCGCAGAAATTCTCCACCAATGAGAAAGTCAAATTCGACATCTTTTTCTGTAATTCCGTCATCTGCAAGTTAAAGAGAGAGAATAATGGGATAATTAATCAATCAGTAATAATTAATCATATTGATGTTTCTTCCTACGTAATCCAAATCTATCTCTTACCCTTTAAAACTTGATTAACAAGAGCATTTAAACCATCAGTCCCAATCTTTGCTTCCACGACATATGGAAAATCTGGAATGGAGAATCTACAAAGGAAAGAATTAAAAGTTCTAGAATTGTATGTAATTACCAATTAGTTTCGCTATTATTCTTTTAAACAATACTTACTCTTCTTGTTTCGTTGTAAATCTCACTTGTAAAGTTAATGCGGAGGTAGAACTAAGACCTTTCCCCCCACCGGCCTGTGCCACTTCGGTTTCTCCCATTGTTTAAGATCTCTTTCTGTAAATACAATAACAGAAATTAAATTAAATTAAATGAAATGAATTCAAACGTTTAAATTTAAAAGACTCATAGTCATTCAACGTGGGAATATGGCATTAATTACTTTGGGACTCGTTCCCAATCAACGAGGACTGGAGGAATTATATTTTAAACGATGCGTCAATTTATGACATATTTAGAAAAATCATTTAAGGGGCTAATGGCAATCTCGAACACCCATCCAAATCAAGTAGAGCTTTTGCCATATTCACACCAATATACATCGGGGTTTTCCTCTCCTAACTATTTTATATTTTATCAATGTGCTTGTGTTTGAATTAGTTAATTAACAGAAAAACAATTCCATTTCTTCTTTAGCACTTCTTAGCTTCCTTTCTCCTGTAACTTTAAACTGACGTTGATCAGAAATCAGTCAAACCACCATTACTCACCTTTTCCAAGAAATATAAAATTTCGAAATAAATTTCCTTGGCCACGCAGGAACTTTTTTGAAAGGTGAATTAAAATTGCAGACGTTCCTTTCTGTTTGTCTGGCTGTCGTCTGTCTCGTCTCGTGTTTGCTGCTGCACATGCATGTTTGCCGGTGCTGGAATTGAAGCGGGATTCTTAACTCGAACCCCAGCCAGCCCATTTTTGCACTTTTCCAAATGATGGAAAGAAAATTATCCGAGGACTACGAAGAAGTTCCCTGCGACTCTGCCGTACGTTACACCCACTTTTTGAACTGTCCAAATTTTTCTAAAAAATTTCAAAATTCTCCAAAATCCATCACCAATACCGTTTCCATGGTCACACCCACTTTTCATTCCCAGTTTTTCTCCTTGTTTTCATTTTTTGGTGGGCGGGAGGCTTGAAGGGGTGGGGTGATGAGATACAGAGTTAGAAAAATAAAGAGATCTGAATTTTCATGAAATTTTATGTGCTTAATTGTGTCATTTCATAATACTGGAAGCGATAAATAAAGTTATCAGCGTTAATAATAGTAATACTAATTGAAGTCATGTTTATTATTTGATACAGAATGCTGTAGTAGAAGGATGTCGGCTTCCAGTTTTAATGAGAAGTGGAGCAGAATATCGTAAGTTCATAATAATTTATGTTATATGTTTAAGGTAGAAAGTCATGAAAGGTGTAAGTCATTAATTTAACGACTATTAATTTACAGAAATGGCTGAAATCCTCAGTATTAAAGAACTTGCAGCCATGCGGGAATATTATGTTCATTTTTTAGACTGTAAGTAATCGTATTTTTAAGAGTTTGCAAAGCTACTGGTTCGGTAACTAATTGACATTGTCAATAATATCTCATTGTTTCTAGTTAATAAGAGATTGGACGAATGGGTAGACGAGAAAAGACTAGACCCGAGCAAGGTCTTCTTTCCCAAAAAGATTTCACCATCTCGGCCATCTTCCCCGGTCGCGGGAGATGTCCCCACCCTCCCACTACTAGCGACCACTTCTTCAACCCCGTCCCTCAACAAGAAGAAGAAGCAGGGACAGAAACGACCTTACGATGAAATAGATAGGTCATCCTCACAACCTCCAACTCCTGCCCCAAGTCCTGGACCCGCAACACCAATCACTCTCATTAAGGTCGAAATCAAGGTAGCGAGAACGTGGTGTCGCTACCAGAAAATACAAGTTTATCTAGTTAGCGATGGCAATTTAACTAATTGTGGTTAACTTTTCGGTATAGGAAGAAATTCCGGATTTACTTAGTGGTGGTCCTGCAACTCCAGCCGGTCAGGGTGCTGCTACTACTGCTGGTCCTAGAACGACGGGAAGTTTGATGATGCACAGTAATGACGACGTGGTAACGCGAATGAAAAATATAGAAATGATAGAACTGGGCAAGCATCGAATCAAGCCGTGGTATTTCGCTCCATACCCTCAAGTAATACCAATCAGTTGAATTTAACTGATGATTTGTTGCGGTGAAAAGTGTGCCTGAACAAGTTGACATAATTTTTTAGGAATTAGTCCACCTTCCTTGTATTTACATTTGTGAATTTTGCCTAAAATACCGCAAATCTGCAAAGGTAGGTCCTTTACTTATTTTTCGGATCGAAATGCATTTATTTTGCAACCAGTAATATTAATCGTAATAAATCTACTTTTTCAAGGCCCTTGAAAGACATTTACTAAAATGTAAATTAAGACACCCACCTGGAAATGAGATTTATAGGAAGAACAATATTTCAGTATTTGAAATCGATGGGAGAAAAAATAAACAATACTCGCAAAATCTTTGTTTACTTGCCAAATTGTTTTTGGACCATAAAACTTTGTAAGTTCAGTTTATTCAATATGAATAAATAGCTACGAAACATACATATTTATGATGTGTTGCAATGCGATTGCTTTTGTTTTTTGCAGATACTATGATACAGACCCTTTTCTCTTCTACGTCATGACACAATTAGATAATCGGGGCTTCCATTTAGTTGGCTATTTCAGTAAAGAGAAAGAGTCTTCAGAAGATTACAATGTCGCGTGCATATTAACACTCCCTCCTTACCAAAGAAAGGGTTTTGGTAAATTGTTAATCGAATTTAGTAAGTCGAAAGGGAAAATAAAGTTGAAACACAAATTTTGCTAATATTTGATACATCTCTTTTAATGGTTTGACTGTGTTCTGCTTCCAGGTTATGAGCTCAGCAAATTTGAAGGGAAATTAGGTTCACCAGAAAAGCCGTTATCAGATCTGGGTCTTTTATCGTACAGAAGTTATTGGTCTCATACTATTCTTGGCATTTTATTTACACACAAGGCATCCGGTGATCAGGAAAGGCCACAAATAACAATAAAGTATAAAGCTACAACCAATCCTAAAAGCTCGCGCATTTTTACAAAAATTGATTAAATGATAATGCATTCTCTCTCAGTGAAATTTGCGAGTTAACTTCCATGAAAAAGGAGGATGTGATATCAACTCTGCAGACCCTGGGCGTCATCTCGTATTATAAAGGAGGCTTTGTCATAGTTCTCACGCCAGAAATGGGCAAAAACCATGAGAAAAGCTCAAGATTGACTAAAATTGACCCAAAACATTTACACTGGACGCCAAAAGACTGGTCAAAACGAGCCAAATGGTAGATTAGAAGAAGATCTATACTTGCAGTTAAAAACTGTTTACTGCGCACAAGAAAATTTTTCATGACGACAATATTTTATATGTGAATCACTAAAAAAAACTCCTCTAACTTATGCCACCAATTGTTTTTTGATAGAAAAAAATGAGTGATAAAATAGATTTCTTGATTGATTTCCAGCATTTATTATTTCAGCTGATATAGAATCTAATTAAATATATCTTTGATTTGTAGTGTAGAAGTAATTACATGTATATAATAGATGTTAAAATATTTTCAAGATGTTATAACAAAGAATTAAAGAATTACAAAGCAAAATAGGGTTCTCGGATCGGTAAAGTATGAGCCTTGTGATATTTAGATTTAATAAGATTTTAGGCTAACCTGATCCTGAGTTTAGATAAACTCTTTATCTTGATTTTGTTCTACACGAATAATTATCACATTCTTAATCCTTGTTATTTACTAGTAGTATAATTAATAATTAATGATTGCAAAAGTAAAACTTGAGCTCAAATAAAACGGACTGAAATTTCAGGTTCAAAATGTTTTCATTCACACTATAAAGGCTGCTCTAGATTTCATATTAACATTAGTATTTAAAATACATGAAGACGCCGAATCAGATATTAAGATGTAATAGCAAGCTTGGCGTTTCTAAAAGTCCAGGACAGTCTTTTTTTTTGTTTTGTGTTTCTTTTGGTACGGGACTTATAAAATCCTACGATCGACATAATATAATGTAACAAATTAAAAATATCTTATCAACCGCAGCAATCAGAACCAGAGACTAGTAGTAGTTGAGTTAAATATTTTAACCGTTTTAACTAAACTAACCATGATTCCGCTGTATGCAAAATATTTGATGGGCACGCTACTAAGGGTTCCAAAAGTGCATGCAATCTCACTAATTTATTGCAAGAATGACAGTAGCATTGTACTACGTCCATTTAAAATGTGATTGATTAGATAACATCTAATCAACCAGTGGTCACATACGCAAAACATAATCTAATCCCATGTGCGAAAAGTATGCAAACCCGTCTCAAGTTGACTCTCACTCTCTAAATCCACAATGCAATTCAGCTGAAATCTTTTAGCCAGCTTGCATAGCCAAATTTCTTGTAAAAATAAGAAACTCTGATTATTAATTATGGCACTTAACTGGGGAATAATTGGGTGTGGCAAGATCAGTCACGATTTCGTCTCATCCTTATCCTCCCTCCCTCTCGGCGAACACGTCGTCGTGGGGTGTGCCGCACGAAAGTTGGAGTCCGCTCAAGAATTCGCGACGGCTCACCAAATTCCCAAAGCATATGGTTCTTATCAAGAGTTAGTCGAGGACAAGGAGGTCACAGCCGTCTACATCGGTGCAATCAACCCACAACATAAAGATCTTTGCAAATTAGCCATAGCTCATGGAAAAGGGGTCCTGTGCGAGAAGCCGCTCTGCATCAATGTTAAGCAGACGAAGGAACTGATTGATATCGCCAGAGAGAAAAAAGTCTTCTTAATGGAGGTAATACCTTTAAGTACATAAATTGGGAAATAATCGAGATTTAAAATTGCCATTTCATGTAAATCTGTACAGGGTATTTGGTCCCGGTTCTTCCCTGCATATCTAAAACTAAAAGAAGAACTTGCATCCGGTTCGATCGGAGAAGTTCTCCAAGTTTCCACCGTCTTTGGAACACTTCTCGATCAGAAGGACCGTTGCTGCTTGAAGGAGATGGGCGGCGGAGCGATTCTCGACATCGGGGTGTATAACATTCAACTCATATCGCTTATCTTTGGTGGAGAACGACCCATCAAGATCGCTGCGGGTGGTCATCTCAACGAGGACGGGGTTGACCTAAGCAGCAGCGCTACACTTATCTATTCCGGGGGCAGGACTGCAACAACGGTGGCTCATGGGAGGGTGCGGATGCAAAATGAGGCGCATATAATAGGGACCAAGGGCATGATTAAAGTAAGAATATTTAAACTAAGTACTTTAAATATTTCAACAAACCATAAACTGTATGCTCATCTGATTGTACAGGTCCCTATGAGATTCTGGTGCCCCACGGAGTTAGAGACGCCGTCAGGCATACATAAATTCGACCTTCCTCCCACGGATAAGGAGTTCAACTACGCTAACAGCGTCGGACTGTGTTACGAGGCTGCGGAAGTGAGGCGTTGCATTCAAGCCGGTCTGACGGAGAGTCCTGGAATGTCGTGGGAGGAATCTTTGGTCGTGGCTGAAATTATGGAAGGGATTCGAAAACAGGTGGGAGTCATTTATCCACAGGATGATGAGTAAAATCGTCTATTAAAAGGCTGATGATCATCAGAATGATGAAGATCTTCTAAGCCAAACTAAATTGCCCATATTAATCATAGAATTATAACGACTGTTTTTAACTAGTGCAAAAAAGACTTAATAAGGCGAATAAAAATATCTATATTTTGAGATATCCTTAATTGTCGTTAATTGTTTTTATAAAACTAAAATTTCATAAAAATTAATCCATGGGGTTAGTTGAGCAAATTGAGCACCATTCAAACCGGAATGTGTTTCTCGCGTGGTCAAAGAATATTTACGTGCAGCCAGCAGTTCACTTTTCAGTTTTCATTTTGAATTCAATATTTTTCGAATTAAATTTAAATAGTTCATTAGTTTGTAGTTTTTTGACGACATTCTTCCATCGTAGTTATTTATTAGTATGACTGTTGTAGGAGAACCGACAAATATGAACGAAGATGAAAAACCTCGGACTCTTTTGATCGGAAATATTCCAAGAACTACCCACAAACGCGAAATTGAAGAAATTTTTGGAGAGGTCGGCCCCCTGAAGAGATGCTACATCCAGTACCCCAGAGACGGTAGATTGTTGATTTTAATTTAATATACTGAACCATCATCATATTTTAGTTTTTTTAGTTTTGTAGATTATAAATTTTATAATTTATAATTTATAATTTATAATTTATAATTTATAATTTATAATTAAAAAATATTTTTTAGATTATAATCTTAAATCTTAAAAATATGAAGCGACATGGTGAATGCAAAACTATAAGACTAATTATTTTGAAAATAATTGTGATATTTGTAGACAAAAAGAAGCGGCCTGGGGATCAGTCGAGTACCACTTTGCTCTGCTATGTCACGTTTGCGCTGGCAGAAGATGCACTCAAGGCGTTGGAGACGTTAGGATCCCATAAAATTGGAGGAAGTAAAGTTCATATCAAATTCGCAAAAACAAGGAGCGAACAAGTGCGACCTAAATTTATTCCGGATTCAACAACGACTGCAGATGACATTGAAGGAGGCCAAGCAAAAGAGGGCAGAAATAAACGGAAACGGTTCGATGACAATGCAGAAGAAGATGATGAAACTGCAAAAATTAAAAATCCCAATTTGATACCCGTCCGCGGAGTGACGCTGGAAAGACCTAAACCACCAAAAGGTCCCAGACCTAAACCCATCAACAAAAAGTCTCGACTTATCGTCAGGAATCTTTCATTCAAGGTTTTATGTCGTATTAAAAATGTTTTATTTGCTCTCTGATCTCAAATTAACGTAAATGTGGTTGGTTTGAATCAATAGGTCACGGATGAAAAGATGAAAGAGTACTTTGGAGTATGTGGAGATATTAAAGATATCAATATTCTGAAGAAACCTGACGGTAAACTTGTGGGGTGTGCATTTGTCCAGTTTGATACGGTGGCACAAGCTTCCAAAGCAGTTCGGGACCTCAATTTGAAACCATTCTTGGGTACGTTCACATTCACAGACTATTTATCTAGTTTATTATTTCGTATTAATTAATTTATTTATTTAATGGCAAAACCTTGACTTAAAAAATCGTGCTATATATTCGCAGGAAGACCAATTGCTATTGATTGGGCCCTACCAAAGAAGGACTTCCAAGATAAAGATGGGAATCCGGGAGAAGGTGCGGAAAGCACCACAGAAGTTGTTAAAGTTGAAAGTGACGACGACAGTGAAGATGTCAAAATTAAGCAAGAACCACTTGATGACGAAAGTTCCACAGTAATTAATGATGACGATGACGATGTGAAGTTTATAAATCCGTACACTTCAATGCCTATGGATATTAAGGTTGAGGACGGTGACGATAATAGAACAAACAGGAAAAGGAAAATTAAAGAAGAGAGTGATGAAGAGGATCAAGAAGAAGATTTCGTTGATAGTGAAGAAGAAGAGGAAGTTAAGCCAAAGATAAAGAAAATTCCAAGAAAATCAAATGATGTTGAGGAAGGGAAAACTTTGTTTTTAAGAAATTTGGACTTTGGTGTAACTGAAGATGATCTTAAATCATTTTTTGAAGCGTATGGACAACTTCACTATTCTCTTTTATGCAAAGACCATCTTACTGAGCATCCCAAAGGGACTGGATTTGTTAAATTTAAAGTAAGCAATTGATAATTAATGGTTATTTTATTTATATACCATACTTACTGAAGTTTAATTCCTGTGCCTGTTTCAGAATTTGGCCGATGCCAATAAATGTCTTACCGATTTCAATATTGAATCTACAAAGTTTAAGCTAAGCAATAGAAATTTTACAATTGCCGTCGCTTTGCCAAAGGAACGGTTGACGTCTAATAATCCAGCCGGTGACAAGAAGGAAGAAAAAATCAAGCAGGATAACAGAAATCTTTATTTGGTTCGAGAAGGATGTAAGTTTAAATGCAATTTCCTGCAATTTGCATACAAATTTTGCAAGTAAAGTTTTGTCTGTTTGCAGTTATTCGACCACAAAGCAGTGCCGCAGAAGGAGTGTCAATCATGGACATGAATAAACGAGCTGCTTTAAATTCGACCAAGAAACAGATGCTGAAAAACCTTAGCATTTTTGCATCGCCCACAAGACTATGCGTTCATAATCTTCCCGTAAAGCTAACCGATAAGGCCTTGCGAAGACTTTTCAAAAAGTTTTCTTCTGCTGAAGCCAGGATCACAGAGGTACTTGCATTAATAAAAAATGACGATGATATTTTTTAGTAGTGAAAAATAAGGAATAACTTGTTTCTGTTATTTATTAGGCCAGAATTATGAGAGACATGAAGGATATTCAGTTGGGTGGAAAAGGCAAGTCCAAGGGATTTGGTTTCGTTACATTTAAAGAGCATGAACATGCTCTCGCAGCACTTCGGGCGATCAACAATAATCCTGAAGTATTTTCTCCAGCTCAGGCAAAACAATCCACAATTACAACGTCTCACGGTCTCACCATATATGTATATGTATTCTAAATAAGTTCCTATTAATCTTCTTGCAGAGACCAATTGTTGAATTTTCCCTTGAAAATAGAAAAGCTTTACAAGCCAAGGAAAAGAGGATGCAAAAAAGTGTCGAAAATAACAAAATGGCTCCCAAAAAGAAACCGAAAACTCCCAAATCCACAACCCAACAACAATCTGATAACAACGCCACCGATTCTCCTGCTCCAAAATCAGCGATTGTTTCGAAACCAAAAAAGAAATCGAAACCCCCCAAATCCATAAGCCAACAACAACCTGAAGAGAACGCATCCGATTCTCCTGCTCCAAAACCAACGATTGTTTCGAAACCCAAAAATAAACCGAATCCTAAACAACAACAAGGAGTAAAACCTGTTGCAGGAAATGACAACCAACAACGCCAATATACTGGTCTCACAGGCAAACGTGGCATTTCCAAATTACCAGTGATGAAAGCCAAAGGACCTGTTGGGAAAATCAGCCGCAAAAGCCTCAAGGATAGCAGAAGTCTTAAGAAAAAATTGCAAGAAAGAAGAAATAGAGAACCCCAAATTAAACCCAAACAGAAAATTGACAGATCCGACAAGTCTGAACAGCTCCTTGCGAAACACAAGTCCAACATGGAAAAAGCTTCAGGTGGAGGAGGAAAGAAAACAAAGTGGTACAAGTAGTTTAGTACTATTATAATTGTGTTGGTAATTACTACATATGCTATCGTTTGTTTTTTGAGCAATTAAATTTCTCAAACCTTAAACAAATACGTGTAGCATTAATTTTGACTTTATTAAACCAATCAACAGATCATTTGGAAACAGTATTAAACAAACGGCAGGCATATTTTTAAAATTTCTTAGACGACGACCGTGTTGGCGTTCCAAGTCCAGGGTTGTCCCAAACCGTAGCCCCATGGAGAAGCTCCGGCAACATAGGTGGACGCAACTGGAGAAGAGGAAACGATAGAGTTGGATGGTTGTTGAACCTGAACGGTCGAAGCCCAAGTGGCTGCTGGTTGTTGAACAGTGTTCCAGTGTCCGTTCCAGTTGGCCGTGGTGGCAACTGGAGTTCCGGAAGAAACAACGACATTGGAAGCAGTTGGGGAGTGGACGGCATAAGTGGTGGCGACTGGAGAAGCAGAGGAAACGATGGAGTTTCCAGTCTGTTGAACCCAGGTAGAGGCTGGCTGTTGAACAGCCCAAGTGGCTGGTTGTTGAACGGTAGCCCAGGTTGCGGGTTGTTGGACGGCAGACGACCAAACGGTAGCAGGTTGGGCGGTGTGGTGAACTTGGTTGATTTGCTTTTCGGTCTCGACTCCAGCAACGTTGGTCTTGGCAGAGTAGACGATTGGAGAGGAGGCGTCCACAGTGGCCACGTTGGACCACGAAGCGTGGGGCCAAGCCGCACTGTAGGTCGTTGGCCAGGCAGCAACGGTCTGTTGTGGAGCAACGACGGAAACGGTGGAAGGTTGTTGGACCGTGTAGGTCGTGGCGATGGGGGAAGTGACGTGAGAAACGACGGGAGTGACGACTCCTACAGCCTTGTTTTCAGCAACAGAGTAAGCAAAGTTTCCCCCGACTCGGTCAGACTTGATGACGGTGGAGTCATGAGCTGGAACGTGGGTGAAGATGGTGTTGGCGCTAGCAGCGGCCAAAAGGGCGACGAAAACGACGGCCTATAAAAATTTTCGAAAGCATGATTTCTTAATAACATTTCTGGGAAATTATTATTACTCGGCTGACTTACGGATTGCATGTTGACGAGTTTGGGTGATGATTTGCGACGTGTGTGACCTGGTTGAAAACGATGGAGAGAGTGTCTTCTCCAGGGAAAAGTGTGGGTTTTATACTAAATTTTTCTCTGATGTAATAATCGGTGTACAACTAGAGCGGATAATTAAAGCATTGGTATCATCATCATCATCATCCCGGTGTTGAAACGGCTTGGCGTGGTTCATTCTTGATGGGCAGGGCTGCGCGTTTTCGATGATCCCCGGACATCTTCTTCATAAATACTGGTAATAACAGGCAGCGAGGATATATATAATTAAGTTAGGCTCAAAACTGGATAGTAGAGGTTTAGCTATTTTTTGCCTTATTATCGCCACACTGCTTGTTACATGAGGCCGTTGTGTGTTGAACGAAGATGTTCATTTATCCCTGGAAGAGAATCTTCTGGAGAAGTTTGGAGTTTGGTTTGGTCCATTATTTAGCAGGACGAGGACCACCTAACCAACAAAGTTATTATTCAACTGAGAAGGAACCTTTAATCGGATCTCTTCTTCTGTCTTACGTGTATAATTACACATGAAGAATAGCCACTGCCAGCAGCAATAATGTGGTTACCAAATTGGGATGGATTTGCATGATGCAATCGTATCTTAGCTGGTTGTCTCTTCTTCAATAAAAATTTGACAAAGGAATGAAATTACATAGGGTTTGTTAGTCAAAACTTAACACGAATACCTACCAAGGCCACTCATGGTCATCTTCTAAGAGCCATGCGGGGCTCTTCTTCTGCAGTAAAGATGGACTTGTGGTCAGGGTCAAATCCCAGTCGTAAATCGTGATTGATCATCATCAATACATTCCAGTTTTTTGTTGTTTTCTGAGCATTAATTTGCTGACAACCAACAAACAGTGATTAAAATAAGGCATGAACATGTTCTCGTGTTTTTCATGGGGGTTTTGTTGTCCAGATGGGACCATGCATGGCCACAATCCTTTTTAAGTAGTGCTTTAAGTACATATCTATCTGTTGCATAAACGGATTGGTTTGGTTCCAAGATTTTTACCAAAGTCTGGACAATTAATTGGCGACATTTTACTCATGATGGCAGCATGTGTGGGGTGTGCTCGTTGGGAAAGCGGATCTTCCAGGTCCGTAAAATAAAATCGTTGGAAGAAATACACAAGAAGAGTCTGAAGAGTAGTAGGATTCTGGAGCATCCAGTATGCAAATTAAATTGCATACCTCATTTTTTGCGCATCTTTACGTGTTTAAGAATGTTATTATGTAATATATATGCGACGATGAGAAGGTACATACTCAGTTACTAACCTTTTCAGACTTCAGACCACGCCTAATATGTGGCTTTGCAAAAATATTGGCATCACAAAAATCTCAATTTTCAAACTATTTTTCCAATTTTTAATGGGGTTTCAAATGGGCTATAAATTGATAAAAGTTCAATGAAGCCGGACATTTTTTTTTGCAATTTAATGCTAGGCATGACTTGCACTAAATTTTAGACACTTTTACAATCTCTTTAAATAACTCCTGTGGTGGATAAAAATAAAATAAATAAAAAAATTTAAACGTAAAAAGTTCAAATGAAAACGACTTTTCAGAAGGTATTTAAAGAAACCCAAATAGTTGGTATAAAAGCAAAGTCGTCAACAACGTATTTTCCTAGCATGCAAAAATGTTCAATTGGCGAGTTTGTCTCTCTGATCAACACAAAAGATTTAGTCTCCCAACACGCTGTGTTGTCTCATAAACATATAAACATGAATGCGAATAAAGGCAGGTATCAAATCACAGAGACTCGTATCATGAATTCATGCATGCGAATTAGGCAAGTTGGGAAGTCGACCTTGCCAAATCTTTAGCTCTTTTTCGCATACGTACCACACCCACCATGCAACACGTAAATGTTGTAGTTACGGAATGCCATGCCAAACCACAATTTATAGCGATACAATCTAGTCACCTACCCATCTTCTTTTAGTCGGACTAAAAAGCACAGAATTTTGCTCCTCAATTTTCAGTCTCAAAATTTGCAGAAAATTTATTTCTTTTATAGCTCACACAAGTCTGGAAGCTTTTTTTAAAAATCCATTAAATGATAGATAGCACGAATGTACTATATTTTTGTAGTTAAGTACATCGTCTTTTTTGTATTATTGGCTGAGGATGAGATCTTTAACTATTTTAAGTACGTACACGGAAAAGTATGTCTTCAATAATTAGCTATTCACGTTGTTATTCGATTATGATATGATAAGGATTGAAGATGATTTTTATTTCAGCCATCATCCAACGGTAATATGTATTTATTTTAATGCAGATAAATTGATAGTCTACAGTGTTTGATGGTCTCCTCTACAATGTATGTATGTACGTACGTTCATAGTAACATCACCCCTTATTGTCTTTGTTACTGATTGTTGACTAACATGACACACAACTTCACTGTCCAACAATGCATTGACAAATCTTATATTGACTCCTTTCTTTCGCAGAATGCCAACCAATTGATATTGGCGAATGCATGACAAATGACTTATTGATGAGAGCATGTTGGACCACGACCACGAGCGTCTATTGGAATTACGAAGCTTCCTTGTCTGAATTATTACTTGGCTGGATGAATTCTTTAACTTTGCGTTACATTTATGCAAATAGACCATCTATGGCAAAAGTACTTACCTATTTACTGTGCACGTAAGTACTTGATATTTGACTGCCATGCTGGAAATGGATGATAAAATGTGTGCTTTTATTTAGATATAGGGGGACTCAGCGTATAAAAGCGATTGACCACGGTACCCACCCATCACATTTCATTTGCTAGTTGCTTCTGCATTTTGCAAGAATAAAACGCAAATCTCTTCAAAAATGAGTCCATTGGTGAGCAAAAAAATATTTTATGACCTTGACATTTACAGTTTTTAAAAATAATATTCTAATAAAATTTCACAATTAGGCCTTATTGCCTCTCTTCGCCGCGGTCGCTTTGGCCGCTCCTGGAGCCGTGCACCACCAATTTCCAGCCTCCACTGCCCCCTTGGGTACAGGTTTGGTCGCTGCCCCAGCAGTAGCCGTCGCCCACGCCGCTCCAGCCGTCGCTGTTGCCCCAGCCGTCGCGGTCACTCACCACGCCGTGGCTCCAGCCGTTGCTCAAGTTTCCGTTCCAAGTATGACCCCCAATTGACCTCGTAAATCATGGTTTAACTAACAATGTCCGTTTATCTTTTTAGTCACCAAGACCATCCACTACGAGACGAAACCCGTCGTCACCGGATATTCATCTCACATCATCAAACCAGCCATCCCACACTTTGCTGCTCCAGCCCTTCAAGCCGTTTCCGTCCAACAACACGTTGTCGCTGCACCAGTCGCCGTTCAACAGCAAGTCGTCGCCGCCGCTCCAGCTCCAGTCGCCGCCGCCCCAGCTCCAGCTGCTGTCGTCGCTGACGCTGAAATTATCGAAGCCCGTGCCGCCGTCCCAGTCGCAGCAGCTCCAGCAGCCGTTGCCGTTCAACAACATGTCGTCGCTGCCGCCCCCGCTTTGGTTCGAGCACCTCAAGCTGGTGATTTTGGACCACTTGTGACCAAGGAAAATGTCTTGGCCCCAGTCCGAACCCATACCCAAATTATTCCACAAATCACCCAAGTTCAACCAGAGGTCACGGTCCGAAAGGTCGTTCATGATGTGGCTGTCCACACCCCAGTCGCCGTCCAGACTCCAGTCCACTACTCGGTCAACCAACCAATCGTCGCACACACCAACGTCATCTCCACCGGACACCATTTCTTGGGTCATGCTGGTCATCAATTCGTCTTGTAAATCTCCTTTAAAGACTAATTTTAAAGAGGAATTAGAAGAATGATATTATATTTTTACAACGACCGACATTTTCCACCTTTGGTATTATTTTACTGTTATGATGATGATGAGACTATCAAAATTTAACTGAGCAATAATAAATTGGCACAATGTGAATCAAATAAATTTGTAAATTATGTATGATATATAAGTCATTTTATTTATTTTGATAAGTTTCATGTCAAATGGTTGGTTAAAAAGTTTGTACTGTTGTAAATAATTTTCAATTTTCAATATTAAGTTAACTGTCATATTTATAATTAATATTTATGCATATTATTTTTTAGGCCTTTTTAGGTCATGACTAGAGGTCACTCTTTTACTTTCGGCTCAATTTGCACTCTTCATGCCAATTTTTGGGAAGGAATCGTTGAAACTTCCGGATAAAAATTTTGAGGTCACATGAAGCTTGTGGGCATCCAAGGGGCTGAAGTACGTAAGGATCCCGAGAAGTGTCGTTTCGATATAAAACCTGAAAAGCATGGATGGCAAATCAATAGTTATTACAGATTTAGTGGCATCGAACAATGTGACCATGTAATAAAATTACATCAACAAAATAATTCCCCGACGTAACGTTCATGTTGAGCTCGATCATTAATGCACTCGCATAACTGGGCTGGTGGACGTCGTAAACTCCCAACGTGTCCAGAACCGCGGTGAGCGTCAGGTCATGGGCGGAATAAGCGTATAACTTGCGATGTTTAGTGCCAGGCTTGCGTCGAACGCGGTGATCCATGTGGCGAATTATTTCCTGCGTTTATTATGTAAGTCAGTAGATTAATTTGTGCAGATATTTGTAATCATGATAACCTCACTTTGACTAATGGACCACCTCGGAGCCTTTTCATCTCTTCGGTATATGTTGCCATTTTGAATGCAAAGTTGGACAATTTCTGCATAGCTCCTCCCGGAAATATCTTCCTTGTCCATTCAGGAATAGTATAGTTTTTCAGGGTCTGCAATTAATTTAAATTTATTAGAATGGCTATTTAAAATTAGCTATTTATTATGTATTTGTTTTTACCTGAATGTAAAGGATGTTGTTAAACTGGCTCAATTGGATAAAATTGCTGATAACTTGACCACTATGGTTAGACACGTAGTTTAAAAGCCATCCATGTTCGATTAACAATTCTCTAACTTCGACCGAATTTTGTGGTAAGTCTTTATGCAGTTGCTCCCACTTGGGACAGGGTGCTCTGACTTGGAGAAGTTTCTATTTACAAATTAGAGAAATATTTTAGGAATATCAGTAATATTCAATTACAAAGTTTTGATTGAATTGCATTATTTACATTGTCCTCGTTCATGGGAAGAAGGTTCACTGGAATAGAGGAAGAAGTAGCGTTCTGTCGATATCCGGCAGCGACATAATTGTTATCAGCATCCGTGATAAGTTCACTCTCATTAAAGAACCCCCGTAAATTGGAGAACGCACTTTGAATCGTCCTATTCAGGCTGGAGGATTCCACAAATACTTCTTTCGGGTCAAAGCGTGGCTGGAGAAAGCCAGAAGTTATGTAGCGATTTCGGAAATATTTTCCCAGCTCGTGATGTTGCTTCATTCCAGTCTAAATCATCAATTTAAAAAAAACTGTAGCTTAAGACTTTAAATATTTCTGAAATTAATGGATGATTTATTAATAATTAAGATGGCTTACTCGAGTAAGTTCACCAAAACCATCCGGCTAGAAGAAAAATCGTGGTTAATCATAAATTGTCTCATGATTAAAAATGCTTGAAGTACAATTTACCCAGAAGGAAGGGTCTTTATAGGGGTCGGTGGGATATGTCTTTTCTGGGTTGCGGTCTCCGTGCCTCCAAATCTGATTAGTGATTAACAAGGACAAGGTGCATAAATTTCCTGGTAAATGTTGATTAATTATTATGTCATAACTCACCAAATGAACCAATTTCAGTTGAATTTCTCCCGAAGAAATGGTTCCTTGTGCTCGACACATTTGTATAGTGATAAAAATCAAGAGGATAAAATATAAATGTAAAAAATCTACTAACAAAAATACAATAGTCATTGTTTCAAATAAACAAAATAGTGCTCATACAAGAATAAAATTAGTTAGAAAATTAAAAATCTACCGGAGACCAAACAACCAACAACTAACCCAAAATCCGACTCGTAGAAAGATGTGATCTTGGCTTTTATGATGAACATCAAGCGCTGATCTTGCGATTTGTTGGCTTTCCTTCCCAAGCATCGAATTACCATTTACTGGACTGATTTGGGTTTTCTTACATAAATTATGATCATTTGGTTATCAACAGAACTTGAGTTCAATGGGACAAGATTTACAAATCACAAAACTTTACATAAAAGTACATAAATGTGTCCACTTGTGGATATTAGCCTATTTTGATTGATATTGAGTTCGTTGAATCTCACAATTTTATTATTTTACACTAGTAAATAAGTTAAATCTCTTATAAAACAGATTTTTAACCATTCAGTAAAGTTCCAAGTGTACAAGCGAAAAAAATACAATGCGACAAATTTTTAACGCCATAACCATTGTGACGATGATTCTAACTTTTAGCTCATACACAATTATACGAGGAGAGAAAATACTATTTTTCTTTGGGGGAGGAAGTTACAGTCATAAACACAGCGTTTGGCCGTGGTAAGTTTTAACCAAAATTAGTGTCTTATTTACAAATTGGTAATTTAAAATTTTAGTAATTCAATATTATCTGTTTGAATTAGGACAACAGCTTTGGCGGAACGCGGTCACAACGTAATTTTCATATCCGCACATGCAAAATCGCCTTCAAACCATCCAAATATTTCTGATCTTGCGTCCCCCACCCTCAGCAAGTTGATGAACCAGTCGTACGACGTTGACCGCTTTCAGCAGAGGGAGCGAGGACAAGGTCAAAATATTTTGACGAATTACAGCAAACTCTCCGCCGACATTTGTGAACATGTGATTCTACGGTCGGAAAACGACCCAATTCTTCAAAAGCTGCTCCACAACGAAACCTTCGACTTGGTCATAATCAACATCATTTTTGGAGAATGCGGTTACATTTTTGCGCATCGTTATGGTGCAAAAACAATTTTATTTGATGCAAGTGTTCCTCTGTCGTGGTGAGTAGGACACATTTGAAATTCACTTATATTCGTTGACTATATTTTTAAAAAAGTTTAATTAATTATCGCCTCAGGTTTTACGACGTTTTTGGGTATCAAGCCGACCATGCTTGGATTCCTGATGTCATTATGAAGTACGAAAATATTCCCATGTCATTCTTCGATAGGATGAAAAATACAATGTGGCCAGCTTACGTGTACTGGGTGAGCAATTAGCGCATAAATTTTAATTATGTATGAAATACACGTAAATTATGAAATTATATATTTTTGATGTAGAATAGATACACCGTCATGTACCCAGAATTTGACCGAATTATAAAACAAGCATTTCATCCCCACAAGATTCCAGCTTTCCGTGAACTGGAGCAAAATGTTAGCCTGGTCATGGTCAATTCACATCATTCCTTCGACTTTGCTTATTCATTGCCCCCTTGCGTGGTGCAGGTTGGAGGGATGAATGCTTATCTGCCGGAAAAGCCCATCCCTGAGGTTGGAAATACAAAGGATTATTATTTCTGTTTATGATTCTTATAATAATTTGTTTCCAGAAATATTTAAAATTCATGGACGGTGCCGGGTCAGCAGGCGTGGTCTTAATTTCGTTCGGTTCGACCGTGAATTTGCAGAAAGTTGATCCATATTATGGCAACATTTTTTTCCAAGTGATCAAAAAGCACAAAAATGTACGATTCATTTTAAAATGGAATGGACCCTATCCAAATGGATATGAAAATGGGTTGGACAATTTACTCTCTGATGTTTGGCTGCCACAAAGGGAACTTTTAAGTAAGTTAATTATAATACTAACAATTTTTACTGTACGGAGTGCCATTTTTTCAAAATTATGTATTTTTATTAGGGCATCCCAACCTCAAAACTTTTGTGACTCATGGTGGTTTGAATTCAATTCAGGAAGCGACGTTTTATGGATTGCCAATGATTGTGATGCCTCTGTTTGCAGGTATATTTCCGGTATTATTGGAAACTTAACTTATTAAGCTTAATTTATTTCTGGATTATTTTTCAAGACCAGGACTACAATGCTTATCGAATTGAAGCACAGCAAGTCGGATTCAGAATAGAAATTCAAGAGCTGACTTTTCAAGTGATGGATGAAGCCTTACAAAAAATATTGTGGAATAAAACGTATGTACATACACACAAATTATGCTATTAGTTGGGAAAAAGCGATAAAGTTTGATGCTTATCGATACAGGTATCAAAAGAACATGGCGGTGAAAGCGCAGATTTTCCGGGACCGACCTCAAAGCCCATTAGAAACGGCGGTGTATTGGACGGAATTTGTTTTACGAAATGATGATGTCACATCTTTGAGACCTATGATTTCTCACTTAAATTGGTATCAGCGTCGATCGTTGGACGTGTATGTGGTTTACGGGCTTATCTTAGCTTTGCCCTTGTGTATATTAGGGATAGTCCTGCTAGTTATCATTCGAAGAGTTTGTATTCTGAGAAAAGCTAGAGTTCCCTCAAAGAAAAAGAGTATCTAGTGTATATTAGATAATAATATTAAATATATTTTTGCAAATCGTTGTTGAAGGTGCATTATGGGTTATCTCATTTATTATGGATAGAGGGATGAAACGGTCAAAAAGTGAGATAACATACAATGCACTTTCAATGGCGAAAATTGTTATTATCGTTATAGTTTAAACATAATTAACGTTATTAATTATTTGTTGTAAGTTGTTCATTTATTTATATTGTCCAAGTTAATTATTAGTAATCGTTACAAAAAAATAAAAATAAATTACAAATTAAAATCGTTACGAATTTGAATTTATTTGCAAGTTAGTTAAATCTACTTAAAATTATTTTTCAAAACCTAAAAAACATGGAAAGAAAAGTTGAACAAAGTGAAAACGGTCTTTTGGAAAATATGAGAAAATTGGAAGCGGGACTGAACTCGAGGGAAACTTTTTACCCGAATTGATGAAAAACTTTCACCGTTTTTAATTTTGTTTAATTATCTTTAAGTTTATACCACCTCATTTTATTGTGTGAACATTTGTTTTTTAATAATTCGTAATATTTTACATAATTCCTGAGATTTGCAAGTGAAGAAATTACTACTGCCGGACAGAAACAAGTTGAAACGGCTGAGAACTCAAAGTCACGGGTAATTCACAAATGTTACAAAAGCCTCAAAATGTAGTTTCGTAATTATTGAAATTATGTTATATTCCATTTTTTTCGAGAACTCATTCTTTGTTGTGTTTATGTCTATTATGTGCGTCTCATTTATTTTCCATTCCATATCCATCCTTTTTTCCTGGATTTTATTGATCAATCTTTCCATTTCATTCATAAAAATCCTGCACCACGGTCGTCTTTCTTCTGCGTAGTTGTAGATTTGGTGAAAGTAGGTGTGTTGGTGTCGGTGTGAGATTTGTACGGGTGCTTTCTCTATTATTTTCCTTTGTACCATTATTCACACGCCTTGTCAACGTCACTTTCACTCTGATCGGATAAACAAGTGCGAAATTCTATTTGATTTTTGCTCGCATTCATGAAAATAACATTGGGCACGTGGGTGGTGGGAGGGTTGATTCATTAAATTTCATTGTTTATAAACATAAATTATGGACTACGGTCCGTGAACAATTGACGCTTCATGCGCTATCATTAAATCAAACTGAAGGTTGTCGTTATCAATAAGTTTCACCGAGAAATTCGGTTACCGATTTGTTCTTTTTGCATGGCAGTGGCAATCAATAAGATTTTTTTGTGTGCCAAGACCGCAAACAGCATGCATGTCACTGGAAAATAATGATCAAATTGTCCAACATCGACTTTCACCCTGAAGACTTATGTATAGATCTGATTGATAACGTTACATATATTAGCAATTCCTGAACTTGGCACATGACGGTGAAAGGATAATGACTTATTTCCCTAGAAAGAGTTACCAAATTTCTGCCCGATATCGACTTAACATAGTTCACACCACGGGTAGAAAGGGAATAAAAAGAAAGTCGTAACGGTGGCACTTTTCAGTCCAGTCACACACAAAACGACTTTCATTGTTCGTTATATTATAGCTTTGCTTGACGGTACCCAGTTGCTGTTTCCGAGAGCAATGGGGACATTCCATTGTGATGGTCAAAAGTTTCCACCTTCAGGGTCAGTCTGTAGGAAATGAGGTTCAAACACGTGTCCACTTCTACACGCGTAAAAGAACAGTTTTAGCAAAATAAGCGCAATATGATGTACTACGCTAAAGTAAAATCCGCATATTTTTCTGACGATATCAAGGTTAAATTTAGCGATATTACAAAAATATCAGTCGAATTTAATATTTTGTATGTATTTAATAGTTTCAGATGGAGTGGTTACAGGAGAAAATTCAGAGCGTGCCATTTGTCTCTCAAGATGATGGGATCGAGAAAGTGGTACCAGTCCAAAAACCCACAACCACGAAGTCGTTACCAGCTCAAAAACCCACAACTACAAAATATTATAATAGCAAGTTTGCTCAGTTTGATACAATTTGTGGGGGTGAATATGATTTCGAAAAAGTTCCTTCGCCGAAGCCCGTCTCTAATAATACTCCCAAGATGACAACGAATGGAGTAAATTCTATCAGCATGGACAATGGAATTCTCAATATACACATTCCTTGTGCTTACTCTTTTCCTTATCAACCGGTCAAAGAGAAACAATCGGCACAGCAGGTACAATGTAAACCATTTATCAAATGTAACAACTCATTGTTTTAATATTCTTTGCACATTCTTTGCAGAAACAAAACACATCGACAAGGAGAACTACAAGAGATCTTCAAAATTCAAAGTCCAAGAGTCAAACTTCATTGCCAACATCGTCCACTAATTCTCGAAGGAGAACAAGATCAAGACCCAGAGATAATAATGCTGATTGCTATGACCCTTGTGCCCCATCTGCGCCTCCTTTCTGCTCTACGGTTAAATCCATTCGAGGTCCTCCAAACAGAGGTTATTTCGAGTCTTATTCAGCCCAACCGGATTGCGGGGGTCCACCACAAGGCCGAGTAAAAACCTCGATGAAGTGGGATTTTGATACTGGAGTGCAGATTCCTGTCAAGAAAGTCGATTATGGAGAAGAACTTTACGAACAAGCCGTTCAAATCTGGGCGAAGCAATTCGCTTTAGAAAAAGGGAGAAACGGTTCTAAAATAAACGTTGGAGCAATCTTGTCCTCCATGAAGGATGATACCAAAAAAGAGGAGAAATGTCGAGACTTCTCAAAGCCAGCATTTCACTCCAGCTTGAAAGTTACCAATGAGTTAACCAAAGCCCTGGATCATCTGAATCAATTGCCAGACCAAATGGAACGCATCTTTTTGCATGATGATAGATTTGAACCGATTGTTCTTGACAGGGTGAGTATTTATCAATTTTTGTTCAATTCGTCCAATTCATTTCATATAAAATTAATAGACTATTGGCTAATAATAATTTTCTTCATGATTTGCAGGCAACAAAAATTCTAAATGTGCCTCGTGAAAAGAAAGTTTTCAAGGATTTGGTCTCTGTCGAACCGAATAATGCGATAAAGGACAGAGTGACGAAATCAATTTCGGATCAAATTAAAGCAGTGAAGCCGGGGACGAGGTCACGAGATGCGGAACCAAATTTATTGGATTATCAACAAGTGTCTTTCTCAAGAATTAGGCCTAAACCCGTTCCTCCTCCACCAAGACCGCAGGCCGGTGTTGGTATTGATATTCGAAGCCAGACTAAATATCAAATGATCAATGCAGACAAACAGTTTGAAGACGCTGCAGATAAATTATAGCAGAATTATTTATTAGAGATTTACATAAATAATCAACTGCTCATTTGTAATATTTTAGTATTCGCTTCTATGCTACTGCCAAAAAAACAAAGTTCAAATTTCATGTGTTCTTTTGATTTATTTAAGTATGCATGTCTTATGTATAATGCAACGTGCACCAGTAAATTTATAAAAATGTATAGTTTACTCGTTAATCTTCAAAATCACTATTGTGCAATTAATGTCACTATACTATCTTGTTTATTGCTTTAAGAAGGCATATACGTTGAAAAAATCTCATAACTAAAAGACAGAGACGACGGTTGCGTCTCCTTGTGTGCCGAGAGATTTTTTGCTAATGAGGGGGGGGCGGGGCGAAGAGAGCAGCTGATTTTCATGTAAACAATACAGGCAGTTGCATGTAAAAAGTTGCTTTGGGTTTTGAGAGTGACCGTTCCCACTCTCCAAACGGGGCATCGCGAACCAGAAAAGGAGAAAAATTTCGACTAAAACTTCTAATTTGCAGCTAATACAAAATGGATTGATTTCGTTTTGGTGGCAATAAATTCCCAAGTTTGTGCTTTACAATTGCCATGTTGCATAAATTCCATAATAAATCTCAGAGAAAAGTATTGAACTGAAACATGGACTCATATCATGTTTCAGTCCAATACTTTTCACCGAGATTTATTATGGAATTTATGCAACATGGCAATTGTAAAGCACAAACTTGGGAATTTATTGCCACCAAAACGAAATCAATCCATTTTGTATTAGCTGCAAATTAGAAGTCTTAGTGACAAAAATCATTTACATTACTGGTAAGTGGCGAGGAGAAAAAGTCAACTCGCTCACTAGGATGCCCAGACTGTTCCCTAACTCAAACTTTAATATTTTATTTTGCTTATCAATCCCCAACCCTGAAAAGACCACGAATATGTCCAAATATATATTTGTTTGTGTCTTGAAGAAGATGAAGATGAAAGTAAATGAGGATGAAAACGAATAAATCTTTAAATATACCCAATTTAATGATCATTTGCCCCAAATTTATTGCCCATTAAAAAATTATAATTATTGTGATGGTCTTTTGCATTATGAGAACTTTTTATGGATGTGCATATGGCATATGGCGTGGTACACGCATGCAGTATCGATTGGAGCCTTCTTACGCCCACGACCGATTATTCAGCTCACCTTGAAAATTCTTCTACAAGTTCGTTTTTTCCCTTGACCAAGTCAACTTATTTTTCTCTTAATCTTGTCTTGTTTGTCCGGGGGAGAGATTGGTCATTGGTGGGCCATAAAATTGAGACAGATTCAATCACACAAATTTAGCAACAAAAAACCGACCCACATCCAAATCAGGTACAATAATGCGGATATTGATGACCAGGATTAATAAGTATTGTGGAGCAGCCCACCAACCAGGCGTTGACATGAAATTTAGTGAATCTTATCCAGAAACCAGCGAATGGTATAATTTTCTAAATTAAATACGAGATAAACAAGTTCCACATTGATTGATTAAATTAATCCAAAATTAATTCAAATTACAAAAACTCTGTCAAAAATTATTCTAAATTTAATCAATATCCTCTCATCAAAATAGTCCAGAACAATTAAATTCTCATTATTTTACTCCAAAAACCGTGGGCAAACTATGTCAAGCATTCCGTATTTGACATGAGGAGGATGACACACGACGATCACCAACTGGGCGTCTTATCATTTACGAGAAGGGTGCAAAAAAATGGGAGAATAGGCGTTCCTCACCTTTACAAGAGCCCCCACCCAACCGCTTCGCCAAGTCTGATATCAATTCCCGTCAATTGAGGCGACCTAAAATGTGAATTATGCAAGTTAATGGAATCCGCACTATAATTATGGAGAGCCAATCTGGTTTGCAAAAGCTTCATCTCATCATCCGTGTGTGTCTATGCATTGACTTATTTGTTGTCTATGTCCATTAAAAGTTAACAAGGTTTCGTCCAGATATGTCGATGAGAAGATGATACGTACATAAAATTGCATTGTCTCATTATTTATTGTGATATGCAAGTATGTATTACGCGTTTTCTTTATAATACTCTGTCGTGAATTTATGAATTGGAAAAATTTTAACAATGGCAGGTATGTATTCCTTAAGTGCAAGAATTGCGAAGACCCGATGGTTTGGTGGTTTGTGTTGGTCCACAATCCACCCAGGCAGTAACTTTTTTAAAGTTTACACTTTGAAGTCTGCAGATTCATCCAGTCTTTGTTGAATCGTGGTCTAGCGAAGATCATTCGTACCTCGTTTCTTTAATTCTTTTATACACACAGGAGGAAGGAAGATGATAAAGTTCCCGAAATATTTGGTGGTATGTAAATATCTACGAATTATTATTTATAGATAATTAAACTAGTTAATTATAATGATGGTAATTAATTAATTAACTAATTAATTTCTAGGTGCTTCTTCTCGTCGCATCTGCCTCGTTGTCAGCATGCCTTGAAGAAGAGACCCCTCAAGGGAACAAGAGAACGCCACGTCGCGCCCTTCCCTCCGTTTCGGGTGATCATTACTCTGAAGTCTTGTCGGATGGGACGTACAAGTAAGTTTTTGTTGAGAATAAACTGTAAAATGCAAATTAGATATCTTTTTTTACCAGAAAAATTTCGCTATAGTAGATTAAATCGCATACGTATCTATCTGCACATTTATTAAAATTACCATAATCTCACCAACCCGATCCTCTAGCTTCTCCTCGAGGAAAAAACAAGTCTCAATAAGGCACGGCCAAAGTCAGTCAATACTACAATTCTTAATCTGCATGCATGCATAAACACCGAGGAGACCGAACCATTTAGTAATTTTGCTTGTCGGTTCATTCAACTTGAACTTGGCGTTGTAGTTATGTCCAATATGTCATGGATTGCATATTGTGTTTCATATTGTTACCCAAACTTGTAGCGTTGCTGTAATATTTGCCAACAAACAAAACAAGTGAGCAGAGTGCAGCAGGAAAGTTGGACTTGCATCATTCATGTCGGGATGATAATTGAAGAGGCATGAAAACATGCATCTCATGAGATTCTTTTTGCAACCGATGAGATGAGAGATCCGTATTATGGACAATTTTGTAACGGTAGGGAACTCCGACTGGTTTGTGCCAATTATGTGATTAAGTCTGATTGATATTGCGTGATGAGTTTACAAAGTCCAATTTCTGCAGGTGTGTGGTATATGTATGGAGGAATAAATTGATTTCTGAGAGGGGAAAGTTGAGATTTGGATATTTATTGTAGATATGCCTACACTGGGGAGCACCGTTACGTCGCCGAGAGACGCTTGGCCGATGGTTCTATCGAAGGAGAAAGTTTGTTCGTGAGACCGGACGGAGTTCCAGTGAAAGTTCATTACTTTGCGGATAAAGATGGTCAGTAGGAAGAGGAGGAAAATATTTTAGTGGTCATAATATGGTCAATTTGCGTGCAGGGTATCGCCCAAAGACCGAAGTTCTTTACAAGGAACGTCTCGGTGCTGTCCATACAAGAACCGTCGTTCCAAGCAATGTCGTCCGAGAAATTGTCGTTCCAGGAGTGCGAGAAGTTGTCGTCCCTCGACCTGGTCCATCCGTGGTGCTTGGTAAGTCGAACCAAATACGGTCACTTGTCATCAAAAATAACTAATTAATAATTGGATTACACGGAGTTAAGTGGAAAAGTCGAAGAAAAAGTTTTGCTTTATTTTGTCAATATTTCGAATGCTATCTGCTATTCATTATCAAGACATTTACAAGATGGGAAATTTGTTAATAACTAATTAAATAAAATTAAATAACTAATTAATTACTTAGCACCACCCACCACTGGTCACAACTCTGTCAACGTCAACGGAGGTGTCGGCGTCGGATACAGATCGGGTGGAGGTGACATTAACGTGAACACTTGGGGAGGTGGACCATCCGTTCGAAGTGGGGGCGGAAGTGGGACAAGCGACATCAATGTGAATACTCACGGAGGAGATGTGGCCGCTGCTTCTCCCTCCGTCACTGCCATCGTTGGTCCAGGAGGCCAAGCAATCGTTCGTCCCGAAGCGCATGCAAGAACATCTGGGGCCAATAAGTATTTTCGATCGGCGTCCTCGGGTTCGGGTGATGTCGCGATTGCAAACCCGCACACGACTGCGATCGTAGGTACGTTGTTGTATCAGAAACGAGGTGACGATACACTTTTATGAGGTTAAAATTTCTATAAAAACGTAAACTTGCAGGCCCTGGTGGATCCGTTCTCGTTGAGCCGAAAGCGTCTGCTTTTGTTGGAGGTAGTAGTATTTTTAAGACATAGTTTTGCTCAAGATATTACATCACTCTTGAATAAAATATGTACTTAGGTCAACCCGAAGTCGTCCGAGAAGTTCATCACCACACGCAATCCGTCGTAAGGGCCCCCACTCAGGTGGAAAGGGTTGTCGAAAGGGTAGCCGTTCCCGTTCACCAGCCACCAACGTACGGGGGTGGTTACGTTTATGAGGCCCCACGACCTGCCACAGTCGTTGTCCCTCATCCACCACCATCCGTCGCTGTCCGCTCTAGTGGCGTCCTCCTCGTCCCCCCAAGTTCAAGGTTGGACAAATAAAAATTTTGGAAATTTTGAACAAAATATATTTTTATGAAAATCTAATCGACACATAATAATTTAATAGATACAGCTACTCCTACGGCTACTCTGCCCCAGACCCAAAACATCCCCAGAGGGACAACAGTGCCTATGTCAATGTCAATGTTAACCATTAATTAATTCAATATTTCAACAACGACACTTATCGTAAAATAACCATGAATTCTTCTCGTACAAGTGTTAATATACAAATGCTTGTCATCTTCTTTACATGTTTTGTTCTTTTATAATTTTACAATATGACATTGTCGCCACTTCTTTATTAAAAAAAATAAACGTTGAAAAGTAAGCAAGCGGAATTTTCCATAAGGTTGTAAATATTGTTTGCTGCGTATGTAAATACTGCATCATCGACTAAAATAGATTGTCCTTATTGCAATTAGATCCTTAAACGAAGTCAAGGTTCGACATGCATGCATTATTTATCATGAATTGCATCCATCCTATAAGTTGCAATATTATTCTCCAAAAGGTGACCATCATCACCATCACCTAAAACTAACCTTCTAGACGCTTTTACAGTGCCCACACATTCAAGCCAAGCTATATAGGACTCCATAAAAGGCGCAATGAAGTTGCGTGAAACCTCGTAGATTCGCCAACGTCCACGTTGCACAAACAGTTTCTTCGCAGTCAATCGAAATAACACGAGTTATCAACAGTGTCATTTGTGTCAATATTTCTGTGAATTAGTTCAAGCAATCCGAAAATATGGAAATCTTTAGGAAATTCCTTACAATTTTGGCTGTAATATCAGTTTGCATCGCCCTGTCCTCTGCTAAAAATGAAACTGCAAGTACCACAACCGCGACCACGACCACTGCTGCCCCCAGTTCCACAAGTATTTTCATACATATGATAATAAGTTTAATAATAATTTCGAAAAATATTTATGAATTTTTATTCCAATTTTCAGCTAAAGTTTCGCACCGTCCCGTCAAAGAAGAGGGGTGTTATTGGACGCTTTGCAAAAGTCCGTTGACCTATGACCTAAAGTGTCCTCCAGAGACGGAGGAGCAAAATGAGAACGACGAGATGCCGTGTGAAGGAATCTTCCTCAGTTATCAGTGTTGCCCCCGGAAGGACGTGGTAACAAAGCCTCCGACCCCGCCTGTGGTCGGTGAGGACAAAGTTATCCCTCAAGGCGTTTAAGTTTCAATTGTTCAAAAGTACTTTTAAATCGTATGAACTGAAAAATAATAAATTTAGTAAATTATGTATGTCATCTTAGATATGAATTTGACTGAATTATGTTCAAAGTAAAAATACCATTTTTTAGACAACATTGTGAAATAAATATCATTTTATTACTGACTGCAGAGTTTTTTATTCGAAAAATGTCATAAATCTGATCCTGAGAAAAGTGAGACGAGATTAAATTGGTGTAAATTGAGAAAATTGAGACGAAATTGAGACATCACTAACTTGACTGACTTGATTTGACGAAAATGAGACAAAAATAAAATGAGACGAGCGGAATGTGGCAAAATGTACTCTTGTTGACAATCGTAAATCGTAAACTGTGTCGAGCGAACCATGTTTTTTAAGAATTTTTAATTGCATTGGTAATTTCATAATTTTCTAAAAACATTCAAAAATATATTAGAAATTACGGAAATTGATAATTACATAATTTCATTTACTTAAATTCCCCCTCTAGAGAACATACAATAATGAATATTCTTCCCCATAAAAGTTGGCATGTTCGCACGAAGAAGAACATTGCCCGTGTCCGGAAGGACGAAGCACAGGCGGCCGAAGAAGAAAAAGAACGTCAGCGAAAGATTGCCCTTGCCGGTCAAGAAGCGAGAACAGCACTTTTACGACAACGTGCAAGTGAACGATTAACGTCCGCATCGGAAGCTGCGCCAATTGCGACAAGTACGGAAGATCGCTCAATAACACTCGCCCCCGTTAACGACATCGTCCAAAGTGATGGACACGTAAACTTTTTCGTCGACGTGGAAGAGGGCCGACGTCAAGGAGGGGTGAATAAGGAGGCAGAAGCAGAAAAGAAACAAGAGCAGGAAGATTATGAGAAGAAGATTGGTTATCTAGTCTATTTAGGTAAGGAATATTCACTAAATTAATATTTCTAAATATTCTGAATTACTGAAAGTATAACGTGTTTTTATATTTAGGTCAAGATTCACACGAATCCAGTAAAACTCGTCCCTGGTACGCCAACATTGAGAGAGGAACTGCGTCTGAGCCCAAAGTGAAGGAAACTTTTGAAAAAATCAAAAATTTCGAGAACAGCGGATTCCTCCAAGGAACCACCAGCAAGAATTGTGATCTCACTCCTGACGAACTTAAATTAGCAAAATTTAAAAGTTTCCAAGACCCACTCAGCGATATTAGGAAATACTTAAAAACGCCAGGCGTTGCCCAAAAGTTGGAACAAATCAACAAGAAAACCAAAGCCCTTAAACGCAAGAGATCCCCGTCACCACCACCAACATCCTCGCATAGCAAGAAATCAAAAAAACACAAGACTGACAAATCTAAGAAGAAGTCGTCAAAAAAGTCTAAACACAAATCGCACCATAAAGATAAGAAACATAAAAGAAAGCATTCATCAAGCTCAACAAAATTAAAATCTTCGTCCTCATCATCATCTGGTGAAGAAGAGACCTCAGAAGACGAAATAAAACGTATCAACTTGGAAAAGTTGCGAGCCGAAAGACTTCAACGGGAGCGTGAAGAGCGTCGACGGACGGAACAATTGATGGCGAAATTACGTGGCGAAAAACCTCCGGAAGAGCTGGAGAAGGAGAAAGCCGCAATCGCAGAAGCAGAACGAGATGGAGGGTTCACGACAGGAACACGAGTCAAACAAAAGTATAATTCACAATTTAATCCAGACCTTGCCCGTCAAAATTATTAGTTCTTAAATTGTTACACATTTTTTAGAAAATTTTTTAAATATATTATTTTTTATTCCCATCATCACAGACATAAACGGCATAATATACATATTATTTGTAACATTTACTAATTAATTAATTTGTAACTCAGTATGAATATATCTAACCCAATCATGCACAGGAATTAGTACAGGTATTTTGGGTTTAATAATTGCATAGACACCAAGTGATTGACCGAGACTCGGGGCATACCCTTCGTACTCGTGGTCTCGTAACGTACGTAGATAACCTATATACTTTTCCTTACATAGTTTCTACATACATTGTAACATACAACAAGTCTAAAAAATAGCAGTTGGAAAATTGCAACGAAATATTAATCTTATCTGCGTGATAACTACTTTTACTCCCCAACTCAGTTCAAGTCCTTGATTTTTAAAATAGCTCAAAACTACTTTAGCTCTACATGGATGGTATCACTTATCATATGATTATCGCTTATCAACTTATCAATACCATACAAAATTTAAGGTTGTTGACTTCTCCCTAAAATTTTTATGATACATTAGATTTCAAATACTTTAAACGTGATGGGTATAAATTCCCTGCCCATGCGCAGGCGATAAGGATGCATTGTCACTGCCGCACGCGATATATTCCGGTATCGTGGACTCTGATGGTTCTCTGCGGAATCGATTGTTATTGATCCCGTTGGGGGTGGTGGTTCCACTCGAGTTGACCAAAGTGGACATTGTCCTTGCTCCGTTACTCTTTGCACTATTTACCGAGTTCATCGTCTCCGTTTCGGAAACTTTGGAGGGACTTTGACGTTGAGAACCCGTATCAACATTCTGCTCTACAGCGCCCCCACGTCGACGAGGCGATCCAGGAGAGTGGCAGATACCATACTGGAAATTTTAAAATATTATGTAGTTTCTTATCCAGAATTTTATTTAGATTTTTTAAATACCTTGTTATCATAAATCACTGGAAGTTCCATCGCCTTCTTTTTCTCGTCGTTTTTATTCTCTGGTTTGTTCTTTTGAGCATCTCCACTTCCACTACCAGATTTTGAACTAGTAGAACCACCGTTGGGATGAACGGATCGCCAAAAGTAGGTGACGGACGCGATAAACGCGGCAAGAATTAGAGCAATGACGACTAGACAAACTCCAACGAGGACTTTTAGGACGAAGATGTCCCTCTGTAGCGAACGGTAAAGGGATGCGATATCTTCTCCGCCAGAATTATTTTGGATCCGGATGTATCGTTCATCGTGAAGATAATCTGCATAAATTATTTAAAGAATGAACATTTTTGCAATGTTATTTCGCAAAATATGTACGAAATTTTTCATGAAGCCGAATTATTTCGTCATGAAAAATTTGCAAAATTTTCCGTACAGATTCTGCACGGTACTCATATCAGCAAATTGAGAATTTGCAATTTTTTGCTATACCTTGGCATCCAGATTCGCACGTGTCTTTACTAAAATTGTTACTTCCTTCTTTACAAATGCTTGTACAAGGGCTGCAAGTGTGATCGAATTCTCTGCAATACTCGTTCGCTGTAATAAGAGCCAGGAAAAATCATTCCATCAGTTTTCTCTCATGTTTCACTTTCTTTTTTGCCCCACTAAACAAATAAATACTTAATTTAATGACTTCAAATATGTATACCTGGACAAGTCAGCTCGCCACATTGCTTGCTCAAATTCAAATGAGCAAATCCTGGCCGTGGAAATAATAAGCTCGAAACAACCCCCACTAATAAAATTGATGGCAATAGTGTCAATTTCCTGGTGCACCCTCTCTTCAAAAATGTGAGTCCACTGAATGTTCCCATTATTCAGGAAACTAAACTTGTCAACCCATTATATAACTTTAAAATCTATACACAGTTACGAAAATTATGTCGCAAATTGTCGCATTTTGCAAATATTCCCTAAAAAAAACTTAGCACTACCAGAGTGCAATGTAGCACAGGTGCAGAAACCAAACCACTAAACTTTGCTTCTTTAAGGTACGTAGCACTAGAGAAGAGCGCAAATATTATTGTACCTCCACTGCCTCCGGGCGAACCTTACCCCACCAACCAAACCAAGTAATGAGTTGATTTAAAGGTGCAATAAGGCAATAAGCTAAGCGTTTCTGGTGGTGGTCGTGCCATCGTCGCAATAATAAGCATAGGATGAAGTATGCTAATACTTTTAGTATGCCATTTTCTGCGAATCAATTCAACAATGAGCAGAGGCAGAAGCATCACTTGGCTAAAAAGTTTGGTGGTTTGGTTTGGTTGCGTATTGCGAGTGGGCCGTAGTCATTCATTCTCCAATCTTCATATTTCAGTCCAGAAGTGCAAATTGGCACCAGAGCATTAAATAAATTATTGCTAAGTATAAGGAGAACGGAAAAGCCAAGCAGGATGATCGTCGAGAGGGTCATGAATATTTATGCCGTGCGTTGTGGATTTGATGGGCGAAAGAAAGGAAGCAGAATTTATCCAGATTGACATAATAATGAAATGAATGGAAATTTGAGCCTAGGTTTAAACATGTAATGATCAAGGTGAATAATGAATTTGTGTGTGTACACAGATTCGATTGGTCTGGAGGAACAGGTGAAGTGATGAGATGAGACGAGGATAAAGTGTTTAAAAACTGCATCTGCTAAATGAGATGATCAACAAAAATGAGTCAGACAAATCTCATTATCATTCAGTCACTGGTGGGTGATGTGTAAGCAATTAGCATGTTTAAATTTTGTGGCGAAATGCATACATAAATGTTAAGTTTTGCGTGGGAGGACCTTGTGCACCAATTAGCATAACGGATAATTTGACTAATTAACAGTTCTCGGCCAAGTTAGAAAATTGACAAAACTGGAGGAGGAAACAAAGAGAAATTATGTACATACAAGGTTTCAATTTATGCTACGGCGCTGTCTCTTAGGGGGACGGAATGCATAACAAACGCCAAAATTTACGTGCACAAAACACTCGACATGTTATAAACTCGAGATGATCGGGGAGACCACAATCGCAGGCACGACATGCAATAAAAAACTAACAATGCTTACTCTGGCCACGCCATATATGTAACTCAACAAACTAAACTACGTGCCATTCCGAAATGCAAATGTATGTAGCCGTGCAAAATGAGTGCTCTGAGCCTGGTTTTGGGAAGGTGCATGTAAAGCAAAGCGAATGTACATGCATATGAAGCTAAATCGTTTAGTCGATGCGATTGTGTGTCATTTTATTGGATAGTTATTGAAAACCGCTTAAATATTATTAAAGTGTTTGTTAAACATTATTGGTTGGTTGGTGAATTGTTTAAGAAATTGTCCTCGTAAATATTTCAAGTGGTGGTGGTGAAGAATGCTAAATATTATTATGTTATGACTTGCGAATTTACAGGCTGTCGAACTACTAGTAAGTATTTGACATGACTTGCCTTAAACTTTATATTAATAATGCAACGGATGTTTACCTTGCAATATTATTATACGCATAGTAATAAGGTACACACTTAATGTGTTTAATGTTTAGAGATGTAAGATGTGCATGACAGCTAAACATTTGAAAAGTTAAGGAGCAAATGAAGCTCCATTCATGCACTAACTGAATATTTATGTATATGTAAAGCAATGTATTTAGGAAAGTGGAATTTTGCAAGCTGAAAGTATTATGCATGAGTTGCTTCAAGACGATCCTTCCCCATCCCGGAATTGGATAAGGATAACCATGAAAGTTATAATTGTTGACCAAATCTGGAAATAAAATTCGCAGAAATTAAATTGGGAACAAGAATTTAACATATGAATTTATCTCATAGATTTTTAGATTTTTAGAACTCACAGAAGTAATCAGTTTCCGGTTCATAGTGAAAAATTTTCCTAAAAATAATTTAAAATGCAAGTACATTTTATTTTTTATGAAATCCAGCATCGATCTTTTTCATACCGGGTTCCACAGCGAGATGATCAAGCGTCATTTCCCTCAATAAAGATTTCACCTACAAGAAAATTCAAAAAAAATTGAGACACGGAAACTTACGTGATTTTCGGATTATCTAAATTAAATTACCATCAGTCTCATTTCCTCATTGTCCAAATCCACCTCGATACGACACAACCTTTCATAGATTTCTCCATGCAAGACGCTCACATTTTCAGCTTCATTAGACAATTGATAAAGTGTCCTTAGACCCAGCATGACCGGAATACTCCGAGAAATTGTTGGCGAAATCATGCCCGATAAAATCCACGAAAATCCAGAAAAGCATTGACACAATATCTGCACCGAGTTGTAAGCTATTTCGCTAATCAAGCTTTTCTCAAAGTGACGCGTATACAATTTGAGAATTTCACTAATTTTTCGATAATCTTGAATCCAAGTTTGTCTCAACTGAGGCGATTTTTTCAGCTTTGTTTCACTCAGTTCCTGGTCCAATTCTCCTTTCAGAGTTTCCAACAATCCTTGCACAATTTTTAGGGGGAATGTCGTCCAAGCCGTCATAAAAAAGTGGAGACATTGATAAACATTCCACATCGTGGAAACTATCATATGTACAAAAAATAATAGGTGACCCCCTGGTTTTTCCAATTCTGCTGCATGACTGAAGGCAAAAGTTGATACAAAATATAGAGCAAAGATTGACGTAGCCATGCAATTTACGGTCACCGTTCGGCTGATGGATAGCTTGATCCTGATGAATATCGAGGACTTGAAAATGCTTTCTGTTCCTGCCGGTCCTTCAATTTTTTTCAAGGAACTGACGAATTCAGACCAAAATTTCAGTGGCTGTTTATAGAAAATTAGACCATACGCCCGTCTCCCAAAGATCATGTAAGTTGTTAAAAGTCCAGACATTCCGAGCGCAAATTTCTCCGTGGCTCGCTTAATTTTGAGAATGGTGAATATCTGCGAGGCAAAAAAGCGGTACCAAAGGGCAAATACGACCAGTTGGATGATTGAGAGGAAAATTGACCAGATGAAGGGGAAACTTTTTGGTTGGAAAGAAAGTTGTCGTCGCCGCTGATCTGGGGATGAAATTATGCAGAGAGGCAAATATCCAATTAGTTGGCTGGACTTGATGGTACTTTCACCAACGTCGAGTAAATCTGATTCCAGAGTGTCCCCGGGACCAATATCGTTATTTCTAGTGTCCTTTTCTGTGAAATTTATTGGTTCGACATGGATAATTTTTTCTGGAAACATAATTCCTCGAGATGCTGCTATATATTCTTCAGGAACTTTGAGAATTTGGAAAATTTTTGACCAAGTGTACGCCTTATTCTGCTCCATGATGTATGCATACCTGTCAAATAGGAACTTTCGAACCTGCCTTCCTGAGCCCAACTCATCAGTTATCGTCCAGATCTTAGATAATTAATATGATAATGGGCCAAAGAATTCTGCGAATATGATGAAATTATGACTTGATGTGACGTCCGATGCTGGATTGACTGACAGGAAATTACTTGATACAATTATCTAATTAGCCTAAGTGCACCATAACATTTGTTCTGTTTAATAAGTAAGTAGACCAAACAATATTTTATTCCGGTAAACTAAATACGTACAACTAGTTGCATTTTTAGTCTATAATTATGTTAGTATTTTTCACATCAAATTTATGGCTTATTAAGTATTTAAGTTGTGTTAATTCGGTTTATTTGAAGCAAAATAGCACCGCTTAATATTATAATTAATACAATGGTAGGCATACTTATTTATGATTACATATGTACTTGCATCCGTTGAAACAGTCCAGTCATGTCAGAGTAAATATTTAAAATGCAAGCTGTCACAATTTATTGGTTCTGGTTGTTGAAGATCAAAAGCGGAAATTGATGTCCATCATTACTTCCAGTTTGATCATTTGAAGGATTATTTCCAAATCGCACCCTCGTTCCACCTCCACCATTTCCGGTTTGTGCAACGGCTGCCGAGTTGACGCTGACGAAGCCACCATTCCTCACGCTAACAAAAGCGCCCGGAATGAACCCCACAATTGCGACGGATTGTTGCTTTTGTGCCCCATTGTTGCTGCTAGTGTAGCCTTGATATCCTGGCGAAGTGTCCATGTCCACGTAAACGGGAGGATTCGGCTTGGTTCCGACTTGATTCTGCACCATTCCCATGTTTTGATGGGGCACTTGAGGGTCGTGTCTCGCATCCATTGGAATCGATCCGGCGAGATGGGCCTTGAGAGAGGTGGGGAATTTAGAGGTGAACGCGTCGTTATTCGAGGTCATGTAGTGCGGCGATCCACCGACAGAGACGTAGTAAAAGTACCCTTAAAAATTACAATAATTAAAATAATTTATAAGTAGACAATTCTCCGGTTTTGGGGGATAATATTTCATTTTATTGGAAAATTTTACTGAAATCAATTTATTTGCCTTGGGCCAATTTAAGATCTTTAAAATCTTCACCTGGTTGAGTTGCCCGTGTCTTATCATCGCCACCGACATGATTGGGGGGTTGATCAGTATTTGATTGCGTATTTCCAGAAACTGTGTTGGCCTGGTTGGGGACAGAGATTTGATATTGCTGCTGCTGCTGAGACTGCTGCTGGGGGTGATAACCCAGTGCTTGTTGCTGGGGTACACCCACCATGTGGCTAAATTGGTAAGAGGAATCCACCGGTGCTGGTGGTGGTGCCATTGCAACTGGATTGTTTTGCTCTTGTGGTGCTGGGTACTGATATCCGACGGTAAAAGGTTGTTGTTGCTGATATTGGTACTGAGATCCCCACTGAGGCCATTGGTTTTGATTGTACCCTCCATAATTAGCTCCGCCCTGATCTCCAACCAGAACGCTGAAGGAATATCCTGCTTGAGGGGGTGCATCCTGGTTTGGTTGTTGATTTGGTGGCGTGACCGTTTTTGGTGGAACCTTTACCGCGGCTGGAACGGAAGAAGGTTCCTCGTCTTCTCGGCCGATTACGACGGCGTCATTTTCTAGCTCGTCGTCCTCCTGGTTTTCTGGGCCTGGATTAACTCCGTTTTTATCAGGAATTGCGATCGGTTCGGGAAGATTTTTGAAATCGGTGGAGTTGAATTGTTTGTTTGGTTGGTTTGTTGTGGTGGCGTCTTGATCCTCGCTGGATGACGGGGTCGTCGTGTTTTTATTATCTTTTCCAGTGGCATGAACGGCAACGACGTTATCAGATTTGTTGGACGCAGAAGTCTGTTGAGCCTCAATTGCACGAGCTTTTGCATCTTCAATGAATTTTAGTTGTTGGTTGTACGCCTCGAAGAACTGGGCTCGTGCGGCCTGGACTTCCGGTGTGTCTTGAGGAACGGCTGGTACTTGAAACTGAGGGACTGGAGCAGGGTTAGGAATACTGGGTCCGAAAGCTTGGTACCCTTGTTCAGGAGATGCTCGATAATCGACTTGAACCTGTTGGCCAGTCCCGTCAGTGTAGGCATACGACCCAGAAACTGTGCCGTCCAGACCTCGTTGTTCTTGTCGAGACGAGTCGGCAGCATTGTATCCGAAACTATGTCAATGAAATGAATATTCAATCATAAGGTTGGTTTATACTTTATTCTTTTGTAACTTGCGCCAATGTTATAATTTAACTATGGCGCAAGTTGCTAATGATTTAGGTATAAAAGCAGTTTTATAGGCATGAAAATTAATGAATTTTTACCTGTATTGACCATCATCATTGATTCGAAGGTGCTGTTGTACTGCGGGGGCTGTCAATTCTCGGTGGTATTGTTGGTGTTGCTGAGGAGGCACCCAACCTGACCGGACCTGTTGCTTCTGCTGATTCGGTGGGTTCCTTTGTCCCCATTGGTACTGTTGCATTGGCTGCGACGCTCTAACCTGAGCTTGTGGTTGTTGTTGTTGATTCCAGCTATTCCATCCCCACGATGAATCTCTTTGACCTCCTGATGGTCCCTCTAAATTTACGGAATAGCTGTAACCCGGTTGTTGTTGTTGAATTGCGTTATTCCCAATGTTGCTATTATGTCCGGTCGAGTATGGCACTTGTTGAGGGCGTTGGTAGCGTTGCTGTTTTTGCTGGACTGGAACTGCATACGCATTTTGGGGCTGTTGGGCATTGTTATTGTAATACTGTTCATCCTGTTGCGGATTACTGAGCGATGTGCACCCCGCACAAAAAGTCTCTCCTCCAGCAGGAACGGCATTTTGGTATTGCTGTTGTCTCAACTTTTGCGCTTTTGGCAACTGCTCTTCTTCCGCAGGATTAGAGCTGTACGGCGTGTGTGAGATCTGAAGACCATAGTTTTCATTATTGGTAAGAAGAAATTGTCCCGACTGGACGGACCCGTGATGTCCCGCGGATCCTGGTGGGGTCTCGTCTGATAACGCCTTATTCTTCTTCTCAGTCTGACCGAGGGTGCTTGCGACTAGGAGCAGCTAACGGTGCGAATAAATTATTAATTTATTTTTTTGTGTATCATTTTCCCCACTTATTTCGACCTACATTGGAAACTGCATACATAAATAAACGATTGATTTGATGACTTGACTGGAACTGTTTAAAGTTAATGACTTTTTGAACTAGTTGGATCCCACCCATACTCGAAGAATGGGTACGAAAACGGATGAAAATAGTGGCGCAGGGTGGATCGGAACGTCTTCCATGTCATTATTGACGTGATTATAGTCTCCACCCCCTTGACCAAAGTAGCTCAGAAAGAAGATGAACAGAGCCCACGTCCAGGCCAAAATTGAAATCGTTTGTCTCACACTTTTCACTATCATGTCAAAGTCAAGTTCGAAATCCCAGTTGAAAAGGACGCCACGCACCATTTTTTACACGGACACACTTCCTACTTCCTCCCTCGTACAGGAATAAATATTTACTTTTTTTTTTTTAGTTTACTTTACTGATTGATCCCTTTCCAAAGTTTGTCTAGCTCTAGCTCGTCTCAATTTGAAACTGGGCAAACAACTTGTATTTCTAAACTGCGAACTTGTCTCTGTGATGCATTTTCTTTAAATCAGTTTTCAAGTTTAACACGACTAAACCAGAGATTATTTACGTGAGACAATGCAGTTGACCCAAACAGGAAATGTACCGTTGGTTGTTAGAGGCTGTTATATTATGTTGTGGGCCATCCCTCAATTACACTGACTGACTGACATTCATTTAATGAGTCTTTCTTACTTGGTAAACTTGTAACATGGTCTGTCGAATAGGAGAAGAGGCAACATTTCAGTAGTACTGAGCGAGAGTCGTCTCTCGTGAAAAAGGGGGCCAAAGTACCGCTATATTATTCATTTTCATTCCCTACAAATCTACATTGTTATCAGCCAAGGAGAAAAAAAAGTGCAGTGCCCAATTTGTAAATTTCTTGTAAATTAAACGCCTCAGCGGAAGGATGTAGTTTTGTGGATCCTCTAATTTTAATTTTCTTGGGTACAACAGGTAATTCAATTGTGGATTGAAACGGAAATTAAAAGTATTTAAGCAGCTTATATTTAACGAGTGAAACTGCGCTAACTAACGTAATGTCTAAATCTTGCTAATGAATTGGTGGATGAGGAAGTGCGGAAGTTTGTAGTAAAGGGATCCGCGTCAACTACCACGCTCAGCAGCACTAAATAATCACGCTTAAATCTCAAAGCCAAGGTCCCACCTTTTTGAAGATCTCTTTCCCTTTCGTATTATTATTATGTGCACACCATACAGTAAATATTATACTTGTAGTCAAGTAGTGAATGCTTGAGTGAAGGTAATCAAGCCCCAAAATGTTCACACTCCACACGGACGGCACATTTTATTATGAACAGGATCTTGGCTTGGCACATGCAAAATTTTATGAAGTTATATTTACAAAAGCTGGAAATAATTACTTCATTCTGTGGATAAAGTTAAGTAATGTAATGATGCTGCTGCTGAATGAGACTGAGGGCACGTATGCAGTCATGATTATTTATCATTGGGTGGAAATACCAATCAGCTTCTAGAAGGACTAAGTATTTTTTGACTGCTGCTGGACAACAACAGGGTTACCTAATTCCTCTCCACGCGAAGAAAAGGAAGCACCAGATATCACGCAGTTAGTTATGTAATTGTGCATGCATGCTTATGGTATTGTTGTCCATGCAAAATGTATCATGAGAGTCTCCCAAACTGGCTAAACTTCTAATGCAGATATGACTATCTTCTAACATGAAGATGAGTCAAGATTAAGGCTTAACCGGTTTTCGCAGCGTGAAGAAGGTATCGGATGCTAGAGTATTGTGTTGTCGAGATAAGGGTGAGGCCAATCTCATTATGTGGCGTGAAATATTCGCATTTTTGAAGTAAACCGTGTATGGTACCTAAACGACCTTGCTATTTTCTTCGTAGGTAGCACTTTTCCTGGCAAAGATTCGACCAAATTTTTAACGCTTTGTTCGATAAGCATCGATAAGTGAAATTTATTTTGTAATTATAACGATAACAAATTCTCGCGTGGATTTCCTTGCTACCCAAAATCTTATTGTACAATTTCCAAAAAATGTATGTACCACTTACCGTAATTCCCAACACGGTCGACCACTTTGTTGGCGTCATATCTGCAAAGGAAATCTTGATCCGAAAATACAATGAAAAATGGAAAGATTCACTTTTCAAGTCTAAACTTCCCAAGTAAATATATAGGCAGACCTCTCCTGATTTTGGTACTCTTGCACCAACAATCTGACTCTCTGGACTGGATAAGAATTGAAGTTTGACTTGAACCGAGGATGCCAAAACCAATATTAAAACAATATGTACCATTAGATCATGTATGTATGAGGAGTGCAGATTACATATTCAGATTTTTAGCCAGGTAAAATCCCAGTCAGTCCATGTAGTCACTTCATATTTCAATTCAACACAATTCAGCTTTCAGTGCTTTTTGTGTCCATTCATCCAATCCAATCCAATGTGGTGCTCATCTTCTTCTCCATCAATCAACCACACCACGCCACTTGGCTTGGCTTTGGTTTGTTGTATTATGTGGGGTGTAAGTGATCTCATCTTCATATTCTTCTTCTCTGATAGAGATGAAGAAGAAGAAGAAGAAGACGCATCTTATTCTCGATCAAGTCCAAGTCAAGTCACTTGTCTGAAACTAAAACAAAAAAAAAGTCTTTTGGAACAGCTCAGCCAGTGGTGGACATCACATCATCTCGCATTATTGGCTCAATCTTATTCAAAGATCATCATCATCATCATTCATGATCATCATCTTGGTCGTCCCGGTTGGAACAATAACAATCTTTACACAATTACCACATCCGATGATGCAAAAACGTCGCCCTGTGGTCAATCGGAGAGTATTTATTCTTCTTCCGTTCGTGTAAGTATGTTGTGATATCGTGGAGATTTATTTAGGCCATTCACCCAACCACCCATGGATCCTCGTGAACTATAAAATCACCAAGGACGAGGAAGTTGCTTCTGGTGGAAATATTTAAATATGAACAATCCTATCCTGGTGAAAATATTTATGAACAAAGCTTTAAAATTTCTGGGAGCAGTATTTCAAAAATTTCTGGGAGCAGTATTTCAAAAATTTCTGGGAGCAGTATTTCAAAAATTTCTGAAATTATGAAAGGTGGAGGTAGACATACATACTTTTAGATAATTTTTACAAAAAAAATCGCCTAAAAAATTGCAGGTAGTGTAATTTCAGCACAACAACAATTTCGTCATCGTCACTTATGCTATATGCTTCAGAATTTTAGAAATTTCTGGAAGCATTATTTTTTTTAATTCTGCAAATTACAAAGAACCTGGAGAGGACTTTAAGATAATTTCTACAAAAAAAAATCCCCTAAAAAATTTCAGGTAGTGTACGTAATTTCAGTACAACAACAATTTCATCATCGTCACTTACGATAGTCCAGAATTTTAGGTCTCACATCATCCCAAGAATACGAGTACGTCGTAATTTGCAATTTTACTCACAGCCATAACATATCATTTAAGAGTTGAAGTTTTTTGTTTTATCATGATTTTAAGGATCGGCTTTGTCTTTAATAATGCATGAGAAGAACACAATAATCAACGTTATGTAGTTATGACGGAACCAAGATCAAACCTTGCTTTTGCTTTAGTAAACTAAATTCGCCTCATTTTTTATTTTGATTACGTACAAACCACAACAAGGATGAAGATGAGCAATAAATGTGGTAATTCGCGAATTATTTATTAAACGGTTTAAATTTTGTCCTATGCGTAAATGGGTGAGCATTTTTTTTTGCTCTGGAATTAATTTCCAGTCTGGCACGAGTCAACAATGAGAATTAATGGGTGATGATAACTGCATACGTTTGCTGGATGCCCATTTTAGTAAATGTGTGGTATTTCGTGTCGACAGGTCATAAATTTTGATGAAATCCATGAAATAGCAAAAGCAACCCAAGTGCAAATTGCACCCTTTATAATTTTGCATCATCCTCCAAAAGAATATTACATAAGAAGAAAAACATCCATCCATCCTTTTTTCTTCCCCTTTTGCTCAAATAGTTAATTGAATAATTTGAGAATTTGCATCGGTGACTAATAAACATTTAAAATTTCCAATAAAAAACAACCAATTCTTGAGCATTGTGCCATTCAGTGATGTTAATTTCAAACGCCAAACCCACCATTTTCTATGCATCAGGTTCGTTACAATAATCAAATCACTGATTGAACAAACCAAATCAAATTATATGGCCACATAGCCACGCCAAGCCACACACGTGCAAATATGCATGCATCATCTTCCTCCGCGACCATAATGTGATTAATATCAATATAATAATCTAAAACCAAATCATAACAAAAACTATGACATTGCTTGTTTGGCAAGGAGTGAGATCAACCAACAACATCGCTCATCTTCAACTACTTTATATGACTTGAATGTGTAAAAGGCGTCCTTCGCATGTCACTTCATGTCCAAGTTTTGACTCGGCTTTTGTCTCTCCAGAGTCGCCATGCAGTCAAATAATTTTTATGTACTTTTTTTGTTAAGCAGTTATCCGTCCGTGCATAAATAAAATACACTCAAGAGATTATGACATGAATTACTGACTAATGCGAATTTAATGTCCTCTTTTAAGTATTAAGATGTCATCAATCTTTAAACAATGCAATTAATAAGTAGGTACGTTTTTTGTAAAATTTCGACTTGTGCATATTCGCAGGTCCTTATTAATGATTAGACCAACCAGGTTTATGTCTTAACTAGATTTGCACCCCTAAAAAAATTAGATTTATAGAATGCGTCATTTATCTAAATCTGAAATGGATGCATATAAGGAAGCAAAATTTGATATTTTTACCACTACGGGCTAAATTCTTTTGTCTTTCTGTGTACTAAAGTCATCATTAATTAACTAATTAACTTATTTACTTCTTTTTTACATTTCCTACTTTTATTTATGACAAATAGCTTACCAAATTTCAAAATATGTACAAATTACTTAATTAATTAATTTCAAACTCTCCAACCGGGAAGGAACCAAACCATTCAACCACGAGTAAAATATTTTGACAAGGAAGGGAGGAAGAAAAGTGTAATAATAATGATCTAATCTTCTTCTTCAAAAAAATCCCGACCATGAATTGAATTAGCTTTTCGACCGAACAATTAGGAGTTATTGGAGCTAATGAGTTTTTTTTCTTCGTTACATTGTCACTCATCTCTCTCACCTGTAAAAGTAAAAGTTTCGAATATTACGCACAAGGCAGGACTGGGAGGCATAATTTGACTCCATTAATTCCACTTGGGCAAAATCAAGATGGAATAAATTGTGCGTGCATATATGTGTTCCATTGTGTCATCGAATCAAAAGTCATCATTTCCTTTTTTTGTAACGGGATGCTGCCTGGAGTGCCGACTTTTCGTGTTTCTTTTTATGCATGCACTTGACTCGTTGGTTGTTTTATAAAGAAAGAGAATGAGATGAGAATGCATGCAATTCTTCTCTGCGGTTTCCTCAGTTCCATTGAGGAGAAGACAATGATGACATAATGGAAAAATTGTGCAGTGCAATGTCAGTCAGATCAGAAATCAGCGGTGGTGCACGCAATTTGAGACAAAAAAATTGATTAAGGCGAGATTATGGTGGATTTACTGGGTGGATTGGATTGGATTGAGAAAATGTGCATGAGTAAAAAAAATAGTCTATTTCGAATAAGTAGAAATGAAAATATTCTGTTACATGATAAATAAAATTTGAGTTTGAGAAATTTATTTAAAATTTTAGAAAATTTGGGACAATTTATGCTGGAAATACCGTATTTATATCAAACTTGTAGCAAAATATATCACTAATTTTATTAACGTTGGCACAATTACATAACTACAATTTTAAACTCGCTTTCGAAAAATAAAAAATTTTTAATTTCTTAACTCACGTGTAATAAGATGTAAATTTTATTTATTGTAACGGTCAAGCGAAAGTGTAACTCAAGTCAAGGCCAAGGTTGAGCTCTAATAATGAGCAGATTAGAACTAAATCCACAAATACATAGTCCGACTAAAACATATTTTATATTTCAAACCGGTTTTGGAAAAGTCTGGTTTTACTTTTGCTTTCCTCATACGTGCAAAAATGGCATGAAAGCAACTTTTTGATCAGCTCGTGTAAGCAATTTACGAAAAAAAAGTTTAAACCACCCAATTTATGGGAAACCAAACCACGAAACCAACGGATGCATGCATAATAAAATACGTGCCAAAAGAAAATTTTGTTTTTTTTTCAAATTTTTGATAAAATTTTATCTCATTTTCATTTCTGATAGTTTGTTACGTAGCTGAATAGATAAGTCAATGCCTTCTTTTTGCTCGTTCATCATCGTCTGCTTGTCTGGAGTTTGTGGTGTCAAATGTCACATTACGACCCCAGTTTTGCCATATTTTGGATATTATTAAGTATTATCTCTCGTATTACATATCACATCACAGTCCAGAAATTGCATAAACTTTAATTATGCAAATTGACCTTTACTACATATACAACTTTTGCTTTTAATGAGACTGTATATTTCATCCAATTTGTAATTTACTGGTCCAATCAAGCCATAAATAATGTTGTTGGGTTTTGCTACAATCTTCTCGTACGTATTTAGGTACACTAATAATATACGTGCTTAAAAATGAAGATGAGTATAATTCACTATGTTGAGAAGATGTTCTGGAAAGTTTTACTTAACTGATACTACATTACAGATTACAATAACAGTTTTATTAAACTGGTTCTAAAGATTGCTAACTCTTTTGGACGATGGGACCATACCTAACGAGGGTCACCTCTGCCGTTGCCTAAATTATCCCTTTTACCCTTCCGACAATTTTTTTAAGGATTTGCAATTTTAATGTCGAAATTTGCATGAAATTTGTCCTGCTGAAGGATATGAAAAAGTTTTAAGCGAATAAAATGATACTGACAACTAAACCGATGCTTTGGACATTAATTTTTTGATAAAAAACTTTCACACCGAAAAATTTAAAATTTAAAAATTTCGATTTTGCTCATAATTTTAAACTTTGCAAAAAAATATCGTTCCGTTTTTCGCAAACGTGAATTAGTCCACGTGCAATTTTTAATTTAATCATCTCTTTCATAACGTACTTGTTTTTGTCTTATCTGACATCTTCTCTCATCTTCACCTCTGCCGAAGTTCTGCTGTTGCCAACTGGAATGCACATCGCAACAATGGCAACGGGTCGAAGAGTCTCAACCTTTTCTTCCCCATTAGCACCACGATAAACCGGCTTTTGCATGGAATCATCTTGTGCAACAAGCAGCGAAGCAGTGACATTGGCAATATCTTATTTTTGCCAGCACTACCTCTCCCTCCCACCAACCGGCTTCTTCTTCTTGACTGCTATGACTTATGGTCATGGTTCGATTAGTAGATGTGCAGAAACTGGATTTAGTAGTACAAAGTATAATCTTTTTACTTGTTATCTTAAACCTGGTCTGCCATAAAGTAGAAAAAAGTACTGGACAGACCAGGACAAATGGACTGGTCCACGGGTATAAAAGGACGCCGGAGAGAAGCATCAATTCGTCTTTTTGAAACGATCTTGATCTTCTCCACATCGATCCACTCTCCACTTTCTCCTCCAATATGAAGGCTTTCGTAAGTTTTCAGGAAATTTCATTTTTGAAAACCTGTCTCAAGTTTCCTCCAGAAATAATAAAAATGAAATTTATTTACCTACTCTAGATCGTAGCAGCTCTTTTGGTGGTTTCCACTGTTGCCGGCCAAAGCATGGACTTGATGGACTTGGTCAAGGACAAATCCTTGTACAAATACAAGCCCCTTCACCGGTCCTTGTCCTCCGTGGAAGACCTTTTGCTGAAGGAGAAGCTGGGCCGTCACGTTGGGATGGAAAACTACAACACCAAGGACTCCATCTTCGATATGGAAGACATGAGCTCCGTTTTCGGTGGACGCCGTGGGGTCTCCGTGCTCTCTCTGGAAGAGCTCGTGTCCCACCCACTCTTCCGAGAATACCTCCAAATCCCACTTTTCCGTCAATTCTGGGAACAATACCCAACCGTTTTCAGACGTTATGTTGAGTCCCCACTCTTCCAACAGTTCTGGACCGTTCCCCAGTTCCAGATGTACTTCAGGAACCCAATCTTCTTCTACAAGTACATCGTCCCACAAGTAAGTTGATAAAATCAAATTTTCCGAAAAATTTAGCCTGAATTGGAACTAATCGTGTCACTTTTCTAGGTGAAACTCATCTCTGAATCCGTCGTTCCATACACCCCAGAACAAGGAATCTACGATTATGGAACCACCACCACCCAGCGATTCAACCCATACACTTACCAACCAAGGTACAACCGTGAATGGTCCGTTCCCATGTCCCAAATGATGGGACACTTTGACTCCAAATACCCCACCATGACCACCACCCACTACAAGTACCTCTTGGAAAAGATGATGAACAACTTGAACATGAACAAGATGGGACAACACGATGTCACTGAAACCTTCACCGACGTCAAAATGCTCCCAACTGGACAAGTTAAGGAACAAACTTTCGGAAAGATTGTCGACCCCGTTACCGGACTTGAGAAGATCACCGTTGGAGATGTCAAGGTACGTAAGCGTCACTATTTTTTTACTGGTTTTAGGTTTCTGAAATCGTGAGTATTAATTCATTTTTTATTTTATTTTTTGCAGCTTGTTGATGAAAAGATTGTCCCCGTCCAAGGCATGGACTTCTCCACCGTCGGAATTGACAGCATGACCAACAAATACCAAATGAACAAAATTTTCGGCCACCACAACACCGAAAACATTAAGGATATCCTCCTCAAGCACATCATCTTGAACAAAATCTACGGCGACAAGAAAGTCATCACCCCTGAGATTTACCGAACCCTGTTCTCCGAGAACAAGGAACAAGTCTTCCCAGAAATGTACGACATGATTGTCAAGCACAACAAGAACGTCATGACCCCTGAACTCCTCGAGACCATCTTCGGCCAGAACAAGCACGTCCTCACCCCAGAGGTTTACGAAACCCTGTTCGACACCAAGAAGACCTTCACCCCAGAAATCTTCGACACCGTTTTCGGCGAGAACAAGAAAGTCCTCACCCCCGAACTTTACGAGATCCTCACCAAGGGAAACAAGCACGTTCTGTCCCCACGCGTCCTCGAGACCATCTTTGGCAAGAAGATCTACACCCCAGAAGTGTACGGAAACCTTTTCAGCGGAGAGAAGGTCTTTGACGATGTCTACAACAAGTACGATGTTGAGTACGAGCCATTCACCTACAACAAGATGAACAAGTTCGCCGTCAGCCCACTCATCACCCGTATGCTCAAGAACACCAAGTTCTCCCCAAAGATGACCCTCAAGACGCTCGAGAAAATCCAGGCCCAAAAGATGATTGAGGAAATCCAAAAGGAGAAAATTATGGGTCAACTTTACAAGAACAAGGAGCACTCTCTCTACAACATTGAATCTGTAAGTGTAGAAATATTTCCTGAAAACATGGAAATTTAAAAACCACCACCACCACAATTTCTAATTTTCTTTATACTTTCAGGAGCTCCCAACCATGATGGATTCCGAGAAGATCCACATTCCCCTCACCTTCGGCAAGCCCACCATTGGCTCCGGAATTGAGGAATTCCAACGGGAGAAGGAAATCAAGTTTTAAATAACTTGCCCTTAAATATTCTCAGTTTTAATTTTTCTTCAAATTTTCTCATCCTTGTTCCAAGTTTAGTTTGACTTTTGACTTTCTCTTCTTCGTGCCACCAATTTCGACTCCCCTTTTAGTTCCCTACTCTGAAAGGGTTTTTAAAGGAAGTCCATCGGTTAACGATTCGGACCTTGTTAAAAAAGACTGTCTCACAATTTCCTGAAATGACTAGATGTTAATAGATAATTGATATTGAAAGCAACACCTTCAATAGCAGATAAGTCACTTTTGTGATTTATTAGTATGTAAAAAAAGCACTGAACCAAAGCATTTACAAAATTCTCACTCACGAAGAACATCTCAAAAAGTAATAAATTGAAGCAAACTCTTACCATCTAAAAAAAAACTTGGCAAAATTTTCATCATTTTATTTTCTCATTGTCATGAAACTGCATTTCATGGACACATAATGTTTCAAATCTGATTCAGATCAATACAATGCCCAGTCCAGTCCAGAAATTGGACTAGAATGAATCAGCTAATAAAATAATACTTGAATTTAGAATTGCATCGACATCAAATCAAATATCGAATCAAATCGAAAACAACGTGACTAATTCATGCCATGCATTTAGCAAAACACGTATGTACATCGCTTTTATTTGCATTTATGTGCCTTCATTCACCTCGTTTTTCATTTCAAGTGGAGAATTGAAGCACCTTATCCTTACGTCTCGTGTTTATTTATATTTTGTTAGATTGTCCAAGACCTAAAAAAATTGAGAAGATCATCTCTTCAGTTTCCACTCGAGGGAGAAGGACGTGGACGTATGCAGAAAAAAATGCTTTAGTTCAACCAACTGTCTGCCTCTGGGCAACCTTTTAAAGTAAAATGTGTGTACTCATTATTGCGTAATGGACACAATACAATGGGACTGATACACATTTAAAATTTATTAGCTGCGAAACAATCCTCATTTTGATTGCTTACTTCCATTTTAGTAATCGGGTTTAATAAGATGGATTATTATCTTGAGGGTTGGTTGCTTCCATGGTGTGAAGATGAGGGATGAGATTGTGTATGGTACAAATGTATGTAATTAATAATGCTGTATTTATTATTAGAGGGTGAAATCTTGTTAAGAGAAGACTTTGTCCGTCTGTCTGTCTGTCCGTCCGTCCGTCTGTTCTTCTCAAATACGTCAGTATGATATGCATATGACCCCAAGGGGAAGATCCCTATCAACTTTTGGGGTCAATCGGCCCCCACGAGGTCAGAGGGTGTGGTCACATATTTTTAAAAAATTGCATATTTCACTCTATTGCTAAAAGAGCAATATTGCTAAATTCTTCTAAAGAGGTCCACTAACGTCGCGGACTGCCCTGTCAAAGGCGCGCTGGGCGGGAACACAGCGAAATTAAATTTCGAAAAAATTATTTTTGAATAGACCAAGTTATAAGCTTTCCATTGATATATGTCACCAATTATTGAGTCATGGCTAAGATTAGAAAAACTTGGGTTGAAAGGTAAGAGTTGAAAAAAAGAGCGATTGAGTTTCACAAAAATCGAACAAACTATGATTCTTAAATCACTTGACACTTTTTCAAGCAAGAAGGTATTCCTCATTCAAATGTCAACTCTTACATAAAAAAGTACGAGGAATCCAATGAACTCAAATTCAAAGTCCCCACTGGTCGACCTGCAAAGCTAGCGACGACAAAAGTCAAAAATCGCATAAAAAAAATCTTCAAAAATTATCCATCAACGACAATGGCTGCAGCGGAAAGTAAGGTCAAGATTTCAAAAAGCTATCTGAGCAAAATCGAAGTCCATAAACTAGGGATTACAGCAAGGGCAAAAAAACCAGCACCGAATTACAAACCAACGCAACAGGAAAGGATTCATGCGTTCTGCAAGAAATTGTTGAAGAAGATTCGGGGAAACGTGGTCATCATGGACGATGAGCCCCACGTCACAGCTGACCCTTCAAATCTTCCAGGAACGCATTTTTTCCATAGTTCCAACCCCTACGAAGTAAATTATGAAGACAAAGTCCAAACGAAATACCAATTCCCAAAAAAATGAAAAATTTGGTAACGCATGTCTTGCATTGGTCATGTTTCCGATCCCGTTATTTTGGAGGATACTGTAAACCAGGAGGTTTATCTTAAATCATGCCTTAAAGGGGGATTGGAATCGTTTATTACCAAGGATCATAAAAAAATAAAGTTTTGCTTTGGCCTGACCTCGCAACTTCCCATGACGCCAAAAAGGTCACGGAGTACCGACATCTGAAAAAATTGAATTTGTGCCAAAAAATGGAAACCCACCAAATTTTCCTCAACTGCGACCAATTGAGAAATTCTGGGCGCTGACTAAATCCAAACATTCTAAGCTTTCAGAAAAGCCAGACACCTTACGAAAATTTAAGAACAGTTGGAAGAAAATCAGCTTGGAAGTAGGTGCAGTCTCTGCGCAGAATTTGATGCGAAATCTGAAGAAGAAAATACAATCTGTAGCAGATAGCGGAATTGAATCATTAAAATTTTAACTGTGTGGCAATCCAAACACTTTGACAGTAAACATATGCAATTTTTTTGAAATTGCATTTACTGTGTATAAAGTTCTGAGCACTTTATTACATCAGTCCGCGACGTTAGTGGACCTCTTTTTTTTTCTTTTTTTTTCGATTCAAATAAATTTAGGGAATTTCAACCCTTTATTACATATATTTAAGATTAGTTCGTACAATGAGAATTCCAAACACAACTATTCTAAAAAAAAACGGAATAATCATCATACAAATGCAGCTATAATTAGGCCATGATTTAAAATATGCCGAAAACTTAGAGATATAATTTCGTATTTCATTCATTCACGAAAAACTGAAAGAAATGGCTTTATATGATAAGGAAATAAGAAGATTCAGCCTAACCTGACACCTAAGTTGTTGACATACCCACGACGCCAGGTAATGGGTTGGGATCCTCCCTGGGGCTGTGGGTATGTCAACGCGTCCCTAACCTTACCGATGCCAAGTGCTAGGAAATGACTGAAAATAAAGAACCTTCCCAACCCGGGTACGCTCGCATTTTTTGAAATTTCTATAGGTTCTTTAAAAGAATTTAGGAAAGATGTGCCAAATGCAACTTAATACAAGAAGTAAAATTACATGCTAATTACAGTTTAGTCTCCCACGGCGGTGGATCTTCTTGGGAGGAGGACTTTACTTGTGTCATCAGGGGTAGGAATTAAACACTGCCTCTGACTCACTCTGCTTCATGACCACGTTATTTAGTACAATGACAAGTCAATAAATAATTCTTAGGAAGAGATTTGTAGAATAATACATGCTTATGTAAGAATATTTTAACTACCTGAAGGTGGGAAATTTTATCAAAATATTATTTTAAATTGAGATTAATGTTTATTCTATTGTTGATCATAGTGTATAGTTTATATTTTTTCCATTTTCGATGGAAATTGTCCATCAAAACTTTCCCACCTCGCATGCAAACATGGAATTCAGACAATATTCGTCCGAAAACCATGTGCCTAAAGTGGGACAAATAATCAAAATTGTCCCCAAAGTGATTTAGAAAGTGAACATAGGACTTATATATCGTGCAAAGACCATAATAAATAAATATATTATCGTACTTCATATTTCGAGACCCATTAATCCCTGATCGAGAGACATTAGTCAGGTCTCTGCTGAGAATTTTTGAAATAAAAAGCCAGAGGGGCTGAAAATGGATACATTTAAAACAATGACTAGATTTTATATCTTTAAATGGACAAAAGGGGCAATCCCTACCCTCATGTATGCCCATTGACTCAGCCATTTTTGGCGTTAGACCAGTATTGTGCAAAAGTTTATAAATTACGTCTTTCTCTGGATTACTCACCTCGCTTTTTTGAAGGGTAAGCCAGGCGGAATTATTTAAGGTGTCGAGTGATACCTCAGACCATTTTATTTTTCGCACAATACGAGTACATAGTAAATACTGCTTGGTTTTCACAAAAGATTCAAACTCACCCCCGTTGCCGTATTTTAGGCATCGAAATGTGATACACTCTTGAGATAGTACATAAGTGTCAATAATATTACGCAAAATACTACTCTCACAAGAAATTAACCTTTGAGATGGAAAGCGAGGCATGTTTTGGGAAAAATCGAAACTAATAAAATCCTCAATGGTTTCACACCCCAATTGAATTAAACATGGAAAACTATTATTTTTCAAAAAAATTGAATTACTAAGCGGGATAAGGTGAAAAATATTGTGAGGGATTAGTTCAAAACTGAGACCAAGTATTTGTACATATTTGCAAAAATTGTCATAAAAAGAAGTACAATAATCTGGTTCATTCTTTAGGAGAATGTTGAAAACATTTTTACGTGCAAAGTTACAAAAATACGAGTCGCTCGAATTTAGGACTTTGCATGCAAACACTACACGAAAAGTTGTCATCTGGATAAACGGATGACGCACACCAATCCCCCCATTTGCCAGAGGCAAATAGAGTAGATGGCGTCCCACCCAACGTTTTGATCCTCTCCAGAGAAAGTTTTCAATTAAGAATTTCTGTTATAAAAGTTTCCGGGGGGTCAAGAACCTTGAGTACATACCACAGTATTGGGAGAAGGTACGTATTCAAAATTTTAGCCCTTGAAAAAAAACTAACTGCGCAAGTTTTACTGTTATAAAAAGATAACTTCCTACAAAATTTTTCAAACAATAAGGTAAAATTTTGTTCCATGAAACTTGTATTCCCAAAAAATATACCCAGAATTTTTAACCCATCCTTTCTGGTGGGGAAATTGGTCTCTACCCAAGTAGTCCCCCCTAAGAAAAGTAATTCTGACTTACTACTGTTTAGCTTAGAAGCTGAGAATTGAGAGAAGTAGCTATACTCGTTAATTACAATTTGGACTTGTTCCTGACTTGAAAGTAGGGCAGTCGTATCATCCGCGTAGGCAGACAGGTACTTATCAGGTACCCTTGGCCATGCGGCTGGCCCAGACGTCAGGAGACGGCTGTTCAGCTTAAAAAGAAATGGTTCAATTACGAGTACGTACAAGACTGAAGCAATCGGATCTCCCTGTTTTAGACCAACTTTCAGGGGAATCTTTCTAGTAAAAGTGTTACCGACAACAACCGAGATAGAAAAGTCGGTATGCAAGAGTTTAATGTATTTAATAAAATTTGGAGGAAACCCATATTTCTCAAGTATTTTTATCAAATACTCAAAAGACACCCGGTCAAAAGCTGCCTCTTGATCGAGTGAAAAGAGAGCCCCCACAAGCTCATTTGATTGAAAGGCATCACGCATGAAAGTAAGGTTGTCATAAATTGAACGACCCTTAATTCCACACGTTTGCCATGGACCCACCAGTAAGGGTAAAATAGGAAGTAGTCGGGATTTTAAAACGTTGGATAATATTTTGTAGTCCGAGTTAGTCAAAGAAATCGTCCTAAAGTTGGAGAGATCATCCACAGACCCCTTTTTATGAATTAGGCTTGAAATAGCGGTGCGCATGCATAGGGGGAATCTACCACTATTTAAGGAGAATTGTGCAACATTCTCTAAAATAATGGAGAATTGCTCCGAAAATTTCTTGTAAAATTCATGTGTAAGTCCGTCAAGTCCAGGTGCCTTGTCATTTTGTAGCTTGGAAATGCACGCCGCAATTTCTGTGGAACTAATCTTTGCAGCAAGCTGTTCTGATTGCTCCCCAGGAACAGTTGGAATTCCTTGCATAAAATTATCGAAGTTGGTAAAGTCCACTGCCTTACATTCAAATTTAGTTTGAAAGAAGTCAGTAATTAAGGACAATTTACTTTCAAGGGACATATTAGAAAACGAATTAGAAATTGATACAGGATTATCACGACAATTTATTTTCTTCTTCGGGTAATCCTGACAAACTAAAAAATTAGAAAAAGTATTATCTAAACTATCTATGAAAATTTTAAAAATATCAGCGTTACTAAGATGTTGACTAGAACTAACGAGCTGAATATCCTTTTGTACTTTTTTTTACTACATATTTGAATCTACGTTTAAACGAGATGCCAAACTCCATTGAAACCTGAACTATCTTATTTTTTAAAAAGGTATAACTTTCCTCAGAGTAATCGGATTTTAAAATAAAGTCATTGAGTAAAAAGGAAATTGAAAAATTAAAATCATCAATGTTTAAAAGGTGGTTCGGAAAAATCCATATATTTTTAAAATCAAACGAATGGTCAAATTTGAGAAAGATATTAAAAATCACGTGATCACTAATGAAGGGAAACATTTGACATTTTACAACATTAGGAAACTGACTAGCATTAATATAAATTCTATCTAATCTTGCCTCCGAATTGTTTTTTAATTTACTAAAATACGTCATATCACAACCAAAAGGGTTAAGATGACGATACGCATCTGAAAGATTAAAATTTTGGCATATTTTTGAAAATTCTATCACTATCCCTTTGCGACGCTCAACTGATCGTAAACGGTCTAGCGACTCATTGAGAACAAAATTCCAATCACCAGCAAGAAAAACATTATCTTGACTAGGACAAGTACATATGGAAGACTTTAAGATACGCAAAAAGTTGAAACTATCCAGATTATTAAAGGGAAAATGAATGTTATAAAAATAAAAGGTCTGGCCAAAAACTTCAACAGAAATGTGTTGAAGTTTTCCAGGAATAAGAATAGAGTTACTTAAAACATTAAATTGGTTTTTAACTAAAACAATAGTACCACTAACAAGAGTAGTAGACGAATTATAAAAAGTTTTATAAGAGCTCAGCACAAAAGATTCAGATTTTGAGATGTTAATATTTGTTTCTTGTAAACAAACAATATCAGGGGAAAATTTAACTATTACGGAATTTAGGCAACTGCGTTTGACAGCATTATTCAAACCCTGACAATTAAGTGTCCAAATGTTCAGAGCCATATGTTAATTAAAAAAATATTTGCGAAATTTTTGCATTTCATCATCCGAAAGCTTATTGGCCAGTTGGTAGGCCTGTAGCTCAAAATTTCGAAAATTAAGGTCAGTTCTGTCCTTAATTTTCTCAATTTCTTCGGATGACAAATCGATGTATTTTGACACTAATTTTAATATGTCATGCATTTCGGTACGTACTAACTCTTGACTCTTCCCCAAAGAATTCACCACCTCAAAAAGGAGATCGTGTAACTCTTGAGGGTTTCTAGTCGCCATTGCTACTTGTTCGTAAAAGTGGGTATAGCCCCCCTTAAAAAAATCGCGCTTAAGGTTCCTCAGAAACATATAAAGATGGTCTTTATTGAAAGAAGGGTAGGTTTTAAAGTTACCCTTCTTCCAAACATCGAAAGCCCAGGTGGTGGGACTTGAGATTGGCACGGTAGCGGCACTCAATGACCTGGTCACAGAACGGTCAGTTTGATTTGGTGGTCTACCCGGTTTGCGTCTTTTTGGCCTTTCTGAGCCAAGTGTTAATGAGGAATCAAGTTCGGAATCCGTCATTCCTGACCCCTCATTTTGACTTGGAAGGGAGTCAAACCTCCGCCGTTTTTGGCTTTCAGTTTGACCCTGATCTTCCACAAGAATCATTAGAGGAACAGATTTACGTTTGGAGGTCTTGGGGGTTGGTCGTGAAACTGGGACTGTTGCCTTTGTTGGACAGTTGTTACTAGTATGTCCAGGCTTATTACACTTGAAGCATTTCTTTGCCCCCACCTGAACATAAATCACGTGTTTTTTGTTCTCCCAAGAGATTGTTAAACCTTGAGGAACAATAACACCATCCGAAATAGCGAGGGACACATTACGAGTGAAACTTTTGACATGGGCAAAATCTTCACCCACATTGTAACACGACTGGCGTTCTAAAGCGCCACGAATTTCACCATACTTTTGCAAGTAACTAAGAATTACTGTATCCGGTATAAAGGGTGGAACATTACGAAGGACCACCCTGTGTACCGGATTAGTGTATCTGTACATTTTGGTCATTTGACCTTTTATCTCGAGGGTGTCAAGACCAATTAGGTCATCCACACTCTTATCCGTGTCCAACCAGACACCAAAATTAGCAGCAGTAACAAAATCTGCATACAAAATTTTTTTAGGAGAAATCACCTTACCGAGAGCCTCCAAAAGCTCACTGAGTGTGACTCCCTTAATTCTTCGGATAAGCACACCTTTCGACTTATCCAACGCGGAGGATGTGGGGTCAGGTGGCATGACCGCCATGGTCGCAGCTTTGCTGTAGGAAGGAGCAGGGGATCCTTCCAAGGGATCTTCCTGCCCCAACATTGTGGTGGTGGTGGCTGAGATGACGTCACACCATAAATTACACTGCTAAAAAATCCACACAAAAAACTGCACTAAAACTGCACACTTTATGCAAATTTGGAGAAACTTTGACTTCCTTGGGTTGAAGTTGACCCTAGCCAATATTTGACCACTAGCCAAAACTTCTTAGCTACTCAGAAAAGATAAATTTTTAGAAAACTAAAAAAAACCATCAGAGAAAGAAATTAGAAAGTCTACTCGGTTCTCCGTTCGCGCGCCAAGGATAATTTTTTTTTTTTTTTACGGAGGCAGGCTGTCAAAAAATTGTTAAATTCTCATAGAATGTCCCCCCCCCACGGAAATCTTTAGTAAAAGGCGAAAGATTTATACGACTTGAAGGGAGACCCGAGATGTGGACCTCTTTTACATTTCATTTGCAACGATTTATTCAAATTCTTGTCAAATTTTTTTAACAGAAAAGTGCCAATTAAAAAATAATGTTAATAAATACGATAAAATTACTGTTCTTCCGTACTAATGGTGAAGTCATCGTCCAAATGAAAACCACTAATTTTTGCATGTATACATATGTACTCCTCCAATATCGTATAAACGACAGTATCGATGATGATCTTGGTGATGATGCTGCTTGCTTCACCAATTTGATAACGACCACACGTGACAATTAAGTCAATTAAATTGCTCACAGTGAGTTCATCCATCCATCCACATTCCACTCTAGACACTAAGGATCCTGGTTCTCGACTCATAAATTAAGATTGAATATCCACCTTGGAGTCATAATCAGTCTCAAAAAGGAATTTAAGAATTGCAAGAATTATGTCACTTCTCCAATAAAACACCTGTGCGACATGAAATAATTTAGATTCGATTACACAAGATTGACATTCCTGCAATTCCATTTGGGCACGATTTTTGCGGTTTATTGAGCATATACGAAAGTAATGTTATACTTATTACATCACAAATTTTACATATTTACATTTGTACCTTAAGGTGCAGGGGTGGGTGTGGATGTAAAATGCATACTTATTGCTGACCATGATACCCATCTTTCTTGTCATGATGGTGTAAGTATGTGTCTCTCTCTCCAGTCCATGCTTTGTTTCATACACTTTTTCATACACCTGCCCACAGGGTGCTTCAAATGATATGATGCATGAGTAGCAGATTTATTTATTCAGTTCAAGATGAACTATTTAGTTGCTTTGCTCCTTGATAAACGCACTGATTGTTTTATTTCCCATTGATTTTGATTAGTTTCGCATTCTCAGCAAGAGCAGGAGCATCATCATCACCACGATCTTTTAGAATTCGAATACATAAATCGGAACACTTGACCAGCTCCAGGCTCACTTTCAATTCGTCTTCGTAACCAGGAAGTCATTCCAAAGATCTCAGAGAGAGGTGTTTGAGAATGATGATGGGGCAAAATGGGATATTTCTCGGTGTGGGGGTGGTTTTCCTTCTCGTCGCGATGATTGGGGGCAGTGAGGGGAACGTCCAGTTCTTGTGGTATCCTGTGCAAGTTACGCCCACCGCGGCGACCACGTATTTGAGAAGGACGCCAGGAAAAAGCGTGCATTTTGAAGTGAGAAATCCGAACGATGGATCATATCATTTTGGATATGATGCAGGTAGTGAGGCAAATTTTAGCAGTTTCATTTCATAATGAGCATTATTTTTAAAATTCATAATTTTGCATGTAAGATACCACTCGAGGAGATAAGTCTTTCCGAGAAGAACGACGGGATAGTTATGGTCGAGTTACGGGAAGGTATGTATGAGTTATGGGATTATGTGCAAATTATTTTTAGGACGTGATTTATAACCAGTAAATTAATGTAAATAAATGGAATGCAGTTATGGATTTGTCGATCCGGAAGGAACGCTTCAGATTGTGGAGTATATTGCAGATGAGAATGGTTATCGGTAAGACTTTACTCTGCATATGGACTATTATATGGATTAGCTAATTAATTAATTAGTTAATCAATTGATAATATTGTGTCTAAATTAATTTTATAGAACACGAAGTTCTAACCAGCAACCAGTCGGATTACGACTGCACTCCCAACCAATTCAAGTTATTGGTCCTATTCCGAAGCCATTCTCTGAATTTTTCAAGTTTTAAATATAAATATAAATCTTAGATTGAAGTGCTTTCTAAAAATAAAATAAAGTGTGTAAATGATATCAAAATGATTTATTTTTTGCGGAATGCCATAGTTGTCGCATAAACTGTCCTTGATTTCTGTCTCATGCGTTTTAGTTCTTTTTTCAACTTATCTACTTTCACTCAAAAATCGTAGAAGGAGCTCGGGAAAACAAGTGTTATCTCAATATTTCTTAATCATCGTCTAAAGCACACCATTTTATTGAAAATCATCTTAATAAAAGGCGTATGTGCTGTGCATACTTCACGAATGCTCAAAAAATCATGCCCCCTTATTATCAATTTTTGTCTCACATCGTTGTCGCACAGCTCGAGGTCATTAAGTTGCCCGACAATTGATGCTGTACGATCAAGAAATGCCAAATGAGAGTGAATTGGAAATGTTCCCCTCTTCTACAAGCAATCCTACCCAGGCTTCTAAATATATGCAAAGTGACTTAAAATAATTTTCTCTTTTAACTAATATCAGTATATATTTCATTCTATACTAATTAATCAGATACATATGATTACTTCCTACTTTTAGTGAATTTTCAATTAATCTTGTTATCTATGTATATATATGTGCATTAATAATTGAACTTTCACCACAGATGCATTTGTGACCACGATCTTGTAGTCCATCCATAGCGCATGAAAAATTTTCGTGACTAACTTTCTCTCTGTTATTTTATGATCATATTTTGTATGCATTATGCTGACGCGTTGGTTGTGCATAAAGTTAACTGTGTATTGCATGACGCAAATTTAGTAAACTGGGTGTCTCCTTGAAATAAAGCTATGTATGTCTCCATGTATGTACATACCATTTAAGTATATTACTATCAATCTCGTTTGCACATGCATATGTACATATGTATCCAGCCAATCAAATTTCTACTCCAATTCTACTCTACTTACCTACAAAGGAGGAAGTATTTAAGAACAGAACGTACAAAATTTGGCAACGTATTCTTACCTTATTTCCACCATACATACTTGTTTCTAGAACAAAGGGAATCCTGAGCGTGCAAATTCTCATGTCCTCTAACCCCTTCTAAAACCGTGACGGGACAAAAGGTTGGTAGATCCTTTCCTGCAAAGCTCGACTTATGTATTTCACCCATAATTATCCTATGATGTGTATGTAATCTGGTTTGAAAATTGAAATGAAACTCCTTAATTAAATTAAACTTTCACTGTTTATGCAGATTTTGCCAACAATCAAGACCAAGACCTTTTAGTACATAAATAGCGCATGGAAATTCTTCCTTCTTCATGATTAATTGTTCCTCCGACATGTTCATATCTTTGAGTATGCTAATGAATTGGTTGTACGTAAAAATAAACTGTGTACTTCATGAGGCGAATTTATGTAGTAATGGGGCGTCACATACAAAGAAGTAAAGCTAACCATGTATTTTGGACAGTGGCCGCGGGAGCCGTAGGGATATTAACATTGTAGGAAAGGGGAGGAAGGGGTTTATATAACATGGGGAAATGATGCCGACATCGAACAACCGTGGGGACATTGTTCCTCTGTCCTCATGCTTCCACGGCCACTGATCTTAGATCATCAAGCCGATCGAATTCCATTCCAATTCTACTGTATGTACTTACCTGTAAAGTATTTTTAAGAACGTACAGAATTTCGCCACGTATTCTTACCTTGTTTACCATTCTAGGTATGCATTTCCTAAAACAATGGGTCACAATCCCGGGGTGTGGTCACATAGAAGTAAATAAGCTATCCATATATTTTAGCTTACATACTGGAACATCGCGTCGATCGATCTTCACAGTCCCAATTCTAACATTTAAGAACGTACAAGATTTGGTCACGTACTCTTAGCTTTGTATTCTTAGCTTCTTTTAACCATATTATTTCTTAAAACAAAGGGTCACATTCGGGAGCGTGCAAATCTTCGGATTTCCAGCAACCCCGAAAAACCGTGCTGGTTCCGTCTGCTTTCCCCGCACTCGACTTACGTACTTCTACTTCGCCCATAATTACCATGTATGTATGTCAATCTGGCTGGTTTGAAAATCGAAATAAAATTCCTTTGTTCAATTCTGCTTATTGCTTGAATCGTATGACCATCCAGCGTCATGTCATGACTCATATGTATCGATACCATTGGTCATCGGGGTGTGGTCACATAGAAGTAACGCTATCCGTATTATATTTTAGCTTGGATCCTCGAAATCGATCGAATTCAGTTCAAATTCTACAGTACCTGCAAGTCTAGGGATGAGAACGTACCGAATTTAGCCACTTGTTTTTACATATTTCTTAAAACAAAGGGCCACAATCGGGAGCGTGCAAATCTTCGGATTTCAGCCAGCCCCGAAAAAACCTTGACAAAATGTTGGTTCCGTCCCCGCACTCGATCTATGTACTTTCCCCATAATTGCCATGTATGTATGTCAGTCTTGCTGGTTTGAAAATAGAAATAAAATTCCTTTGTTCAAATCTGCTGCCCCATCGTATGACCAGCGTCATGTCATGACTCATATGTATCGATACCGTTGGTCATCGTAAACTGCCATGAACCAATTTCGTATCAGTGTCTTATGTACTTTCTCCTGGCTATCTCACCCTTCTCGTCTGGTCAAGAAAATAATTTGAAATTTTAAAATTCTAATTCCAATTTAAAGAACTCAAACTCAACTTAAACTCTAACGCTCCAACTTGAACGATATTTCAATTCTGAAGGGTGAGTTTTTGAGCACTTTAATATTTTTAGATTGATAGTGGCGACCAGTGTTTCTGGTTCAGAATAACCACTTGCATGAAATAACGGCAAGAAAGTGGTTTCTTGCAGCTATTCTGACCTGCAAGAGATGCAAGAAACTGCACCTCTCCGCGATAATTCATACGGCTCGTGGCTAAAGGGTGCATATTTCTTGCACTTTCTCCCAGTTTCTTGCATCTCGCATTTGAGTTTCTTGCTTACCCGCAAAGACACTGGTCGTGACACGAACTTCACGATCTCCTTAATAAAAATATTGCTTACTTCAACTTGCATAATTTTATTCCTCCCAAATTGCATAAGATGCGTCGAAATTCGCGACATTGTCTTGAGGAGTATGCCATGGATATGGGGGCAGGGGGGGAGGTTGCACCTGACCCTATTCCTCCTCCTCCTCCCCCTGCCCGAAGGGACCACGTCGCAATCGACATGCTGGAAGAATGCTGTGCAGGAAGTCGATCCCGCTGCGAATCTGTCATCCGGTCAGAATGCCAACCCAACGGGGGGGATTTTCTCGTTCAAGCCTTACAGAATTTGCCTGGGTTTCGGGAATGCCTTGCGAAAGACATGCATATCTCGATGAGGTAAGCTGTTATCAAATTGTTGACATTTGCATAAAATTGTAATCACAATGGGCATCTGTCATGTATCAAACCAACGCAAAATCTTCAAGCTAGTGTTACATACAAATGCATTTCATTCGAATTGTTGAAATTCTCATTATTCCCCAAAGAATAATTGTTTAATAACATGTAAAGTATAAATTACAGTACAATTTACATATCAATTTATTATAGCTTACATTTCTTTAAGATATGTATTGCATCAATTTCAGGTGTACAAGATTTGCATAGTAAAGTTTTAAACCAATTATTGTTCAATATTTCATAAATTTCGTCTTCATCATTGTCACACGGTCTACTTCTAAGTAGACTACTTTTATATGCAGTCTTTGAAACGATGAGGTTCACAGTGGAGGCAAGGATTCTTCATTGGACCGCATGTAGTTCCTTTTTCTGCACAGTCCCATTTCTGAATTGCTTTAGTCCGTCCATTGACGCACCTCACCACACCTTCCGGGGCGCACTTGGGTGGTTGCAGGTCACGGCCACAGAAATACACGAAAGTTCCCGTCGTATTTAGATTTGCTGGGCACAGGCAACCCGGTTCCGATTCCTTACTTCCTACCTTGTCATACCCTTTTACAGCTCCCGACGAATGCGATGGATAACAATTGCCACTGGCAAGTAGCATTGTCATCAGAAGCATTAATTCAGCTTTCATTATTTATAAGGAGCAGTGTAAAGTTTGGAGCTGGAATAAAATAATTAATATTTTTTCAATTTTGATAATAAACTTTGAGAAATAAAATTCTAGTGTATACATATAAATACATATTTCATATAATATAATATGTTATGTATGTAAAATGAAAATAGTGTAACCTGCGATAGTGTATTTCTCTTACAAATCACTTTATTTTAAGCATTACTTACTAATGGGGGAGCTAATCGCAAGTACAAGAAATTCACGCTTTGTAAAGTTTATGAAATTCTATTTTTACAATTTACTTACTGCTTCGATAGTCACTCTATTATGAGTAATTTATTTAAAACATTTCTTTTCTAGGTATCACTAAATATCGATTTTGTTTCCTTTGTTTTAGAGTGTTTTGGGCGATCGTTATTGCGCTGTTAAGTGCCATTGTGTACGTCATTGTTCGAATGGGGATGACGAGAACAATGGGCCATCCGCTAGTAATTAACCCTGAAACGGAGGAAACGTACATCGGAAATGTTATATATCCCAGGATCACCATTGCCCCTCACGGGGGTTTCAATCTCAACCAAATCGATGACGCGTTTATGTATGTAAAGATAGTATTTTCGTAATTGATTTTGGATATTTAATTTATACTGTAATACCACAAAATGCAGAAATTATCTCGATGTGCAATCTGGCCATAATATTGATTGGACACATAAGGAGGCCACAGGAGTACTTCAAATAATTGATCAAGTTTGCTCCCCCAATACCACATTTGCTGGTTTGAATAACGTTAGGCATGAAGACGATACAAACTGGGCATTAGGAGATGACCTTAATGCGACTGAAAAAGTAATGGACAAGGAGTTACAGACGAGTGGAAGAGTCGTCCAGTTTATTCGAGGGGTTAGTAAAATTAAAACCACATTATTTTAAGGATATTGGTGATTATTATTTTTGTTATCACCAGATATGCATTCTCTCTTGTCTTTTCTGCAGGGAATGGTAAGCTGTTCGGACGCAATTCAGCGATGCTTTCTCAACGGAGTGAAATTAGATTGCGGAGAGGTATTTAAAGAGCATTTTTCGGAATGGGGAAGTACTTGCGTCTTTAACGGAATTCCAACCGCAGCAACTAGAAGGTAAAATTAATAACTCATGTGGTATCTTTACTTTATTCATTAATTACAATTATTATTTTCATAATGTTTAAATCCGAATTCTAGCCACGAGACACTACAATCAACATTTGGACATCAGTACAAAGATGACGAGCTCGCTGAATGGCAACAGGTAAAATCTGATCGAGACAGTGACACTGTTGCTGAAAAGGGACAAAATAGAACGATTCCAATCCCTTGGAAGCAATATTTCCCTGGTAAAACGTCAGGCTTAACTTTCGTCATAAGGCAACAAAGCTATTCTGAAAAAGCCTGCGTCCACGGAGAAGGGGTCGGTTTCATGGTAAAGAACATTATGAAGTAGTCAGCATTTATGTAAAAAGGGGGATTAAATTTACCTCGAATTTCAGGTTGGAGTAAATCATCCATTTGACGAACCTCAAATACAACGGTTTGGGGTCCCCATCCCGTTTGGCGTGGAAGCCTACGTCGCCGTGCGTCCAACCGTGTACTTGGCAGATGGTGAAATAAAGGAAGACGTTGATCAGAGTAACCGTCGTTGTTATTTCAGCGACGAAGGTGGCATGGCTCATTTAGAATATTACAAAAAGTATTCCAAGCAGAATTGCTTGTCCGAATGTTTCTCAAAGAAAGTTACACAACGCTGCAATTGTACGATGCTCACCTACCCGGGTACAAAAAAATTCCTTTCGTGTTGACATAATTAAATACAATTAAATTAGTTAAATTAGTAGATTGTACAATCTACTTAAAAACTAAAATTGTAGGAAAACCTGGACATAGATTGTGCACAGTTAAAGAAATGAGAACCTGCGTCCAGGAGCAAGAACGTACGTAAATGTGTACAAATATATGTATCTGTGGAATAAAAATTTAAGTACACACTTGAACTTTGTACATGATATTTAATTTCTTACAGAAGCCTTATTCAAGAAAGGACTAGCAACGATATGTGAAAAATGTCGTCCAAATTGTAGGGATACAAAGTACGAGACCTCGATATCTTCGAGCCCCATGTCCAACAGAAAGATGAAGGACTGGCACATACCGTAAGATAATTTACTAACCAAAATTGGTAATAAATAAAAATTTTGGATGATACGATTCGAGTATTTTTGTTCTCTATGCTATAGTAAAAGAAGCAGTTTTTCTGTTGTTCACGTGTACTTTGAAACGGATTCTATCCAAGCCTTGAGAAGGAGCTCGCGTTACAATTGGTTTGAAGTAACCGGTATGCCCGTACGCCACTAAATAGTTTGAATTAATTGTATATTTTTCCCAATTTATAATTATTTACCAGGTTTGAACGGAGGGACAATTTCAATGGTGACAGGGATCTGCTTGTTGGACATCGTCAAAGGTATTTCGACCGCTATTACCTTATTAGCTGGTCAGTATTTTTTAATGACCCAACAACCGGATGGAGGCATGGATGAGGAAACGAGTGAGTCATTTTTGTGTGGAATTTATTAATTATTCAAATGAAAACACATAATAATATTGCATGCATAACATCGCATACTTTCATAATAATACTTATCATTACGATAGGTCAAAGACGCCAACGTGATGTTATCGTGGTTCCTCCTCCGGCTAATGTTATCCCTGTCCAACCACGCGCACCCACACCACCGCCCCAGTATCTTCCAGTGGAGCCTTTACCTGAACCTGATCTATAAAAATGCCATCCAATTCTAATATTATCAAATGTTGATATTTGCATTATGTGTGCTAGTCTTTATACTTATAAAAAATATTGTGATATAGTGAAAGCAGAAATTAGTTTTCGAGCTTATACATACACAAATATAATTACTTCAAGAAATGCTCAACGAGTTCTGAATTTCTTATACAATATGTAGGTATGTAGATATAAATTACCATTGCATACTCTGCGAATATAATTTATATTCAAATGAATAAAACATAAATACATAGTAAATTACATTACGTAAAACTTATAGCATATTTATTATTATTCACTTGCAATCATGGTATGTCATCTTTGGGAACTTATATATTTTATAAGTTACTATTTCTATTTGCACATTTTTTATAACGAATGTTTCCACTTGATGATAATTAGCATTAGAATATGACGAATAAGTCTTTTCTCATGCATGATATTATAGTTAATACCGATTTATTGGGCAATGCTACGACCGAGTTTGAAGATGAAAACCCACAGGGTCAAGGTCGGCTTCTAAATTTCGTAATCGTCAAAAATATTTCCATATTCCAACATGCAAAATTCCAGCTTTTTTGACCAATTTCAAAAACCACTATGGGTCAGCCTGCTGGGTCCATTTACTAAAAGTATTAAAGTTTGACTTAATATTATCTTTAATCTGACGTTCTTGCACGTTGATACAGATTTTCAGCTTTTTAATCAGTTTCAAAAAGCAGTGTGGTTTTATCCCCCTTGTAAAAAATCTTAGAAATTGACCTCTCATTTGTAATTTTTTTTTAGATTGAAACTGCGTGAATATTCTGCATTGATTTATTCATATTTTATATTTTTTCATGATTTTTTCTCACATTTTTTTCCACTACAATACATTCCACATGAGATCCATCAGTTTCAATTTTATTGATAAAATTATTTAATATAAAATAATCTGTTTTTTAAAATTTATTTAAAGATTTGTACATTCTTTAGTAACTCAAAGTTCTGATGAAGCATCGTATCCTTTATTGGTCGCCCCATTTTTGAAATTATTATTGGAAACTGATTTCCCATGATCTGAACTATGTTTCCTTTTTTGTTGGGGATTGTTGTGACCATTTTTGCTGTGACCATTGTAGACAGCAGCAGAAGCCTGTATTTTAAACTGGACGGGATCCATGTGTATTATACTGCTCGTCGTTAGAACCCCTTCTTTCGGAGAATTTGAACAAACGCCACACATTTTTTGTACGATTGGATGCAGATATTTTTTCCTGGGGAATTTTCTCGTCGATTTCACGCAGACTATGCGAACAAAGAAAAATTAAATATGTAGTTTCATGAATTTATTATTAAAATTGCAGATATTTTAACTTACTCAAGGCCAATAGTGACACAATTATCCCAACGCCGATTGTAAGTCCAGCAGCCACGACGGAGTAGAGGAGATAGGACAGTTTGAAAATTTTGTGCAATTCGTACTTATCTTCGGCCATTATATCGATAAGCATCGTTGTTGGTGTTTCGAAAGTAGTCGTGGCGAAGTCCAAATCGGTCGAATTGCCATCACCCCCCGTCAACGCGTCCACGATGGGACACTGATCCACAAAAGTTGGGAGTGGGATTAAGTCAATTTTATGAATGAATGCGGTCACACTGATGACGATCATGGTACCGAGTCCGGTTAGCATGCCGGCAATTGCGCCCTAGTGGAAAGCATGCGAATTAGTTTAACTTAATTTATTTGTGAATTAGTTTAACTTAATTTATTTGTGAATTAGTTTAACTTAATTTATTTGTGAATTAGTTTGGTATTTACCACAAAATTCGCAAATGGACAAAACATTCCGAGTAAAAAGACCCCAAAAAGTGCTCCACCCGTTGCCCCCACTGCGGCGAAGGTTGCGGAATAAATAGCTCCCAGATTTTGAGCTCCGAATGCGAGACCCATTGTCAAAATTCCGTAGAAAAGGCCTAAAATATTTTGTCATAATAACATACATTTGAGTATTTCAAAATTTCATAAAAAAAGCATTTATATTTTTACCGATAAGTCTGGAAACGTTTGCCTGGGATGTTGGTCGCATCTCTTTAAAATATTTATTCCGAGATAGAAAATCTTCCCATGTTACGGCAGAAAGTGAATTTAGGGCAGATGAAATTGAGCTGTACAGAAAAAATGCATATTAATGAATGCGAAAATTTACATGAAAAATCACTTATGCAAGTCATACCTAAGTACCGCACTAAAGATACAAGCCGTGAATAAGCCAATCATTCCCGGAATCGAGGCCAACTCCTTGACCACAAAATATGGAACAATCTGGTCCACTTTCTTTATTTCGCCCTGTTTGAAAGGGTCGCAGTGTGCATACATGGCAAAGATGGAGATTCCGGTGAGAAGGCACATCAGCATCACGGTCAATTTCAAGGGGACACTGTAGATAATTGCTCTGTAAAAATGGAAGCATAATTATTAATTAAAATGGATGAAGCAAGATTTCAGTAGCGTGCATGGCATGAATTGTAGTCTAATAAAAAGATTTCGATTATTCTTGGTTAAAACATCGTGTAAATTGTGTGAAGACAAATATTGCAGTGGAATAAGTTTAGGTTGATTTCGACGTCCATTTTATATTATATTTTATATTTTAGGAAATTTTGAGGTGAGCAAATTTTTGATTTTCTGAGGTTACGATAATAATCCAATTTCTCAAATTGATTTTTTAGACGTCCCTAGACAGTAAATTTCACTTATCCGAAATCAAAATTTGTAATCAATACACAATTCCTAAATCGTATGTGTCATGTCATTTGACATTTTTTCATTTATGCATATGAATCGTTTAAATTATTGTTTTTTTACTTTCTTGCATGCGATATTGAAGGCATGCTGCTGTATCGCTGGACTTGAAGTTGATGCACTGCTGGTTGCATCAAGGCGTAGAATCCTGAATGTTGAAAAACTTATTAGTGAAGATAAGTGATGATAAGACAATAATAATTTCGTACCTGAGCCAATTATGAAATTCCACAAATTATGTCTCATAAAGGGGTCAAAGGTCAAGCTGTGTAATACATAAGTGAGCCCGATAAGAAATTACAACTATTTACATAAATTAAAAATCTCATATTTCCCATCTCACTCGATAAAATTCAGTCGTCCATATTCTGACGCGACTTGAAAAGCATTCGATATTCCCCCCGAGGATGTGACCCCTTTCCAAACAATCGCCACCATTCCAGCCACCATCATTAGAAACTGGAAAGCGTCCGTGACCACGACCGCCTTTAATCCTCCCTATTAAACAAAATCACAAAAAATATTATCTTGCGTAAATAATGACGAAAACAAATTAGCAGAACATAAATTATTTTTGCGTACAATTGATGTGTAAATAGTTCCGCAAATTCCAATTCCAAGAATGCTCAACCACACTGGAAATCCTAGAAACGCTTCGAGAGCGATACTAGGTGCCTACAAATTTAAATATGAATACGAAAAAATTTAAATAAATTTGTACAAATTATTTAGTCAAATAATACTACTTATTATTGGTTAAAATTCAATTTTACGTACATATAAAATAACGCCGGACAGCGTCGTCTGCTGCAAAATAAATGTAGCAGACGCTAACCAGCGTACCCATTTGGAATCAAAGCGTTGTTCCAAGTACTGTAATTAGGATCATTATTTGTCAGAAATACATAAGTAAACAAACCACCAATTTGGAAAAATACCAAATATTACCTCGTTAATACTGGTAAGTTTCATCCTGTAGAAGAATGGAATGAATAAAAACGCACTGAGGGGGAAGGCAATCGCGGAAACGGCGTGGATCATGAAAATCTGTCCGCCAAAGGAATACACCTCAGCAGGAAAACCTTGGAATAGAATGTTTTCATGAGATTTTTATAATTCTATGTGCATTAAATAAATTAAATAATACATTTCTGCTGATACCTAAAACTGTGATGGCACTGACGTACGTAACCATTACGGACGCTGCCACTGGAAGGATTCTCATCTTCCTGCCCCCCACGAGTAAGTCTTCGTTCGAATTTTTTGACCGAATCGCATAATAAATCCCGATGAGTAGCGAGATCAGTAAAGTTCCTCCCACCACCACCCAGTCCAACCAGCCGAAATGATTTTCAAACATTTTTCCCAAAATTTATTTCACAACACTGAAAAATTTGCAATTTCTTGGTCTCAAACACGGCAGTGATACTGATTAGTAAATGAACTCCTCAACAGCGTCTCACATTTATTCCCACTCGTTACCCACAGCTTGTGAAATTCACTTATTTACGAAATTATTTCAGGTAATTCAATTTCTGAACCAGCAAGCAGACCTTCAATTACAGATCTATTATGTAGCAGGTTGCATGTTCTCTTTGATTTGGCGTTCAGTTCACGTGTCAAATATTTCTAGTGCAAGGGCAGAGTTCCATTTATAATGGTCAACTCTTCACTTATTTATTGTTACACACTAACCTCACGAAATGCACTTTTCGCATGAAAGCCAACTTTGCTTCATCACTTTTTCTATTGTTCCATAAAAAAATGTAAGTATGATTTAATCGTAACTAGCAGATGTCAATTTCAATTAATATCTGGACATGCACATTCCTCTGGAATTTTATTTAATGAGATGTCATCACTACTATGCAGATTTCCTCGCATTGTTATTGATCAGGTTCAACTTTTTATGAAGTATGCACCCCAACCTTGCATAACTTACTGGGTAAACTTAAAATAGAAAACTGGATTTAAATTACACCCATTTAAATACACAGCCACCTATCTAAACAACTTTTAAGTAGTGTAAAGTCCACTCAATCACATCCCACTCGCACCGAGTGTAAAATAAAATTCTTATGAAATTCGTTTTCGATATGCATATTTACACAGACACACAGCTACTAAAAGTATTTATCAGACACCATTTTTTACTCAGTCAAGTAGAGTCACTCTTAAAATGAAAAGTTTCATAGGGCCGACTTGGCGTTTATAGATAATCTCGGTACCGATGAGGAATAGGTTGTTGAAATGTGTGTATGTAATCCCTTCGGGGGCGACTGTTACCACCACCACTTTTATTATTAGGGTTACTTCACTCTTCTTTTGGTAGTTATTTATTGATCAGTGGTCTGGTCGTTTGGTTGGTAGGTATTAACAATGTGGGCCGTTGTGGAAATATTAATGAAATAGACGCACCGATGGAGACCACCGCAATGCCAATTCGACTTGGCTGAGTAGTTGGTGAGTGAGTAGTGGTTTGAATTTAAAAAAGTGGACCCAACGCAACGCAGGTTTAGCTTAAGCGTCCGCAAAAAATGGCAAACTCTTTATAAATTCTGAATTTTTGAATGTATGTAATCAACTATCGAGTAGTAGTAGTAGTAGAAATAGTAGTGGTTTGGTAGTCAGTAGTAGTTGTAGGTAGTTGACTATCTAGTAAGTGGGAGGAAAGGTGGAATATTAGCATGTTATTAGCAATAGCTAGGGTGAAGCAAGTAGTCGTTGTTTGTGGCGTGGACGTGGACTTTGATTATTCGGACCGCATTTTTGCCCAAGTATTACCATTATTCATTACATACGTACAGTACAATAATTAAGCGTCGTGATGATGAAGTGAATGTCCATTATGTTGTGTTACATACAAACATTTGTTGTAATTCTGATTACAATTATAAAATAGTATTGCTGTCAGTAGTTCAATCAATTCTTCTGTTTATTTATATGCAAGGCAAGCAGGGATTGAATATTAAATAAGTTGGTTTGTTGTGACTGGTGGTATAATTTGTGTGAAGGCACATTCATAAATGTTGGATGGAGGGGTGACTAATAATAGATTTCCGGTCCGGTATATGTACCCCAACTTCCGGCTGAATGTGCCAAAATGATGCGAAAATTCTAGTGCAAATTGCTATTATGTACTTTATGCGCTGGAGATAAAAGTCAAAGTTGTGGAATGCGAACAACGAGTACAACGACAGGTGTCAACTAACCATAATTATTGCCATGCAGGATGCCATAAATGGAGTGAAAAGCATTTGTTGTTGTCTCATTTTTTCATTAGTCAGTAGTCTCATTTTGTTGTTGCAAACTTTTATGCAAAGTTCACCACATTAGTCGTGTATGAACTCAATTTCTAAAATGTTGTAGAGTCATTTGTTTAATTAACGAATACACAAACTTAGATATACCTGAGCTGAATTCCATTGTAGAATTCTATAATAATGTATCTATTGATTGTGCATGGACTAAATTTTCTGTTACACAATAACAGCAATCAATCCTCCAATCCAATCCACTCTAACTTTTACAAGAAAGTAATTCAATAGGTCATTTATTACCCATTATTGTCACCCACAATAAAATAAATGGTAGTACATATGTACATGCAGAAGATGCATTATTACACAGTTTTATTGCAATATCTCGATTATTAAGCTAGTTATAACCAGTCATATTTCGAAATTAGATAGCTGCACAAGATTAATTTTTATGGTCAATTTTTAATTTTGTCCTCCTTTTTTTAACTACCGACATGCTATTTTATGCGCTGGTAAATTAATTAGGTAATTTTTTTTCTTCTAACGAGCAGATGCGGAAGCAGGGTATAGAATAGAAATGAGTTAAAAATATATACGCTGCAGTTTATTTTTTAGTAGCGACGATTAATCAATTATTACGCGGTCTGGTCTGGTCGCAGGTGGGAGAAGATTAGATCACATTTTAAAGGATGAAGGTAGACGTGGGGCTGCTTTAAATCGAAAATGTTGCATGACAGCAGCCACAGCAGCAGAGATCTTGGGCCTTACTAATTTTAACGAGCTATAATAATACGTAAGTAGCAGTGGCCGCGGAAGCTTGACGGGACAGAGGGACAATGTCCCCACGATTGTTCGATGTCCCCATCATCTGCCCATGTTATATAAACCCGTCCCTCCCCTATCCTACAATGTTAATGTCCCCCAAATGTCCCCACGGCTTCCGCGGCCACTGATAAGTAGTTAGATAACAACAACCTTCTTGTGTTGGTTACTGTCGAAAATGCCAGACTACTTGACGCTGGTTGGTGGTGCTGATAAATATGTGGAAAATCTACTTCAAGTGCCAACAATGCTATGCCTTTGAGATGAATAAAGAATATGTTATTTTTTGTAAACAAGAAATCTTTAGTTTTTTTTACTCATTTATTAATTTTGATTTCAATTCTCTCGTCTCGTGAGGTTTTAAATCACAAAACATTTTTTAAAGCCGATACAATTCTGCCAACTATATCCTATATCTACATCTTACAACAGCAATTCCAAAAAGATTGGTCAAGTCCTTTAAAACAGGTACCGAGTCAGGCTTCGAGTTAGCCAATTTCTATCTGGTTTAAAAACTATGACCAAAACTACGAACTAATTTCTCTCAGAAAAATCAAAACTGTAGGATTGGCTGGGTTTTTAAACTTGACAAAATATTGACTCCCTCATAGGAAACAAGAGTTTAGAAAAAAGTAAAGTGGTGGAGGTGGAAGATTTTGAAGAGGAAATTTAAACGCGGACAACCTCATCCCAGGTGGTAGGGAGGACATCTCGGGTGGTGTGGTGTCCACCAAGGACCTTCAACAAGTCACGGACAACTGGGATGTGTCGTTCACCAACGAGTTCCTGAAATTAATTCATATTAATTTTGGCACAATTTCTCCAATTTATTATTAAATTACTCACATTTTTGTACAGTTGGTTGACAATCTCGTTGATTCTGTGACGGTAGACGACATCGTTGAAGTCAACGTTGTTGATGTCTTCGTAGTGTCGGGTGGGGAAGGTGACATCCTCACCGTAGACGGAGTCAACATCGACAACGGATGGGGAGACAATTCGTCGGACGATTTCCCTGACGTGGTGAAGGGGAAGGTTCTTCAAGATGCTGTAAAGCTCAGGGGTGATTCTCTTGGTGATGAGGAGACGCTTGAGGAGGGATTCCTTGACAATGACGTCTTCAACATCGGTGGTGTGGTGGTACTCGGAGGAGGGGATGATCTTCTCGTCAACCTTGACGTCAACGATCTGTAAAAATTGAAATTTTCAAAATTTGATGTAAAAAAAAAATTAAAATTTTGTCATGATTTTTAAATACGCACCTTGGTTGGCTCATAGACAACCTTGGACTCTCCGGTGACTGGTTCGACAACGATTTCCTTGTGGGCTGGGGCAACCTTGACATCCGTTCGGACTTGGGTGACCTCACCGACGGTTGGCTTGTTGACGAAGAGGGTCTTGTAGATTTTGTCCAAGAGGAATTTGTAGTTGACAGCGTTGTCTCCGTAGTATTGACGTCCAGCGAAGATTGGGCTGCTGTATCGGTCGAAGGTTGGGTAGGATTTTCCATAGGCGTATGGGAAGACGGACCTTGGCACGTAGGTGGAAGTTCGGTCGATTCCATGGCCGAAAATCTTGTTCAAGTACTCTTCAACGGTGATGTCTCGCTGGCCGTAGTGACGTGGGGTGTTGACGTAGTCTTGGACATCGTAGTTGTACCCGGTGTTGTACTTGTCGTAGGAGTAACCCGTGTTGTACTTGTCGTAGTTGTAGAAATCTCCCTCAGAGGTGTAGGGCACGTTCTGGGCGATGATTTGAACCTGGAAAATATTGTGAAATTTGAAAAAGTGCTTGAAATTATGACTCATTATGAATATTAAGGACGACTTACTTGTGGGACAATGTACTTGTAGAAGAAGATTGGGTTCCTGAAGTACATCTGGAACTGGGGAACGGTCCAGAACTGTTGGAAGAGTGGAGACTCGACATAACGTCTGAAAACGGTTGGGTATTGTTCATAGAATTGACGGAAAAGTGGGATTTGGAGGTATTCTCGGAAGAGTGGGGTGGACACGAGCTCCTCAAGGGAGAGGATGGTCACCCTGCGTTGAGTCCAGGATTCGACATCGTCATCTCCGTAGTACGATTGGGTGGGGTAATCGTAGCTGCTGCTGAGAAGGGTTTTCTTTGGCAGAGAGAACCGGTGGGTGTTGGACCACAGCTTGTTGTCCTTGTTCAAAAGGAGGTCATCCCTGGACAGGAGGGATTTTTCCTTTGAGAGGAAACGGAGGGTGTCAATGTCCACGCTGCGAGCAGCAACGCAAGCCACGAGGGCCAACACGATCTGTGAAAAAAAATAGAAATTTAGATTTCAGAAAATCTCAAAATCTCCCCAAAATTTCTGACGACTTACAAAAGCCTTCATTGTCGAGAGGAGAGAAGATGAGAGAATGTTTCCAGAGAGGATTCAAAGCAAGACTCGTACCTTTTCCGAGGTTCTGGACCTCTTTTATATCCGTCGAGTTGTATATGGACATGCTGTCTTTGCACTTTTTTAAATCCAGTCCAGTTAGTTTAGTTGCTACCTCGGTACGCGTATGCACATAACTCGTGGAGAGAATGACAAGACAATGTTATCCTGTAGACTTTGACTTTCTGAATCCATCGTAAATTACCGTATTTGATTGTTGGTTACTAGGCTAGACTTTAAGCAGCAGGAGCAGCAGGACAGCATTTTCTTGTCCACATATTACATCCTCTGACAGCAAGCAGTATCAGAGTCAAAGACATTGCGAATAATAATTGCGATAAAGCAGAGTCACTGAGATCTCACGTGAAAGCGAGCCGGTCGGTTGGTCGTATCGTAACCTGACCCAGCAACAATTTATTGTCCAGTTCACTTAACCAGCAGACCATGCAAGAAAAAAAAACTGCAAATAATCTCCCAAGACCAGTTTCAGTACTTATTTTATGTATACCTACCAAACTATAACATACAAAATGTAAGAGACCAAGTTTGTGGTAGTTTTCCTCCGATGGACAAAATGATAAAAAGAAGTTTCAACATGAAGTTTACTCGTGGGGAATAAAGTTCAAAACCCAATTAAAATTTCCAGTTTTAGTTTTTTATTTTGAGATTCTTTCGATAGTAAGTCAGGATTACATTAGAAAATCGCGAGTTAAAAGAACATGTACAGTTATATCAGAGGTGGTTGGTCGGTCACCTTTCCATGGAATGGACATGTGCACAAATGTCACCTTCAAACATGGTGCGATTGTTGAATTTTTTAAACCGGACAGCTTTTTAATTTTATTGCATTGTTGAAACTTTGCAACAATCCAGCAAGTCTGGTTTTTAAATGAGATGGTCATAAAACGAGGGAATATTATATAATGTGTGGAAAAATATGGTCTTTCCATTACTCAAAATTTCTTAAAATGGGCAAATGAAATGGAAATCATGATACCTAAATGTGTATTTGTACATGCATGAACTGCTGACTGATATAAATATTTAGGTACATACACAAATCTGTATGCTTACCGATCTTGCAATTAATCTCGCAATATTTACTTGATATCAGCATAAATTGCAAAAGGGGTTAGAAAAGGTCACCAATTACTTTAACTGCCTGGTAGACAATGTTGTCGTGCTAAACTGTTATATGTATATTAAAACGTGTCAAATATTCTCTCCTTCGAGACAGCCAGACTGATCGAAAGTGATTTGTTTAATAGCGATTAAATTGCAAACTTGTGACCTCTGGTCAAGTTGTATGAGCAATATTAATCTCCGTTTGCATAAACCAACCATGGTATTTACTTATGTATGTTCACATATATGTACTTATCAAAGTCAAACTCGTAATTAGAAGAGTTCACTCCTGACCAGATTTTTTGACCAAATGTCATTGGATCTTCTAGAACAGTCAGTGCATGCAATTTCTTGAGACGAGACGATGTTTCAGCAGATTTTTGTAGGCAAAATCCACTATTTTGGCAAAATTATGATCAATAAAAGTACAATGGCTGACATGTTCATGAATTTATTAATTGTATTATTTTTAGAAGTTGGCGAGTGATTCTTACAGGTTATTATGTAATATGAAATATAATATGACATGTGTATAGAATGCCTTTAATGTAGCATCACAATTTGCTTCTTATGTATGACTATTATTTTGAATTTTCTAGAAATATGGAAAATTAATAAGAAATTTAAGTTAAACTCCTCTTGTTACCGATGGTAGAGTCAGATCCACCACCGTAAGAATCTATTATTTATAATTATGATTATTAATGTATCACAAATGTAGGTTTGAAAATATGTGCTTATCCATATAAGTTTTTTTGTGTACGCAGCAAATAGCTCCCTAACTAACTAGACCTTCAATTGGCTCGTTTTATATGCATACTTAAGACAAGTTCACACGACGATATCCACGTTTAAGAGCAACATTATGAAAATTTTGTATCGCATTATCTTTCGAAACGGTAGAAATCGCATTGACTAATTTTCTTCGGTCTGATTTAACTGTGCGGAGGCACCAGTGATGATCATGACATCCTTTGTCCTCACATTTTTCGCAAATATCAAGATCAAGACAGCAACAACATTTATACCGAACTCCAAGAATCTCGAACCCACAAACATCGCAAGTTGCTTGGTGGACCACGGCTCCTGTGGCACTACTATTTCCAATGTCTTGGTTCTCGTTTCTCCTGATTTCTGAATATTTCTTACGTATAAGGATATGTTCATTATGTAAGCCTTGTTTTGTACAAGGCTCACAAGCAGTAAAATCTTGGCATTCCGTACATGCATAGACAACCCCCTTGATTGGAGTTTTGCCACAGAAGTCACAAGTGCTTCCCTCAAAAATTTCGAACCTGAGGGATTCGCCTATAATCAAAATTTTAAATTAATCATAATATCGAATATGAATGCATGGTAGCATTTGACAAACCTGTATCTCCATTAACTTTATGATAAGAATTTGACTCCACCACGGCATTATCGCTCCTCTTATTCAAGACGGACTGCGAAACTGAAGATACTGAATTTTGCAAGGCCACATCACATTTTCTTTCCATAGTTGACGAATAAATGACCACTGATAACTTCCATTTGATTAATTTATTTCGATCAACCGTTTTTCCTGAGAAATCAGCCAAGAATCGTAAAGGTACAAAGCATGTCGAAGTGGGGTCACATATTTCCAAGTTTGTAAGATTTTTCCATTTTGCAAAATCCAAGTTTTCGCCACACCAAGTATTCTTAACTTTAGAAAGAATGTCGTTTTCAAGACGGGGCTCAATTGTGATGTCCACTTTATATAACGATGATGCATCGGCATGTTTCCCGGAAGCTGGCAATGTTAAAATTACCCACTGAAATAATTTGTGAGACCCGTTATAGTTGGAGAGTAGGACATGGACTTGATTTTCAATAACAATATGGCAAGGTTCCCAAACGATGCATGTATTTTCAGCATCAGCCAAATCCCCCCATTTTACGGACTGTTCAATATTACAAATTTTGCCGTGAGACATTGTGTTGGTTTGATTTATGTGTGACTCAAAACAGTGCTCTTTAAATTCAACGAATAACACACCAACTGTGCATTTTGATCCGAATTGTTCACACAAACTGAAATTTCTGTACAAAAATTCCATTATTTGACACCTGTCGCAGTATGTAATTTCAATACAATTGAGTTCAAATTCTTACTCATAATCACAGTTGAAAGCCTGTAAATGTTCCTTGAGGTCTTTACTTTTAAATGTGGCATGGCATCCTCGTTTCCAGTTTTTGCATTTAACTTCAATCGAATTTGCCAATTGTTCCAATCCCAAGGCACGAATATTTTCCTTCGGGAGTGCTGTTCTGCATGTGGGGCAGAGCCAATCTGATACTTTGGGAATGCAAATGTGACAAAGAATGTGACCTTTGGTACATTGATAAATTGGAGTGGAGGATATTTCTTGGCAGATTGGACAAATCAATATTTCCTCAAATTTTTCAAAATCCATGATTATTAGAAGGACTGTAAATAATGAATTAATTAATAATTAATTAGATTACACAGAAGATTTAGGGGAAAACGAGGAAATCTTTACTTTATTTGTCAATATTTCAAATACAGTTCGATATCAAGGTATGCGTAAGAAAACGCGAAAAATTATCGCAAAATTAATTAATAATATTTGTGTTCAACTAGCAAGAAGAGAAGCAAAATAAAATTCAATATACATAAATGACTACATATGTACATGGATAAAATGGATTATCTAAGAATTTAATGATTATTTTGATAACTTATCAATTCTACCATACTTCATTTCATTTAAATAATGCAGACGGCGACAATGTTTTATGATTATAATTGACTCCCTAATAGTTAATGTACAACATTTTACATAGTAATTGACATACATACGTGCATAGTCGTCCGAAGTAAGCAAATAATTCACACATTGCTTACCAAACCTCTAATTCAGTCCAGAATGATAATGATTTTACATGAATGTATTAGTTATCTGCATTCTGCACAAATGTACATATTTACAGATTTCGAATGGAAATAACCTATGATTTGAAACATTCAATCGTCACTTATATGTAAACCCGTCATTTTTATTTGCATATTTTATGTGCATTGAGGAACTGAATTTGCATAATACACACAGTAAAATAGATACGTTCAGATTTGTCAGACTTGACGTATTGGGAAAAAAACTCAGTACGATTTTTTACAGGAGTATGTACATACATATGTAAATTATTACACAAAAAAAGAATACATTTTTAGCTCCTGGAGATGTTAACATTTACTCCCCAACTATTTACTCGTTGTCTTCTGACGATTTCTTGTCCCAAATTGTTCTCTATATCATGGCCGCACATGTCTAGGTAAGCGTCGGTTTTTTCAACGTCGTCTACGGTCATACGAGTCGTAGCTTGGACAATTCCAGAAAATTTCATCTAAAAATCAGCTCTGATTAGATACATACATTTAATAAATCGATTTATTATCTTTTTAACTTACATCTCCACCATTTTCTTGGATTTTACGACAATCATCGTCATCATCAGGGAAGTCAAACTTAATCGTTGCCATATATTTACAACCGTCCTGTGGTGCTCCATGAAATGCGACCCAGATGTAAACCCTGTCTTCAACTTGTTTCGCCCTGACCAAAAACTTGTTCTTGTCGACTTCCAATATTACGAGATCGGTTGGTCCGTCTATGCATCACAAATATCACAATCGGTAATTTTTAGCTTTCTTTTCATCTAAATATGCAAATGCATCGGTAAACATACCCTGAACCAATTTGCGATCCTCCTTCACATAATAAATAATCAAGCAAGGGGATCCTTCAAAACATTTGACATTATGAGTAGTTATGAGATGCTGAATATATTCTGAAAATGGTATTTGACCATTGTAACAACACCTCTCCGTTTTCAGGCAGCATTTAATTGGTCTGTAAAATTGGAAATATTACGGATTTTCTCTCGTTTTACTAAATAGTGTATTATGCTCCCAATATTATATTTTTAGCCCGAGTCAGGGCCTAGGTATCCATCATGATTGTCTGTCTGTCTGTCTATCGATTACACTCCGAAAACTTATCTAATCGACTTGAAATCTTGTACACATGTAGAATATTATTTTATGCGTGTGCAAAATTTTGCATATTATGCAAAATTAAGAATTAAAGTTGAAGATAAGTAAATTCTGTCGACAAATAAAATAGTTTGAGTTGTGGTATTTACCCACCCACCTCAATTACAGAGGGTGTCCGCAGTTTATATGAACAGTATGAATTACCTTATAACTTCTGAACACGATGACTGTGAATTACTTTAGCGATCTCAATGTGTTCTCCATTTTTCCTAGCAACAAGTCTGAGTCTTGGTTTCCAACCTCCAAACACATTTTGACACGTTTCAGGGGAGACAAGATCCCATTCATGATTTACAACTTTCCAAAGCCCAACCAAAGTTCATGACTTCCTCTTGAAAATGCTTTGTTTCAGGCATCCAAACCCGAAAAAATCCATCTGACCCGTGTCAGATTACTGCATATGGACCTCGAAATAAGATGTCGAGGTCATTCCGGTTCTTTCTTATAAATCTTGGGCGTAATGCTGAATTGACCAAGCAGTATGTGAAGATGCCGTATCGTTATGGATGCAAACTTTGTAAAGCTCCTCAAATTGCTTCGTTCGAATTTTGACCTCCAAAAGCGTATGTAAAGCACTCTCCATAAAGTGCTTCGAGTTAATTTTTGCATTAGACCCAACAGGTATCAATTCTAGCACTCCACGGCTCGTCATTGCACCAACCACCAGAAATCCGTCAGACAGCTTTTCCTTCTTTTCAGACCCATAGTTTGAAACCTGCTTCTGGTCGTTTCTGAAGCGAATCATTTTTATCCTGTTATAGTTTTGAAGGTAGCAGAGTGCCCCCTCCAACGTGACGACAAATTCGGAATTTTTACTCCCAACATGACCTTCAAACAGCCTCGGACTGTTAATTTTTTGTTTACAACATTGGATGATTTTAGTGTTCCGAATTTCGCCTTCCTAAGGACTGCTTTTTCAAAGTTGTGATTTATAACACGATTAACGTGTTCAATAGGCATCTGGGATTGTTTTGTGACGTTTTTTTGGTCGGATGCTTCTCATTGAGAGGGAGGCGGTCATTTTTCTTGAGGGTGGGAGAATTCGTCGTTTTGAGGGGTGTTCATTTTTAGATATACATTGGTCGGATTTAGCTAATCATCATCGTTTTCTTGCAAAATTGATGAAGGGATATATGGGGGACACGATAAGATGGGTTTCAGATTTTTGGATAATCGTTTGGGCACTTTCCGCGGCCAAATTAGCTTCGGAAACCGCTTTTACGGTTCCCCCACTTTGGGGTCGCTTTTTGGGGCCACCTTTGAAGATACAAATTTGAAACTTTGCACAGCTGTTGTCATGACCTTGAAGTTAATGTGTGCCAAATTTGGCGCCAATTGGATCATCCGTTCGCATGTTACCCGTGTAAATCTAGTGTTCATATAATCTACGGACATCCTGTATTAGCGACAACCTGACTCGGGCTCTTTTAAAATTAGGTCTCAACTCTTCTCACCGATAATCGCAATTTATCTCATGCTGCTGCATATGACTGGCTGCATTTCGATAAGTACAACCCTCCGCAGTGTATTTGCATGAAATATTGTCATCATTTCCAGCGTTGTTACTGCTCGGACTGATCACAATTGTGACATTGTATGGAAAATTGTTGCTCGACAATCCTACCGAGGAGTGGACGGTGGGGGTGGTCACGATTGATGCAATTTTTCTCGCCATGTCTTCAACTTGCTGACTTCTCCTTTCAACAGGGAGACCGACAAGATATTCCGCCACCAAGTTGCGGGCCAATCCGTGCGAAAATGGAATCCGACAAATAGGACAGTCGCGGAGATGAGGAAGATGCGAGGCGCAAATATTATGACCATTTTTACATTGTTGAATCTCACCAGGCATGCACACGTCCAGACAAACGCTACATTTCAATGGTGCAGACAGGCTTGAACTATGAGCCATTGAAATAAAAACAAAATTGGAGACTTGTTTCCTAATTTTTGTAAGATTTATCAAAAAACAAAAAGTAAAACAGTTTGGTACGATTATATTTCAAAAGATAAGCGATTCCGACCTTTCATTCAAGGCACGTTGAGTCACCGTGGCGCCGAGGTAACCTGACCTCTTTTGGACGAAAATTAGTACATACACCTCGATTAAAATAATAAAAATTGTTAAAAATAATAAATATGAAACATTAACAATTTGTAAAAATATGTCGCATAAAACTCGTCATTTAAATATATTATTCGCCACGCAGAACGACTTACATCTAACCTCGATCTATTTGAAGATGCATTTTGCATTGTTTGTAAGTTTGAATTTGTGCACTATTTAAATTAATGCATTTACACCTTCTCTTTGGTCAACAATGTGCTATGCACTACATAAATAAATACATTATGATATTGTGTGTGTGAAGGATGCAAATTCATCTGCTCAAATATTGCACATCATAACAAAACATTCAAACAATTCACGGTACGCCAACTTAATGTGACCACAAGCAGAGAATAATAATATCAAGAGAGCATGGCATGATTTCTTCACAGTTTTTTTTTCTTCTTCTTCATCACTAAAGTCAATCTCAATTTCCAACAATTGGCCTGACTTGATAATGCATCGCATCGCATGCATGCATGACAATGGGCAAGTAACGTAGTGAACAATTGTGACGTTTGGTGTGGTGCCGTAATAAATTTAATATATGCACATAACATTACTTAGTTGCCATTCCCTTTCATTTCATCCCCATTTCCACTCCGTTTCCTCATTAACACATCTTCTTCGTTAAGAGAAGATAGCAAACAACAGGGGACAAGCACCTTTCAAAAATGATCTCAAAACTTGTCGACCCAAAGGACGCACAGTTCATCTTGGTTGGTTTGGTGGTATCCAAGATCCTTTCCTGCTTGAAATTGGGGCTATATTTCTACTTATTTTACTGCAATTTTAGTAAAATTAGTTATCTATTCTTTCGTGTGGAATGAAGGTCTGTCCAGATTTCTTTGTTGTAGTGTTATCCGTGCTGGGGCTGGATTTGGTGGTGTGGGGTCATGTTTCTCTCACGTTCCCACCCGCACGACAGATTCCGATCGACTTTCTGAACACGTTCTGGACAAAGGCCCCGTGTGGGATGCCGAGAGGTACTTAATAAAATTCAAATAATAGAATATATTTTCTTCGGAAATTTATGACTTTTTTTACTTTTAGGACACCTTAAAACGTCCCTGGCTGCGGGCAAAGGGTTCAATGTAACGTGGCATTTGGGTTATGCACATCAAGTCAGTAATTGATTTTTAATGGTTTAATCCACCATGACGAAACGATGCATGTTTGACATGTTCCTTTCATTTATTTTCATAGGGGGGATACAGACTTGAACTTTTGGATCAAAATGAGAACAAGTTGATGGATTTGACGCCTACAAATGATAACACATTTCATCAAGGACAAACCACGTAGGGGAAAAAAATCTCAATTTTTTTCTGTAATTATTACTTTAGAGCATCATGTAACACGTGTTCATCCATTGATGTATTTACTGAAGGGCACAATCTCACTATATTGATCTACCTGAAAACTCGACCTGCGTTGGATGCACGATCCGACTACTTCGACAAGTTCCAGAGTTTGCGCCGGATTTTCAGTTTATTTCCTGCGCCGATGTGGATATCGTATCGAGACAGAATTTTATCGAAAACTGTAACGGACACGGTTACGTGATCGGGGGCAGGTGTACATGTTATGCGAGTAAGTTTACAAATAATTTTCAGGGGTGAGCAAAATACTTTGGCAAAATATTTACAGTATTTTGAGCTCTTTTCTTCCCTTGGTTTGGATTTCCGGGGCTGTTACACCCACAAAAAGGCGAAAATCATTGTGAAGAAGACAAAAATGCAGGTTTTGTCAAGAATTTAACTTCACGAAACGTGTCAAAACACATTATGGTTTTCACGATTTTTTAAAAATAAAGTGTTTTGACAGCGATAAAAAGTTGATTTCTTAAAAAAAAATCCGTAGTTTCGTAAGATTGTTGCATTCTGTATGCAGATTCTCGTGTTTTTGTGAGGGTAAGAGCCCTGAAAATCCTTACCCTGGGAAGAACGGAGCTCAAAATATTGTATTTTGACAAAATATTTTGCCCACCCTTGATAATTTTGTGCATTTTCATGTGAATTACACCCTATTTTTTAAGGGTATTGGGGTGACCGGTGTCAATATCAGGACGAATGTGACACCGACATTGACTGCAATGGTCAAGGACGCTGCATTCATCTGGGTGGATCTGCCCTCCCCCGGAAACAGTGTTACTGCCCAGCATCGCATTATGGGGCGAGATGCAGTTTGCAAAATCCTACCAATATGCCACATCCAGACAACTTGAACCTTAAGCAACACGTCAGAGTCAAGTTGGATGAAAGGATGACCATGTATTTTAAAGTAGGTTGACGAGTAAATTAGCATAAATTTAAATAGTTAAATACAAAATGATTTTCCAGATTTTCTTGGGGTCCACACAATCTCAAGATGAGATGGAATTCGTCCTTCAAATTAATGGAACGTCGTACGGAGGTCTTGGCTGGCGTCCGACGAATATCGGACCAATTTGTAAAAGCTGGCCGTTCATCTCGAGTGCTCTTCACGGGAATAATTATCGTACAAAGAGAAGTTCTTCGTCCGTTTTGTAATTTAAATATGCTAATTAATTTCCAAAAATAGGTCAAAAATTTAAAAATTTTGGTTAATTTTGATTCGTCCAATAATTTTATTTAGCACAATTACAAAATCTATCGATCAAACGGACAACTTTTCCCCATCAAGTCAAAGCCATGGTCGAGGCCAGAATTATATTTCGACGGTGTCATCGTCCATCGACAACTCCCCCCAAGCACGGCAAGCCTCTTCTTCTGTGTACCAATCCTTCGATACCATTACCACCAATAGTGATTCCGGTGTCCAAAACGCGTACCGTGCCCCCGTTTCGAACAACAATATCCAAACCGTGATTCAATCTTCTACTCCGTCAAGACTGAGACTGCAACAAAATAGCCAAAATATCCAGGTTCACACGATTCAGCTCACTACTCCAAGAGGTCCTCAGGTCCAATCATTGCCACTCCCTCGCGCACAACCTGTCGTTGTTTCTTCGTCGTCATCATCATCTCAACAAAGATCTAAACCGCAGCAGCAACAGCAACAAAATCCAGCACCACAACAGACTTCTATTTCTCAACCAAGTTTTACCCCGTCCGAGGTAAGTCATTATTGACCTTCGGTCACTTTGCATAATTTCTGTTGCATAACTAAAATTTTACTAACGGTCACTTTGCATAATTTCCGTTGCATAACTAAAATTTTACATAACAATCATTTTGCGTAATTTCATTAATTTCTGTTGCATAACTAAAATTTCACATAACGGTCATTTTGCATAATTGATAAGTATTTGCATGCAATAAAAATTATGCAAAATAGCCGTTATGCAAAGCTAAAATGACCTAGGAACAAGTCATTTTTACCATTAAAATAGATTTTTTTTACATGAATTTTCATTTTTTAAGTGGGCAGCCAAGGACCCCTTCACACCGATGGACTGCTCTGACATAATCGTGGGTTCGGCTCGTGGAAACTATCACCGAATTAGAGACACCTACTCCCGAGGAAGGCACACCCCACTGCCCGACTACATTTGGGGAGGACGCGACGATCTGATCGGGGCCGTTGGGTGGGAGCAGTATGGCGTCACCACGTTAGCATTTAGACGCCGCATGGACGCTGCTGACGGACCGGATCACCCGATTCGTGGCGACATGCAGGTCATCTGGGCGAGGGGGCAGGAACCAGGGGAAGTAGTTCCCGTGCCACAGCATCAACTCACCCCTGGAAATCCGACAGTTTCATCGTAATCTTTATACATAATTTAGCAGTTTACAAGGCCCCCAACTTTAAAAACTTATACATTTTTTTACAGTTTCTACACCCGAGATGAACTCAAATACCACGGTCTCGGGTCACAAAGAGGATTCCTCTTCATCGACTTTGATGCCGTCCGGCAGGAATTTGTGAATGGAAGATTCAGTCAGTAAGAACACGCAAAAACCACACTCAATTAAATACAACCACGACAAAATCCATCTCATTTGTACCACACACGTATGTAGATATTTACGTACATATAATTAAGAATTATCCCTAAGTCATTATTTTATATAGTGTTTTTCTCATTTCTTACCTATACCAATCTCTGCATGCAAATAATAAAGTTTTTATACGCATTTCTTTCAAGGGGCCATCCATAAATTACGTAACGCAAGTGGGGGGGAGGGGGGGTCATGTGAAGTGCGTTACGAATTGTTACGAAGGGGGTGGGGGTATAGCAAATTTGTTACGTAACACATTTGATAAACTCGACTAAGCCTCGCCAAGTGTGACACCGAGCGGATTGAATTCATGTCATCCAGAAGGTTTCAGTGTACGCATGCATTTATGTAAATATACCGAACTATTGCCACCCATAGTGGTGGAGATGGTCGGACATTTGTTAGCTGTTTAATAAAATTTGGCATCGAATTCTTGGCAGATTAAAAAAAAATCCTTCACTCGACTAGAAAAGTAGGGCTCAGTTCCTTAAAATATTGAGTTTCCTGTTGGAACTTGAATAATTAAAAAGATATTTGTTTTCCCGAATAACGTCAAACCTTATAGCACTGGGAGAGAAAACCCAAGAGTGCTAAAAAAATCGTTGGGAATGCTTTGATTGTTGAGTAAATAATTATTTCCATCAGTTAAATTGTAAATTATTTCTATTTCAATTCTGAAAATTGTTGCATAATAAATAGGTTGCACATGTCAATGGCGAATTTATTAATTTTTGTTGGATTAAACCATATTTTTGTTGGATGGTATGAAATCAACCCTGAAAATTTTGCATTTGACATCTAAAGAGATCACTTGCGGTGAAATCAAATTTATGTTACGTTACGAATGGGGAGGGGGGGTAGTCGAGAAGCGTTACGATGCCGTTACGAGGGGGGAGGGGGGGCTTCAAAAATGACGATTTTTGCGTTACGTAATTTATGGACGGCCCCCAAATATTTGACCAAACTATTTACAGCTTTGTTATTTTATTGATTTATCCTCCACAACTTCCTCTACAACTAAATTCCATTTACCTCGATACGATCTCATCTTTGTCGTCCGTCATGCACAAAATTAGGTAAATTATTCAGAAAAAAATACACTCTTAGAATTTTATCTTTATCAACAAGACGAAAAAAAATACGAGGAAATAGATCATCATCTTTATACGGACGTTACATTCCAAGAACCAGTTTGATTTTTTAGTAGTTAAAATGTCCACAACAATGCATAACGCACTTCCAGTCCAGTCGTGCCTTCATTGCTTTGCTTACATAAATTAATAATAATCTTTTACTAGTGGAATCATGCTCTTGAAGCTTATTTGCAGTATTAGCTAGGAGTAGTTTTTAGCTAATGGTGGTATATTGGTCAGTTATCTTGATGGTAAAAATTGGTAAAAATGACTACAAAATAAAACTGCTTTCCGTCATCGTGTCCTTGTAGTCCTCACTCCTCTCATGCATACAGTAATCTTGTTAATGAACGTTTTCAGCAAACTCTGTAATTTACTCAGGATTTATGAGTTGATCCGTCGTATGTAAATACATACATACGCTTAATAACCAAAGGGCTATTATTATTATTATTAGTGTTCACATTTTCATGTTCCTGAATTTGTAGCAGGTATCATTTCGAGATGATTGCAATAAAATGAGTAGGAAGCATTTTTTTCATGAAGTCATTCTGTCCAGTGGCCGCGGAAGCGTGGACAATGTCCCCACGGTTGTTCGATGTCGGCATCATCTGCCCATCTTATATAAACCCCTCCCTCTCCTATCCTACAATGTTAACGTCCCCAGATGTCCCCACGGCTTCCGCGGCCACTGATTCTGTCCTGACTTTGAATCTCAATCTGGCTTCAGGCAAAGAATGGACTGGACGGACAGGAACTGTAATTTGCTTAGCGCACTTAATTAATTAAGCTTAATTTAATTTGAGCACTGTGCAAAATTGGAAACACACGTTTCCATTCTAAGAATTCATGTAGCAGCAGCAGTGTCAAAAAAGTATGTACGTGAGGTACTTCTTTTACTGAGGTTTCAAGGTTTATGAATTAAATATTGTTATTATTTAGTGTTTAGATCATGATTGAAAGCTGCTTGGGGTAAAATTTCTGGGAAATGAGAAGAAGTCGTTGACAATTATAAAGGTTTTTTTCTTTTGACAGGTTGCAATAATGTAAAAATAAAATTATCTGATATTTTTTTCATTATAAATAAATCAGATTTTAAAAGTGATTATTCACATTTTGTAAATATCTTGTGTGACATCATTCATATTATTATTGCGTAGGATGAAAAAAGAAGAATAATTCTGTTTATTGTGTCGCTTATATAACGCTTATCTTGGAGGGTTATCATCTTGCTCACACCTTTCTTGACATTATTTACAGCGTGTGTATGCGGTTATGTGGTTGAGGGAAGCTCTACTCTACCTGTGGTAACTGCAGTATTTATTATCGTTTGTAATATTCTTCTCGCATTTTAAAGGGATTCGACATTCGACGCTAATTTTATCATTGTGAAATGAGAATGAAGGTGTACTATTACACGTTTATATGGTTTTAGGCGTTCAAAAAAACCAGAGGGTGGATATGTATTTATGCTCAAATTTTCCATTTTATGTCGACGGACGGTCAAACTTTGTGCGTTTGTTCCTCAACTAATAGATCACAAAAATTTCAAAATTCTCTCTAGGTTTTCAGAAATATAAATATTTAGAAATATGTGTCATTATTTGAAAAATACGTTAATATTCTAGATATTTTTTAAACACATCTATAAATATTTATTTCAACGATACGAGACGAATTTTTGTTCAAGGAAATTCGACTGCAAAAAATCCAGACCATTAAATTCAAAAATACTGTGAAAAATTTTATTTTTATGGTTTTTGGCGTACATATTTCGCAAATATTTTGGTGCTTTTTTCCTAAAAATTGAATTGAATTTGTCAATTTTTTCTAAATACATATCCACCCTCTGAACATAACCATCAATGTACGTATATATTTGCCAGCTCTCAACCGTTATTAGCATCATCGTCAAGCTAAGCAAGCGTTGTTGGAGACAACAACCTTCACCCCACTTTTACTTACTTAAGTTGAGACTTAATTTAATTTGGGATGGGACAAAGGACGTTTTGTTTATGAAAGTGAGAGGTTTGTCATTTCATTTCATCCCCGTTAGACGACTTGAGAGAGAGGCAAGTAAGAAAATGCAGAGAGAGATGACATTTTAAGATGAAGGTTTAGTTGCTTATTTCAATTTGTCTTCTACTTGAGATTTACATAATGTAAATTTGGTCATGATGATGATGATAATTATGATTATGCTGCATATGCATCCATTTCAACTTCAACCATGAATGAATCGAATAAAACAATAGTTTTAAAATGTGGTCCAATTTTGGCTTTGTAAAAGTGCGATACATAATTTTGAGTAAATTTGTGTCCAAATTTTGTATAATTTATGTTAATCAGGATGACGACGAGGAGGGGGAAAAATATATAAATAAAAGACTATATATGCATGAAGGTGATCAGTTTTTTGTTCTTGGTAGCTTTTGTATTTCATGTGATTGTATGTAAATAATTGCAATTATGATAAGTGATCTTGATTGCGGTGTGACTTTACTTTACACTGCACCACATATGCAATTCGCTCTTAACAAATTAAATTATGCTTTATAAAACCAAGCCAAAACAGAAAATGCATGCTGCGCGCATTTACCTGAATGAAATGAATGATTAAAGCCAAGTTAAATGCTGAAATAAATAAATAACGGAAAGCTGGTTGTTCTTGGAGGGATAAATCAGCAAATAATTATTGTTCCCTGTCGACACTGCTATGAGCTATGCGCTATGTGCCATGTCACCATTATTTATATATCCATAACACAACAATTGAGAAGCACAAGAGACCTTCAGCCCTTCATTTAATGAATAAACATTCCCACGCAGGTTGCAGTCACTGTTTGACCATTTCCTCGATAACATACTTTGCATAGTTGGTTGCTTGCTGTCTCCCGGCGCAGTTGGTTGGTGTTCGTTCAGGGAATGATTTAGTTTGCATTTTTGAAAAAAAACTGTGTAAATTTGAAGAAAACAATGGTGTCGTATAGTTTTCAAGGAGTGGTGACCACGATCCTCGTGGTGGTGATTAGTGTAATTTTGCTAAGTGTGGAAGCCCATGTGACGCTAACATTTCCACCAGCGAGGAAATTGGATATCGATTTTTTGAATAATTTGTAAATTATTATGAAAATATTATAGTAATGTATTTACATATTTGATAAGTTGAACTGGTGTGATAATCTGAATTATTGTGTTACTAATTAGCTGGACAAAGCCGCCCTGCGGTCAACCGAAAGGTATGTACATAATGCATGCAGGTGCAATTTGTAGTGTTTATACCATAATTTTGGTAATAAAACTGATTTTGAAAAATCTAGAATGCACAAACTTCATACTTTCTATTTTTCGATATGATTACTAAAAACTTGAGAAATATCTCAAAAGTACCTCAACAAACAGAAGCCTCTTTCATACACGTGCACAAAGTATATAATTTTCAGCAATATGTGATAATTAATCCTTTAATAGGAAAAAAGTTATGAGAATTTTTCCGATTCAGAATAAAAAACAGCTTTTCGAAATAGTGGTTTTACGATTTACTCCTAAGTTTTTGATCATTCAGTTTTAAATCATTTGAAGAACAGACCTCTGGTTATCGGATCCTGTACACAATTACATTAGCCACGGAACTTTGTCACCTTTTTTAATGGTGACATGTTAGGTTTCCCATATTCACATATATCTGAATTTGAAAAACTTGCCATTTTTTACGCGACAAGCTTGTTACCTGTCAAAGCAAACACACGCGTGTGAACGAAATTCCGAGATGAATCGAAAGATACATATTATTGAATTGAAAAATTCTTTTATTTGTCATTTTTATCGATCTGGACACAAGATAAGCACACCAGACTCAATAACAAAGACTAATTTTTTATTCGACAGGTTCAACCAGAACGACACTGGCTGCAGGTTCTTCATTCAATGTGAACTGGCAGTTAGGTTATTCTCATATTGTGAGTCGTTGATCTTGATCTTGACGCTTGAAATAGTTTAATTGCTGTATTTATTACTGTCACACTTTCTATTTGCTTTGTTCTTACCCGACATGAGCTTTTGTGTGGGGCAATAAATAATTAATTGATTTGTAGTAAAAAAACATGACATTGAATAATAATTATAATTAACTAATTATGCTAATTTAGGGTGGATACAGGATTGAACTGCTGGACAATAAGGAACAAAAACTTATGGATTTGACCGTAACTAATTCTCCTGATGGATTCGTGCAAGGAAATGCGACGTAAGAATTTACAAAAATATTTTGAAAAATAAAAATATTTTGAATTGATTAGGGCACAATGGCAGAAGATTTACCTCCCTCAAAATTTTGTCTGTCGAGATTGCACAATCCGCCTGTTACGACAGGTCAAGTCGTTCGATCCCAACTTTAACTTTTGGTCATGCGCCGATGTCGACATCGTAAATCCGACGCAGTACACGGAAAACTGTCATAATCGGGGACGACTTGTGGGTGACAAGTGTCGGTGTGGGGATGGTTAGAAAATAACATAAATTCCCAGAAAAAAAAATTATTGAATGTAAATTTAAACTAATTAAATGATTCAGGATACTGGGGGAAAATTTGTCAGTTCAAGGACGAATGTGGGACTGATTCTCAATGCGGGGGGCCTTCGAGGGGGAAATGCTTGTACATGGGGGGCTCCAACCTACCAAGGAGACAATGCTTCTGTAAAAACGGGTACCACGGGGAAGGATGCAATCTAAGGAATAATGCCCCTCTTCCCGTCCCCACGCATTCCCTTAATTTGACAGCTCACTCACTGCAAGTTCTTTCAAACAGGATGCTCATGTATTACAGAGTAAGACAAAATTTGCAAATTTTCGAAAAAACAAAATTAGCAGACAAATTAGCAACGATTTTATTTACTTTTGAAGATACTGCCGAATTCGTTTTCATCGAAAGATACAGAAATTGAAATAGTGCTGCTCGTCAATGGAACGTCGTACGCAGGGGTGGGATGGAGACCGCTAAATTTGGGACCACTTTGCAAAAGTTGGCCATTTATTCCGGAAGCGTTGGATGAAAATGCTAACACGTATGTAGTGAAATTTCGTAAGATAGAGTATGAGCGCTGAATCTACATAGAAATACAATTATACAGGATTGATACATCAAACAAGAATCGGCGTCAAAGTGGAATTGTTGGTTCTCCGGTGAGCAATATAAATACTTGCTAATTTTTTGTTCTTAACTAATTTTAAACGTTATCCAACCTGCCCAAATATTTCCTAACTGGAAATCGATGTGTCGAATTCGACAGTAATCGACAATAGCTCGATGGATATTATATTCTGTATAATTTTTTTCGCATAATCCTGCAGAGAATTTCCGAGTTTTATTCTGCAGACAATTCTGCATAGTTTTTTGAACAAATTGATATGCAAAAAGGTTTCCTGGAGAAAATCGGGTCAATTTCTGCAGGAAATCTGTTCAAATTTTTACTCTGATTACACAATTTCAAATTAATTTTAGTGGGCTGCACAAGACGCCTTTTCCGCCATGGACTGCACCGATATCATCATTGGAACAGCGAAAGGGGGTTTGAGCCGAATTCGGGATTACTACTCGCGAGGTCGTCACACTCCTCAACTTGATTCAACTTGGGGTGGCAAGGATGACATTAATGCCGCCACTGGTTGGGAAAGTAATGGCGTGACGACCCTGATTTTCCGTCGATATCTGCGCGCCCGGGACACCCCCGACCATTCCTTAGACAAGGGAGAAATGCTCGTAATTTGGGCGCGGGGTCAAGAACCGGATGAAATTGTTCGAGATCCAAATGCAAGATTGGAGAAGAATGAACATCGCGTGTCCAGATTTTATGTGCAGGATGAACTCAAATATCACGGGCTGGCGGATCAAAAGGGCGTCCTTACCCTCGACTTCTTGGCGCATACTAACCAACAATTTGGACCACATAATGCAAGACTTTATCGGGGATAGACCAAAAAAATAACAATTAACAAAATTCAGGGAATTTTTTTAGTAACAATGATTTGATTACAATTATTTTATTAGTTGAATCAATTGTATCTAGTTGCTTTAAATTAATTTCTTATTATTATTCTTACGATTTAGTGGCGTCATTGTGCAGCATTTATTGAAATACGGCATTAATCTTACTGCAAACTTGTACAAGATTTAGTATCTTGATTGTTACTGTAATTATACTATTTTAGACTATTCAATTTTAATTATTACTTCAATTGTTACTATTTCCCCCGCATCTTAATTTATTTTTAGTTGTTTTTTTCTCAAAGTACAAAGAGAGATTTGTACCATTGCAATTATTTTTACAGTTTTGTACATATTCTTGTAAAACTTGAACCTAGATTAATTAATTTTAGCCCAAATAATTCGCATAAATTGTAACGAATACACGAATAATATTCAACTACAATTTTCGCCAAGAGAAGAATACTTAATGTCTAATACTCGGATATTTTGTTGCGAAATCTTCTTTAATGGAATTCGCGAATCTGACATATTTCTTTTCAGCACTGGATTATTCTTTACGTGGCGTGGCGTAAAATCAGGTTTTCTTTCATTACGTATTTAGTTAGTACCCGAGAATCAACATTCTTCTCATGTCTACATAAATTAATACGATATTAGATTAGTTTCAGTGGAAGATTGCTGAACCGTCCAAGCCTTGAGATACACGCATGCAAATACTATTTCAAACCACTTATTGTTACAAATCTTATTTTCATGAGTCAAATCCAATTTTCTTTGTGGATCTTGCTAAATGAGGTAGTTACAAGTTACAACTACAGTGATTAATCGCGTCTCGTGCAAGAAAGAACCACTATTTAGTAGCCATTTACTTGATTCACGCACTACAAACAAGCACATCTTCATAACTAACTAGTAATTTCGACCATTTGTGCAAACAAGACGGCAAAAATGACGACACTCATCGTCATCTCGTTATTATTTATTGTCACCTTCGCGATAAGTTACTGTGACGGAGTACAATTTTACAAACATCCCATCCCAATTCCAACCTCATCGTCGAAAAATTATCCAAAAGTTGGACAACGAAGTATTCAAACCGCGTCAGACTGGGAGAACGATCCTGCAGTGCAATTTTTTGTTAATAATGCGAAAGAGGGAACTTATCATTTTGGATTTGATACAGGTAAGTAATTAGAAAAGTTGATTTTGCAAAAATTAGAATATCTTTTGAAAGGTGATAAGCACCTGGCAAAAGTGATAAGGCAAAAGGCAAAAGTGATTCAATCAATTGCTCTAAATTTATGGATAATCGTGACCAGTTTTATTTGGACGGGGGTTCGTTGTGGATGAATGGAATTGGTTCTTTTCTTCTAATGTGAATTGAATCTGGAAATTGTATTTATTACGAAAGCTGAAAAACAGCAATAAAACCAGATCCATACCTCAAGTGATGATCATGCATGCATGCAACTTCTCCAGAATTCTGGTGATTAATCAGTCAACGCCATCGATCCACTCGTAGAATGATGACCAGTAGTTGGAAGTCTGAGCCATCAAGTATCAAAATTGGGAGCATTTATTCATCTCTTATATAAATAAGTTATGTACATGCATGTGAGTGAGTACACTAAAGAAAAGCGTATCCGGGTGTAAAGCAACTTTACTGGAGCCTGAAGACGAAATGTTGTCTGATAAATAATAAAACAAAACTTGTTTCGCACTGATAATCTGTATGGCAAAGTGGAACACAATGGGGGAAAAAGGTGGAACAGTAACAAAATACGAAATGATTCACCCTTTTGTACATACATACATACACAATTTGCATGTATCGGTATTTGTATTTGATGAGAAACTTAGGTAAATAAGCAGATACAAGACAATTCATCAATTTACATAAGCTGAGATATGTAATTAGATATGCAACAATGGAGGTTCTCCAATGTATGTAAGCTCTCCGATTTTGACCAAACTAGTGCCAATCGACTACAAATTTAGTTAATTTAAAATTTGTAAAAGACATGATCTCCTAGGCAGGTTTGACGGAGATATTTGCATCCGAAGAGGAGAAAACTGGTAGTATGTAAATTTGGAAACTTTGATTTTCTCCACTTTAAATGCAAATATCTCTGCAAAACCTGATAGTGTCGTTTGCAAATTTCATATTTACTACTTAAATTTTTGATCGATTGACACAGTTTGTCAATCATACTGTTAAAATCATACGCTAAGAGGCCTCCACTGTATTTACACCCCTTCAAAATCCATAAAAATATGCCCCTCCCCACAAATTTCTGGATTCTTTTCACTCTTAACATTTCTAAAAGAATGGCAGCTTCCATCCACACTAATTTTCTCTGCCTTCACATTTGTAATACAGCAGTTGGCCGTATCTTTATCAATTCGTAACCCAACACCTCCACCACCTCCTTGCAGTTTGTCTATCTCTTTGGTATCCAAGATACGATGAGAGCTGCTCCCACTTCGGATGGACACCCCAGTTTTAAGATTTGACCAGCAAAATGTGGTCACCACGTTGGAAACGCCGTCCAAAGAGATCCCTTCGTCCCCATTTTGCATGTAATTGTAATCCGCCGTGTTTCCCCTGCCTAAAATTGTGATTCCATTCCGTGAGTTTTTGATTTTGAGCTTTTTGACGACATTGTCATCTCCGAAAACGCTGATGGCATCCCCATCTCGGGTCGTGAGCGATATGTTGGATATCTTGTTGGCGTTTCCGAAAACACCGATTCCGCCCTGATTTTTTTGAAAGGTTTCAAACTTTAGGCCGACTACGGTGCAGTTGGATCCTCGCACGGATAGGAGGAAATTTTCACTCGGATTTTGAAATTCTGGGTGAAAATTAATTAAACAATTGTACATAATTAACTTAATAACGTTAAGAAACAATTAATTACTGACCTGCACTCTCTCCAGACACTGGTCGCATTATGGTCCCTTCTCCCATCCCTTTCAAAGTGAGGTTATCCTTCCCAATTTCAAACGCCCCCTCGTAACTGGTCTCCCCCAAGTAAATTACTTCCCTTGGAACGGCATCCCTCAGAAACGTGGTCAACTGCTCAGAATTATGCGCAAAGCGAACCCTCTGTTCAATAAACTGGTCCAAATCCTTCATTCTGTAGTCAATTTGTTTCGACGTCATTCTAACAATGAAATATTTGGCGTTCGGGAGAGGGAGATTTTTCTCTATGAGATGATTATCATTTTCGTTGACGCGTCGGTGAAAGTATTCTGGTCGATCGAAGTCGTTAATAAGTTGGAGAACTTCCCACATGACGAGACCAAATGAGTAGATGTCGGCTGCCTTGCTGTACCGGCCAAGATTGATTTCGGGTGCCATGTAAGAGTCAGTGCCGACGTGTTGGGTCATTTCGACTTGAGAGGTCGAAGTACTGTTTGGGATTTGTCGAGAAAGTCCGAAATCCCCGATTTTTAGTGGGAAAATGAACTTGTTCCGGTCCTCAGGGAGGGAAAACATGACATTTTCTGGTTTAAAGTCACGATGAATGATATCATTCGTGTGGAGAAAGCGTAATCCCTCCGCACATTCGGAAACGATCCGAACTTGGACGGCGTTGAGGTCAGCTTGTGCCTTGTAAAAGATCGGATTTACCGTGTAATAATCCAGCCACACGCGCAATGTTGGACCACACAGCTCCATTTTCAAGATGTGCACTTGAACCCGACCAGTTTCGTAGGCTTGGTGTAAATATTTCGTGATGAGGGTCCAACTCCGGTCCTTACAGTTTGGAAGGAGTGATCGAAGCTCGAGGATGACTTGTGGGGTGAAAAATTCTTCAGAAACTTGGACAAGTTCGACCACATTTTCATGCTTGAGTTGCACATTGCTTTCTCTCTGGATGAGTTGCAACCTTCGGGAATTGTCAGTCTCGCAGAACAGGAATTTTGTGGCGGATAATGAAACGCCGTTCTGGTTACTAGTTTTGAAAACTAGTCCAAAAGATCCCGACGCGAGGAAATTCGTGATTCGGTGCGTGGTTAGGAATGACATTTTGATCTTGAATGAGTCAACAATTTTTGACTCCTTAAATATGGACCCTAGCTCACCCTTGATACGAGTCTATTTATGTTATAGGTTTTAAAAGATCAGGATTTTTTGAAACGTTTCAACACAGTATTAATTAAGTTAGGAATGCATCTGATGACTAGAAGTGTGCAAATTATTATTATTTGAGCTGTTAACCGTCCGACTACTTATTTAGTAGTAAGTAGCAATATGTATTAGCCAATATTTATTACTCGTCTTTATTTTGTGCAATCTCAGCAATACTAATTTGTGCTCATGAGAATCCAATGCCCAGCTAAAACTGTGGAATATCCGGTTTCAATACACTTACCACCGCATACATTATTGGAACAAGAAGAACAACGTGGTTCTTTTTCGTTGGTCTCTCTCAAATGTAACAAGGGATACAAAAACATGTATAACTTGCACACAGTTTGCTTTTGTGGTGACGTCTTTCGTCCTCATGAGATTCAAAGGGAATTGATGGCAGGAAAGGAATGTGGCCAAAATTAGTCATCATTTCTTACTTATCGGTCGTCTAATCTGTATGCGTTCCATTTCGGCGTCAGCTTGTAAATAAATATTGCTTTTGGTATTCGATCCCCGATCTAATGAATGACGTCTTAAATATGTCCCACGTCATTCATTTGAACTGATCTTAAATATTTCAAAATTAAATTAGCGATTCAAATGAATGACGTACTTATTAGTAGCACCACTGATGACTGATCTAATTTTACTTCTACTGACCCCAAAATTAACCACAATTCTCCCTTTTTCTAGGAGGAAGCCCCTCAATTTATCGGGAAGAAATCAGAGAAAAATCTGGACGCGTGAAAGGCCGTCATGCATACATTGATCCAGACGGAATATTAAGAGTCACGGAATACACAGCGGACGCTCGAGGATATCGGTAATGCATAAAGCTCGTCTTTCATGTCATTAATTTAACGACCATATTTATTTACAAATGGTAATTTTCTTCTCAGCTCGGCAGAGTCGCAGTACTTGTTATTCGACACTTCAGATCTACAACTTATCGGTCCAATTCCTAAACCCAGTCGTCAAAAGTTATAACAGTCTGAAATTCAGGATTAGCATTAAGGAATCGTCGTAAAAAATAGTAGCTTTCTGACTTTACAAGTTTATTAAATGAGTAAATAAATAACGAACCCGACCATGTACAATAATCTCCTCGTCGTCGTTGTGGACGTGGACATCTTCGACATAGGTTGACTTTTAATTATTACGACTTTTATACATGCGATACTACGTAAATGTACATCTTCTATTCATCAAACTCCTTCACATAACGAAGTGGAATGCCTCGTTCCCAAAATTAAAACAACTCATCTTCCTTGCTGATCTTCATCAAATTTTACCTATTTCAATCCATCTAAACTAAAACAAGACAATAATTTTCTGGACTGATGAGCTCGTAAAACGGGACCTACCAAACCAAATGTACAACTTTATTACACCCAAAAAAACACTCACGCATAGACGACCTTGCCCAATTACGTATAAAAAAGGTTATTGAATTACTAATAATAAGTACAGTAATAGTTCATCCAAATAAAAGTGAACCTTCTGCTAAATAATCGTAAATGTGTAGATATGTAAATATACGTGTGTGTACCTCCTGCATTTCTTTTATTTAACCTGCTTGACCTTAATGTTTTACTATATATGTATTTATTTCCAAACAAATTGTCGCCCTACAAGATCCAACTAATTCTTTGCTTATGTGTATTGTTGAAAAAGAAGGCTCAAATGTGTCTACATGAACAATAATCTTTTGTTAACTGTGTACATATGTATATGATTTGATTACGTAATGACCCTCACTCTCGGCAGACCAGTATTCAGCACTGCATTATTCACACTTGAATTAAATGAATGCAATTTAAAAGTGCAATGCAAGGCAAGAAGACATTGACAAAAAAATTACATATTCAACTCTTCATCGTCGTCTATTAGACCCTTAGTTTATTTTATTGCAGTTTATGCAATTTATTGCGAAAGAAAATTCAGGGTGCATGAATCAATTATGAATTAATTAATTTGCGTGTACTGTACTACTAAATGTTTTTAGGTATTTTTTTCTGTTATCACAAATAAATAAGTTTTTTTTATTGTTCATCATTTCTGATTTAGAAGCTCATATTTGATCACGTTTTAAATAAATAAATTTTAGAATTCTTTTGATGCCGGAGAGCTTTTTTTCGCGTTTTGGGAAAAAGTTCTTACTTGGGCAAATGGTCACCCTGCGTAAAAAATACAAAATAAACATCTCTTGCATTATCAATTCAAATTTCCTATTAATTACACGACTTACCTGAGGTTGGTAGCCATTCTCATCTGCGACTATAGGGGATAAGACAAGATAAGATAAGATAAAATATAAAAAATATAAAACATAAAAAATATAAAAAATATAAAACATAAAAAATATAAAAATATAATAAATAAATAAATAAATAAATACACATTCTTACCGAATCGAAGGGTGATGACCTGACCTTCGGGGGAGGTCCAGGAGATAGTGCCCTCAGCAGTTTGAGCATCAACATCTCCAACTCGCTTCAGGTTTCCGGATTCGTCACGGGTGGTTCCGTCGCTGAGGGCGTAGCTGTAAAAAAACGATGTTAATTAAGTAACTAAACTTTAAATAGATAACCAAATTGATAAGTACTTGAATTTGTAAGAGCCATCTCCGGGGTTCTCGTAGTCGGACTTAACGATTTGGGTGTCCTTGTCGCCTTGTGGGGCGGCGGAGACGGCGAGGGCCAAAGCCAAGACGAGCACCTGGTGAAAAAAATTCAAAAATGATACATTTCTGATTTTTTTGATTTTTTTTATATATTTTCCATATATTTTTTTATGAAAAAAAAACTTACGAATTTCATTTTTGGTAGTGGTGTGGGTGTGTGTTTGATGAGACGATGAAGTGGTCAAAGTAGAAGATGAGTCTCTAACCAGGACGAACCCCTGCTTTTATATGGTCGAAGTGAAAGGTGACCCTGTTGAGGTGACCACCTTATCGTCATTCCCCCACATGCTGAATTAACCAGCATTGTGGGGAATTGGTGCTAAAATTGCATTATTTTTTAGACGTGCGAGTGTCTAATGGTTAAAAATATAATTTCATATTTATGTATGTATCACTTGAAAAAGGGGGACAGTCGCTGGGTGTGGGAGCATTTTAAAAAAGTTTGACAAATTAAAAATAAAATTTTGAAAATAAAATTGGTGTAATTTCATTTTTAATGAAAAATGCAAGTAAATACTGCATGGTCCGTTACACAAATACTCACGGCTAATCGTCGTAAGGTATTCTATGCATGTGTAAAACTGTGAATAAAACATGTCACTAAAACTTATATAATAGTTCAATTTGACAGTTTTATTGTGCACCTCATTCCTCAAAGGTTACCATAAACGTGTAAAAAGCAAACTTTTGGAGATGCATTTGCAAAATCGTAGCGTTATCCAAGATTACTTACTCTAAATATTTGCATATTTTAGCAATAACTTTATTTTCCACTACTCTTTTTTTATCCAAATTTGTGCACTCAAATTAACCAACAATTATTATATAAATACATATTTAGCTCGCGGTATGATGATATAATTTCTCTCCACAAAAGTCTTAATTTACAATTCAAAATCTTCAAAATTTTTAAAAGACTTATTATGAAACAAATTATTCCAAGTCCTAAAACTGCGTGTTCTTAATCTACTTCATGATAACAGATCATGACTTAGTTTTTAGTTAACCCGTGATTTAGCAAGAATTTTTCTGCTGAACATGACATTAAAATCTTTGTTTTTTTCTTACTTGCATTTTGCTTTGATAAATAATAATAATTTATTTCGTGCCTTACATTACATTGTTTTGGGCATGTCGAACAAAACAAGTTAATCAATTAGTGGATACTTCGTGCATGGGGTACTTACTCGTAGGGATGGTCGTTGGTCGTCGTGGTCGTGGTGCAATGCAACCAGTCTCACGAATTAGTGTACACACAGACCTAAATATGCTCACAAATAAAGTGCATCAAAGATGAGACTTGACTTAAATGTTGCGATGATGATGATGCTGTGACACAACAACTTTTACTTTCCTTTTATCAGAGAGTGAATGTTAACTTAAGATAAGTTAAGTTAATAAGTGATGGTGACAATTATGGCGAGATTTGTCTATGAAATTAAATACATGCACAACTAAGAGTTTGGATTTGAAATTAAATGTGACTGTGTCAAAGTTTGGGCTGTAAGTCACCTTCGGATTTATGTAAATGTGCACCATGTAAAAGTATGCAGTTAGTAAACCGTGTCACAATAATTCACGGTAAATAATATTTTGAAACCAGGAAGAAAAGAGGATGATATACGACTTATTATGTTTGAAAAACTTGCATAATTGTGATGTTTAATCGAATAAATAGATACTTGGATTTTTCAACGCCACCAGGGCGTGGGCCGGACTGTCAAGTCTTCATATTTGCAAATTAATAATTACAGTGATCAATCTCGTTTTTGATTTCCTGTCAGATTTGGGCAGAATTAAGTAATTTATAAAAATGTGATATTTACTCAAGTAATTTTTCAGAAATGTGACCTTTACTAATGTTTCCAAGTCTGTATTTTTATTTACGTACGCACTTTTTCTTTCTAACCCACTTTACATTTTAATAAGGAAAGTGAATTATTTATTTGGTAATGTAATGCAACCGGCCTGTCTCCTGCCATTGTTATGAATACGTGTCATTTATTTAAAGAAATGCATTTAATCCTATAATCGCCCTTATTGTAAATAAATAATTGTGTGTACCCAGCAATTGCATCTCTGACTAAATGAATCGTTTATTGTTAAAGAAGTATAAAGTATTTGGTTTCTTGTTTGGTTACATTGGATGATGATCTTGTCTCTTCTTTCTGCATAAATTATGAGTAGTGAGTGACTCTGATGTGATGGCGTTCAGTGATAGACGGTTTGGCGAAGAAGGATTTGGCGAAACAAATTTTCTATAAAAATGGTAAAAAAATTATTATGAAATGGCGAAATTAGTGACATTTGGCGAAAATGGAAAACTCCTAATATTTAGCGGTTTCTAAATTTCTCATTTACTCATGTCAAATACATTAGAATTAAAATAAATTGAAAATTAAGATGTATTGTCTGGAGCGCTTTTGGCAAATTTTTAGCAAACAATTTTTTCCTGGCTCGAGACCTGTACTTACTCATTTGTCATTACTTTTAATTATCCATTAAAAATCCTTTAGAATGGGCGAATTTTGTTCGCCAAATGAGATTTTCTTTTAACGAATTTTTTGCCAAATGAGACTTTCTTTTAACAAATTATTTTCGCCAAACTGGTTTTCGCTAAACTGTCCGACTTCCATACCGTTATTGTATTTGTGCAGCACGGTAATGTGAGATGAAGTGAGATTATGATTGAGGACGGAATTATGGAATACAATAAAAGTGTGCAATAATAAATGGCTAAGAGATGCAGATGGCTCATTCCTTCGTTGCAGTGCAGTTCTTCTTATGCAACTCTGGAATTTTCAACTTTTTTCTTCTTTTAATCCGTGAATACAAATAAGGAAGAAACGTTTTATAAAATTGGGAAAGATGAGAATGCAAACATTTTTCTTGGCTCGGGTACTTGTTTTGCAGATGACAAAGGAGATCTAACGCATTAATTAAGGTTAGCAATTTTCTTGCCGACTTTTACTTTGCAAAATGCACTTTAATGTGTATCATCTTCCACATTAAAGGACGACTTGTGCAATATTTTGCAATAAGCTTCATCATTACACTATTGTTACATCATAATCTTGATTACCGGTCAAATCATTAAAATGCGTGGCTTTGTTGCCTTCTTCGAATCAATTTTTTCGTGGGGGACGTCACAAGTTTGTTTATTTTCTTGGGAAATTGTTTTTATTACAAAATTAAAGGGAAAAGCTCAAAATGTATCAATTTTTAAAAAAACTGATAAATTTTCACTCGTTCATTTCATTTCCTAACTATTTATCTTTAACGGGAGGGGAAATCACATTTTATTTTTTTCAAGTGTATAGCAAAATTAGGAAGAATTTCACTTATACAACAAGCGTTTTTTAGTGTCGTCGCTGTGGTGGACGGAATCCGGAGGGTGGAGCGACTCGGGATGGGATTGGGGCGGATGAGGCTTTTTCAATGTTGGCGTAGATGATGTCAAGGGCCTTCTGGATTTCGGCAGGGATTGGGGGTGGGGTGGGGAGATGGGCTCCTTCCGGTTCTGAAAAGCAGATTTTAATGATAATTTTCCGTTCACATTGTCATATTTACTAAACAAAATCTTACGGAATCCATTCTCGTCCTGTAAATCGATTTAAAAAAAAATTTAGTTCACAGAGTTCTGCATTCCAAGAAATTCGGAAATTTATGGACGAAAATTAACGGAAATTGACTTACAGCGAGGTATTGAACTTGGATAAGTTCACCTTCGGGGGAATAGTATTGGTAGTTTCCTTGAGCTACTTGGATGGGGTCCTCATTTCCGTTGGGTTTGAGGTATCCAGATTCCTGAATACGCAGAAAATTCATGTAAATTCAGTAAGTAATTGCTACCCTCATTTACTAACCTCGTGTTTGGTGCCATCGCTAGTTTCCCACACATAACGGTAAGTACCGTCCCCATTGTTCTCGTTTTCTTGTCGGACAATGGTAACATCTTCGGGTTTCTGGGATCCACGGCCGGATGGACGACCAAACTGAGCAGCCGCGACTCCGACGAGGGCAAGGAACACCAACTAATTAGGAAAATCCATCAGTTTACAATAATTATCCGAAAGGAAAGTCAAATAAGTAAATTTCGGGATTTCTGACAATTTTCACTACTACTTCACCGAATTAATTTTGCCAAGTACACTTACGAATTTCATGATGAGGACTGTGATGTATTTCTCGCTAAAAGAGAATGCTCTTGTTGTGTGAAGATGAGACAGATTGGATTTGATGAGAAGTTGAGATGACCCATCTGCCTTTTATAGGTGCCCTTCTTCCATCTCTCTCTCTCTCCTCTTGAGATGCACCATCCCTTCAAAGAAGATCAAGTAACAGGTAACATTCTTATTATGGCCCAAATTATATCATCGTCGTCAATCCATATGCATTGCACTATAACAAAATTCTTTGATTTTTGATCCACTATCACTTTCGTTGTGATGTTTATCATTGTGCATACTTACTTCTAGTACCTTCAGGCGGCTTCATAAATATTTGCAGATAGCATAAAAAGAATATTAAAGGGTGCAAGCAAAATGCCGTAAAACTTGGGAAAAAATGGAGAGATGGAATGGAAGGTGGAGTAGATATTTTGGTTGTGGGGATTGTTCCATCTCCACTTTTTTTTCTTGAGAATGGGATTCTTTCTTGGAATATTGGGAGAAGATTTAGATTGTAAAAGAAAGGGATTGATTAATTATTTGCGAAGACAAATCCATAAAATATAAATGATGGATGATGATGTCCGAAAATTGGTGAAATTTCTTAAACTGTGAATATTCAAATTGTCAGTATTTTACTAAAGACCGTTCATTATTGTAGAATTATTTGTAAAATTGTTTGCAGGTTTAATGACGATGAAAGGATGACCGCTTAAAAACATATCTAAAAATGATCAAATAATTGTCACAATTTACTGCATGAAATGAAATTGAAATGACAATGACATAAAAATCGCATGTTTTTTTTAAATAAGTGAGTTTAACAATGCGCTGAAAAATTTTGATTGGTGGTTAAATATACATGTACCATTTTTTAGTGAAGGTTGCAGGACAAGTTTTTGACATGGTTATTTTTTTTATAAAATGTACAATTATGAATTTGTGACAAATCTGATAAATAAAAATAAAGTGATTCACTTCACTCACGAAATGAATTTGATAACTGTTTTTTTACTCTCGATCCTTAACAGTGCTAGTTTTTGCGTACAAACTATGACAAAAAAGGAAGAGGACTTTAAAGTACGGGAAGTAATGGGCCAGAGGTCTTGGAAGCTGACCTTTGATTGATTGTGGTGGATTAAAAAAAGTGTTGTTGTATGTATGTATCTGATCTAAATAGATATATCCCGAGTAGAAATCACTATGTCAAAGTTATTGATAAAAACTCAATGCATATTGTATTCTGCATTTCTACATAATCTTACAAAAAATTTCGATAGGCTTTATTCTGCAGAACCGTATGCGCACAATTCTGCATAGTTTCTGCACAAATCGAGTCTTTCTGGAGAAAGCTGGGCTAAATTTCTGCAAGAAAGCTGTTTAAAATTTGAACTTCAAATTTTCCCTCGGGGTACTACGAATGCCAGGAAATTTATAATCTGAAGAAATTTACTGGTTTAAATTACCAAAATTTGGGAAATTATCTGCAGAGAAAATCGTACCTGCTATGTAATGATTAACCCAAAATAATTTTGTAAAAATCAAAATTGGTGTTACACATATACAAATGCGCATTACTGCAAATCAAAATTTTCCATTTTTTTCATAATTATCTTGTTTTCATAATTAGCCGTGCGTCATTGCCTATATATGTAACGTATTTACTTATTTACCTCGATATATGTATAGGAAGCCGCTGTAGGTTTTCCCTATTCACCTGACTCTACCACCTTGTAATTGCAGGTTTCATGCATGTCTTTGTTGAACTAATTGATCTTGATTTCATGCTACCTTTCATTTCAACACATCCTGGAAGAAGAGTCGACAAGACATTAAACCAAGTTAAATTGTGGACGCCCTTCTGAGTTCCCTGTATTCATTGTCTAACAATAAATAATTCCATGAAGACCATCTTCTTTCATCTCATCTTTCTTCTCGATAAAAAAAAAACTTGCACAAAATCTGGAGCACCATCTCATTCATTCATTCCCTCATTGTTCATTGTAATAATACTCGCATTGTCGACTCTATCTATTTATTGATACGATTGTAAAATTGGTGCAATGCAAACATGGTAATAAAATGGTTAAAAATCTTTTGAGGAATTCGTTAATTTTTTTATTGATACTAATCCATCCATATCGATGAGGGATGAGTTGTTGGAACAGTCCGTGGTGTGGTGGTGACCTTGCATTCATTAATTATCGACAGAAATGTTTAGAAGGGAGTAAATATGTATCGCATCAACATCGCCTTTTTACGATTGCGATCAGATCTTGGAAGAAGATTTGCAATGTGACGACGAAACCATCATCGAACTTGTAAATCGTTACATATACTTGACACGAATCACGTGTGCTAAAGTAAAGTAAAGTCACGTAACCTTCAACTTGCCAATTTCAGGTGGATGAAATATCTGTCTGAATTTGGTGGAGAATGAGCGACATTTTAATGTAAATAGATATCACTCAAAGTACTCGTGTACAAAGGGAGGACCAGTGGCCGCGGAAGCCGTGGGGACATCGGGGGACGCTAACATTATACGATGGGGGAGGTTTACATAACATGGGCAGATGATGCGGATATCGAATAACCGTGGGGACATTGTCCCTCTGTCTTCCGCGGTCACTGTAAGACACTAAAAGGACGACATTTTTTACCGTCGACAATTTTGGGTAGTGTCTTCTTCTTCAGGATTTGTGTCGCAATCGACGACATTCTATTCGCCTCGCTTGACAATTAAAGCGCAAACTGATTTCGATTCCTTCACTCTTACAAGGAAACATACCGAGGTGTCCAACGAGTTAAGGGTCGACACCTATACCAAAATGACCACAATGCATGACTTATTAAACAAACTGAAGGAATTTCCGTGTAAAATTCACTTTTCGTCAAGTTGTGACGATATTTGTGACGAGCGCATGACCATCGGGTTGCCAGAGAGGGAGAGGTCGGCAGCTAACGATCAGGTCGAACACAAAAAAGCGTCGTCGTCTTCACGTCGTCTTCAGAGATTTCAAATTCTATCAAATTTTGAAAACCACTTGAAATTTTGAAAAAAATTGAAATTTCTTCAAAATTTCAAAAATTTCTTCAAAATTTCAAAATTTTCTCAAATTTTCAAAATTTTCTCAAAATTTTCTCAAAATTTCAAAATTTTTTCAAAATTTCAAGATGTTTTCAAAATTTGAAAGAATTTGAAATCTCTGAAGACGACGACGCTTCGATTCGACCTGATCGTTCAGCGGCCGACCTCTCCCGCTGGCAGCCCGATGGTCATGCGCTCGTCACAAATATCGTCACAACTTGACGAAAAGTGAATTTTACACGGAAATTCCTTCAGTTTGTTTAATAAGTCATGCATTGTGGTCATTTTGGTATAGGTGTCGACCCTTAACTCGTTGGACACCTCGGTATGTTCCCTTGTTAGTAGCGAAATATAACAAATGAGTCTGGGGCTCCATTGTTTAAATTAACAGTTGGTTTGGTTGGTAAACTAACAAGCATGCATAATTTATCAATCAACTTAATTTCGTTTATTACTTTTATTATTTATCGCAGATCCTCCGTCGGTAGAATATTTATTAGGAGAAGACGATAAATAATTGGTCAACTGTGCGTATATATATGCAAAAGGATAAGGTCATCATCATCGGTTACGTTTTGATCAAAATTCAATAAACTGTGTGATTTGCAAGCATCAAAATGTACATGTTGTAAGGGCAAAATTTGCATACAATTCATTAAGATCTGTAATACATATGTGGTAACTCGTAAAATTTAATAATCTCTAAATATGGCAGTTTGAAATTGAAATGTAATAAGGATTGCAGGATTTATGACGTGGTTTAAAATCAAGGCTACACCATATCAAAATATGCCGTAAATTGAAATATTTATTGAAGCGATGGGCCAAATGATGACATATAATTAGTGTTTGGATGTGAGAATTATCTATGTGCATTCCTGATTAATTGTACGTAAATATTAACCAGTCTAAATTAGAGATTTGTGTTGATTAGATTGATAATGAGATGAGATTGGTGACTCAATCATTTTTTGTAGTAATTACACAAAATTAATTAGTTTAATTATTATTGTGTCACATTCCCCCGATTGGAATTTAAGTAAAATTTAGTCTCTTCTTTCTACTAATAAAACGAGACGACCTTGATATATCGAAAACCAAGTTATAGATAAATGGACCCTTAAATATATAATCAAATATAAATTATTGGATTGATTAATTGCGAATAATGACGACGAGTTGATCTACAAGACGAGGAGGAGGATTCACCTTCAAGACGAAAACTTGATCTTCTCCTCACTAATTGATGTCTTTATGTCACAGCCATAATAATTTTGTAGAATCTTCATTGTAGATCACTTTTTTAGAACCAGAATTCGATTCGAGTAGTTTTTACCTTGCATGTGATACAATGTTTGAATGATTATTGTATAACAAACGACAATTTATTTGCAAATTTGCCAAACACAAACTTATTCATGCAATTTATTTCGAGACAATGAATTTTAATTTCTTATTTGCCTATACATTAAGGACATTAAAGTCTTTTCTTGATCTCATTAAGCATACGCACACACCAAATTGGGCAAGTTATTGATCTTGATAACATTCAATTTAGATTTAATTTAGTTTCAAGAACGACATGACTGTTTTATGAAAGTCATTCAAATCGATATTTGTACAGCGTCGCTCTAAAATATGGATGTCACTCTAATAGCTCTACTAGAATGGTAAAAAACGTCAAGTTGAATGTTTACGTAAATTACAATCAAATGCAATCTGAGTTAAGTACTCTTGTGCGATGAATTAAGTAAGATCCAGATTTGTAGTACGTACTTAAGGTCACTTTATTAGCAAAGTACATCCATACATTTTTTTAGTCTAGTTAGAGAAACAGGTGAGGTTAACAACATCCACTATTACATGATTTGATGGTAATTAGTGGTGTTTAAGGGGTGGTTTGGTTTGGTTTGGTGGATATGTTTTTATTCTTGTAAATACAAATGTAGGATTCTTCTTATCGATGTAAATAAATGCAGACGATTAAGAATTGGAAGCCAAAATGAATAATGTGATGTGATGATGACTAGATGAGTTATTATTGATAAAAAACAGACCACGAGTCAGACCTGAGAGTGATCTTGAAGATCTTCTTCTCAAATTCTGTTGTCACTCTTTGTTTTTTAATACATACGAGTACGTGTCCTGTAATAAATTCACTGTATTCATTGCAGCATTATTTTGCACTGTTGGGGGGGATAAGGGCTGGCTGGTAGGAAGTGTAAGTAACGACAAAACTGTAACAAAAAGTTAGTTGTAAAGTAACAATGGAAAAGTAACAATGAGAAAGGAATCACATTCATTCATTTCTTGTAAAGCTTGGGGCATCATTTTTTTATCCTATTTTTTGTTGGAAATCTGATTTCCAGTAATTTATTAAACTTAAAAAATCCAAGAATATTGATTATGACATATTTTCGATCAAATGACCACATTAAGCCACCAAATCGTTGTGAGGTAACTGTCTGACGGACATCACTTACTTTTTTTCTTAACGCAACTCATCTTTCCTAAAATAAGTAATGATCTGTGTCATCCGCTTAATTGTTGAGTGTCACTCATCTTCACGTCGTTGTTGCGTTAGGAAGGATTAGTTTACACGGTTGTGTTACAGCTTATAGGAAAAATATAATATGTACGAGTAAATATTTGCTTAATAAAATGGCATCATACAAATTATTTGCATTGCAATAAAGCTTTGCATATTGCACGTGTTTGACATGATCCAAATGTCAAATGTCACCACACACCTTGCAGCAAGAAAGAATAATGGCTCAAAATAGTAAAGAAGTGTCAATTGTTATCAACTTTGTTGTAAAAGCGAGGTGCAAAAACAAACATTAAAGATAACATTAGCATATTGTTTGGTGTGTTAAATTCGGCATCTTTAAGGCGAATTTATTGCAATAATCAAATGCTTTTCGCGTACTGTCATAAATAATATATCGGCATTTCGATAATTAAACGAGTCGAGATTTATTTTACAACCGATGTTTTGAAATATTTAGCAGTTAATCACCTCCAAGAATTTTTTGTGGAGGTGTAAACTGTAAAGAAGGAATTTTCAAATTTAACAAGTTTTTTTTTTCATGATTTTGATCTCTGATAATGACGTTATCAGAGATGTATATATTGATTTTTATGCACTTTTACGTCGAGGTTGCCGTTTCCCATTGCAATTTGGAATTGCAACCAATAATTTATTTTTTTGTGGTTCATGATTTTGTTGAATTGCCGAATGCACTTCTTTTAATTTAATGTTAATGTCATCTTACTTGTCAGTTCGTGACTCTGAAGGCGTTGATCTCCATCTCCAAACTTGGAATTAGGTAGAAATAACTCGTCATAAATTCAAAGGCTGGCAAGCAAAGAGCAAAGGCAATTTTCCAATTATGTGTTGCTTATGTATTTATATCAGTCGTCAGAATCTTTTCATTGTGGATTACTTTACTTTACTTGTTGATGTTTTATAATAATTTAAACAGAAGGGTTTGACTGACTGACTTGCATTGCATTGCGTTGCGTTGCATGTGACCCTCTTCAAATTGAACATTGAATCCGTGACCTGACCAATTCAACATTTCAACAACTGTTTACTTGATTTGTTCATGGCAAAAAGAGGTACACCAATTTTCGCCAATTTATACGAATTATTATTGGTCTGTTTTGCTCGACATGGTAATTTATTAAATTGTAGGTTATGTGTAGGATTTGCGGATGAAGGTTAAAATTTTAAATGTCAGATTTTGCCGTCATTATTGGAATTTTAGTAATGTTTACAATAAAATCAATTAGAAAAAGATTTGTTGAGTTACGTCGGCCATATTGGAATAAATTTGATTTGAAAAATATTCAACAATTTGAAATATTTCAAATTGTTGAATATTTTAGATATTTATCTAAAATTTTACTAATTTTACTAAAATTTTGGGATTGACAAAAACAAACTGCTACACGTCTCGTGTAAGATCGAATAAAATGCAGATTACAAAAATTAATTTCTTGCGACACAAGTGTCCAAACCAATTAATCGAACAAAATATTACAGACCACACGCATTTCTAGTGTAAGTTTAATTTAATGAATTTAATTCGTGTGGAGCAAGAGAACGGAGTTATCGTGATTTGATTTTAAGCTGATTTTACGGATAATTATACGTAATTTGAATCTGACTGAACCTAAACAAAAAGTTAAATTGCATGCAAACTCGTATGCAATTTCAGCATGTGATTTTACAAGACATGGATAATGAAATTGATGAAAATCCACCGATTCATTTGCATAAATTGTATGCATTCGTAAGGAAGAAGTTTTATCAACAAGTGCCAAAAACCTGTCAAACAAATTATTGGGTTGGATGAATTTATAAGGAATTGATGAACGATGGTGCGTACCTACTACATGTGAAATGCATCATGACGCAACCACCGCCCCCCGTTTGTGAAGGTTAGCGTCAAATTAATCATCATCAATTTAGTGGCATCTTTATCAAAATACTAATCATACATGCGTAACTAATTTTTCAATTACTTTTTGATGGTGTACAAATAATACGATTTATGGTCAATTAATCAACTAAATGTATATGATAAGTATTATGCAAAATTTTTAATTAAACTGACCGCTACTGGTAAATTGGGTAAATTTTGATGCAATATTTTTTTTTCAATACGCACAATGATTGAACTTTGATCTTGATATTTATTAATAAAAAATTATGAGGAGTAGGATTAAAATCAATAAAAAAATGTACGTCTTGAACGCAATTTAATAGTAAAAAATAGTTACTATTTATTACTAAACTACTAATCTGGACTGGGGGACTTATCGTAGCCATCATCATCTAAAGGTGAATCGTCCTTACTGTGCTCATGCAACAACACGTACTCTCTCGAACTAAATCCGAATTTTAGTACGTCTTTCTCAAATAGTTCGACATATCGTTTAGGTTCTATCTTCTTCCCATTAACTAATGTCCCATTGGCACTCTCCAAGTCGAGAAGGTAAGGTCGTATCCTCCTCCCCTTCATTCCGTTAGGTTTCTCGTATGGAACGAGTCTGTACTGAATCACAGCATGTTGTTTCGAGCAGGATGGATGGTCAATCGGAATATCTGCAATTTTTCTCTCACGCCCCAACAGATATGCACTTTGGCGATGAATATACATTACTTCGAGTGCTTCTCCATCCTTAAATGGGTATAATCTCCATCGAGTCTTTATAGGTTTTCTAGCTTCGGGAGGTTCACTATATTTTATCACTACGCCACGATAAGTGTTTGTCTCCTCGGTAAGTTTTCCGGATAATCCAAAGTTTGGCTTTTCCTTTTCAATGTTTTCTTCCTTTTTATTTCCATCCTTGTCAAGTTCTTCGAGCCGTTCGCCTCGTTCGTTTTCGTTCTCTTCCCGTTTAACAAGCGCTTGGCGAGACATGTCACTCGAAGGGTTAAAGAAATTATCCCAGTCCTTTTCCCTTTTTATGTCCCTTTGTTGTGGGGGTGAGCGTCTACTGTCGCTTGAGCGTTGTTGGTCATTCGACGGTCTTCGGCGATCTCCTCGATTATTGTGATCGTCTCGGGGGTGGTGGTGACGTGGGTGTGGTCTTGTAAATTCCCCAGGTGGACTCCTGTTCATAAAATTTGAAAAATAATCGTAAATTAATTACAAATTCTGAAAATCAGTAACACATTTAATTAAATAAATCTACCTGCTTCTACTCCTTGGTTCCGTCTTAATGTGAGATCTTGGTCGCTCATTTCTTTCGCCACGGTCGCGATCTCGGTCACCTCCACGATAGTTATCTCCCCGACTTCCTCCGCCGCCGCCACGTTCACGACTTCTTGACCTTGGTCTCGTCGGTGGTGGTGACCTCCTGCGCCCACTTTCCCGATGGTCATGGTCTCTTCTTCGAGGAGGAGATGGGTGTGACCTTCGATGACTTGATGAGGAACGGCCCTCAACATCACTTAAGGGCTCTTCTTTGACCCGCACGTTTCTCCAATCTTCACGAACTGAAGGAGATCGACTTCTAGACCGGTGTCTTCTTTCACCACCACGACTTTTATGTCTATCACTCATCGTAAGGAATAACAATAAGAATTTTCTTAATTGAATTACAAATTTTTTAACTTTTAATTAGAGAGACGAACTTTTTAAACACTAGCAAAAGTTGCCTGTTGATATTTTTGTTTGAGCTCAGCGGCGTAGATTCAACCGGGACGAGTAATCTAATAAAAACACAAATATTGTAAAAGCTGATTTGGTGTCAGATTGAAAATATCACCTGAAAATAAATTGTTTATTTTTTGTTTGACGATTTATATAGTTCAAAATGTGTGAATTACTTATTGAGCACTAATTTCCAGACAAATTAACTTGCAAGTATTTCTAAATGTGATTTCTTCATTCATTCCACATTCAATCAATTCTAGTACAATTTCATTGCGCAATTTAAAATTTTAAGAAATGTCAAATAAAAATAAAACCACGCCCAGTACAAGTAAACTAATCGTTAGTGGAGAAGATCTTGAGTCCGAGGATGAAATTGACTTGGAACCGAGAAATCCAGTAATTGCAGTAACCGATGCGGATGGGAGATCATCCTCTGGGGTCAAAGTGGTCACTTTTCAAGGGGAAGCTCCAGAATCTGATTATGAAGGTAAATATTATAAAGAAAGAAGAATTATTATTTGTATGAAATGCAACTTTTAACTGTTTTTACAGATTTTGGGAGCACCATTAGTCTTGATTCTGCAAATTCTATGGAGTTGGACGAGCTAGATCCAGATGTGGCTACAGTATTAGCCCTGGCGCCGATTCTCCCCCAGCGAAGATCTCCTCGGTTAGATCCAGTTGTCGCGAGAAAACATCGCGAAAAAAATAAGTCACTGAGGACAAACATTACGGACAAATTCCTGTGAGTTTTTTAATAACCATAATTAGTTTGCAACTTAAAGAAAACTATTGGATTCTAGTCTCCCTGTGATTCTCCAAAGTGCAAAAAAGTTTGAGAAATTATCGCATAATTTGTCAAATTCGCAAATGCAGGTATGTTAAATTGACTATTTTGCAAAAAACGTAATTTGGCTCAGATATTCTGTGTACTATTTAGATGCAAGAAGCTCTCTTTCAATCTCGAATCGCAACAGGGAATCTCCTAAGATTGCAAAAAGACTTGGACAATTTTTTGGAAGTCGATTATCTCAAGGAATTAAAAATTCTTCCTTCCGATGAAGTTACACCGATGCTCGGAACCAGCTCAGTTTCACCACCACAAAGTCAAAAAAATTCCAAAAAATCCGACAAACCTTTGAACACTAGTGATTCACTACTTTCCGCTGCCTTATCGGGTGGTGCCCACTTAATCTAACTTCACAGTCTGACATATATTCCAATATATATTTATTATTATATCTTCAACTCTATCTATGCATATATATGCAAACTAGTCTAAACATTCCATTCGTTTAAAAATATTTAAATTTCTGCAGTAAAATGACTTTTAATGCCGTCGTTTACATGCAGATCCTGACAAAAATGCAATAAATTACGATATCCTCACCTCCAATGCAAAATGCAATCTTATTTTCATGCAAATTTTTCTCAAATTGGATCACTTTATGAAATTGCGAAAATTTTCATACTCAATTTCTTATTTCTTCAGGACTTGATTTTGTTCACCCCGTGTTCATTCGACGTCTGCCATGAAAATCCATCCACGCATCGCATGTCTTCAATCCTCTCGCTCCACGTGAAGAAAACTAAAGGGTGAGACTGAACTTTTGCCTGGTGCGTTTCGCCATCACGTCAGAAAATTTGCAAAATTTTAATAATTTATCCCAATTAAAATTATGGCAAATTCCTTGGAATAATTACTTCTAGCATAACTTTGGAGCCGAATAATGAAATATTAAGTGATGCAATTAGGGGAAATTAAAAAAATGTGTGACAAAACTGATGGAATATTTAGAAATTAGTGATTTTAAATTCTGAAAATTCTCCAAACTTTGAGTTTGACATTTGTACGTTTTAATTTGATTAGTTTCCACCAATTTACTCAAAAATCTATTAAAATCTCGAAATATTTGCAGTCACCATGTTTTGGGCCTGGTGATGGTGATGGCTGAAAGTGTGGCTCACCAGCCTGAAAAAAAATTCTTAGGATCAGTCTCCATCATTATACTTTACTTGACCGGCTAGTTCTGCAAATTTTTTCTCGAGATCTTCAAAATTCAAAATTTCTCCCCGACCTTTTTAATTGGGTAAGACCACAACATTTTTCTATATTCGATAAGCTATCATTTAGTCCAAGTTTGGTCGCGATGGGGCCAAAGGGGGCTTCGGAAAGAGATCCAATATGTCGAAAAGTTGTGAAGCACGCAGTTGTTTGCACACTTTTCTTGCATATGTTCACCACCGTATATCAAGTCTGTGCCTTGCTTTTTCAACATGACACGTTGTTTTGGGGTTGGTGAAAATGCAAAGTTTTTTCAAGGTGGAGTTTTCATTTTTTAGGGTCGATTTCAAATTTGTGAGGTCATTTTGGTTGGAAACATTGGTAGTTTGGCTGATGAAGGAAAAATATTTAGGTTATTGCGACAGTCAACAGTTGGTTGTTTATTTTGGAGGATAAGTGATTTTTATGGGTAAGTGTGAGGGATTAGTGGGTGTGACAAGGGGTAATGATCAATTAGTAGTTTGGTTGATTTTTTATGTGAGTTTTGGTCATTTATTTGTCTCATTGGTTTAGCCCAAAAATTGTTGGATGGGGTAATAATTTGAGGCTGAAGGAAAATGCAGTGAAAAAGCATAATACTGCTAAATATTTATTTAGCAGTTTGAATATGTTGTGCAATAATAATACTATATAAATTTATTTAATGATAACCTTTCAAGTTTATCACAATTGTAGAGTTTATATTTAGTATTGAGAAATGCAAAATATATAGAGACTAGAGAGAGAGGATCGTTAAATTAGTTTTATTGATTAGTTCGTTATCAAAATTTGATTCGTGCTCGTGTGGGTAATATGCTTTCTGGGTTGAACGGAGGAAATTGATTTTCTTTAAATATTTATTTTGAAACATTTCTATTAACTTGTTGCATTGGGTCGAAATTGTTATTTTTTTACGAAATTGGATTCAAAGTTCGACAATAATTGCCAAAAAAGAAGCATATTCATTCAAATTAAAGATTCATTCAAGACTTACACAAGTCATGAGGAAAATAGTTTTTCTATTAAGAAAAGAGGTTGAAACATATTGAAGAGAGATGGGATGGGATGGGTATAATTTGCACATTGTGTGATAAGATGATTGATAAAAGACGCAATGAGAACCACTTTCTTCCATGATGCATCCGGTCGAAATCTTCTTCAACTAACTCCTCCACCTCATCAAATCGAATTAACATCTTCCATCGTAGGAGGAGGTATTAAGAAAATGTGGGTATTAGTAGTATGCACGTAGTTAGTAGCAGAAGGTATTAGTTAGTATATAAAAGTAAACCTGGCAACTTTTTTCGCATTACGAAACTGCGTCGAATAATACTTTGATTCGATGTAAGTAAAGCCAGCAAAATTTTCAAAACCAGTCTGTGCAGCGAGAAACATGTAAATGCTGACTTCATTGTGTTGTTTAAGGGTTTGACTTGTCAAAGAAAGACTGGTTTTAATGTTGAGAATAAAATTCATTCAGGTTTGAATTTTGTCAGATGATACATATTGTGAGATTGCTGGGTTTAGTTTGGTATGAATTCATTGTTGTGCAGTGTGAAAGAAACAACACATTTATTAGCTTTTTCGGTCTCGGCATCCTGTTATTAACACCAGCACCACAAGAAAGAAGTTGTATAATAATTGTAACATGCAGAGTGATTCCATAATGTCATAAGAAATAATCTGTCTTATCGAAAAAATGCATTTCCGCATAGTTAGTAGTGGAGCGGTTTAATTTCATGATGAGACTTGTTAATTCGTTCAGTTCAGTCAGTGACTTACTCATGACATGCAATGCACACCTCGGGGGAAGTTTAATTCAAATGCCAATTTTTTGCAAGGTACTCGTATTGCAATTAAATAGTTGGGGAATAATTTTGCACTCCATCTTGAAACGCATGCATGAGTAATATTCGTCCATCGGGTTAGAAATATGGATAAATATTATCACTTGCATAATCATGTAGCACTGATCTTGATGATCTTTAGTGTGTGTCAAGATCGATTTCACTAAACATTATTTACGTAATGTACTCTTCGTTTAATTATAAAAACAGCAGCAGCAGTGATGACAAACATGGATGTGGAAAAGTTATTAACGAGATATTTAATTAGTATGACTTATTCGTCTGCCGAGCAGACCATGTTATCAATTTGTGCATATGTATAATAACGTCTCCCTGCCTATGCTGTCTGTGGTGGTGATGATAATGAGGGAATTCTTAGAATTTATCTCAAACAGTTTTATTTAAGTAAGCTCATTTAGTCCTAGAGTTCTTCTTCTCTGAGTAGTGATCCCAACTTAAATGCACATGTGGTTGAATTAGAATAATTTGGAGGATATTTTAAGCAGAAGAAAATCAAACTAGGTCCACAATCCGTCTTTGTCACGCAATGCTGTATGTAATATGTAATTATGTTGGGTTGGCAAACTGTTGATTCACACCAAAAAAATAATTTTTTAAGTCAAATTCCTGAGTGACGATATAAACAGGAGACCGGTTCAACAACATTGTACTATTTTTTTTTACTTAATGAGATGCTGTTTTTTGAATTCATAAATTTTTTGCTTATTTAAAAATGTATGGAATGGACACCCATGAGTTAGCTGAAATGCGTATGAAAATCATGGATCCAGTGATAGCAATAATTGTTAATGACGTGACGCCCCTTTTCATGATTTTATGTACAAACTAATACTAATGATATTTGTTTTTGTTAAATTGTAGGTGATTAATCTTGGCATCCGTCTGAACGTCATCCGTTCCTAATCACGACCACATCGGATAATCGGGAGCACCAAATTAACATCAGAATCAAAATCGACAATTGGATTCCTTCGATTTTGATTTAATTTTAGTTACTCGAGACGGACGGACTCATTGATCACTCATTAATTTAATTTAATTTCAATAACTTAAATTCCATTCATCCATTGATCGTCCAACCAATTCAAATAATAACTCTTGTTTAAATTTGAATTAAGTTTCTTCCCCCTAAAAATTGGACAGGGTTTGTCGTGTCCATCCAACACGTAGTTAAAAATACTGGACTCAACATTATATATGAAAATCAGAGTTAAGAGTTAGCAACACAATCATCAGTCCAATTTCTATTCGAATCAGAGTTGTAGGGAAACAAAAATCGTGTATCAAGATTTCGTTTTTGGTTAGGTAGGTTTCATTTTCTGTTGTTGCATGGAATTCAGAATATTTAGAATAATTTTAGCCAATACGAAGAGCTAAGAAATTTATTATATATCATGTACTAAACTATTATATTACTTGTTAAAGTTGTTTTTGGTTGAGTTGGTCAATTTTGTAGGATTAGCAGTAGAATCCGTTATTATTATTTCCTGATTTCTTCTCGACCCGAGAAATTTCACGAATTTTGTTATAATTCAGTTTCATATTCATTATTGTTATATTTCAATTTATTGGATTCTGCTGACTGAACGTAATTGTTAATACATTTATAAATTCAGTTCATTAGGTTTAGTTTATAGAAAAAATTAGTTGTTAAATTAATTAAAAAACACTACGCTACAAGTTGAAAATCCACTGGCCAGCACGAAACTGCGATAAGTTGAAGGTTCCTCGTTAACTACGACACGGAAAGTTGTGTGTGATTGGAAATAGTTTTTGCAAAACCATTTGGTTTTAACAAATCATGGCCAGTGGTAACGGGGACCTGAGCGGGCTGACCGATGAGGTAACTGACGGCCCTGTTGAAACTGGAAAGGTGTGGAAAAGTTTGACTGATTATTTACGAAAGTTACTTCAGTTATTTAGAGCTTAATTTATTTCTCTTTTGAATTTAGGTTGACGCTACTGGTGGCGGTGACACTTTCAATTCTTCAACAACTTCTACTCCGAGCGAATCTGTCGAACCGCTGAAAATTCCAGCGGATCAACGATCGGCAGATTATCAAAAACTCATCCAGTATGGTAATTAAAGTTTAGACTACATAGACTAGACATGCCGTATTTCAACATTTACACGTTTACTGAGGTGCATAAATGTTAGAAATCCTTACCAATTTTAGTGATTTTGTTTTCTAGGTCTTGATGAAAAAGTTTCTGCTAAACTGGATGATATTTACAACACTGGTGAGCCCATGTCATTCCTTTGTGTCTCGTGTATCGATATAATTCCAATAATTTAGGTTAAGATTACAGGTTGTCATATTTTTGATTACAGGGAAACTAGCGCATAGTGACCTTGATGAGAGGGCATTGGATGCTCTCAAGGAGTTTCCCGTTGAGTAAGTTTATAGGAGGAATTACTATGATTTTGTAGATTGAGTTAAAAGGACATTTCCTTTTACTTAGCGGGGCTCTAACGGTGCTGAAACAGTTTCTGGATTCGTAAGTTTCCTTTCGTCTGTATCATATGCATTTGTAACAAGAATTTTTAACATGTATTTGTTTCCTATATAGGAACCTGGAACATGTTTCCAACAAGTCGGGTACGCTCTTAATTTACAGAACAGATTTATTTACAGAGAAATTAACATGTACCGTACTTGCTTATTTCAGCCTATCTGTGTGGCGTCATGAAAACTTATCGACAGAAATCCCGTACCACTCTTACCGCTTCTCAAGGTGGCTCGCCAACTGGAAGGTGAGCTAATTTCCGTAGTGATAATAATTTCGTTCACTTACAAAATATATTGGATTCTAGAAGCCAATAAATAAAATTGGCCCTGTATAAATTACGGGGTTTAGTGCGAATTAAATTGCGGGTGTGAATTCCAGAAAAAGGGAATGATATTTTTAAATTGTGGTAGAATTTACTTTCTAAATCTTTTAGTTGGACTATACTTTGACTCAAAACAGTATTAAATCGTAATCAGTCAGAAATTGTTAATTAAAAAAAATCAAATCTTAGTCTATATCAAGTATCACTCATTTATTCGTACCGGACATTTACTGAAATGAAATCGGACCAAAGGTTTTATTTTTGTGGAGCATATGGAATGCAATTATTTTGCAGAGTCTAAACTTCCACTTTGTTCTCTTTTACCAGCCCTGTGAAAGGACCGGACGAGGCAAAAATCAAGGCGATCCTGGAACGAACTGGCTACTCCCTGGACGTAACTACTGGTCAAAGAAAGTATGGAGGTCCTCCACCCAGTTGGGAAGGCATTCCACCCGGCAACGGCTGTGAAGTTTTCTGCGGCAAAATCCCTAAAGACATGTATGAAGACGGTGAGTATACTATCAACCATTTGAAATTCAGTTAAACACAATTGCTGCAATGTGTTTGACCCGTTTATAGAACTGATTCCCCTCTTCGAAAAATGTGGTGGAATCTGGGATCTTCGTTTGATGATGGACCCCATGACCGGGCTCAACAGGGGTTATGCCTTTGTCACATTTATGAATAAGGATGGAGCTCAGGAAGCTGTTCGTCAGGTAATATACCGTTGTTTGTGATGATACTTAATTTGATTGAGTATACTACTTTATTATTACACACAATTCCAAGGAACCATTATCATTATTGTGATGCTTATCATTTACCAATTTAAAATTAACCCAATCAAGGTTAATGGAACTTTAATACGAGAAGACAAGATAGATGAAAGAACGCGAATCTACGTTTGTTGGCCAAGGCGACGCTTGTTTGTTGGGAACATTCCTAAAGCAAAGTCAAGAGAACAGCTTTTCGAAGAATTTCACAGACGTGCATGTAATCTAATTACTTTCTTCCCTGTCCTCCTCTATACTTGACTTTTGTCCTCGTCTTTCTACCTCCTCTTCCACTTATAATTTAATTTGTAACATCTCTCAGTTCATCCTTATCTCTATCCTCCTCTCATTTCCATGCTCAATCCTCCCTCTCTTTCTCTCTCTGCTCGGTCCTAAGTAATATAACTGACAGTAATCCAGGGTCAAATTAGGGAACATATATAATTAGATTATCCGTAAATTGGTGGTTCGCTCACAGTTCCTTGGAATCATATTGTTATTTTGATGCAAAGCCCACTGACTTTATTTAGTCGGACCATAATTTTAATTCCTCCATGTTTTGTGTTCAACAGCTTAATGAATTTGAAATCCGTAAGGGTAAAAAGATCGGGGTTACAATTTCGTATAACAATCACCGTTTGTTTGTCGGGAACATTCCTAAGAACAGAGACCATGATGAACTCGTTGAGGAATTTTCGAAACATGCTCGTAAGTTGTAAAGTACTTTTTGCACAGAAAGTCTTTCTTGAATTGCTTATCGCTTTATATGCTTTGCTCTTGTAAGAAAAAATATTGAGTGGAATTGGGGTTGAGAAATAGAGGACATGAAATGACGAGTTTTGTTTTATTAAAGCGTCAAGTCTGCTTATTGCTGCCCTGTTTTAGTTTGTTGTTATCAGAAATGTGATTAATCAAATGGTTTAATTATATGCAGCTGGTTTGACGGAAGTGATCATCTACAGCTCTCCAGATGATCGAAAGAAGAACCGTGGTTTTTGTTTCCTTGAGTATGAATCACACAAAGCTGCCTCTCTTGGTAATAATTAAAATTTTGTGATTTCTCATCAAGCACACATGAGTAATATTAACTATCCGTTGCAGCCAAGCGTCGTTTGGGTACATCAAGAGTCAAAGTGTGGGGATGCGACATCATCGTAGATTGGGCGGACCCACAAGAAGAACCTGATGATGAGACCATGTCCAAAGTGAAAGTCCTGTACGTGAGAAACCTTACTCAAGATGTAGCCGAGGAAAGGTTGAAGGAGCAGTTTGAACAGTTTGGAAAAGTGGAACGAGTCAAAAAAATCAAGGACTATGCCTTTGTCCACTTTGAAGAACGTGACGGAGCTGTGAAAGCCATGGATGAGCTGAATGGAAAAGATGTGGGCGGATCTCTCATTGAAATCTCGCTTGGTTAGTGTAAAATTATTGAAAATTGAGCTTGAATATTTTTTAAGATTCCCCTTCTCTGCTCTTAATTTTGTTCTATTTCCCAATATGCCTGATTTACATTATACAAACACAATATTTTAAAATCAAACGTATTCCAGCTAAACCTCCGTCCGATAAGAAAAAGAAGGAAGAAATTCTTCGAGCCAGGTCAGAAAAGTATACGCATTATATCAAGGTCGATTAAGTTGATTTAATTTATTCTCATTTTTATATAAAGATTTGTATAGTTTTCTTTATGTTATATATGATTTAAAAAAATTAATTAATCAGAGTTACTTCACATCAAAACAGCAATAAAAATAATAACAAATCATCGGATAAAAATTAATGGAATTCATCTTGAATAGAACGGTGTATTTAAATTAAATAGTAAATTAAGTATTTTCAAATCTTCTCTTCAGCCAAGATTTAAAATAAGTCTAATCTTGTTCATTATCGTTACAGAGAACGAAGAATGATGCAAATGATCGCAACCAGGCCGCCTCCATATGTCGAGTAATAATAAATCTATCGTTTTTATAATTGAGATTCTTTGTAGTATTGAGGTTGATTTGCAACTAATCTTTTTTATTTTACAGCATGCTTCCACCTTTGGCAGTTGGTGGTGGTGGTCGTGGGCGCGGTGGGATGCGCGGAGGACACATGGGTCGCACAGATTTCGGTAAGTATTTATATAATTCTGTTGGTTGGCTACCTGCTGCTTAATCCCAGCGATGCTTTTTTTTACTCCTTTTTGGTTTAAATTCTCCGGCAGTTTTAGTACCTCTAAAACTTGTTCCTTGTACTTCTTACAAATACAAATACTTCGTACAAATGGGCTGTGGAGTTGTTGTGTTGACGATGCTTGTGTGCCACATGTCATTCTGCGACGACATTGTTCCTCCTCTGTAACATTGTCCGTTGCATGAATGTGGCATCTGGCACGAACTTTTGTTATTTTTTAATGCTTTTAGAATACCAAATTGGATTCAATCCGTCTTACTTGGATTTTTCGTCTCACCCTCGAAACCGTAATACCGCAAGTGATCATAATCCTGAATTTGGATCCCGATATGGTAACGAGAGACATCGTGGATACAACAATTCCAGAGTGTCTGGAAGCGCATCAAGCCACATTTTACAAAACGACATGTACAGTGGCTACTCCTCTTCGTATCGACGCAACAATAACAACAATGATCATGGATCAAGAGGTTCGCGTGACAGGAGTCTAAATTACAGCTACAGCTACAATTCTCGCACGGTCTGTGTTTGTGTATATTAACCCAATAACACTAGATTTTTTATAACTGCGGTCAATTCTTAGGTTCATGTTCGTACTAATTTTTTTAACAGGGGATATGAAATGATGTATAAAAGTAGATAATGTTTAGAATTTTTTTATTTATTGCTCGCCTGCCTACTTTGCCTATTTATTAGTTAGAAAATAATAATGTGTGGGTTAATTTAGGGTTAGTTTTTGTTAACTGGGCCAAAAATTAGTTGTAATTTTGTAATGTAAATGGGATCGTTCGTGAAACTACTGTTTATTTATTATTGGTCTTCATCCTTCCTTTCCCTGTACATACGTTAGATTATATATTTATTTGCTTAGCATTTTTTAAACAACAAATTCGTATAATACATTAATTCGTGCTAGAGCAGATGAACCTAATTTGCGCAGATTTTTTAACATCCGCAGGTTGGGCGTGGCCGTGGGATAGCGCATGGTCACGAGCTGGAAATGGGACAGGTTAGTTTAGTATTCAAGTTTATTGTTAAAGTTGATTAACAATGTTTGCTTTTAAACCCCAGCTGGGCGATGGGCAGATGGGGCCGGAGATGCATGGAATGGTACTGGGGGAGCTGCAGGGTGGGGTTCAGCATTCCGCGCACCAACTGGTCCCGCAGCTGCCATACCGTGGACATGGAATCCAACTAGTCGCTCGGGCTTCGCTACCGGAAATGGCTGGTAAGAAATTAGCTCTCCATTAAAATCGGTTAGGCTCCTATTTTTGGTCCAGAGATTCAATTAATTTAATTAACTCTCCATAGGAGTCACCGCCCTGGTGAACAACGGCAACAGAAACAACGCACTCAGGGGAAATTTTCGACGAAGTACGTGTTAACAATCCCTACTTCAACCATACTAAAAATATTATGTATTAATTCCTATCGTATTTGTATTTTAGGGATCAACGATAACTTCGGTGCGACGGGATCCGGGGTTGACGGGTTTACTGATGTCTGGATGGACGCAACGCGATAAATATTCAATTCACCACTAATACACACATGTTCAAAATTCAAGCTATCATTTAACAACCTTCAATCAATCATCAACCAGACTCATCATTGGAGCTTGTAAAACGAATCTTTAAAACAAAACTATTATGAAACTTAATCAGCATGCAGAAGAACAAGTTGTCATTCAACTTCAAAACCAATGTTAAAATATTTCGCAACAGAGTTATAATGCTGAAAATCAATATTATTATTATTCTTATCCTTATCATTTAATTATTACGACCTTTTAACACTGTGAACAATGAAAGGTTTAAATATAATGAACGTTACAGATGTCTATAAAAATAATAATGTTGAATAAGAACTAAAGTCAACAGAAAGAAAGAGGGAGAGAGAGAGAAACAAGATCTAATATATTTTTAATAATATCGGCGACTCGTATTTGATAAGACGTTATAAATAAGATTACGTAATCCAATTTTTCATCCAGTGGATTCAATCAGGGTAGAAAAAAATAACAATATGAATTTTACTTTCTTGATCATTTATAACTCCAATCTAAATTTGCAGTCGGCAGGTTATTTTCTCTGCAAGTGTCATTCTTTCAATTTCATTATTATTATTAGAACTTATTGGTTCATTCGTTCAAACTACCATTCAATTGTCTGACCCCTTTATTTTTTAGTTTGAAATTAAACTCAAAATAATATTGATATACGATCCTTAATACAAATTGTTTTTAACGTTTCGTTTTATAAATCTTCTTCTCGGGATGAGTAGGAGTAGAGTAGAGTACATTTCAATGATACAGGTTTGGCTCTCGTAATTTTATTGTAACTTATGTTATCATGATTAAACCCGGTGTGCATTTGTACGTAGTAATTAGTTTAGTGTGTTTGAAATTCAAATATTCTGTTTCCTCCTGTTAGAAAAGATGTTGATAACGAGAGCGTGTGCCAAACTCATGTTAACTAAAGTTCAATAATTGCCGAATCGTGTAGAATTGGGAAAAAATAGGGGGACGACGGAATTCGGGTGCACATGCATAATTTTATAAGAAATATTATTATCTATGTGGCAACTATTTCCTACATGTCAATTTGCATTTTCAGTTATAACTTTATTATGAATTGTTCTGGTAGCCGTATGAAAAATATTATGTCTGTTTCTCTTTCAAGTTTCAATTCAGCATGCACGAATCGTATTATAAGTAAATAATGATGATGATGATAATAATCTTTGTTAACACTCGTTCTTATTAGTTTTAGTGTTAGGTAGTTAATTAATTAGTGTTAATTATTGATGGAAGACTGCAACTCTTTACTGTCTATCTTGTATACAGAGGTCTCTATCCTATCGACTCTCTCCAAATGAGAGACCATTTATTTCTTAACTGCTAAGGACTCTTTCTATTCTTTCATTTCCGTTTATAGTATTTTTTTCTTATGTTAAGAATGGGGTGGGGACATGTGTTTACTTTACTACTACTCAATATATATTCAGACAGTACATTTATCTATTATTACGTAATTCCCTACATCTACATATTTACTACACCAACCAACTAAAAAAAGGGGACTATTATTATAAAGAAACTCGGTACACTTACTCTGGATTATTATTACTCTTACAAATGGGTCCACTCTATACAACAAGTTGAGATATGCGATTTGCTGGTGAACACATATTGTAGAATAATATGCCAACATTTTAAACCCAGTTTATATGTATGTAATTACTTACTTACCAGGAGTAAGAAGAGAGAAAGCTAATATCTTGTCCTGCTACCCCGATACATTAATTTTTAGTGTATGTAATACCTATCATTTTACTAGTTGACTTATTCTTTAAAAAAAATTCTTGTAATTCGTAAAAATCTGTCCACTCTCCTCACATTTAATATGCTACGTACGTATTAAGCCTTATTTCAATTTAGATGATACGCAAAAATAGTCTCCCCGAAGAAGAGAAAAAAAAACACTTATCCATTTTTTCCACTCACACACTGGCCACAGGACCGTGTCATCCATCCTACGCCTTTCTCTGTGAAAAAATGGCATAAAACAGAATGCCGTACAAATAATATTACGATAATACATAAATAGGTTAGATAAACGAGAGAAATGAAGAAATCCAGGCAGAAGTATATATATATTGACGATAATATAAATATATTGTATATTCTAAAATATCATGAAAAAAAACAGGACACTATACTTTTCCCAGAGAAAAAATATTATGCAATGCAACAATAACCTTAAATAAAAAACAGTGTCGCCTTGATTTGCGTTGTCGGAAACTGCGACAATCGACAAGCAAATGTTTGTTTGATACATGAAAAAAAAGAATATGTAAAAAAAGAAATCTTTGTTTAAAGAGTATCAGCGTGTGTGAGGGGTGGGTGTGAAAAGTCGAAAGAATGCGGATTGATTGCTTGACGAGGAAAGTTTGTCGGGAGAAAATCGGTTAATGTATAAAAATTAAAAGTAAAATGAAAATTAAGATTTTTTTCGTTGCATTTTTCTCTCCTCCTCTTTGTGTAGAGTTTAGATTATTATATAAATTTACATTAGAAAAAAATTGTAAAATTGAATGAAATCTTCATCACGAATTTGTTATCACGTCCAACAACATCACTGAAGAAGAAAAAAGTTGAGTTGCGTCCATAAAATTGAATTAACAAAAAAATGAAATCGTGTACTAGATCAGAAATCATTATTACATAATTATTATGTGTGTACTAATTGTATAAAAAAATTCAAATATTTGATGGTGTAGGGTTCAGAATAATTATTAATGTAATAATGGGAATTTTATTTCAATTTCACCAAAAATATGATAAATGATGATGATGGCGGAAAAGTTATTTGATGATAAATTAACATAACTTTTTCCCTTGTTTTTTTTGGTCCTTTGTGGTGGTTATTAATTAATATGATTATAATTTAAAATTATTACTGAAATCACGGTATAAATTTACATATTTGTTAATATTATATTTGTTATTAATTGATGATTGATATTGGGTTTTGCGAAGATTTTTGAGGAGTTGTGATGACGTGACCAGCTGTTGATGTTGCAACGTTAGTTTAGATTGTCTGTTGTTGAATTTGTTGAGAAAATGCTATCCCTATATGCAAAATTGGAACACTAATATTTACACTTTAGCTGATTGGTTCATTCATTGTTAAAATATTTACTTGGTATCAATTTATTGGAAAATTCTTGTAAACATTATTATTATTACGTAACATAAACACTAAATGGATACATCAGGCAGGCAGACAGAGACGAGAGGAAAGTTTTCAAAGTTTGGACACGAGTTGTTGAGAGAGAGAGTAGAAAGTTGAAAAGTAGGCAAGGTTTGTTTTGGTTTGAGACGAGGTGAAAGTTGAATAAAGATATAATATGATAAAATACATGACATCCCAACTTTCTTCCAACAAAACCAAACAAGTTTTATTACAAAATATTTACTACGTACATAAATTGTTTTTCAAGAAAATGTGGTACATCACATTTCTGCGCAATATACATAGAAAATCATCAATTTATATAAGAGCCAATTGCGCCATCAAGAAAAAAAATTCCGATTCAAAAGCTTTCCCATTATTCGTTCAGTATGAACGGTGGACGAATATTCAAATTGAGTAACTCAATTAAGACGGACGACTAGTTTCGTAAAGGGATTTCTTAGGAAGAGAAAGTTTTCTCGGGACAACAAAAACACAGTGGCCGCGGAAGCCGTGGGGACATTAAAATTAGAGAACGGGGTTTGTATAAGATGGGGAGATGATGCAGACATCGAACAACCGTGGGGACATTGTCCCTCTGTCCCCACGCTTCCGCGGCCACTGTCCTGCTTTCTCTACTTCATCCCTTTGATTTGATTTTATGACGGGACAAACAAGAATCGGTGGGTTTTCTTTCCTTTCTTTCTCGAAATATTATGGTAATGACGACACAGAGACCAGCCTTCAATCCACCTCGTACATTTGACAAACTACACGAGAGTGGAAAACGATTGGAATAAATAAGCCGTAAAATTGAACTCTTTCTTGTCATGTCATGACTCTCTTGGGCAGCATATCATTTTATTAGGGTTCGGCTTCCCCGTTATTGTGATCTCTGTGTGATCTTGGAGTTGTCAAAAATGTCACACACCAAAAAAAATAGCCGACATATTGTATAAATATAGAACGTTAGAACGTATGACTATATTTTTCAGGCCGGCGTGTCGGAATTGAAAAATCCGAGATGTCGACGTCTCCATTCTGAACTGAACGTTATGTAAGAGTTATAAGTGACACGGAGAGGAAACGCACTGAACGAGACCTCTCTTGTTCAATAATTCAATACTCAACTTACTTTGTATTGAATCGGACTAGGAAAAAAGCAGCGAACTTTCTTCTTCTTCTACTTCTACACCAGTGGCCGCGGAAGCCGTGGGGACATTAAAATTGTAGGATGGAGGAGGGAAGGGTTTGTATAAGATGGGAGATGATGCCGACATCGAATAACCGTGGGGACATTGTCCCTCTGTCCTTCTGCGGCCACTGTTTTCCTTCTCGAAACGAATATGTTTGGGCAGGGGGGACTTTGACCTGTTCAAAATTCTTGGGAGAAACATTTAAAAGTTGAGATCTCTTCGCTACACTTGAGGTTTTCTAGCCCGATCGGATTGAGAAATGGGTTTGCTTGCTTTCTTAAGAGCAGAGGGTGCGCAAAATACGTTTTTTGTACGCGAGTATGTAGTCAAACAGAAAAAAGTTGTTTGGTTAGCCAGGATTTCATCAATTTCTGTCCAGGAAAAAAAAGATGGGGAGCATTTTATACGCTAATTTATTAATAGTTTCCTTCCTACCTTGTTTTTCTCCTAGTGAGCTAGACGATCCGTGTATAATGAGCTTAAATTGGTCCACACAACACAGGACGACATTTTATGTATTTCCTTTTGTAACAACTTTCACCTGGAACAATGAACACGTAAAAGTTGGAGTTGATTCGGACCGAGAGAATGTGTACGTAAGAGGAGAGAGAGTGAATGGCCAAATTGGAGACATGGAAGGACGACTAAGCTCAAATTATACACAAGGCTAGACGAGCTTTTAAATTTTTAATAGACTTGCCCATTAACTAGATCCAGCGACATTGCATTATACGCAGTTCGCAGTAAATAATAGGAACATAAGCACAGACTCCTCGTAATAAAATGTATTTTTTATGTAAATTCATCTTCTTCCAGGTTCTCCGGATGCTGGAGAGAGTAATAAATGTATGTATGTACACTGATAATGGCACATGCTACTTACTACTTTACATATGTCGGGAAGAAATATCAATTAAAAATAATTGTCGTCATTACAATCATAAAAGGGCAGCCATTACAAGCTTCGATTCGACCTCCCCGTCGTGATGAAGATAATAATAATCATCACACTTTTATTACCCACTTACTAATTCACTCACCCCTCCTCCGTCCATGGCACGTCATAAGAACGCCCACATCACATTGTAAAAAGTAGGGAACATCTTTTACTGCAAGAATCATGAGGAGAACATGGGATATTACCTGAATTATTAGAACCTCATATACCCCACCGTACTTTCATACACCTTTAAGGAGCGTGTGGGGACGGCCAGATAAAAGAAAAAAACGGAATCATGTCACGTTTAAAAATTCAGATGGTGAAAGTGAAATGATCCCTCAGAGTTTAGATGATATGGATGAGATGGATTCTGAGCAGGATTCCATTGTTGGACGACAAAAAGTCTGTCTGTCCTACTGGTTTGGTTTGCTTTCACAGTTGGTGGACATACGAGAAGAGGAGAGAGGAGAGAAAGTAGAGAAAAGCGACACGGGTTGAGCTTGATCTCTCAAGATTTCCACCGATTAGTATTCTGCCCACACAGCACTCTGCCATTACATTTTGTCCTTGCCGACTTGCGAATTTTGTGTCGAAGGAAGCTCAAATCTCGTCCGGCTCAGTCGAATAGAATACCAAAGTGTCCAATCTAATCCAGATGGAGTGGATCACAGAATGGAATGTTATTGGTCACATGGCGGCGGACGTTTGTCCATATGCAAGAAAGAAAAAGAGCTTAAACACACAAAGGAAAAAATTATCACGTGGGGGCCTCATGTATTTGGAGCCGTTTAGTGTAATAAAACCAGTAATTTTTCCTTTCTTACATAACTTTCATCTCCAATAAATATAATAGATTGAAATCGTTTCATTTTTGATGGGGGGATGAGTAAACGACGCCGCCAAGCTAGGCAAATCAGGCGGCGGTGGCGGTGGCGGTGGCGGTATCGCGCGTATAAGTAATATGATCATCCCCTCTTTTAGAATGACCTCTCAAGTGGGCAATCATGAATCATGATCAGTCTTTAAATGTTCCAATCTAAATCCGAGGCTGGAATGGCGGGGCGAGAAAGAAGAGGAGAACGGGTAAGGGGGACGTAATAATATATGAGCTTTTCCAACCAATCCAACCAAATCTGGAGAATTCTTCAGAAGAAAGAACAAGTTTTCCCTCGGCAGGCAGGGTGTTACAAAAACCGAGTCATCAAAAAATTACGGACTTTTTAGCATAATATTCAATCTTTCGACACCTTTTGTGACAATGTGGTCACATTTTTTTGCATATACGTTTTTATTAAATTTACGGTTTAGCCATTCGAATCACATCCGAAATTATACAAATTTCGAAACCTATACTTTCTTATTTTCCAAAACTTTCCAAAAACTCACCATTATGTATCCTTTTCCATAATACAATTCCCAAAAAAATCATGAAGCCACCCACCCACCCCACGAAACCCTGCCACTTTCTCTCAATTCCCGTCGAACAAGAAGTTACGGCAAGTATTCAAGACTTTTATACGAGTGAGGAGAGAGAGAGAGAAAGTGATGTTGTAAGTTGTAAAGCGAGGATGTGAACATGTGCAAAAATCCAAGTCCAAATTTATTGCTACCACTTTCTCCTCCGGCTTCGTTCCACTAACTAATGCACTTTCACCTCAACTCACCACCATCACCTCGCCATAATACTTTCTTCCTTACTTACTTGTACACATTGTCTATTCTTCTCCTTCTTCCGCACACCTTTGTCCGAAAATCGGTATTAGGACGAAAAATGCTTTCACCACGAACCAAACCAAACCAAACCACCACCTCCGTCCGTCCTGCTTGCCTGCCTTCCTTTTTTAGGTACAAACAAGTAAAGAATTTACCAAACTATTTTCAACTTTCTTACATTATGTTATGCTGCCTCGTCTCTCGGCTCCTGTACACTTTATCATTCCAATCCAAATGGAAGAATAAACTTGGGATTCTTTCCTGATGGCTGGGTCATTTGTGTATGAAAAATGTGAAAAAATAAGAGATGGAAGAAGAAGGAAAGAAAAAACTACTCGGAAATATTTGAACTTTCCGTTACATCTTGTTATTTGTATCATCAATACGAATAAAGTGGATTTTCCCATGAAGCCAAGTCAGATTATCGGAACCACCACCACCACGACAGACTGCTTTCTCTGTCTCTCTAACACGACTCGAGATTACATTTAGGACGAAAAAGAAGCCAGCCCAGGACAAAGAGAGACAGAAGGAAGGGAGGAATAAATGTAAAGCAAACTAACTGGAAATCCAAACAGTGATGCGGATACAGAAGAAGAAAACGAAGAATCAACTAAAGCTACATAAAGAAACCAATCGATTCTTTTAGTGTGACACTCACTACGTGGAAGAAAATTCCTTCTCACCAAAGTGCTCCTCCAAAGAAGAAGAAGAGAAAGAAAATCATTACATTTATTTATTTTACACTGTTTACTCTTTAACACGTTTTGATAGAGTTGTGATTTTCTTGGAAATTGGACAACTTGATGGAGGTGAAAGTCATCGATTGAGGGGAAAATTCTATTCGAAAATTCTGGCTTATAGGTCCTCCTCCCTCACTTATTCCCGCATTAGCATAACATTACATATTCCTAGATATACTCTGAGTCTTTGAAAATTTTCAAATTTCCGCAAGCTCTCGTAATCTTTACAGGATTTAGATCCAATTTTGATATGGTGGCGAATATAGTTTTGAATGGGGTTTGAATAGCTTTCTCCAAAAGAAAGTTTGGGTAGTAAGTAAGTAGCTGGGCTGTGTCTAGATTAGCGATGATGGTGGTGGCCGTGGTGGGATGAAGTCATTCAAAGATCAGATTGATTGCTCCTTAATGTCCAAAGGAGAAAGTTTAACTCACTTCATTTCTGTTCAGACTCTAAGCTCGCTAAACTCTGACCGACCGTATCGCACGCCACTTTCTTCTCCACCACTCCACTTTCTCTGGCTGAATCTATTCATCCGTTCAACAGGGCGAAATACCACGATTCCGAGAAAGAGAGCGATTCAGGTGGAAAATTTACATGC